ATAGATTCGGCTCGGAATGTCAGTTGTGCGCATATGGTGGAATAGTTGGTTATGTTTCATAATTTTTGAGCCTTTATGTGAGATGTGCCCACTTTAATGTGAAATAGTTGATTCTTTTTGTTTTATCTTATTGAGGACATTATCAGAAGAATAGTGATCAATTTGTAATAGTAGTAGTGGATAAAAGTTTGGTGCTAAAACTCAATTGTAGCGTGTGGTATTCTGATCTGATATGAAGCCCGACCCGACGCGAAATTCGGGCCAAGTCGGGCCTAAAATGTCAATCATTACGGTCGGGTCGGGCTTCTCTATCGCTGCTCTTTTTTTAATAAATATATGTTTATAAGAAATATATACTAAAACTATGCGTGGAGTTCAAAGAACTCCTAAATAAAATATGAAATTCCGGGTTTGCTTCGGGCTCGGGCCGAATTAATTAGTTAGTTTATTAATTAGTTAAACAGTTAATTAGTCGGACTCGGGTCTGGTCGGGTTTAATACACACGGGCCCGGGTGGGGCAGCGCTGGAATTTTCGGGCCCGATCTTACCTCTAATTCTGATTACAAAAGTAAGCGCTTGAACAGAGAGTTGCTTATTTTTAAAGATTTGATTGAGATTAATAGTTTTGATTCACAAGTCCACAATATATTTTTCTAATACAGTACTTGAATCAGCACAAGTAGGTAAATTAATTAAATATCATTATATTATGATATTCGACGAGCGGTATTTGTGACAATTTTACCATATGCTAACAAAATGCTGAACTTGCTACCAAAAAATCCGCGACTCACATGTGACACATCGTTACAGTCCGCTTTGAAAAGAACTGCACAATTTCATTTATGCCATTTTGTGCCTAATTGTGTCTGAATATTATGGTTAGGAAAGAATTTAAAATTTAATTATAAATTACAAAATAACCCTAAAATTAGTCGTAAGCAATAAAAACCATGTGGTGTAAAATTTTCCTTTCGTCCATTTTTTGTTGCAATATTTCTGTAGAATACTGAGAATTTTCTTTGTGAAATGGATGAATAATATAATTTTGATTGAAAATTGTTCGCGGCCGATGGACCTACACTTGTCTCAGCCGTAAATAAGAATTTGTAAAAGCCCCAACATCTTTTTGGTGGAGTATTATCCTAATAAACATTTCAGAGGCTCGGAGCACCCCTGGGCCACTGTTCCATTATATTTGGTGAATTGTCCACACTATAAATATGTATTTGAAAAAAAACTATTACTGGCAAAACAAAATTATCTTTAAAAGTGTAAATAGTTTAATAATAGTGACCTAATAAATATTCGATTAAATTGCAAAAATAATAAAATAGACGCACTGATTTGAATGGTCACTTGTGGAATCTCTGGTCTATGCTGAAAGAACCCCGAGTTCCTCGGAAACCCAATTGAAACCAATTGGTATGCCGCTAGTTTGGGATTTCACTGGCGGTAATGTGTTTCGAACACCGCGGAGAGGGCATTAAACAGATGTTTTCCACCAGAGAGCGTTTTAATAATACAAAACAAAAAATGGAAAGTCAACCATCCTCTTTGTATTTACAGTGTTTGTGACTACGATTGAGTTTTTGGAAACTAAAAGGAATCGGTAGGACAAAAAATGGTAGAATTACGCTTGTGCATATGTGGAAAATAATTCTGCTGATTAACTTTGAAACTGGACGTCACCTTGACTTCCTCGTAAAGCTACTTTAAAGGCACATTTTATAACGTTAACGTTTGTGACTTCCGGGTTAACCGTTTCATGATACGATATGAGTGTGAAGCAATATCTATAGCACGGTTATCCACTTACCAAGTAAAAACAAATGTATATTGCTACAATGTAAATAATTGTTCGTAGCGAGGGCGTCATTGAACTTCAAGTTGCGTAAAATTTTATCAGGTGCAAGAATACAATTGTATTAATCATGCCGCTATGCGCACTCGATGATGAAATACCGAAATCATTGTGTTGAATTTATAGCTTTCAATATATAATATATTTCCAGCCTGTATTTGGCCTTGACTTTCGATGTAATTTTAAAAGATTTATCACGCTTATGATGTGGCGCAAGTACAAGATATAAAACTTTACATCATAAACCTTTTAAAATATTCATTTTCGTATTTACGGATTGATAATGCATTGAAATTAAAACCAATTCGGAGAATTACTTTGTTGTAATATAATAGCGCAAATATTTTATCGTTACAATTTTTTTTTTGTTAAATATTAACTACCAGCTTGGTAGCAATTTCTCAACTGTGGTTATTTCCAGAATTGTCGTTTATCCATCACTCAACAGCAGATTTGTGAATTATGTTTACCAACCTTAGTGATTACTCATCGGAAAAGAATAACGGAAAAGTCAAAATCAAACAATCTGTATCGAGAGGATGCTGTAACTGGGGATACTTATTTACAGGGTCGGCCTAAGTTCACTGCAACTTTTGCGGCCCCCGCGGGGTCCTAGCCAGAATTTTCAAGGGGGGGGTCTGGTGTAAGTCATGCGGGTCTAAAAATATCCCGCCCTTTCTTAGCTACGCCCCTGTCCCTAAGTCCGCGTGAATTTGAGTTTGGGTTAATAAATTTAGCCACTTTGAGTGTTTATCCTAGATGATAATCATACTACACATTATAACTGATGTTTTAAAGCTTACTTTCTCTGTGGTGATCCTGTTTGAATTTTTAACTAAGAAAAAAGAAAGAATAATATTTAGAAATTATTTCAAGCAATCGTCTTGCTTCCTTAACTACAAACAAAAATTTTACACAAGGAAATGAAATAGAAAAGTTGAAATTCAAAATAAAATCATAAATTCTATTGCAGAAACGAGAAATTTATTATGCAATAACAAATAAAAATATGAATCAAATATTTCTTTTATTTTGCCAAATCTGAACGTTCAGTATTTACATGTGACCTATACTTTTTGTCCAGAAGCAATTTTAATCTTTTTTTTATTATTTCTTGATAAATAAATATTGAATTTCTGATAAGAAGCTTATTAACAGGGTATGTTGACTATAAGATATATATATATATATTTTTAATTAAAGTTAATAAAAGTATCTTGGAAATACAATGTATGATAATGCCCAAGATTTGCTTTTGGATCTGTGTTGTGTTGTACCTAATTGGGTAACCCCCTATTATCAGCCAAATTGAATGTTTGAATATTGTAAATAATGTTTGCCTGTGACAGAGTGACTTATTCAAATATGAATTTTCCTTCCTTCCTGTCCGATTATATTTTCATGATCGTGGTTTTTTTTAAACTCCAATGATATTCGGAAATAAATCATTATTTATTTATCTCCTGCAAACTGAAAAAAAATAAGGTCAAACATTATTGGTTTTGGATGGTATTGGATGAAAACTTGGAAATATTTACTGAACGTGCGGACATGCGCACTTCGGACATACCGAACGACAGATATAACTTTTCGCCGGAATTCCGTGTTCCTGCATTAGTCAAAAACAACTGTCAAATGTCCACACTTTAGCTAAATTTGATTTTGATTTTTCTAAAAACATAACAGAACATGGCGGATGGCGGTTTATCAATAATATATTTTATCGTGAATAGTCAATTTAATCTTCATGTATCGAAAATACAGGAAGAATATTTTATATGTCGTTTATTGTTCCTATGAGAACCAACGCTCCTATTGTTTTGTTTTAGCTAATTATTTCTGAATTTGATATTTGCAATAGCGAACAATAGTGAATAAGTGTGTGGTAGTTTCTTTACAATTTACATCCAATTCGCGCAGTTTTCTCAGTCTTGTATATTCTTATTGACGCAATCTCTGGAATTATATGTAAAACGTCCCATTTTTCCAATTTCACTTGCCTCCATGTCTTCATAACTCATAAGAAGTATTGTACTAATCCGCCTATATGGATAGGGTCAATTTTATTAGAGAGTGATTTCCCTAAAATTTCAAACTGAAATGTAATTGTACTTGAATATCCAGAAAGTGGCGTATGTACACCTCCACAGAGGGCCAAGTCAAATACGTAAAACATTTATATAAGTTACAATAGTTTTATCGCTAATCGTAATGTATCCACCCCCCCCTCTCAATTTAGACCCCCATCTAAACTGAATAGCTGGGAGGCATACTGGTTCGTGTTAGCGCTTTTTGGGGTACTCCCCAAGTATGTGAACTAAGATGGCGGACACGGGAACGTAGTATGTGTACCAGGTTAGGGTTAGGCCATAATTTTATTCCAATTTTCCTTATTTTAGTTCTATTACGAGTCCGGGGACTAGCCAAGTAACTCCCGTAGTATTTGTACCTGAAATTATGTACCTGACCTAACCCTAACCTGGTACACATACTACGTTCCGGTGTCCGCCATCTTGGTTCACATACTTCGAGAGTACCCTTTTGCACGATTTTAAAAAGAGATTTTTATTCATTCGGATGACATATTATATATTGTTATCCTGCGTCACAACGTAAGAATTGAAAGCTGAATTGTAGCCATTATTTCCGTCTGCATTTTCACGCTATTTCATATGACGTCTTATTATAAGTCTGCATCAGGCACGTAGTACACCGACAATCGTGGGTGGGCATCACATTTTTGAGCTATGTTTTGTTTTGAGCCGGTTGTTCATTTTGTCCGATTAGTCAGTATTGTATTTCATGATCACAAGCGTCAGTATAATTATGCAACGAGTGCTCGGGTGTAACTATAGTAAATGAGTATTAAAATGTATCTGCGTGGTCTACTACGAGAGCGTAATTTTCTCTTCATTATATAGCTTATCGTACGATGGCATGCACCCATTATCCACATATGAAACTTGCTAAGACGTCCAAAGTAATTTTTCCATTTTATCCGTGTTATTGCGTCTGATGCTATAAAGAAACTAGCATAAACTGTACGCCGAACCTTGTGATCCTTCGACATTTGGTTAATTTGTATTTAGACTAATGGCTCCTACTCAAGTCGATACTGTGTATCCTATCCCACGTGCACAATGTTGCTGCCATTGACTATTGTGTGGCATTTTTCTATATGCAATTGAAACTCTCGTTATCAGCATCTTAAACTTGGGGACACACAGATGTTTCGGCTCCGTATTTACAGCGGGTGGAAATTTAGAACCCGAGAGAAAAGTCCGTATTTTGTTAGCCAATTTAAACAAAGCGTTTCGAAAATCTAGTTTCGTGTCTCACACGAGCCCCTAAAAACGCGAAGGTTCGCTCAAACGATTTCGAAAGCTGTGGACGGCCGCGCCCTTTGTATACGAGAGAGGTTTAGAAGAAATGAGTGGAAAAATATATTGAGTCGTTGTCAAAAAATGTTTCTCCAAAGACAGTCGGAATGGGCCAGATTGTTGACGCGTTTATTCGGATTTCCAAATATTAGGTCATTTGCGGGTCTTCGCTTATGAATGCCTTACCTTTGATCAATGTAGATTTGAAATTTCACGATTTCTTATTTAAACTCTGTTCGAACTTTTCGTTTTGTAATGTAAGAGATTTGTATTATTACTTAATTTAATGAATTGGGATTTAAAATTTCAAAAAGATTGGAAAAAGTCAGCAAGTCAGATGGTTGGCCTTACTGTGTTTTTATGTGGATTATATTAATCTATATTAACAAAGCATTGAGAGTATGGTAATACTATAAGACGTCCATCGATGATCGTACATAGTATTGATGACTAACTAATTCGTGTTGTTTTTGCGAGGTCTTTGGTAGACAAATTATTGAACTTAGCCAGCTTGTGTTTGTATGAATAAAAAATTTCCATAGAGTGAGATAATGACTGGGAGGTTTTAAATTCGTGTTCCGAAGGTCTAGGTAAGGCGTAATAAACAGGTATACTCGCTTCGATTATACATTTTTTTCACTAGAATTCATATCTTATATAACAATGGCTATCAATAGACGCCTTCTGTTTGGATGTACTAGACGAAATTCGATTGTTGTTTTGCTAACCTTGAATGTTTGCATGGTACTTGCGGTACTGCGGCTTTATTCTGGTAATCGTGAACGTGTTATAACCGTGTTCCGGCAAACTAAAATAGCGACTGATGTCGGGAAGGATAAAGAAGTTGCGACAACCGGTTCAGTGACGGTAGAATTAGATACCACGATCCCCGAACACACGACAACTCCATTGCCGGATTTAAAATTGAAGAATTTTTACTATCCGCGATATATTCCGGATTGTCCCCCAGAAGAGGATAAATTGCTTGTTGGAAAAATGGCCATCGATTTTAAAGCATCCAAAGACTATTTTCTTACGATGTTGAATATATCGCAAAACAACACAGCTCTAACAAATGATGAAAAATATTTGGGACAATTTTTAGAAGAAAGTGACGAAAACAAACGAATTTCGGTGGTATTCGAGCCAGGGGCATGTAATGCAGTGCATTCAGTGGCTATAATAATTCCGTTTCGCAATCGAGAAGAACATTTACGTATTTTATTGGGACATCTTATGCCAGTACTACAAAGACAATTGCTCAGGTAGGTGTCAAAAATGATTACAATTACCCGATTTGATGGAAATCAGCAGCAGGATGTAACCACGCTTTTAGGAAGTGACTCGGCCGTTCGTCTACATGGAAAAATAGCACGCGCGGATTCGGAACTGTAATCAATTCGATGTGCTATGTAATGCCTTATTTTTCTTTCACCAAAACAAATACCTTACTGCACTCAACGCGGCAACAGTAGCGAGCTTGTTCATTCAAAAGTTGGTTAGCCTAATAGGAGGAGGGGGGGGGGGGGTGTATGAACCTGCTGCCGCGAATCATTTGATAAAATGAATCCATGAATCTATGTGTTAACGAAATTTAAACATTCAGCATTAGTAACTTCGTCTTAGCGGTATATACATCCAGCAGCCTTCTTGCGAATGTAACCTCGAAGAATTACTCGCAGCAACCGAGTGTCTCGGTAGCGCAGTAAATAATTGTATGTGAATTTTATTGTATTCGCTGAAAATCAATGTTTTCGCGAGTGATCAGAGGTAACAATGCCATACGTTTTGTGGTGAGACTTCCTCTATTTGACGTTCCTAACGCGAGGTTAGGCTCATAATCTATTTGGGAAATGAGTGGGAACTCGAAATGGAAAATAGTTTTGTATACCCTGTCTGTGCATTGCGTTCAGCAATAACGTATGGAAGTGCTATAACCAGTGGTGGAATTCAGCCGGTTCGCACTGGTTCTATAGAACCGTCTCACGGAAATTTATGAGATCAGCGAACCGGTTAGTATTAAACAAAAACATGACTTTGTGTAAGAGAACCTGCTGTAAAATATGACTTTTGTGATGGAACCGGCTGACAAAAGATTTGAATCCCACCACTGACTACAGCCCATATTCGACATACATTGTAATCAAATAATGTAGTCCGCAAACGATGCCGGTTTAAGCATTTCTTATTGCCGGAAACGGTCGTCAACTGAGAGTGTTTTGATGAAGAAAAATACATGGATGTTTGTATCTTACTTGGCTGGAACAAGGCCGCGTACGAATATCGGCAATTTCCTGTATGAATTTGTTTGATACCTCGCTTGTACGCAACTTCTTTTTAGCGATCAAAAGAATTGATATTTACATCTCGAACCAAAGTTACAACGATTGGAATGTTTTTGAATATTTGATTATTAGAGTCGACATTGTTGGAAAATAAGAAACGCAAATTTGCTTTTCCATAGCTGGCTGGTCGTCGACCGCAATGACGTTTAATTCCTCGATACAATGTTTCATATTTCTATAGATGGAATAATTAGTTCTTATACGCCGAACAAAAATCGCATCGATGCGAATGTTTTTTAAAATAGCAAATTTGATTTTCGATGCCCGACTGGTGATTTGTCGTTGCAGCGTCATTTCCATCGCTATTCATCGCAACTTGGCCACGTCTCTCCCCACCTCAATAAAATGTACTAAACGATTGACTTCATTACAAAAGGTGAAATGGCCCCACCTCACCAAATTGTAATGAACGATTGGCTTCATTACAAAAGGTGAAATGGTCCTATAATACTCGGCGTAATTTGTTGCCAAAACAAACTGTTTCTAGACAATACGCAGGAGAAATTCGATTCGTCTATCAAATATGTCTCATACTTGACAAATTAGTAAAAAATAATTTTTATGAATATTTCAAATGAAATCAAGCCTACGGCGTTGGGCGTGAATGTTTTTTATAAAGGCTTGGCAAATCGTCTATCAAAAAAGCCATGGGACAGAAATAACTAGAAGATTCATTCAACACCGATATTAAAAATTAGGTACTCCAGAAGTATGTGAAGATGGCGGACACTGGAACGTAGTATGCGTACCGGGTTGGGGTTAGGTCATAATTTTTTTCCAATTATACTTCTATTACGAGTTCGGAGACGAGCCAAGTGACTTACGTAGTATTTGTACATGAAATTATAGCCTAACCCTAACCTGGTGGACATCTACGTTCCGGTGTCCGCCATCTTGGTTCACATACTTCGGAAGTAATGAAAAATAAACCTTGAACTTTTGTTTTGCACAGATTCGGTGTTTTTGTTGCCACGCAACAAGGTAACGGAACATTTAACAAAGGAAGAATAATGAATACTGCATTTCAATATGCTATAGAAGCAGGAAATACAGAAGGTCGCCCTTTTGATTGCTTTGTATTTCATGATGTGGATCTGTTAGCAGAATACGATACCTTGTTTTACAGGTATTACAATTTTCAGTACCGTATTTTACAGATCATAAGGCGGACTTTAAATTCTTTTTTTCTCAAAAATCGATTGTTTCTTTGGTACCGCAATGGGCGTTCTCATTTTCTTACATTCTAGAACGGTTCTCAACTATCTAACCTTCATGGATTTTGCTGAACCAAAGAGCTTCCAGTCATGTTATCCTAGGTTTTGTGCTATGCGTACGGCATCCTAAACGCATTGCATTTATGGGTGAAATTTGCGAACATTTGTCACATGTGTGTGAAAATTCCCATTTGTGGAAATAAGAGGGATTTTATACCTAGGTGCACCGGTGGAGATGCTGTAAATCATTTTTCGACTGCTATTGATAAGTTTGGATACAAAGAAAGATGCTGTGGAATGACTGTCGGTGGAGTGCTTGCGTTCACAGAGAAGCAATATAAAAAAGTAATTTACTATTTTTTGTACACGTAATGGACCTATGGATCGTTTTGTTATTGTGTCATTGTTGTGAAAAAAATTGTCTTTTCAACTACTTGGCGAATTGCTTTGAAATTTTCAGTGTTTGAAGCTTGATGTTGTCGCTTGGTGTTGTAGGGTAGGCTATTACTTTTATTTATTTCAAAACATCTGTGTGCCCTATGGCTGTGGGATTCGGCCGTGGTCCCGCGATCACATCTTAGTGATATAGTGGTCAGACTACCGGTACTGCAGAAGACTGCTTAGGTTGGCTTTCGTGTCCATATATATGAGCATTACTCTTTTGTTTTTGTTCAAAAATTTGACGCTGAGTTCTCTCAACCATAATTCGATATTCCATTGACTGATGACATCTCGATTGTAGTCCACATGTGAATAATAATTTCTGCTAGACTGCATAATCGGAACAGGCCATTATTAGGCATTCTTCGAAGTTATGCGAATTCATGCGCAATGTACTGTATCACAGAGCCTAAAATATAATATCACATCAGTAGAAACTTAATTAAATTATGTATTCATCTGAGATTTTAATAGTGACTCATAATTTTCTGTAACTATATTTGTTGTCGCTTAGTTACCAAATTATTTATTGTTTTGTGTGTAACTAAGTAATAAATTGAATTGGGCTCTTGTTGTACACGAAGTCCACATATGGACACAGTTATGTTATTATGTTGTTCTTGTTAGTATTTTTCTCCTTACCATTATGAAAAATCGCTTTTCTCATTAACTACTGGACCAATTGCTTTAGTGATTGAAGATTGGTATTTTCCACTAGATGGCTATTAATTTTATTTATTCAAAATATGTATGTGAGCTCAATGATGTCATAAAAAATTGCGCATCTTGTGGCGGTTCCGCGATCGCATTGGTCGTGAACAGTGCTGTAACGGTAGTCCACTGTGACGAATTGCATACTTCGTTTTTGCTCTATGTCCATATGTTTAAGCATCGCTCCCTTGTTCGTACGTTTGATAAAATTGTCCCAGTATATATATTGAATACTTGTTTTTAAGGTAAATGGTTATTCAAATGAATTCTGGGGTTGGGGAGGCGAAGATGACGACATGGCAAACAGAATATCAAACAGAAATTTGAATATAGCAAGACCAGATTCTACAAAAGGGAGGTAAGAGTTTTCCTTTGTAATAAAAAAAAGATTCTTACCACATTTTTTGCGATAAGTGTCGATACTTTTTGCCCATGGCTTTACATTCTGCTCTAGGTTTATTTAGCCAGCTGAATCCAGCTTAAATTAAGAGTTATCGATCAAGCTTTTCTCACAATTCTCCCCTTGGTCACTTTGAGTTAAAAAATTTGTCATAATGGCCATGTTTCGTTCTTTTCGTCTAACTATAGTTGCTAAAACTCCGTATCAAATTCATTCAAACAGAATAAAACAACCGATTTCGTGAATGTTCAATTTCCTTTCATTCCACAATTTTTACTTATCATTTTCAATCAATCAACGGGACAGTTACTCACATTTCCATTTTTATAAAATTTCATCAGGTACACAATGGTAAAACATAAACGTGACGGTGGTAATCCTAACAATGAGATGAGAATGAAACTCTTGCAAAATTCAAACGAAAGGTATGAAATTATTAGAAATGAGAATAAGATTTTATCTCTATTTAGTATTGATAACACAAATAACGAAACATATGATTATTGCAGGTTGACAAAGGACGGATTATCGAGTCTCGATACAAAAATTACGTCAATACATCGTTATCCGTTATTCATTAACTTGAATATTGATGTTGGGAATCAGTCTTGATAGTTTCGGCTTTAAAAATGACTGAATCGCATATTGAGTAGCCGGTAGGACAGCAAGCCTCTGGAAGCGAAATGATGACAAACTAATGAACTACCTCTGTGATCATGTGTTTAAGCAGACTATAGATGTCTGCCCGATCGCAGAAAATTTTTTCCTATACTTTGCTATTAGAAATTATTCGATACTTTTTTGAGGGTGTTTTGGGGAGTTGGCGCTTACATGTGCAAAACCACCATTGTTATGAAAATGTTTGACCACGTGCCGCTTACAAGGTACTGATAGCTAATTTAAGTCTGTCTTTCGCAGCTTTTCGGGACGAAGTTTTGATTGTTGCAGCTAAACTAAAGCTCTTCGGCATAATGACAATGAAATTTTTGATTTACAACTAATTTTTTAACTCACAACTAAAAGCTGACGAATAATACGCAAAATTGAGGTACCAGCATGCACGAATATCACCTATCATTTATTGCTGATTGGTCATTGCTACGAACATAAACATGAAAATCGATACTAGGAGAAAATACTATTTTCTGATACAGCCAAGAGTTAGCTAGATAATATGCACTTTTTTTAGAAAAGTTACTAATGACTCACGCAAAGATTTTACTATTTGGTCCCAGACGATCAAGGATACCATAGCGGATGTCTTGTAAATGTTTGCTTCCACAGTGTGTTTTGATTATGGTATTTAAGCTTCATTTTTTTTTATTCCGAATTGAATTGCTTTAACAGTTTTCTTGTCTGTGCGCTGGTGAAATCATTTCTTGTTTGCTAAATTGTTCCCAATCATTTAACACCATCCACTGCTGCTCTATCAGCCCGCTTTTATTGTTAATATTAAATCCAACAAAAGAGCAATGTTCCTATGTATACAAGTAGATGTGAACTGCTGACGAACTTTGTGCGGTGAACCGACGTGCTCTGTTCACTGAGCACTCACTGGCAAAAATTTAGGTCTTTCAACGTTTCTGTTTTACTATGCAATATTATTTATTCAATCTGCAACGAATCTAAAAAATCTTCAGTTTTATTTAAACATGACCGCAAACTGCACCATTATTGTGGATGTATGTTAAAAAGCAAAGTCCACTATTCAGCATGTATAACGTAGACTCTACGTCATAGAGTTCCATGTACTCATCTTTTGCATATTTCTTGGAATATTCTTATCCACTGATTGCATTCAATAGATTGTAGAAATACAAAAATATTCGTAATATTTCTCTGAATGTGTGTATTCTGTACCGGTATAACCGTATAACTAATACAATCTTGCAAGCACTGGTCGAGTTTTCATGGGCGCACCAAATCTGGGTCGGTGGACACGGTAAGTTTCACACGCGGCTGCTGGCTGTACGGGATTGGTCATATTTAGGAAGATTTCCCCGAATCGATAACCGAATGGAAATTAAAAAAAAACACGGATGTTTTCCTGTTGTCGACTCTCGTTACAACAAGTTTAAACTTACATCCGTCTTCGTCTTACCCCTTTATTTATTTAACCCAGTTTTGAGGTATGTCCTACATTTTGAACAATGACTCACTCACACCTCTGTCTCTGGCTATTTTGTTGCTAGTAATCGAACTTATAGATGGATGCATTTCATGGCATAGTGGATTAATAGTTTTCTAATGTTTAGGGATATTCATGCGATTCCGATGTCTGTCAGAATGTATACAGAAGAAGTTACACTGGAGTCTACACTCGCGAAATATCCGTTTCTTAGTCAGAGTCTGACCCGACTTTATTACTGGCGCCGTTTTGTAACGAGGCAAGATTTTTCTATTTTTTCAGCTGGGAGAAAAATGGCAGATTGCTATTAATCATATTTGCGAACCGCAGCGTCTCGTTCAGTTACCTGTTAAGGTCAGTTAGGAGAAGGCTTTCCTACAAAACCAACCCACACAAGCGACCACGTATGGCTCACATGTGAAGTCAAATGAAATGATTAAAAAACTTGATGTTGGAAATATATATTGTCAACGAATGAATTTCAATGTTATTGAACTAGTTCTCATAAATTTATTTTCAAATGATTTGTTTGTTTCTAATCCTGGTAAAGTTTGTTTTGATATAAATATTGTTGAGTTAGAAGCATTTTCTGTGGACGATTGAAGGGCCAGCTTCGTCGTATTCCTGTTTCGAAATCCACATTTGCTGGAAGGTTGAGAGTGATGCTAGAATTGATCCTCCGATCCATACAGAATATTTTCTTTCTGGAGGAGCGATGATCTTGATTTTCATTGTGCTTGGTGCAAGTGCGGTTATTTCTTTTTGCATACGATCCGCAATACCGGGGTACATTGTGGTTCCCCCGGAGAGAACGTTATTGGCGTATAAGTCCTTACGAATATCGATATCACACTTCATAATAGAGTTATAGGTTGTTTCGTGAATACCAGCGGATTCCATTCCTGAAGAAAAAATATGATAAATGATTTCAAGAACAATCTAGTACTGTATACGATGCCTTATTATAAATGTTGTTTATTACTCACCGATAAATGAAGGTTGGAAAAGAGTTTCAGGGCAACGGAATCTCTCATTTCCTATGGTAATAACTTGTCCGTCTGGAAGCTCGTAGCTCTTCTCGAGAGATGTAGATGAGGCTGCGGTGGCCATTTCTTGTTCAAAGTCGAGAGCAACGTAGCATAGCTTTTCTTTGATATCTCGAACAATTTCACGTTCGGCCGTTGTAACGAAGGAGTATCCTCTCTCGGTTAAAATCTTCATCAAGTAGTCGGTGAGGTCGCGACCTGCCAAATCCAACCTGGCAATTGCGTGTGGGAGAGCGTATCCCTCGTAGATTGGTACATTGTGAGAGACACCATCCCCAGCGTCCATAACAATACCTGCAAAAAGAAAATTCATTAGCATTAGTGTATGATATAAGAAGCCAATACTCAAATTTCATGGCTATTATATGTCGGTAAAATCCTACTTGCCAATCTCAAATGCGACTGAGAAACGGATAAGATTAATTATAAAATAGTTTGTGTCTCAAAAGTAGTCATCATTGTATATTTATATATATATTGCATAGCATATCTAAGCGAAATTACTAAGTGAAATTGAACTTACCAGTGGTTCTACCGGATGCATAGAGTGACAGTACAGCTTGGATTGCAACGTACATTGCTGGTACATTGAAAGTTTCGAACATAATTTGTGTCATCTTTTCTCTGTTGGCTTTGGGATTGAGTGGAGCTTCCGTGAGAAGAGTTGGATGCTCTTCAGGAGCGACGCGAAGTTCATTGTACATCGTGTGATGCCAGATCTTCTCCATGTCATCCCAGTTAGTGATGATTCCGTGTTCAATCGGGTACTTGAGAGTCAAGATACCTCTCTTGCTTTGTGCTTCATCTCCGACGTAACTGTCTTTTTGTCCCATTCCTACCATTACACCTTGATGTCTCGGTCTCCCGACGATGGAAGGGAATACCGCTCTTGGGGCGTCATCACCAGCAAAACCGGATTTAACCAATCCAGATCCGTTGTCGCAGACGATGGCGGTTTGATCTTCTTCTCCGTCAGACATGTTTCTCTTTATATATAGTGTAGTTTTTTAATACTAAAGCAGGCGAGGGCAATTGAACTCTGAATGAAACAACGATACGTGTCGACTCTTTTATATTGCATTTCTAAATGAGGGAGTGAGTTGAAATAGCAGATGTCAGCTTCGTCGTGTAAAAATTCGCCCCGCGACATTTCGCAGTTCGAACGTGTTACCACATGCTGTCATCTTTAAAGTATTATTTGATACATATGTTTCAATAAATTCTTAATTCGAAGGTACATTGCTAGATGTAGTGTATGCTTCATATATTCAAAAATACATTTCAAACATTCACATTTTTTTTATTTTTATTAATTAAACTGAGATTATTTTAGGAATTCCGTCGAAAAAATCACATGGAATTTTAACGAAGATTATTAGTTAAACTTCCGCTCGTAACTGGGTTTAAAAAAAATAAGCTAAAAGCGAAAGTTGGATCGCATTTATGTGAGACATTTCGTAAGCACGCGTAAACAAGGTTGAAAATAGTTTATATTTATAGTCAAAAAATGATCATGTTATGGGACTTCTAGCCGTTGTAAGGTTTTTTGTTTTTCTAAAAATTAAACTTGCCCCTTACACATCAGTGGCTTTTTAGTGATAGAAATGGATCGACGGAGGAGACTTTTTTAGAGCCAACTCAATATATATAACAAGAGTGATTTAAACAATCAAGATCCGTGAGGAAAGTTTTTGACATGACATGACAATAAACAATAATTTTATTTCATCGTGCAAGCAATCACAAACATTTCACACAAATTATTATAAATTAGAATACCAAAATTCAGGAAGTCACGAATGATCAGAACCGGTCATCACGAATCTGCAACACCAAGATTTAAAACGAATCAAAAGTGAAAGAACGGAATTCGTGTAAGCGCACAAGATTTATGTGAGTTTCGAAGCAACTTAATAGACCTAACTATACAACGAATAGGCATTGCGATATGGCATAGGCTACTGTAATACAGATATGTATATGTGCTATTTTTTGTAGATTATATATACACCAGAGGTGGTTTTAAAATCAGATGAAGTATAAAATTCAGATAATTTAAATAAAAAGTAATACCAAAAGAGGTTCATCAGAAAATCAAGTATATATATTTGAATTCCAGCTAAGTTTGCAGTCATTTTAAATATTGCCATAACATTATTTGTGTTTTAAACGTGATTTACCTTTCTTCAAAATATTTAAAAAATCGGATCGCACAAAATGCCCTAAACCTAAACCATTCCTGCACGACTTTTAAAAAGTCATATTTAAAAAAATAAGCCGATTGAATGCAAAACGTAAAGGCCGAAAAGTGGACACGGATATCAAATAACTACGCCAATCTTCAGCTTTCAGCGAAAAGTATTGTTTGTTCCACGTATCAAAATATCGTGGAATCGAAGAAATGTACCTTATTGCATTGAGACATTTATATGGTCTTATGTGTCAAATTTACTCAGTCAGACACACTTTCACACTTTTGTTCTTGCTATGAAAAGAGAAGTTGAAATATGTGGCATTTAAAAAAAATTATACAAGTTTAGGAAGCATCCGGAGTTAGTCGATTAGGCGTCAAAATTGCTTACATATTCTTGTTTTTCTTTTCTATGTCATATGCTTGTTTCTCAATGTAGGATTTTCATATTTAACTCGGGGAAAAGGAAGCCGATAATGCACTTTGTCACACAGCGAACCACGGCCTCTCGCGGGTGTAGGAATAGGTGACCATTTATATGTTTTCGATGCATGAACCGATTAGCGATTACGTGAACCACCATACGACGGCGAGCAGTCCAGAAACCTTTTCCATCTTATTCATTGGTCTGTTTCTATAAACATTGATAAAGGAAAATCACTGACATTATTTGCCGCATGCACATCGATACAGTTCAGTGGTTGGGCAGAGGAGCAAATCACTGCGTTCATATTGCTCGTACCCACTACTTGGTTGCGAATGCATTGTTTACAAAATATAAAGATATGCGTTTTTGTTGATAGAGTATAGGACAGCTGAGAGAGATGGAGCAGTGGATCTGGGATTAAACGGCTGGGGTATGGACCGGGAGGAAAGGGACTAATTTGGATGAAGCAGTGTGTTGAGTATGGAATAGTAAAAATGTAATCTATAGCTTTGAAAGACATTAAGGCAACCGGAAATGTGAGAAACGATTCAAGAATAGTTTCAAAAGGCATTTGAGTCAGTGGTCGAAGATATGCCGTAAAGCAAGGGTGCCCAACCTGCGGCCCGCCTGACTGTTTTGTCTGGCCCGCCCAATAAATTTTGTAAGCAGACTTTTCAATTTTTTACTATGTTATAAATAGGCTTAAGTATGTTTTGTGGTTTTGGTGTGATTATTCCCGCAATCTATCTACATCCGGATGCCGATTCTCATTATTACGTATTATGTATCAAGTCTTGCGCCCTGGTGGACATCGACGTTCGTTTTTTTTCGCAGAACTGTGCGTTCTGTTCGACGATCTCGAAAGATGTTGTGCGATCATAGGCGACGAACGCTGAGCGCATTTATAGGAATGAATTTGGAACCCAAATTTTCAAATTAGTTTCATTCTGATTGCTTTTTACGTGTAGGTTTTGATCGTCTTTATTGCCAACGTAAAAATATTCAACAATAATCTTTGCTGCTGGCTCCGGGACTCGTTTTTCTTTTATGTTCGTTTTTTTGTTTATGTTATGTTAGCGTTAGATAAAATGCCGGAAAGATCGTCATTGCGTATCCGTCAATAATTCTGATAAAATTGACTTAATGACAATTCTACATATTCAAATTAGTAGGCTATATACGGTATATTCGTCCAAAAGTTGTTGTAATGTTTTTTTCATTAAATACTTGTATTGAAGTTTCAAATTTACCGAAATGGGCCACATTGAGACAATATCATAGCCACTGAAAATAAATAAATAATTAAACACCATGACTCAAATATAAGACTCAATTTTTACGTCTTTGTTTGTTAGTAACTCTGTGCAGATTATCGTGTGGTCGTCATTAATTCACAAGTGCGTTGTGTAATGATTGATTTTTTGATTCAGCGGCCAGCGAGTGTCATGTCTACGTCTTGTGTTACAAGATATTCGAATATTAAACTGCTATTTCATTATTCGACTTCATATTCGAATATTTCGCCAGCACTAATGAGTAACCATGCAGTAAATAATTATTAACGTGATTGATTTTGTGTTAATAATCTTGCCTTTTATGTATTATATAAATTCTAACGAAACGTTTGCGGCCCGCAACGAATTCCCTTATGTGGAAGTGGCCCGCGAGATGAAAAAGGTTGGGCAGGCCTGCCGTAAAGGTTTGGTGGGTGCCGCAAAGGTATGAGGCCGATGTCAGCAAACAGTTTTGTGTCGGGGCCAAGATTATGTTCTCGACTAGTCATATAGAATTGGAATATAAATATTACTGCTTCCATTTATTTTTTAGTGTTGTTAAGAACCGGCCTAAATCGGGTACGGGTTTGATTAGCATGTTCAATTTATTCCATTTGATAAAATCTTCGAATGCCAATGGTTCTTCAACAAATAAGCTCGAGTATATTAAAAGTTGCATTATATTTATACAAATGTAAATATAAGATGTAAATTGTTATAAAGTGGGGATAAAAATACCCATTGGTTCACTTTATTCGGGGAAATCAAAATAAACTTACCGTATACTGATTGCTATACTGATTTACGAATTTGTTCGAAGTTCCCCTACATTGTTATATTTGGATGGTGACCTTCGACCCCTAAATTATCGTCTACTTGTTTTTTCTCTGTTAACTTTTCTTGTCCACTTGCCGCGTTCTGCTTCCCGTTTACCGTTTTTCCGGTACTTCCTGACTATTTTGATATTCTAACAAACTTCAACTAACTGGACCTATGAATGGCTTGTCAGAAGCGGTATAGATTATTCTAGAAACGAGTAATGTAGACTGTCTGTACTGTAATGATAGGCAAACATCAGAACAACTTTGGTGCCGATAATGAATGTTACAGAGAATTCTGGGATTTGAACTGGAATAGGATTTACCGGTACTACAAGACTGTAGTATTTATACTGTCAGACTGTCATTCCTAATTTGGATCAGCAAATAACGGGATACTGTAATAGATACAGAAATAACGTAACTGCTGAACTGGGTACAGTACCGTACCGGTAACGACAGACATAAATCAGAAAGATGTTTATCTACCTTTCAAATGTTGAATGAGGATAGGAATGCGCTTTAAAATATAGTCACCACATTTCAGACTGTTAAAATAAGGGGGTCGATGGGTAGATGCAAATTCCAGTATCCTTTACACTTACCGTAGTGCAGTAGTCTGAGTAGTGTACATTCAGACATTACAGCATCAGCACCCAAATCAAATATTTTTTAAACTGTCGCTAACTTTTGAACTTAGCTTCAGAACTTCTGAACTTTAAGCAGCAGGCAGCTTTTTTCATTTTTAAATCGACAGTATGATGAAATTCTATTGGATAAGTTTATCAAATTTTTTATTTAATAATACGTTTTTTGTTCAATATTGCTCAGATTAGTTAAACTATACTTTATGCAAATTCATCTCAATATGTGATGCATTGAGATGAAAAAAACAAAACCGAAGATCCCTTTGAATCTTTAATATTACAATATTAAGTAAATAAGTAGGAGTTCTCACTATGGATAAGTATCGGTACCAGATACTTGGAGAAATAGGCAAAGGAAGCTTTGGGACAGTCTTCAAAGCAAAAAAAGTGAGAGCTAACTATGCAATTAAAAAGGTATGGTACTGGTGACTTAATTTTTTTATGTTTCATCTTCTTTAAATTCTAGATACGAGTGCATAGCCAATTTCTAATAGATGTTCATTTTGATTCACTGTAGATTGGCATATTTCATGATTATTTAATAAATCTCCATAATACGTAAAATCAATACATAACAAATTAACTTTTCGCTTTAGGTTCGATGTGATGCACCGGAAAATGTTGAACTGGCTTTGCAAGAATTTTGGACGCTATCTTGCCTGAGAGCGCACAGTAATATCATTAGATTTGAAGAATGTTATTTACAACATGATAAGAACATCCGTCCACTCAAACATGGTGATCCCACTTCACCTGCATATATGCACTTGGTTGAAATGGCAATAAAAGGTGAAGATTCTGCTCTCTTTCTAAGGCCGCTTCCAATTTTTTATATAACGTTATTGGGTCACGATTATTCAAACAATATAGTTTCAAAGAAATTAATTGTATTAGCGAACCTATATATTTAACGTACTTTCTCTTACTCAATTATTTTTATTTTTTTATTCATAAATTTTAACCTCTGCTTTTCAAATTATAAATAATCCCATATTCATGCTACATAATAAACTAAAAATGATTATTATCAAAAAAAAAAATTACGGTAATTCAAAGATATTTGATGTACCTAAGTTATCGTATACTGGATATAAGTTACTGGAATGATAAGTTATTGGTATAAGTTCATGTTTTCCAAGTAAGGAAGGCTTCTTCCCTGAGAGGAATTTTGTCGTTTCATCGGAGCTGCTTTGTATTTGCTATAGTATTACTTTATTTTAACTTTATTCTTATTATTAACTGCTGAAAGTGTACATTGGCAGTAGCGCGACTTGTACATAATATTTGCTAGGAATCATTTAAAGATTGAAGAAATAAAGTAGGTTTTTAAGTATAGTGAGTGAGGAATAAAGAGTTCCGAAATAGCGGAGAAAGAAATTTTACAAAAAAGGTTGAGTACCACTGGTATAAGTATAAGTTATAGGTATGATTGTTAACTAATTTTTGTTACCAGTTATAATATCAGCTGCAGTTGGTTAGTATGTTTCACTCTGATAGCTTTAAAATTAACTTTTACTTGACTTTCAAGTGAAACTTCATATTGAGTATCTTCAAATATTTACCTTTCCTTTGTTTGATTTACAGGGAAAAGAGGTTGGGGGCATTCTCAATATTATCTTTGGTTTGTCATGGAATATTGTGATTGTGGTGATATGAATGATTACCTGTTGGATCGTGAGCCGATTGCATATCTAAACACAATATTCATGTTGCAATTGGCTGATGGTATTGCTTTTCTTCATAAGAGCAATGTTGTTCATAGGTGAGTGGAATAAAAAAGTTATATAATTGTTTTAATGATAGGTGTATCTAATTGATAAGCAATATTAAAACTGAAAGATGAAATTGCTAATATTGAATCGGCCTTTCCATTTCTTGATCCTGGTTTATGTGTATGAGCCCAGTGATGTTGTGGTTTTAAGAAAGTCCATTGTATAGCCTCATCTTATTGTTTAGTCTGTCCAATCAGTAATCTATTTCGTCACCTTACTAGAATTCCAAGATTATGCATGCTTAATGCTAAGATGTTTGAAAGCTGCAATTTACCGTATTATTTGATAAGACATCCCTGCTATTACCTGTAACTTACTCATCGCCAAAATTGTTTGGCTTTTTTGTGTTAAACTGTAGTGAATAAGAGGCATTGTTTCAAATCGATTTGTTATGGTTAAAAAAAGTAAATCTACGAATATTTTTCTTTGTACAGAGATTTGAAGCCTGAAAACATATTAGTTCGGAAAGGCAAAGGGAGGGATCCAATATTGAAAATCGCTGATTTCGGCTTATCAAAAGTAAGGAAATTTTATTTCCTGTTTTTTTTGCAAAGTGTTATTGATAATCGTATATAAGTTGTGTAAATATTTTGGCGCCGAATAATAGCACTAAAATGACTGCCCATCACACTCCATATGACTCGATCAGTCAATAGCTTTTTGCTGCTTTATTTGTTATAGGAGTTGAGAAATGTTCGAAGAATGTTGGTTGTAACTTTTCTATCAGTAACATCACCACTACACTTGGCAAGGCAAACTCTTACCACAGACTACCTGAAACATAGTTTCTTGCATTATTTTCATTGTACACAATTTGGAATATTCTTTGGTTCTTGGTTGGATTACACAACATTCGGTGCTCTCGTAGCATAATTTTGTTCCGATTTTTCTTATTCAGTTCTATTACGGGTTTGGGGATTGTCTGTGTTAGCCATGTGAATATATCCCCTGCCTACAGCTTTCAGTCTCTTTATACAACTTGATGTAAAGTAGGTGAGCAAAATTAGTTACCTCCATATTGGTACACACCTTTCTGGAGCGCCCAACATTTATTACTTGTGATTTATTAACCGCCAAATTTTGCAAATTGTTAGGTATGCAATCATCCGATCAAAGATGATCCTGATAAAATCGTTGATGAAGATGAAGAAAATGACATTAATGTTGATACATGTTGGCTGTCATCTGCATGTGGATCGGATTTTTTCATGGCTCCCGAGGTTTTTGAAGGACGATATACCGCCAAAGCCGACGTGTTTGCATTAGGTAATATCAATTAGATGAATTTTTATATATAAAGTTCAGGGATTAGCCAAGTGCCTCCCATACTATTTGTACCTTAAATTAATTAAGAGTGGTTAGTTTTGACATTGTCCTGTCAGGTTTAGGAAAATGTCATTAAACCACATCCATAGTAATGTTTTATATGCATTTTTCTTGCCTTGAAACAGAAACAAAAATCTAGGTTGCAATCCTAATGCAGGCTCAATAAGTGTTAAGAAAGTCATTAAATATTTATGAGAGTCTAATATAAGTTTCACATTATTTTACACATTCTTGGCTGACTAACTACACAATGGGAAATTTGTATCAGCAATATGCACACATATGACTTGTTTTCCTCTTTGTAAAACTGTATAATTTTCCATTATTCCTATGACATAATTTTGATATGTTGATTTTGATGCAACAATTGATACCAGAATTAAATACTGTCAGTTTCCACTTCTACCATTGCTGGCTGCAGTTTGCATGGAGTTCTATATTATATGAAACTGCTACCTGACAGTTGGTATAAGGACTATACCGACCATAGGATTTAGTAGGGCGTCATTTACTTTTTAAACTTATCCTGTTTGCTGTATTAACTGTAAATGACTTTCATACAGTGTGACAAATCTTTTTATTTATGGAGTAGCTTTTCCTTAATGAAACAACTCATTTTATTCAGGAATCATTTTTTGGGCTGTCATGGACCGAATAACCTTCATCGATGCTGGCACGAAAAAGGTTTTGCTTGGTACTTATGTGCGAAGAGACAAAGAGGTTTTACCTGTTGGTGAAGCACTTCTCGATGATCCCAACCTGGATATGACTCAACTTCTCGTTGATACAGGAGTCGCAAGCTGTTCCGATCAAAGATCGAAAAGATCCGAGTCTCGAACTTGCGTTTCTGGGAATAAGAAGAAATTAAGGTACTGGATTTTACAAACTTCAACTAAGGTGCACTCGACACTTCAAATCCTTTTTTTCTTCTCAGTGATGCCTAGTAAACTGATTGGTGATGCGCCTAATGTATCGATTACATAGTACTTATTTTTATTGCCTACACTTAAAATCAGGACCGTTACTATTGTTTTATAAATTGCTGTTATTAATATTCTTGGATTTCAGGGATTTGATTGTTCAAATGGTGCACCCCAATCCAGAGTTTCGTCCCAGTTCTCAAGAACTTCTTGGAAAACTTGGTTCTATTTTGCAAACTGGAAGCAGGTATTTGTGAGTTTTTTTTTGTTCTCTCTCAATGGATAATAATTTCATTATAAGTTCAGTGATCCAGTGTGTCGCGTATAAGATAAATTTTTTTTTGAGTTTGTTAATCGCTTAATATAGCTAATTGTTACTATAAGGAATTGTTTTCATGCATAATTTTTATAAGCAGATTTATAAATAATACTGTGTTTGCTGTAGCCATAATGTTTTTTACCTTCATATTACTATATATATAACTCAATTGCAGATTTTCAATTACCTATCAGATACAACTGGAAATTAAATGCTATTAATTTTCTTTTCAGGCCAAGCAAAATGAATCTGAATGTTAAGAAGCCTGTTGAGGTTAAACCCGAGCTCAATCGCGAAGTTGGAATCTCTGTGGAAGATAATTTACCTGATCAGAAGCAAGAGGAAAAAGTAGCTTTGGAAAAAAATCCTCCTGTCGAAGACCAGCCCAAAGTTGAAACCAAAAATGATGAAATCATGAAAAAGCAGAAATCAAAGAAAACTGCCCGACAAAAATCAGTGGCAGAAGTTCAAGATGAAAATATTGAAAATGGATCACAATGCGGTAGAAGATTACGACAACGGAAAAATTCCTGCGCAAACAACAAAAGTAATCCTTCTGCTTTAAAACAGGATGAATCTGAAAATTCAACTTCAAAGAAAATCTCGGATACTGTTACAAAAGCGAAACGAAAAGTACTCTCCGCCGTGAAAAAGTCCGAAAATAATTGTAAAGGAAGAAAAAAGCCGCCAGTGAAACAGAAAAGTATTGTCCAAGATGTTATTGAAAATTCAAAAGATGGAAATTCTGATAAAAGTTCTTCCGAAAGTGAAGACCTAAAAAGTTCAAAGGCTGAAAATCATATAATCACACGATCAGAGCTCAAAAGTGTCATTACACACACTTCAGACGCCATGAATAATAGTCTAGAGCAGGACGCAGTCCATAACGTGAGGAGGAAAAGCTCTGATAAAGAAGTCCAAATCAGCAACGGTACAAGTTCCGAGAATGAACTTGAAGCTAACGAAAATAAAACCAGGTTGAAATTACGTGATTATGTCAGTAGTCCGACAAAAATATCAAGCCATGATTTTCCTGATATCCATGGTGAACAAAATTCAGCTAGAAATGATTTGTCTTCGCCGACAGAAAACTTGGAATTTGACGAAGGATTAGGCATAGATGCAAATAGCAATGACAGTATAACTCCATCCGAAGTTCCAGAATTTGATTCTGGCTATAAATCGAAGAAAAAATCTCGTCGCGTCTCCCACCCTACTGAAGTAGAGACAACAAATTTTTCAGATTCCTCCAAAGTAGATAATGTAATTCATGCTTCTGAAGACGAAAAACAACAACTGTCCATCAATGACGATTCAACAGTCAAATCAGGAGAAATAATTGAAAATACAACTGACCGGTCAATTTCATCTCCTAATGACGAAGATTCATATGAAATTCTTGGAATGAGTCCTTTTCGCAGGCGACATATTGGTTTAAAAGCACAGATTTGCAAGTCTAAACAATCGGAGGACGATACAAAACAAAGTTATGATTATGCAGTACCTAGTGTTCCGGAATCACCAACAGAGAAAGCTATGGATCTAACAACAAACAGCGAACCTATTTTCGAAACCCAAAACCGAAAATTGAAGTGCCAAGAACGCCCTGCGTTGTTGTACAAAGTCGAGTGGGATTCCGACATAATCCTTTTCACACTGCAGTTAAAAAACGATGGAAATATGTAGTTTTAGATGATGCACCTACCGAACCAATGCAGCAACCCAAGGCAGCAGCAACACAAAACAAAAATCCATCGTGTTATCCTGACATGTCAACTCAAAATAGTAATACCATAGCAAAATCGAATGAGATCACAAGCAATAATAGTGTAATTCATGCAGTGCCGATTACTAATCAAGAATCAAAGATGATGCCTGGTCCATCGAATAAAGAAACAAACATAACTGTGAAAGATCTTATTAACCAGAAGATTTTACAACAAATGGAAATGCCTGTTCGTAATTCCCATCAGAATAGTATTGATTCAAATGATGCAGTGGATGAAAATAGACATCATAGAAGAAAAGGTCAAGGCTTTATTGATGAGTCCGCTATTCGTTCGTGTAAAAATATTTTAAATTCATCGGGACAATCTTTTTTCGATCAATTGCCGCCTGGTATTAATGCGGTCATGAAGAAAAGAGATGCTAGACTTTTTTCTCCTTATCTATTGCAATCACAACCTAATGAAATTACAGATAAACCTGATATGTATCGTAACAAAGAAACACATTTTGAACCCAAACATGGTTCTCTCTCGCTTCCAATTTCTCAAAATCTGTTAAAATCTGATCCATCGCTTGAGTCAACTCATGCTCTGCAGTATAAGAAGCAAAGGATGCCACCCTCCCAGAGGGAAATATTGATTGCCAAAGAAATTGAGACGAAGAGGAAACTACTTCGAAAAATTAAAAAAGAACATGAAATATCAGGCAATAGTAGTCAAGCGAGGCAAAATATTTCTAGTCAAGAATATCTTACAAGATCATTATTCAAAAACGACATGACCCGATCGACAAATGGTCAACAATATAAAACTTCAGCAAACTCAGTTGATTCATCCTTAAAATTGAGTGATGATAGCGTGAGGGCAAAATCTAATATTGCTTCGATACCGAAAAAACGTCATGTACATTCGATGCATGATAATGTTCAACGATACCCAACAAATACTGACAATCAAGGTAACTCTAAAGTGCATTTGCAGTCCAGATCTGATGCTTCTCAGCAGCGTTTGCATCACAGGGATATCGTAGAAGAGCATGCCTCCTATAATGCTAATGTAATAAAGCCCAAGTCCAGTACATCAACAACACCAAGCATGTCACAGCAGAATACTTTTTTGCAACCAACTTTATCTCCACAGCAAGTTGATCACCAATTTTCAGGATTACAGCACTTAGCTAATTTCTGGATGAACAAAAGATCCACAGCTATTGAGACAATGCTAAGACAAACTTCTAGGTCTACAGACCCATCTCAGCTAGTGCAAACATCGAAGCACAAGACATCAAAATTGCAACATCCACAACAACAATATCCTGATTTCTTGCTTTCCAGTCACAGAGCTGCACAATCTAGAAATTCAGAATTTTCTCCTTTCAAACCTAAGAGAGATAATAGTACGTCGTTGACAATTCCAACAATTGACTTAACTAAGGATGATGATGAGTTATCAACTGAGCAGAAAAGTATTTCAAGAAGACGACCTGCTTCTTTCTTACCATCAGATTTACCTCCTGCAAGGAAGTCTAGGAAACTTGATCCTGGCTCAACTCAGTCCAGTGCCAGCAGAACTGTTTGGTCAGGTCATATGTCAAATGGAGATAATCTCCATAGAAAGCATGAAAGCTTGCAAAACCCTAATGTGAATGTGATTAACTCTTTAATGGCGAGGGGTCAATCCGGACAGTATGCTATTCCCAGTCAAATGCACCAGCAGTCGCATACTTACCATGGTTTTAAAACTAAAGATCACCTTTCACAAATGAGTGAATTTAGGAATTCTTTGAGGCATGATATGTCTCCTATAAGCAGTCATCAACATCGGATATTGACCACACCCCCCAGTTCCCATCATAATGTGTCTCCTAAATTTAGAGATTCACTGAGTGCAGATCGTTTACTATTAAGCAGCACGGGTTCACCTAGTTTGCATAGCCCATATCAACACACTTCATCATATCAAAGTTATCTCGAACACCAATCGTCAGCAATACTATCTCATCATCTGAATATTAGCACGAGTTCAGAAATGTATTGTAACTCATCTTCCCCTCTGCAAAGAAATCTTCCTACAATGCCTATTCTTACCTATTGCGGATCACCACCGGCCACCACCAGTAGAAGACTTTCAAATCAGCAGCAACATATGCCACATCTCATTCGCATGACACCACCTGAACACACATTGCGTCAATCTCATTCTGGAATGAGCACTGAATTATACCGTCACGAGCAAGCAATGCTTCAGTTCCAACAGCATCAAAATGCTGCTCTCATGTCACCACCAAAACTACAAAGAGCGATTACTTCACCGACGATAAGTCCCGAACAGTATTCTATGAACATGCCACACAGTGGAATTGCCTCAAATGTTTCAAGTTCAGAACAATGTGGGGTGTTACCAGGTTACCCCTATCAAACAAGGCTTCAAAAACCGACCCTAAAAATGCCTTGAAGTATTTTTGCTCTATTTTTCAATGAAAGCACGAATGAAGTTCATTTTCTCGCCTAACTCTAAACATGAAATCTTAGAAATTGGAAATGTCCTATATATCCGCTTAAGTTGAGACGGACACTGTGATTTTCGAACTAGACAATATAGTCAAATACCGTTGTAGGAAATTATTGTTATTTTGAATACGTTTCACTATTTGTTTTTGTAATATCGATCCTGGCATAGCCAATGTGATTTTGCAAGTGCTGATGCTGCTTGTTTTTTTCATTGGTATTGGTGCTGCTGCTTTACTGCATATTCAGCCTTTTGTGACTTATAAAAAATCGTTTTACCGTGATTATTTATATTTTCTTGTTTTCCTGTCGTCTTGACATTGTTCGTCATTTTGAAATGAAATATTCGGTGAATTTTTTCCTGATAAACAATTATATTATCTTGTCCCATAAATATGTCTTTTGGTTGGGCTGTACTAAGCATTAATTAAGAAAATGACCTGTCATGCGCAGCTTTGTATACTGGGGAAGGTGAATATTAATAAGCTGAGAAACGTCATATTCGGTAAGAAATTTGGTCTGTCTGACTTTGATGGGAAAAAAAATTTTGAGGGGAAAGATTTTTATAGTCAAACGAAGCTGCCATGCGATGTTTGTGCATCACTGTCAAAATTTGATTCAACGTGAACCCGGGATAAATATGTAAATCCTATCCTCACTTCAAGACAGCGTTACGGTTGAGTTGACTCCGGTGTCCCCTCGAGGCCGAATCATTGAGGGGACGAATGCGCACTTTAGTGTATTCGAGGCATGGCCCAAGCGTGCATATTGATTTTAGGTATTCATTGGAATATAGCACCGGTGATGAATTAGTTTCAATTATTTGCAACTTGAAATTATTTTTTTCAAACAATTTACGATTAAATCTTTTCGCGCCTCTGTCCAAGGGGCCCTCGCGGCACCAGCCATGGTTTCCAAGGAATGCGCGATTTGCTATGTGTGCCCGAAAATTAACAGAATTGTGTTAAACGCACGAATATAGGATTGACTATTTTACATATTGTATTTATAACAATGTGTATATGAATCAATAAATACATAACCTTTTCATGTCGTTTACTTTATGTTACGTAGTGTCAGCCTCTATTGTACGTAACAATAGAGGTAGACACTACCGCAATTTAGTTATCTGCAGTTTGTTTCTTCTGAACCGAGTTCAGCGAACATGAGTGTTTTCTTTAGTAGTTCTCTAGTTCTAGTACGAAAATCGAAATAAACTTAGCTTATACCATACCTATAAAACCAGGCAGCGATGAAAAATAAGAGTTGACCCTTTCGCATTTATTCTTTATAACTTACATGTTTACAAACTTTAATAGGTCACAAAGTACATATTAACGATAACAAAATTGAGTTTTATTCAAATACAGCTTCAAAGATTTATTTTGTGTAAGTCCGCCGTGATTTTTTCCCGTGACGAGGCCTTATTTCTTATTAGATGAAAAGACCGCACGCTGATCGATCGTTCAGTAATCGATGTCTACCACCAAACCGACGCGCGCTTCGTTTATGTCTTCATATAGTGTTTCTTGTACATCGAGCAAGCGTTTTGTGCGGTACCTGTAGTGTCCTGCGTTGATTTTATTGCTACCTGTAGGCTACTGGTATCTGTTTGTTTTATAATTCTCGAAGCCATCAGAAGCGGAGATGTGACAAGTACAGTACTGTGGCTGATGTGTTGATGACCAAGCGGAATCATATATAATTGTTGACGTAATAAGTTACGACATTGTTTCAACAGATTGCCAAAATGGCATGGAGAGTGTGGGAATGGAACCATGCCCAGATCATATGCCAGCAAACACTGAAAGGTATTGTGATATCAATAAGAATTTGATTCAAGATTTAAATTAAGGCAGTCAAGGTTTCAGGTTTAGACTAATCTATACTAGATTACTTTTATTTGTGCATATTCAGATATTGCTGTATTGGCTGAAAAATGCACAAATCTACAGAACCTGATGAAACTATACAAAATTTGTCATAATTCATTATTTCAGTATTTGTCATATCTGCTATTTGATGATTAGTAATCCATCAAAAGCTTGCCTTTTTATACATGTATAGACACAAACAGTTTGATTGGATTCATAATTTGACATGAATACTGGAATATGGTACTGAAAAATCAAAATAATGAGGGAAAGTCTCTTACACTTCTTGTCTTTGTAACCACAGAACCACAAGATTCATCTGGACATAGACATTTGTTTATGCTGGTTGGCAATCATAACTATAAACATGAACTATACACTTATACCATGGAATAACTTAGGCTCAGTGCAGTGGAAGATTGACATAAAAAGCGTTGAAAGGATAGTGGAATGAAAGTAGTCTTGATTTAGTAGTTTATTTTAATTTTTTCCGATCTCTGACTGTGTGATGAGTTGTTGTAAACTTGAAAACCAACATGAATTTTCGATGTATGATATTCTGTCTCATTTGATACAAGCTACCAGATTTTACCATTTTGTGTGCTAAAGACAAAAGAACAAAGAATCTCCATTGTACATTTATGACTCTAATAATAACTTGAAAATTTGATAATATTAGCCAACCAGATAATACTGTAACATGTGTTTGAATGAATGGACACCACTGATGCTAAATTCGTGGAATATACGATGGTGATGGGAATTATATTGGATGGTGAAAATTAATGTAATGTGATGAATATTGTTTTAACACATAATAAAAAAAAGAATCTCATAATTTCTAGTAGTTCTGAACATTTTGCTTTGTATACGAATATTTGACGTCACCTTCATCACACCACAGCTGTTTTCATAACTGTCAATGGAAAATATAGAGTTACATCAACTTGTTAAATGTAAAATATGCTATAATGAACTGTGCAATGCAAAAAAATCCCACTTTTCAGCAAAGGGCTAAACTGCTTTTTATACTGTTATAAGAATTCTTGCCAGACATGCATGATGTTACTACCAATTTGATCAGTCATAGTCAGGTTTATTTTTCCAGCAAAATGTTCAGGATATAAAAAACTGGACACACAGTTATACTGGGGAAAAGAAGCTGGGGGAACTAAAGCTGGTTATGAAGCAACTAAGGTTCTTCTAATATCTAACAGAATGCTGATTAGAAACTGACTGAAGTGATCAGCGCTCTCCCTTGCTTCCTGATGATTTTTAAAAAGTAAATTTTTCGGAGCCTGGAGATCCTAATATATTAACCGTACTTCATGCCCAAGTGTAGAAATATTATCTCTTATAATTCTTTGCCGGAATTAACTTGTATATTGCAGAAGTTTTTCTCAAGGTATTTGAAAGCTAAGATTATTACAAGCAGAATTATACTTATTTCTTATTGGTTATGTTTAGTAATAACCTGTTTTTTGCAAACCTGCCAAAACGGATGTATTGATGGTATTTTTCTGTAGAAAAAAATAACATATTTTGACATGAAATAATCCTCAATTGTCTTTTCCACTGTAACTTATGTTTGGAATCAAGAATTATATTTACTGGATGATTGAAAATACCTAGATATATCATGTTGTGAGAAGAAGCTGTTGTACGGGTTATTGGAAAAACGCTGTTGTTGTTTGTATCTGTTGATGGGAATTGTACTGGGCAAATAACCATCCACAGATCTAGTTACCGATGATGTATTACACCTGTTTTGTATACTTTGGGCCACCACAATTGTATTGTTTTGTTGTAGATTATGCCTTGGGCTGATTTGTTACAAGAAAAAGTATGAAATTGGTTCAATTTTAATAGGGATTTGATTCTGCGAGCAAGAAGTTCCACTTTGTGAAATTAGTTAACAATTTGTTATATGAGATGAAGCCTGAAATGTTCTCTTCGGTGAGTGAATGAGACTTTGGTAAATCAAATCAGTCAAATTTGTACCATGATAGGTATTTTGTTAATTATCTAAAACTGACCTAAGTGCTACAGCGTTGTACTTTTAATCTGTAGTGCAAGTTGTTATCATAGATTTATTTTTATTCAAACAACTACAGTTTGAAATAAGCTGACATAGATTCATACTAGTAGTAGTTACAGTGTATCCAAGGACCATGAGTCGGATTGGCAATCTCACTTCGAGAATATTTGTTGGGGGTATGGATCCAAGCGTCAGTGAAGTAGACTTGGAGAAAGCCTTCAAACTCTTTGGAGAAATTACCAATGTAATGGTGATGAGAGACAGAGAAAATGGTCGTTCACGAGGGTTTGCATTCATTTCATTTAAAGATGCTCAAGCGTCGGATCAGGCGATAAGCAGAATGCATGGTGTAGAAATTAGAGGCCGATGTGTTTCTGTACGACATGCTGAGAAGGAAAAATTTGTTCGTGATGATAGACCAAAGCGAGGTGGTTTCAGGGGAGGGAGAATTTCAACTGGGAGTAGATCTGAAAATTTTCGTGATCAGCCTGCATATAGGGGGAATGGTCATCAGAGTGGCGCAGGTTATGGTATGTCACGTCCACCATCAGATATTGTCTATGTTGTAAGGGATGACAAAGAATCGGGATATTCACGTAGGTCGAGAAGTCCATTAGGAGGTCCTAGATACAGGCCGGAAAGCCCACCAAGGCGTATGGGTGAAAGACGTGGTTATTCTCCACCACTTTATCAATCAAGACCTTTGTCTCCACCCCAGAGACCTGGATCAAGCACTCTTGGTGAATCTGAATATTTTAATAAACCCATAAGACGGGTAACACCATCACCACCAGATTACGGTTTTTCTAGGTTTAAAGAGAACCAAGAATTGTCTCCAGCCAGAGAACTGGGCGCATACATCCGGGCAAGAGATCACTCACCTTCATTTGCTCGCCAAAGCCACAAATTGAGCCCCGAACCTGTGCATAGAAGGCGATCACCAAGTCCCGCAGTAAATAGACCATACAGCGATAGAAACGTATCACAAAGAAGCCGTCAGCAATCTGATATCCAGAAATATAATGATGAAAGTTCTCTACGGTTTGATTCTAGGAATAATCAGACAAATCCTCCTGGATACAGAGATTCAGGTCAACAGGTGTCATCATCAGCCGAGCGATATAGAGATTCTAGCCGACATACTTTGTCTGCTGCAAGATATAACGATGATAGTAAGCATCAGCAGCCATCGTCCGGACGATTCAGAGATCCGGATACTCGAGATGAATATAGATTTCAACCTAATAGGCGAGATGATACGGAGAGGTTCTCCCCATCTCGCAGCAGAGATGCAGGTTCTTCATCTTTAGGGGATAGACAAATTGTATCAGCTGGTATGTCAAGAGGTGGTAGAGAAACAGGGCGCTCAACCATGGGTTATAGGGAAAGTACATCGCCACGTCAACACCCTAGAGATATGGAGACTGGATCAAGAGAATCTGAATCTTACAGACCACGAGGCTCAACTTCAGTCAGGGGTGGTTATAGAGGAGGTGGTTCAACATCAAGGGGCAATAATTATCGAGATCGTTCTCCTAGAAGAGATTCACGTAACATTAGACAGGAAGACAGAGATCGTCAACAGCCACCTCGATATCGAAGTAATTATGAGGAAAAAAGAACATCCCCAATGTCTCGCAGGCCAACATCTAGCGATCGAGGTCCTCCAGGCAGGTCACCAAGAGGACGAAGCCCTCCAAGGAGAGGGTCACCTCCGCCAAGACGATATTAGTAACTTGAAGCATTTTGGAATTGTGCTGATGTAGGTTGCTGGTTATTCGAGCAGTTTTTCATGTCTGGTTATGGAATCTTGTTGTCTTAGGCTATGTACAAATATACTGTTTTGTAACATAGTTTTCATATTAGATATTTCTGCAGTAAGGCCCATGTAGTTATGGTTGTCTATATCTTATGTTAACTGAGATAAGGTGGCAGCGACTGATTCATTTTTTATCATTTGAAAGTAAGACTAATATCTCAGCGAAGTGATGTTTGCCCAAATCTGGGTGGAAGAGGATTTCAGTGACCAAAAATGATATCTTTTATTTTATGTAATTTTTTATGCTTGCTTTATTAACCGGTAATTCCAACTCAAGTCTAGACAAATTGGTTAAAAACTATGTCCTCTAACACCTGCTGAATTAACTCATGTTTTTTTGTACAGTACTTCAATATACACACTGATAAATGAATCTGGGATTATGTAACAAAATTTCTGTTCTATTATATTCTGGCTAAATTCATTTCATATTTGAAATGATGGAAAACGTAAGGTTGAACGCTTAACCTTTTTTGTAACCAAGTACATGCATCTTGAACTCATACACGACATGGACTGGTAACCGAACGAGAGACCGTGGTTTGCAATATGATTAAGCCATTCTATCAAATTTTCTCTCCCCCGGCATAAATATATATGTACATCCGATCCTATCCTTCAGTTTCTATGGCTTGATTTATCATATTCTTATCAATTGAAAAAACGTAACTGCACCAATTAGTGAACTGTTTTTTTATTTAAGTTTCTCGTTATGTATCCGCTGTTTTATTAACTGAAAACTATTTTATCACTCGATCTGTAAGCTTGTTCGTGTGATATTCTTTTCAGTTGATTTGAAAGCTCAGTAATAACAACAAAGAGATATGCAAAATTGGGGAACTTTTGGAGATTTCAGTTTCTCCAATGTCCAAGTCTCGTGAGAGTAATGGATTTGCGAATATTGAGCTCCAGCCGTGCAATTTGATAGCGTAGATCAGGGTTTCCCAAGCTGGGGTCTGGGGATATGTGATGACTTCACGGAGGGTTCGCAATAATGTGAATGATCGATTTCAATCAAAAAACCATTGCATCTTTTTGGTTGTTCGTGGCGGACGAATATCCATTGCTGTCAGAAAAGGCAGTTAGAATTTTATTGCCTTTTGAAACGACCTGCATGTATGTGAAGCAGCATTTTCAGCTCTTACCTACCATTACGATGACAAAATGTAGTTCGAGACGTGCGGACCTACAAGTTTTCTTGTCACGAATTGATTGATAAATTGTGCAGTGAAAAGCAACCTCGCCCATCAGGTTAATGTTGTTTGTGTTGTAAATGAAACGTTATCTTTCCTCGTTGGTGAGGCTCAGGAATTGATACGGCATAGGATGGGGGTCCGCCAAAAAGTTTGGGAAACCCTGGCGTAGATTATAATAACTTGGGTAGGAAATTACATTTGAAGAAGCAAGTTTTAAAAAACCATGTGAAGTAGGTATATAACACTAGTTGTCGTCAGCTGTAACAAAAAATTTGGTAACCCCTATTTTCTTTATTAAGAAATAAAATTGTGTTATAAATGTAGAAAAAGTATTTGCTGCGTACTGAGACATTTGGAAGGGTTTGGTTCCTGTGATAAATTCCACGTGAAACGCTTGGTTTCTTCAGAATCTGGAGTGAGCAGTCTTATGCTACGTGATTGATTGTAGATGAAACAAAGCCTAATTGTGAACGACAATATTTTTATCTTTGGATTTGTCGCCTGGGGTTAATGAGGATTCCGCTAATGAATCTAGGTCTCTAATAATTTCTGGAGTCACAGGCGCGATATATGTGTTCGCCGTTCTCATTGATGGGGATTCGCACCTGTACAAATCTTCCTCTGCTGCACATCGCTTTTCATTCGAAGAACTACTTTCTGATTCCGACTTAACAGTCAAAAACAATCCAATTTTGCTTAGTCGGACCACGAACTTTGATCCATTGTCACTGGATCTGTGTTTCACTTGTTGTTTTTCCGTGTCGGGTTTGTCAGTATTAGATAGTTGAGGCGTGAGCTTGGCGTGTTCACCAGTTTGTGCGAAGTTTTCTGATTCACATCCACCTCGGGGAAGCTGCGACAAGTTAAACATAGTATCATTCTTCGTTTTACGTCCGAAGTGCATTGTCAAATGTCGCCAGAGTTTAAACATGCTGTTGTTTATGATTTCTGAATATATGATTGGATTGGTCGCACTGTTTATGGGTAACAAAATTACAGCCACGAAAGAGTACACCCATGTGGGCAAACTAGCGCTAAACTGTGCGATATAACCAATTATAGAAATTGGTATCCAGCACATACAGTTTGTAAGGACAAGTCTAGCAATTTTCTTGTTCATTCTCGTGGTGTTATCTTTGGTATGGTTGGCGCGTGAGCCTATTTTTCTCTGAGCAAACGATCCGGCATTTTTATTCACAGTTCGGGAATTTAGGAAAGAGGTACCGTCGTTGTGTTCACTCTGGGTGCGGTTTGACGATTTCACCATTCGCTTTTGGCGCCTTCTAGTCCGCAGTGCAACAACCAGATAAGCGCATATAATGTACATGCTTGCAACGAAGTTTAGAGTTAGAATAAAAATGGAATATATATCTCCCATTGTGCTCTTTATGTTGGAGTTTCTTGAGAATAATGCTGGTAGGCAAACACCATGCGCACTGTAGTATCCAAAGTCACGCATCGATTTCACACCTGGCAGAAAAGTTATAACAGCTTGGCTGAGCGATTCCCAATTGTCAACTTTTGTGCTGCTGCGAAGCTTTAAACAAAATTACCCAATAAGCCATGCATAAAAATGAATATATATATATATACCGTGTTTTACGGACCATAAGGTGCGCTTTAAATCCCCCCTTTTTTCTCAAAAAATGATCTTGTGCCTTATAAGCTGGTGCGCTTAATGTATGTATCAGATAGTGTTTTAGGCTGTATTGCCTACAATCGAAACCAGTACCCGTTGCGCCTTATTCATTGAATAAACCCAAATCTAAACAATTTATTGACGGTGCGGTCTATAACCCTTATGGTCCATAAAATACTGTGTAGAGAGGCTATATTTTTTTAAATCTTGAGATCATACATATACCTCTCGTGTTATGTTCTGTTGCCTGGAATCGGTGAGCACACATGCTTTGCTGAGAAAATCAATAACGTTGGCTTTCGTCATCTCATGGTATGACAAATGCAAAAAGTGCGAACTTTCAGCAGGGTGGGAAAACCATATAGAGGTGACAAAGTAAGATCTGAAAGTATCCATTCGAGGGATAATTGCTATTGTCACAGATAAAATCCACGAACATAAAACACAACATAACGCTTTAATTGGTTTTATACTCCCAGCCTTCATTGGTTTAATTACAGCATAAAGTCGGTATGACGTCAGTGTTGTCATAATGAAAACCTGAAAAAAAAACAGAGTTACGTATATACGTTTCAAGCTATCACGTTATGTGTATTTCGGCATGAAATTAGGAGAGACTGAGACAATGCTCACATTTTATTTGATTGTATTTTTATTTAATTGTATCTTGGGAACTTGTATACTGTGTATATATACATATCAAATTGTTGCCAGATGTAAAAGTTATTTGTAGTTACTTGTGGCTTTGTGATAAAGAGTTACACACTGTTTGGTTATTTGAACATGAACTGTTCTTTATAGAGCGCTTATTTAAGAAACAGTTACACGTCACAAATACCGAAGTTTGCACTGAAATTACGACCAAAGTTCCGATGTTTTCACATTGGTTGCTGCTCCTCCATATCAAATCCCAAGTACAGTAATCTCCGGCATATTTATTCATTTTCGTAATCAATGCAATCTGTTAAGAATTGTATTATGTTTTAGATTTTACCCTCAAATATTTACCCAGATTTCGCGCACTTTTATGTCTGAGATAGCGAAACCTAATTAACAATAAATTTCATATATATTATCATCAAAAGAAGAGAAAGTTAAAATAAGAGGTTCTTACAGTAGGAAGGTTGGCAACACCGCGAGGTGGCAGGGATGAATAACGCGGTTGTCATGGATATACTCTTTATTCTTTCGAATCAAAACTAAAGCATAAAACTCACCAAATAAAATCCTGTTAAAATATCAGCAAATGCTAAATTCAGTACAAGAACATCGTTGCATTTTGCCAAAGCGCTGGCATTAGCCACAGTCTTTTTCCGGTCCTGCGCCGTTGATACTAAAAACATATTATTTTGAGGCATTTTACTTTGTAATTAGTTTACTCCAAGTATTAATATTTCATACTTAGTCTGCCAAGAATGATTGCAATTCTTCTCCCAAAGCCTTCAACGTCAGATAATTTCCGTGATAATCGCGATGTTTTTAAAATCTTTGCTGTTTTGGTGAGAATGATGACAAAATTTCCACAAACAGCCGGAATAGCAATGAAGTAGAGCCACAGACGAATAAAACCATTCGAAATTAATTGTGTTTGGGAGCTTATCGGGTCATTTTTAAACGTCGTTGGATCAGGGCATTCGTCACTGCCGTCGGTACAATCTCGAACGCCATCTTGTACCTGAGCTCTGAAATTTTAAAAAATATTTCATAGATGTACTCATGAAAAAACTTAATAAGCAGTTATTTGATTGATTTTCTGTCATGAGTTTTAATGCCAAAAGTTTTCCACTGTAAATTCTCAAACAAATTCGTGCAACAAATTTTTATAGGATAGATATTTGCAATTGAAGTCAAGTCGAATTTATTTTTTCCAGCCAGTGAAAAAATCAAATGGCACTCAAATTACGACAAAAATATATTTAGTTTTACTGAGGAAGGGAAGTCGCGGGGAGCCAAAGCTGGTTATCGAGCAGCGACATTCAAGGTTTTAATGATTTAAAATAGTGGGAATTTTCGAAGTTTTTGTTATTGGCGGTTGGTAGCGCATAAATTTTGTGAATTAGCCAATAAAAATCGATTATTGGATATAGATTATTACTAGAAATTACCATGTATTAATAATCAACTCGAATATTCAATGTTACAAATCGGTGACCGTATATTTGAACCCATGCGTATATCCACGGGTTCAATCTATATGCGGGTGCTAAAACCCATGGGTTAGGGTTAGTATGGGTTTAACTATCCGTGAAACAAAAAAAATTCCATAGGTGCAATAGCATACAGGTGCAATTGTCACGGGTTCAAATGTACGTGGGTTCAAATGTAATGAAACCTTACAAATCTAATAATCGTTGAGATCAATGACGAGCTTAATTAATATTATCACTCAAGTTTCATAACATAAACCAAATTGTTTGTTAAAAAAGCATTGCAATCAGTATTATACAGTTTACTTTACTTGAAGTTAAATCAAAAAATAAAATAACATCTTACATTTCAACGTAGAATGGATTCTCAGCATTCCTACAATAAAAATGTCCCGGACAATTCAACTCATCGACTGCATCTACGCAATCTGCAAGTCCATCACACACTTTACTTTTTTCTATACTGATCCTAGTCGCAATGTCGGGTGTAGAAATCTTAAATTAAAAAGGCAATTAATTCTTTACTAAATCTGATTGTTAAGAATCTTAATTTCACGACAACTCTTACATTTAGTTTCAATGCAGACAATGTGGAAATAACATCGCATGAAAATCTGGTGTCTTCGCAATACTTTTCGTCGATTCCCTCATCACATTGGGGAATACCATCACACAGTTGGGCAGGCATTAAAGGGACAGCTCCCTTTATACACCTAGATAACAATAAATGTTTAATATTATGATCTCAATATCATAATCTAATGGCTGTTTCCCCTTTCGCTCCAGAAACATTTTTCCTATACTTTACCATTGCACATTATTTTATTATGCTTGTTTTGAAAGTGGTTTCGCGAGTTGGCGCTTGGTTTATATGTTCAAAAGTAACATTTATATTTAACCATCTCTGTCATTTAAAAGTTTCGGTAGAAAAGTTTAGCCTAGTCAATTGCAGCTCTTTCTGTTCCATTATTGATTACTACAAACAAACTTAAACTTGTAGAAAGACGACGTGATCATTAGGTTATGTTATTCATTTTTAAACACAACCAAAACCGAGATAATATTTACAACCCTGCCTGAAAATCTGTCTGTGACAAAATTGTCTGAGCGACTGCCTACTTTCTATTGTTACGTCACGCAATGTTGTTGCTAATTAGCCAATTTTAAGGAAGGCCTGAACAAGGAGCCATATACTCGAAAAAACATTCATGTGTACTGAGTTGTGTACTTATAATAAAGTGGTCAAGACAGCGTGCTTTTGATTTCAACATATATTCATTGATAATTTAATTGGTACCAATATACAACCATTAACACCATTTGGGAAATTATGCAATTCTGATTCATATATTTTATTGCAAATAATGCTGTTTAACCTACCATATTTCACCAGCTAATTTGCAATAGGAAGGTTTTCGATTACCACAGCCATTGTCTTTGGCAAACCCATCAATTTCGTTATTATCTGTTGATAAGTCACATTCGTCAGCAAGGCCAAGGCATTCCGGTACTCCGTCACATATATTCCCAATGGATGCCAGTTCCTTAGGATACCTTGGGAAATAAATACGTGTAAACCGAATAAATCGAAAGTATGTTTTACTTGTAAACAGTAAGGTCGAGAAATATGTCATCTACTTTAATATGATTGACTGATGACTAATTTTCGATCGCGACATCTTAATTGGATGTTCGAACTAAGTTTATTATTGGCGGTCCCTTGGGATAAAAGTTGATAAGCTAGTTTCTGTACCATGGGAAATTTTAAGGAATTGTGAAAAAACTAAAATGTTGTTAAGAAATAAATCATTCTATATTTTTTCATGTATCATGACTGAACTGAACACAAAGAAATAATAACCTTGAATCCATGCTAAGGTACAAAAATTAGGTTCACTGTTATTAAATTAATTATTAATAACTTTTACACAGCTTTTAAATCAAATTCGTTATATCTGGGATCGTCCAGTTCAGATATTTTTATTCGGTTATCATATGCCCAATTAACCACTTCTAAATACAAGTAAACCCACTTTGCAGAAAATTATCATATCGTCACACTCATGACCAAATTGCGTAAATCACTTTTGGGCGACTTTTTCATCCACGAGTTATTTAAGAATTGCTGCGCGTCAGGTGGTCAACTCGGACTTTATCCGATGGATGTCGAAACGCGTAATAATGAGAATAAACGTTGCAATTGTTAAACATTATAATGAATTGTTATAGTTTATTAGTTTTACATATCACAATTGTGATGTCACTGAGTCTAATGAAGATCGACGAAGCCTTACAAAGTTTAGTTGAGCGCTTAGAAATTATAATTTGCACCCTGCATAGAAGAGTATAGACCATGGCCTTTTTCAATGATGTCTTTTTATTCATTGTATTTAATATTTGGGAAAATCTGAGTTTTGGTAGGATGCGTAGAATTGAATTAAATTAGAATCCGGTTACTACTTAAAAATTTAAACACGGGCAATAACTTACTATTAATCACAATTTTTACCAGAACTTTTTTATATTTCGCTCAAAAACGATAAAAATGACTTACGCAATTATGTTATTAGCGTGGCGATATTACAGGTGTTTGGCAAATAAAAATGTTGCTTTCTAATTTTTCATGATTAAGATTCAATCCGACTTACACCAATGAGTTATTATTTAAATATATAAATTTTTAAATTCATTGTATTAATATTAACCAAACCTTTTCCAAAAGTATTCGTGTGGACATGTCATCGATTTGTTACCACTCTGATTTGCTACTCCATTAACGGCTATGTTTATAGAAGCACAATACCATTCGTCACGACCATCTCCGCAATCCTTTACTCCATCACATATTTGACTTGTGTTTATGCATTTATAATTCTTATTATTTACTGAATTTTCCGAGTTTTTGTTCAGGCAAACCATAAAGCCTGGTTTGCAAAGTAGACATGGATCGGAAGTTGTAGCATTTTTTAAAATGGGCATGCGTTTTGTTCGAAATTTATCTTCGAAAACATCGAAACATATGTTCATGCATATATCCAGTCCAACTTGATTATTAAACATTCTTTTTCCGCACAAACATTCGTCTGTCAGATCGGGACAGTCAAAAACCCCATCACAAACTTGGCGTTGAAAGATCGTTCCATCCAAATTCTTTTCCGGGTTCCCGCCAAAACCAAGACATGTGACCCTTTTATCGGCGACCGATATAATAGTGCTTTCATCCGATCCATCAGCACAGTCGACAACGCCGTCGTCAAGTAGACTTCGGGGAATAGAGCAAACTTCACCGAATGATCCTGTTATTATTATATATGATTTACTAAATTTCGTGATGGAATAGAACCCACAACAATCCAAAATGCACTTAATTTGATAACCTTTTTTTTAATGTCTATGACTTGTGCGCTGGATTGAATTTAGTTTGATAAACAGTGAAACATATATATATACGTTGTGTAATAAAATTGTAGTATAATATACTTATTTCAGGTTCATAAAAGCGACAAATATTTTTGTAAACATTATGTTTGGTATTTTCTGAATACTCGGTAACAAATTTGATTTAATATGAGGGTGCATCGACATACAGTATTGAATATTTTTATGTAAATCAGTATTAAAAACCAGACAATTAATTTGATCAAGATTCATGAATATTTATGAAAGATCCAGACGAAACATAATTTTAAAATATATCAATATTAGTTTACAAACCCTTCTTGTTACGGTGAACACGGCATTTCATTCCTGAACCTGAATTTTCTTCGTCGCTTCCATCGGCACAGTCAATTTTTCCATCGCAAAAATACGATCGAAAAATGCAATGGGACGAAACGACACCATTCCTGCAATAACACTCAATATCCATTAAAGATAGAGGCAGGACGAGCGTTGGATATTTAACAAGAATTGATTTTTGTGCTACATTCCGTGAAAATTTCGAAAAATTACATCCGGAAATATCTTGGTTTCATCGCAAAATTTTCATTTGATTTCAATAATACTAATTTGCAATACAAATTTGTTATTTTTAATATAGTGAATAAAAAACAAATTTGTTACATTTCTGCGGATGGGAGGCTTTTTATTTTGAAGTTAAATAATGAATCAGAATTCGTAAACGTTAAACTTAATTATACTTGACCAGAAGGTAGCTACCAGGGGAATAAACTGAATTAGCGGAGTCAAAAATGACGCTGGCACTTTTAAAATATTCGGTATATACCTAGGTGTTACTGTGCCACTATAAACAAATCACCAAAAGAAGGTTAAGTTTTATAGAGTTAGCAAAAAAGAGAAAAAAAAACTTGGGGAATTTAAGTTCGCCAATGGTACTGTGGTTGAATTGAACGAAAGAGAACGTTTTACTATTTGAAATGAATGAATTGTTATTTGGCCTCACCTTAAAAATTTATCTCCTAGCCCCAAACTGTCTGTGCAGACAAAATACTTCCCGGTGATTTCTCCAGGACAGAGAGACGTATTCGCTTCGTCTGAACAGTCTTGGCAATCGACCACGCCATCACAAACCTATTGATATGTTTGACGTTCATGAGAAAATGTTAACTGTTCGTAATTTATTTTTTTCCGCAACACTTGCACTCATGGTTAGACTTTTTTAATATCATTCGATTATTTTACTCTTCGTGAATAACACGTCCCCAAGACACTGGATCCCGTCTCGAAAATAAATATTGTTTCCCCCGAAAGTTATCCCAGGTAAACATTTCGGACAATTATGTTCCAAAATACTGGCGGAAACGTTTTATCAAAAATGTTTTCGAAATTCAACAAATAATTCAGATCATAATCATGAATTTAAAATTAAGAACATTAAAAGAAAATATAGGTTAATAATAATAAAATGTTTGCGACCTTTTTTTTTCAAAAATATTGTGATGTTGATTTTTTTTAAATGTAACTTTAGCTAAAGCCAGCACTTTCATCACGTTGTGAGTAACGTTTAATTAGTTGAATATGTTTCCATGGGTGCTTTATCCAACTACAAATTTTAAATACGGCTTTGTATCGAAGTCAATCCATATCTAATCTGTTTCAAAATTTGTGGTTAATAAGAGCCAGACTGAACGAAATTGAGATTTCCACGAGCATATGTGTCAAATAATATTAATATCATTTTCCAAATTCAATTAGTAATTCTTGTAAAACTGATATAGATACTTCCATTTGATCAAACGTCATACCTTTCTGATTTTGGGACGAATCCAAGAATTTAATTAGACGGAAAATTTAGTCTCACTCTCATAAATAAAATCATGACGTTGTAAATACTGAATTATTCAGTGAGGAGTAGCTGGAAAATTAAATTTTAAACACAGGCGAACACGATTTTCATCGAGGTAATTGGCTATTCGATCAAGTTTGAGTTGTAGATAATTCACATGCATTTGTCCACAAACTGAGGTTAACCGAGTGCAAACTTTAAAATTACTGAACTTCGAATTCAAGATCATAATCGAACCTTTCTATTAGAAAGACATCTGCTTCCGTTATCACATGAATGTTCTTCCGGGTGGCATATCAATTTCTTCACATTTTCGTCACTGCCATCCGGACATTGAATGACGCCATCATTAACCCATGACCTCGGAATGCATCGAATTGTAATTATTTTGTTTTTGGTGGATTGCCTTGCTAAACAAGCAAATTCGAATGTAGAACATGAACCAATTGCTCTGCATACAAAGTGAATAAAAAATATTTAAAAATAATTTTATGATATTTAGATCTGAAATCTACGGTATTGCTTTTCAAATTACCCAATAATTTCATCGCTGGAGTTTCGAAAACGATTACAATCCGCTTTTCCGTCTCCAACTTTGTGTCGAGATATACAGCGCCGAGCGTTTCCAGGACATCTATATTCTCCTGTATTTTTGTCACAGACTTTTAAAATCGATGATTCTTTCTCATCTTCTCCGTCGTAACAATCCTTCATGTGATCACGTACCTAGTTAAGTATATATATTTGTTGAATACAGACAATAGGAAGCGCTTATTTCAATCAATATTTTATACCTTTTCACGTGGTATGCATCGACCATTTACTTGACACATAAATTCTCTATCTGTACAATGCCACTCAAACTCTTCTCCCTCGTCTTGGTGGCTACGTGGACATTCTGAAGTCCTTGAACGAACGTAATGTCGAGATATGCATCGTCCTTGAGGGCACCTATCATTATCAATATGTTTTTCCACAAAAATGATAACGCATCATACCGTCACATATGATATACGTGCAGTCTATATACAATATACTTGATTGTAAGTGGTATAGAATCGCTCTATGACAAGTTGTGACATATTGCATACATAGAATGTACTTGCTACAATCAATAACACAGATAAAATATGGGCATGTCATTTCGTACCTGAATTCGGCGTCCTTTCTGCACGGTAAATTTTGAATTCCTCCCGAATCACTGCCATCAGTGCACAACCCTAGCTGAAATTTATTTTTATTTATTTTATCAATAATATTTTAAATCTATTATGAATGGACGAAAACTTTCTCATCATCATTCACAGTTGTTGCTTCGGTGTGATTTTTGTCAAAGAAAACCGCGAACCAAAGATTATGCAAATAAACCATTGCACATTCAGTCTTCATGAAAACTTAATCCTTTTTATAACACAGAAGGACTGTGTAACAGGATTTGGCGTTGACTACGTAGTCACCACAATGAAATTACCGCAAATTTTCGATACTAAGAAAAATCCATAAGTCGCATAGTAATAGGATTTAAATTGCGGATGAAGCAAAGAGATGGGGACATTTCGAAAATGCGTAAATATCTTATTTTACGTGGATTAGGTATCCCAGGAGAATGGTGTTATGCAATTAGACACGGTCTGCCCAAAGTGTATATTAGACTAATAGTCTAATTAAAATTATAGTCTACTTTAAGATATTTGATTTCCAACCGTTTTGAAATATAAATCAAAGTTTTTACATTTTAATAAACTTATGTTTGGCTCACGAACCATTTTTCTTATGACTGTTATCATTAAAATGTGTTTATGTCACGCTGCAACACACTTTATTTTTCGCATACATACACTGGCTAAAAATAGCAAAAATTTTCAAAATGGTGATATCTATATTACCAGTCTATTTATATGTGTTCTGTGAATACATTGTCCGTTTATTCTGCACCGAAATTCATCAGCATGACATCTTTCCAGAGGATAATCTTCATCGCTCGTGTCGTTCACCCCACAGTTAAATATCCCATTCCGAACCTGACAAAAGCAAATTGCAAATACTTGAAGCCAAAAAATTTTACGTTGTAATTAGCATTTTACGCCGCCTTGAATTCTAAGATGTCATCTTTAGTTTGTTTCGCTTGTCTGATATGAAAAAGAGCGCTTCAGAAGTGTGTGTACAAATATGGCGATAACTAATTTTGTTCGCCTGCTTTACATCAGGTTGTGTGAAGGGACTGAAACCTTGGGCAGGGGTTATATTCACCTGGCTAACACAGACAGTCCCCGAACTTGCAATAGAACTAAATAAGGGAAGCGGAATAAAATTATGGCCTTACCCTAACCTGGTACATACACTACGGGAGTACCGAAAAAAGTTCGCCGAGCGTTGATATGGTGAAACACGGATAAATTAGAGCAGTTCAAAAGGAAAATATGATGATTGAATGGTTTAACTGAGTCTGGAGTGACTATAGCACTATTAAAAACTGTCAAATAAACCTGTATAATACTGGCCATTGGTGTCGACAGGGAATATCAACACATTATTAGGTATAGATTGTGTTACAGGCTCGTTTAAAATATCAATACATTTTTAATTGTGTGGTTTCTATTTCTTTGATAGAGCGATGTTTGTTTTTATCACAGTCAATTGAGATCAACCACAGTCCCTTTGTTGACGACTGATGGCAGGCGTATTTTTAAGTGATGTCGTTTTAAACTGATATTTTCAGATCAAAAATGTTCATGAACGATCGATGTGCAGCATTGTTAGACTGGATATCTTGCTGTAAACGCTAACGAATTATGTTTATTTCTCCTTCAAGTCTTCGACAAACTTCACCGCTCAAATTGGTTATCCTATTCTAATTCTCTTTAAGCCTAATAACTTGGTCATTTCTGCATTACCCTGATTGTGAGAAATGATCAAAATAGTTATCAACGTCTTATAATATATTACAACTGTCATATTTATGGATGAAGGCAAACATATAGATATAATATACAGATGTTTTTGTTTACAAAAGATGGATAATTATATTTTTGATAGTGTGCAAATATTGGGTGGTATGAAAAGAAAACAAGCCCGGCAAAGCATCGTACTTGGAAGTATAATCTAAACTAAACCAATACTAAACTAAGCCAATTTATACGAAAACTGCTATGTGAAGCATGTTTGCAGGCTGGCAGTCATACAGGTGGTCTAAATATATGAGGTTAACTAAAACAATAAATTTACAATCATGTTACTTACCAACTCTCTCGCGATGCATTTTCCTGTAATTTTGCACTGAAATTCATCATCCATACATTCAAAAGGACAGGCCACATCTTTCACAATCACAGCTTTTGGCTGTATGATAATCTCAGTTGTATAACAAAGATCAACTACATAACACTCCAGAACAAACACAACGAAGACGTAAAACAACAATTTTGAGATGCTAAAAGTAAGTCCCATAATGTCGACTGACTGAAACATTTTCGATACAAGCGAGTTCCATAGATGCACAAGATTCTCTCGTTTATTTTTTCGCGAGTCGATTTTCATTAGTGAAAAGCGAAATGCTGGCGATATAAACCAGAGGTGTGCAACCTGCAGCCCGCGGGCCTTGTGCAACCTCAAGGAAAAATTGTGCCACCCGCGAAGAAGTGCCAATTTTAAATGACGTGCGGCCTTCGAAACGGGTTTTTAATTTAATAGTGCGAGTAATTCCAATCCCTATGCGTTGCGTTGGCTATATCTGCAATTTATTATCTATGCCTATGACTTTACAATGCCTTAACAGCTAGTTGCGGAAACAACCCATGTCACAAGATCAATAGCCAAAATTGTTGCGCCTACAACTACTAAATAGTCCATGTTAAATGAAAAAGCAGCCCGCGGTTTCACCTAGTTTTTTTTATTATCTGACCCTCTTGTATTGAAGGTTGCACACCTCTAACACAGACGATAAAATGATAAAAAAAACATACAGTGATACCCAACTGCAATTTTTTAATTTTGATTAATGAGCTACATACAATCACTGAACTGTGTATTTTTCATATTTTTTAGCGTGGTAGATTGGCACCTTTGGTAAATTTACTGATATTTTTTATCATCTAATTTTGAAGTATTTGCACTGTAGAGACATCTCGTGAACAAATCTTACTATTTAATTCATATTTCCCCAAAATGTTGATTTTTATTCGGTAAAATATATTTATTCGAACATTTTCTGACGATGAAGCACATGAGTATTTCCTGTTACTAGACCAAGTCTTGAGGAGTCGCGATTCCGGTTTTTACTGAATGTCTTATGAGGACTATCCAGTTACTATAAAAAATCAACCGGTACAATTCGAAAGTTCTCTCATGTTCAACCCAATGTAAATGTACATCATGAAAATTAATATGCTGTGCTGTATTACACCTCGACCTTAGCGATTGCTGAAGGATTCGAGGGTACTAATTTATATTTCATACTCTGAACATTTATTTTGAGGCTATACCATTTATGAATTTTATTCATTTTGAACAAGTCGCGCCACACTAAGCGTCATCTCATCGCACTATTTTTAACTGCCTCTTTCTCAAAATGACATGTATAGAAACAATATCCTGAACCAAGATTCGAGTTCTTAATCTGATTTATCCCGTTGGAGGGAGAAGCCGATAAGACTGCTTAATCATATGGCGAACCACCGCCTCTCGTCCGTTTACCATCCCATGTCGGGAATGGGATTTGTTAGCCAGTTATTTGTTTCAGATATATGTACTTGCTTTGGAAATTTGTTTCTTGTCATTTTTCGGAAATGGCAGGATTATTAATGAAATATCTTCCCTGTCTATGCATATTTGAGAATCAAAATAATAATACGATTATTTTCACCGGGTTTAAACCGGATTTAGTGAAACAAATTTGTGGTTTAATTGAGATTTTTACTATCTACAAATTGAACAAAAAAATTCTTGAATGTCCATTCCATTTAATAGTATTTTTTTCTCGTTGTGAATTGTGTTTTGATTGTGTTTTTTGACTGTTTTTGATGCGATATATTAATTTCAAACTTTTTGTGCCAATGTGGTTGAGGCTAGCGCATAGAGGAGATAGATGTAATGCCCAGTTTACACAGTTTATGCAAGTTTTTTTCTTTTCATATTGTTAAAAGATATTTTTCATCTCTTTGAATCACTCACTTGTATTTCTATCTCTGCTTAAGAATAGTTACCGACGTTAGTGTAGTAGAGTATTATGTTATAATGAAGGTGGAGGAAATGCGACTCCAGTCACTTCACAAAGGTCAGAGAAGGGACGGGTGCTCATCTGTTTTGATCTGCTTTGTGCTTGTTTACTTGTTTCTGCAGTGCGCTTGTAGTCACAGAATCAACTTGTTGTACTGCTGCAGTGTCTGCTGCTTAATCGATTTTATTGGACTAATCCTGGACGAACGTCCACGAAAGAGGCCCAGGTGAGCTGGTACCGGTACCGGTATTATCTGAATGTTTTAAACCCACCCCATTTTCTTCTTGTAAAATCATTATAAGGTTGAAATGTAACGATACCCATAATTCTAGGTTATTTTTGCAACGTTTTATACAAAACTTATAAAGTGAAAATTGTGTATTTTTATATGCCTGTATGATACCCAAGACGCCTTTATAATGATGTACAGTAATACAGTAATAGTTTGATTTCAGAATTTAGCAGAACATGCCATGTTTGTGCAAAGTCAGAAAGCTGCAAAGTTGGCCACATCTTTCGGGACGGCAATTCAATTCTGTATTCATTCAGCTTTCGTTAATACAAATTATATAACAGTATAATTTACATAATTTTTTCCAGATTAGGGTCCGATAATTCAGTGATGGAATCACATTCTGAACATAAAAATGGAATGAAAAAACCGCCACTCGGATCAGGACTTAAGGGTTCGGCTGGTCCAAAAAAACTAACCATTAAAAATTTCAAAGGTAAGATTTTTCATGAGATGGATATTGTACGTTTATTGTGAAAATTTTATATTGCTAATATCTATTTATTGTTTTTTAATCTATGGTCTACCATCCTAAAAAAATTTCAACTGAGTAAATGAATTTCCACCCAAATAGCAAAAAAGGCAAAATTTTCCTTGCTAGTCGCTAGTCATCATTTACTGTAAGACTGACCAAGGCCGGCTGTTTGCAATAGTTGCCACATGCCACTAATATTAATAATGCAGGAGCCAATTTTTCTTAATTTTGTTCTATTGCGAGTTCTGGGACTAGCCAAGTGACTGCCGTAGTATTTGTACCCGAAATTATGGCCTAACCCTAATCTGATACACATACTGCATCCTGGTGTCCGCCTATTGGTTCACATACTTCGGGGTACCAAAATTTGTGTATCTGAAACATCTCATTTTGTTCTAGCCAAGCCACGGTTACCTCAAGACTATGAGAAAATAGCATGGCAGAAGTTAGAAGAAGCCGTATCTGCAATTCATAGGTCATCGTTCATCAGATATAGTTTAGAAGAATTATACAAGGCTGTGGAAAATTTATGTTCTCATAAAATATCACAAACTCTATATGATCAGGTATGATCGAGAGTAAAATTTATTCATTCCTGATGAGTGAACCGGATTAAAGTATAGGAATGCTGCTAGCCTTATTTCATAATCCAACCCCCCTTGAGGCGACAGGATGATCTGGCCGTGAAAGCGTTAAACTTAACTGTGTTGGTTTGGTATCGCAAAATAATAGGACCGAGCATTTTGAATCTAATATTCAAATCAAATGAAAAAGTAAGTTATTCGAATCAGTTCAGACGGAAATTTTTAATTGCCGCCATCTTGCTTTTTTTCATCGGACAAATGTCGGAGGGGGGTATCATTCTATTTTTTTTTCAAAATACAATTCTGGCATATCACTATTTCCTTCCTAGTGAGTAATTGATGAAATATGTTTATTCTTGTGTGTGAACCCTTAGCAAACTTCCTGAGTGATACATTCTATGTTTCAGTAATTTATGTGTCTGAAGGAACCATTGCATTACCATGAAAATGTTGCATACAATTACATATCTTCCAAGTATTCGAGATACAATTTGAAATATTCGATTAGATTCTGAAATCATCAGGTATTCGAAAATACGCAACCCTACAGATTACACATCTCAGTTTCAAATATCAAATGCATGCAGCGCCACACCAATGAGCATTCACATTTACCGATTACATTTAATAAATTCTTATATATTCATTCAGCTCAAAGTTGTTTGTGAAAAACATGTCCAACGACAACTGGACTTATTTTCTGAAGATAGTGATAGTGAAGCATTTCTGGTAAAATTGGACAAACAATGGCGTGATCACTGCCAACAAATGGTAATTCCTTTATACTTTGCCAAGGATGATTCAATAATAAATTGCTTCTAATAGCCTGATTTGTGCTTGGTCAGTTGAAAAAGTTGTTTTTATTGATGTGTAATCCAACCTATGTCATTGTTTTACTAGGTTATGATTCGTTGCATATTTCTTGTGCTTGACCGAACATATGTTCTTCAGAATTCAATGATACCTTCATTGTGGTGAGTACAAGTTATTGTTAGTTATTTTTTGTTTCAATGTACATTGCTTATATTTTGCTTTATACTGCAGAGATCAAAATGAATGATCAAATGAAAAAATGCTATTTTATAGGATGAGGTGTTTCTGAAGTAATCATTCACAATTTGCAGAGAATGAACATACAATGTATTCACTTTGACAGTTCCGGTTTATTGTTCTTCTTGGTCATATCAGTATGGTCTGACTTTGAGCATATTAGTCTTTGACTTATTTTTCATGTAAATCAGTACTTTTGGTTGTTGTTATAATATGAGGAACATTTTTTTCACTTTTCTGAATGTTTTGTAAACCTATTTTTTCTAATACTTTCTTTGCAGGGATCTTGGACTTGAATTATTTCGAATGCATGTTATGAGTAACGGAAGCGTTAAAGATCGATGCGTTAACGGACTTCTGGATCTTATTAAACGAGAACGCAATAGGGATGCTGTAGATAGAAGTTTATTACGCAGCTTAATTTCAATGCTCAGTGATCTCCAGGTACAATTGTCTTCTGTTTTTCAAATTACCATGGGTAGAGATAGGATAGGATTTACATATTTATCCTGGGTGAGAAGAAAAAGGTTAAGACGACTTGCTCATGTTGCAAACCACGCCCTTTCGTCTGGTTATCAGTCCATTCGCGGTGAGGAGTCCAGTAATTCTCTCACATAATTATCCTCGACAAGATTCACAGGGTAATCAGAGATGGGGTGGTGAGCGCATTCCTAACGCTTATCACGATGCACCACATCGACGAGCAACCGTATGTGATATTGATTTCTTATGGGTAGTATGACCTAGATCAGTAGTTTTCAACACTTTCATGATCTGAGGAACCCTTTTAAAGATTCTCAATGCTAAAGCCCTCTGCTATTTAATAAAATCTGTTAATTTTTTTTAACATGATTTTAATTAAACTTATTCTGTGTGCCACATTTAATTATAAAAAAGCCAAAAATCTAAGTCGTGAATAATACGCTTTTGCATCGTAACTGTAAAACAGCGTTTCCCAAACTGTGTTCCGCGGAACACTAGTGAGCGTCTTCCGAGTGTTTCATGGGACAGTCATCAAAATTACGACTAAATTGGTCGCCATGGCGATCACGGGAGCGTGAAGTTGTCAACCAACAGGTGACCGTTCAATAAAGTCGCTCAATAATTGACCTAAAGTGGACTAACTTTTTGATGGTAGTGACATTTTCGCTAACTGTCAGCATAGAAAGGTAAAATGAATTAATTGATTAATTGACAGCATTTAAAATAAGAAACAATAAAACATTTATAAAAAATACAATGTGTAAAATATTCAATCATATTTTAGTTCTGTTAGTTTTCGCGGCGCATTTGGCAACTCGCCACCCCTTTTGGAATCGCTGCACTACACTATCCTAAAAATCTTTCATATCTTCAGATGTACCACAGAACATTTGAAGACAAATTTCTTGACGAAACGAGGAAAATGTACGCAGCTGAAGGTCGGGACAGAGTTCAAGAATTTGATGTACCAGAATATCTTCATTATGTTGACAGGAGACTCAGAGAAGAAAAAGAAAGATGTATAACATACCTTGATCAAGGAACACAGTAGGTTTTTTTATTATGACCCCTTAGAACGTTTCTCTCTGTACAAGGCCCGTAGGTTTTATTCAAAAGCAGCATTTTTTTGTGTAAGTGCGCTGTGAGATTTTATCCCTATTAAAATTGCCACCGCTTGGACAGAAAGTTTGAAGAACCGCTGCCTTATATTTAGAGCTCGACCGATATATCGGCCATACTCGGCAAGCGCCGGGCTGCGTGCTGCAACGGCTCTCGCCCCTGCGTATATTGCTCTCGCTTTCATTTTGCGTTATAATGGCCACCAGTTGGCCGATATATCGGTATCGGCGTCAAAAAGTGATATCGGTTGAGCTCTACTTATATTGTTTTTTTGTGTTCTGACGTCTAATGAAGATAATTTAGTTCAATTGCCAATTTCCAGAAAAGAAAAAAACAGAATTTTATTTTCAATGAAATTTTTGTAAAAAATCACTTTTAAATATGTTTGCTATATTAATTAGCCTGTGTCTAACTGTAATATTTAAATTGTTTTGGGAATCTGTAACTATATTTATTCTTCTATATTTCAGAAAATCCTTAATTTCTTGCGTTGAAAGAGAACTTATATCCGAACATGTTGCAACAATTTTACAAAAAGGTCTTCACAGTCTACTCGAACAAAATAGATTAGATGAATTAAAACTTATGTACTCACTCCTCATGAGGGTTAAATTAGGACCGGACTCGCTTTGCACTCAATTCAACAAATATGCGAAGGTACGTATCAGACACAAAGGGTATCATTTTACTAAATTGTTGTTCGGGTTGTTGGTATACCTGGGTTTGTTGTTTTGTGGTGGAAACGCTTCTTGGGTAATGGTTAGTCTCCGAGTCTGAATCAAGTCGAGTCACAAATCATACAAGAATCTAGTCAAATACCGAGTTTAGTCTGACTGGCGATTAACTGATGATTAGTCCAAGTCATTCCATTAGATAAGTCAGGTCACTTAGAGTCCTTGAGAAACCGGTGAATATTGACCTGAGTTTGAACTTGTCCTGAGACTCCCAACTGCTCGATTATTCACTTTATTTAACTTCATTTCAAAACATGGTACCCTTCTAAGCAGAAAATATTCTCGAATCAAAATACCATTGCAGATATAATGAAACTGACCCAATGCTATTTTTTACAGACAATCGGCTCAAATATAGTATGCAATTCAGAGAAAGACTCAACGATGGTTCAGGATTTACTCGACTTCAAAGACAAAATGGACACGATTACTAAATCTTGTTTTGCACAAAATCAAAAATTCGTCGATTCGCTGCGAGAAGCGTTTGAGACTTTCATAAATAAAAGACAAAACAAGCCTGCGGAACTAATTGGTATGTTTTCTCGTTATTGACCTCTTTTACAGACCATATCGCACGCTGTAAATAAATTGCTTATATTGGGTTTTTATTCACATGTAATGCGAATCGGGCTATAACACGCAACAGTTTTAACGCAATACCAGTGCTGGTTTTTAGTGTAGACAATGAATTAAACTACCTGATCTATACATTAGGCTTATTATCGGCGTATAAGGCATACCATCAATTTTTGAGAAAAAAATGATTGAAATTGCACCTTATGATCTGTGAAATCTCTTTTTTAGCCAAATATGTTGATTTACGAATGCGAGCCGGCAACAAAGAAGCGTCTGAAGTTGAACTTGATAAGATTCTCGATAAAATAATGGTTGTTTTCAGATTTATTCATGGTATGTTTTATTTTTTTCATTTTTTACCCGAAAAAATAGTATGATTGGCCATGTTTGATGAAATTTAAAATGGTGTTTTTAAAAATGGAAATTTATGAAAAAGAAACAAAAACCGATTTAATATTTGTCCTATTTACATTCACAGCTTTGATACTTGCCATAATGATAAAGCGGACGAATGACAATTAACAGATGGAATGATATTATAAATACCGTTTCTAAAACTTTTTTCTGTGAAATATAATTCCTGAGAGAAAGAGGAAGATATTCCAGAATGCTTGAAAAACATTTTCGGAGTGTTTTTTCCATTTTGGGTTACTTGATCAAATTGATTTATTTATTTCCAATTTTTTATAATGTCATAATATTTTTTTAACACCGTTTTCAGTCTGTACAAGATTTCGGGCAAGCACATTTGGAAATATTACAGATCTATTTTATATTTATGTTATTACTGATTTCTGATCTTTTCAACCCTATAATATCTAGGAAAGGATGTTTTCGAAGCGTTCTACAAAAAAGATTTGGCGAAACGTTTGCTTGTTGGTAAAAGTGCGAGCGTTGATGCGGAAAAATCAATGCTGTCGAAACTTAAGCAAGAATGTGGCGCACATTTCACCGGGAAACTTGAAGGCATGTTTAAAGACATGGAACACTCGAGGGAGCTCATGGTTCAGTATAAACAGGTATATTTAGTGGAATTAGGAGTTTTCCACTTCTATCTAATTTTGTATGTCAGAAGAATTTTTGTGTTGTCTTTTGCTGACTCAGCAGTGTGGCGCATCCTGCTAAGCATTAAGAATACGCTTGCCACTGCACCTATGAGGGAATACATATGTGCAAGAGGATTGCTGGACTTCGAAAATGGTTTTGGGTGAATTTCAGTTTAATTCGAAAACAACTTAATGCATTATAATTCTACCTCTGTGTTTTTTTTTAGTTGAGTCATTGAGATATTGTACGTTTTGATCGAACCCGTTATTGCAACAAAAATGTTTTTTATTTGGTATTGCTTCAACGCCTTTATATTTCTCATCTGCCAGTCTGCACTTAAGCCTTACTTTAATCTTTCCCACAGGAAATATCTCTTCGTCAACAAAACTAGCATGATCGTTGTGCAATTTTTAAATCTGTATCTCAAATTACTGAGAGTTGAATGTGGTATAATATTTTACGTAATTTTTTTATAGCATCTCATCACTCAGAATCAAACGAGTAACATAGAAATGGGAGTCAACATATTAACAATGGGATACTGGCCAACATATAACCCAATGGATGTTCATTTACCAGCCGAAATGGTGAACATTACTAATTATTTTTTTGTATGATTGTATTGTTCTTATGGGTTTTCTGCCTTACTGATTACAAATTAGTAACTACGAAATCAAAATCAAATTTGTATTGGCGGAACCCGGTTGTAAACCACTGTTTTAAATGCTCGACCCATTATTTTCAAATATTTTTCAGTTTTTCAATTATTTTGTGTCCTGATTTTTGTCTTCTACTAAAATAATGAATCTTGAATGTTTGGTACCAATTGCTGGTAAATTGGATGAAAAGGATTCAGATTAATAATGAAAGTGTATGCTCTGTACTGTCAAGAGTTCCCAGAATTACCCATTATGCCATATCCATGCTTCATTCTTCAACCTTAGAATAACTGCACATGAAAAATCCAGAAAGAAATCCTAAATGGTTTCCCTGATTATATTTTAAGCTTTACAGATTTGTTCAAATGTTACTCACAAAAGGAGATGCCTTTTTCAGTATAACTGGTTTACCGCCAGATATGTCTTGTCTCGTCAAATGATTCATCTCTGACTATTTTCCAAGTTCTTAATTATTTCGTAAAAACTATTTTTCAATTTTCAGGTCAAATTGCAAGAACAATTTCGGAAATTTTACCTTGGCAGACACTCAGGACGTAAACTCACTTTTCAGCCAACTCTAGGATTTTGTGTATTGAAGAGTAAATTTAAACTCGTAGGTTTTTTCACTGCTGGTAAAACTTTAAAAACTTGATTCACAGCTACCTATTTTTCTGCGTCTGATAGAAATTTAGTGTGCTCAGAATTCCATTTCATTTATTTGAGCTTTTTGGTACTCCTGTAGTATGTGAACCAAGATGGTGGGCACCGGAACGAAGTAGCCTATGTGTATCAGGTTACGGTTAGGTCATAAGTATATTCCAATTTTCCTTATTTTATTACGAGTTCGGGGACTAGCCAAGTGACCCCCGTAGTATTTGTACCTGAAATTATGGCCTGGTTCGAATCCCATGCGGGGTTAAATATGTGCGAAAGGATTGCTGGACTCCTCGTCGCCATATGGTGGTTCATGTAACCGCTGATGGTTACAGCATCCTCCACCATTAAGTCCATGCATTTGAAAACAAATAACTTAACTTATACCTGACATGGACTGGTAACCGTACGAGAGGCCGTGGTTCGTCATATGATTGGGCTGTCTTATCGACTTTCCTCTCCTCCGGGATTAATATGTAAACCTCTTTTTACATTACATATATGTGGTTAAGTTTCATTACTTTCTGATTTCAGGGAAGTAAAGAATTGCAAGTCTCTTTATTACAATGTCTTGTTCTTCTATTATTCAATGAGGGGGATAGTTTTATTTATGAACAAATACAGAAAGCGACAGGAATTACTAACGAAGAACTCCGTCGCACATTGCAATCGCTCGCATGCGGTAAAGCGAGGGTCCTTACAAAGGTATGCGGACTAATTTCTTGATTGTGTGTGTTTATTTTGACAATGCTTTTAAAAAATTATAATATTCACCAACCATTTCTAAGTTGTGAAATCAAAGACAATTTGGAATCTGGGATGACCAAAACTATTTAGGAATTTTGCAAGAAACGAGATGGATTATTTCATAAATTCGGAATATATTTTTAAAAAGTACTGTTAAAAGAGCGGAAAATTGAGCGGAAGCATCTTTGCGAGCAGATTGTGAAACAAATCACTCATTTTTGAAATTTTCTGTCCTCAGATTCCTAAAGGCAAAGAAATCAACGATGGAGACACATTCACGTTCAACAATGATTTTAAACATAAACTCGTGCGAATCAAAATAAATCAAATTCAAATGAAAGAAACCGTAAGTTTAATTAATTACACACAGAATTCACTTTTGATCATTTTTAGCAATTTCTGTGATGGTTTAGGACTCTACTTTTGATTCTTCAGAAAGTATCTCTCAAATACTCTCCTCGAATTTGTAAATTTGCAGTCCGCATTATTTCGTGAATCGCTGTATGCGGCTCTATTCCTCTCAACCGCCTTCAATTTGTTCATGAATATAAAAATGTTTCTTCATATTTTAGGTTGAAGAAAACACAAGTACAACCGAAAGAGTTTTTCAAGACAGGCAATATCAAATAGATGCAGCAATCGTACGAATCATGAAAATGAGAAAAAGTTTGTCTCACACACTTTTGGTGTCGGAACTATTCGAGCAACTTAAATTTCCAGTCAAAGTATGTTTATTTATCTAATACATGTTGTACGTTATGCTAAGTGTTGTGGATGTTTTTACTGCAATGTGTTGGTAAAATCTTTTGACTAGGGCTGGGCATTTTAAAATGCCTGATGATTTCAGAATCTAATTAATATTTATTTTTTTTTTGATCGAATCTTAAATTCTTGAAAGATTTTCAATTGTATCCGTTTTTTATTGTGATTGGTCCTCCAGGTACATAAATTACTCAGTGGTAGAATATATCACCGAAACAGTTTGCTGTGTGTTCACACACAATAAGAGAAATGTTTCATCAATAACTCATAGCACAAAAAGTCATTTGTAAGAATTGCATTGTAAAATATGGCTCAAGTAAAAAAATTGGAATAATAGAGATAAAAGGCAATTTGAAATTTTCGTCTGAATCAATTCGAGTAATTCACTTTTAAATATCATTTTTTACAGCCTCCAGATATGAAGAAGCGGATAGAAAGTCTAATTGAACGTGAATACATGGAAAGAGATAAAGACAATACTAATTTGTATCATTACATGGCGTAGAAAAGGGCAATTGACGTTTTGTCGAGTGTAACTTTGTGCACTTCCATTTTGTATTGTACAATATTTGCCATTTCATACCTTTTGGATTCAAAAATTTCTTTTTTTTACGCAATATTGAAAATATTGTAAAGTTCACTTGATTTTGTGAAAGCGCATGAAAGATATAATCTTTCTGGGTAAGAACTGCTTGCTTCAAGAAACTGTTCCAGTATTGTTTGTGTTTCATTTCCCTCAAGTTTGTATTCGGTGTCTTGGTTAGTGAAGATTGAACCAGCAAATCTAAAAAAAATAGCAACCTGCGGCCCACAAAGAAAAACCGAGCGGCCCGTGGTAAATTGCCGATTTTGAATGCCTGCGAAACTAGTTTATAATTTGGTTTAATCTGGTATGTGGTAATTCCAATTCCTCTGTGTTGCAAAGCTTATACCTGGCTCAAAATTTTTTTCAACCTATGACGCTACAAAGCTCTAGCAGATAGCTTGTGTGAAGCGAACGACACGTGTCATTAGATCGATAACTAAAACTTTTGTGCGTTCAACTTCTAGAAAGCCTATGTTTAATAAAGGCATGGCCCATGGTTTCAGTCAGTTATTTGTATCTGTCAGTTATTTAAAGGTTGCACACCCCTGGTTTTAAACTATAAACTTTCAATGATTTGTATCTAATACCAGCAAACCTTTTCTTCACATTAAGGTTTACTTTGTTTTTTAGCTCTCTCAGCTAATACATAATGCATTTGTTACCTTTTATTGCCTCATAGTGCATGACTTTGGGTCAAAGGTCAGTTGTGTGAATGTCTGGTTGCTGAAGTTCTCTTCCAGTATACAACTGTTGTGAAATACTCACGAGTAGTTCAAATTAATAACGAATGGAACTTTTGAATATCAATAAAAATGTGTAAATTTTGTCAATATGTCAACATGCTTCTTGAAATTTACTTCTGTGTTTCTCCAGATTTTGTTTTTGCTGTAAAAATATACGGCTTGTCATAAATGTGGCTGGTCATATACAGGAGGAATTTTGAGGTATCTAACTTAATTTTACAGTGCTGAAACTAAAAGTGTTAGAGAATATTATTAGGTTGAAAAAAGGCTGTGGTGATAATATTGATGATTTCATGATCTATTCGATAAACCCACATTCAAGGCGCGTGTCCAGTTGCCGCGAATCGGACGATAATAAAATCTTTATCGGTAAATCGTAATCAAAAGTTTTTGTGCCATGATTAAATGCTATATTAGACGAGGCCACAACTTTGTGATTTATGTTGGATAATCAGTAATTTATTGGTATGATCAAACAATGTTATCATAGATAAGTTTTATCAAATTAGAACCGAGTCGCTTATCTACAAAGTAACTATTTCTATATATTTATTATCAGTAACTATACTATAGATTACTTATCTTAATTATCTCTATGGCATTGATAATTTGAAACAACCGTTTAAAAATAGTGCGCTTATCAGCACGCTAATGCCATATAAATAGACCATTACTCTTCAAGATTTCATTTACGTTACTAAACGATATCAAAATATACAAAATGATTTCTTACCGACATCCTTACCAAGCTGTCTCGAATGCTCAATGGACGCCATTTCTTCGTTTCAATTATGCAGGAAGTTCAGATTTAGAAGACATTACAACAAAGAAGAGGAAATTTTCATCTGATCAAGGCTCGGGTATTACGAACGTTGCAATTGTAAATCAGGAGACACAAGATAGAAAAATTCTAGATTTTTCGAAGTCTTCCGAACTGGTGGCAAAAATGAACAATCGACAAAGGAAGCCGAAAACTCTTTTCACCATAGATGCATTACTGGGCCATTCGACCGAAAGCCCAAGCAAAAAGAGAAAACTTGAACTTCCGCAGTCAACAAAAACCAAAGATGATTCATTCGACTCTGGTTTTGTATCGTCTGGAGAAAACGACGAATCAATTCTTGCATGTCCTGTTGCAAATGACAGTGGAATTTGTGTCAGTGATTCACGAGAAGAATTTGGTCAAATTCATTCTGTGACAACAGACTTACCTCAACCTAAAGTAAAAAATGATCGACAATTACCGCACCCAGAAAGCTATAGTGGTTTATATATTCCTGTCAATGATGCATATTATTTACATTCCGGATTACACCACTTTGTGCAGCAAAATTGGATGTATCACAACCAACATGCAATATCGTATGCACCGATTGAGACTGCAGCTTTCGTTGGTCAAGGCAATACCCACTCAAATATGTGTTCACATTCACCGAAACACGGATCTCAAAAAACAGAAAAGACTAAAAGAACAAGAACTACATTTACTCAAAAACAATTAGAATATTTGGAAAGCGAGTTCAACAATCAACAATACATGGTTGGAATTGAAAGACGAACACTTGCCAAAAAGCTCAGACTTACAGATGCGCAAGTAAAAGTTTGGTTTCAAAATAGAAGAATCAGGTATAGGAATGAAAAGAAGCGCGAATCCGAAGAAGAAACCAGCAAATTGGACATTCTCAAACGAGAAGCGATCGGAAAATGCTAAGATTTCTTATATTTATAGATTGAGTTCCATAGTTTCCTGTAGAGGTCGTCCTTATAATAATTGTTCATAAAAGTTTCATGAAATAAAGTTTTCAATAAAATATATCAAAATATTTGTTCCATTTTGTTGTTAAGTATAGTGTATGTGTAAACAGCTTAATTCCGTTAGATACATGCTGAATGACTAATTGCAAATTTATCAACAGAATGAAGAGTATTTATTTCGATGATGCTCTCGTCTTGAGGTTAGGGCTGGGCATTTTCGAATACCTGATGATTTTAGAATCGAATTGAATATTTTTTCGGATTGAATCTCGATTACGTGAAAGATATGTAATTTTATGTGATTTTCTTATTGTAACGAGTTCTCCAGACACGTAAAATATTGAAAACAAAAAAATCTATTACTCAGTTAGTCCGCCTCGACCTATGGCGGAAAAAAGCAAAATGACAACGATTCAATATTCTCATTGGGACTGATTCGATTCGGAATGCCCATTCATACCTGAGATACACAAACTTTTGATCGCTTCCAAAGGGATCGATTGTAGTTAAACAGCTCTTCTTAATTCCTGAGAACTCGGGCTCGACAAACTTTCTTTATTTTCGAGACCAACCCAAACATCGTTCTATCTCCTTCTTATCTACTTTTTCAATCGTTTTATCTGGTAGCTGATAAAAGTTAGTTTAAGTTCAGGCACGCCAGATCATTTCCATTCATTAATTTGCGGATTTGTTTATTAAAAATACCTATTTTTTAGCCATTTACTAGCAAATAAAATTTTCATTCCTTTTTTTGAAACATATGGGTCTACGAGATGAAGATAGTGAAAAAATATAATACGGTGAAAACTCTTCAATTAGTCTGAAAGGAATTTTAAATTTGGACAAATTCATCCATTCAATCCTATTTCATTTTTATTCTTTTAAAGTTTTCAAACGATAAGAATTTGAGACCAGAATCAATGACCTGACAAAACAATTAAACAAATGCACATCAGTTTTTCAACATTTTAAATCTGGAACAACCCTTCGAAATTCCGAAAACGACTAAAAAATGAATAATGTTTCAAACTTGAATGACTGTACATTGCCAAACGGTAATTGAATTTCATCCTATGGCAACATCATTCAGGGTTGCTCAGACCCTTGCAATTTCATTCCGTTAGAGCAGAAAACTTGTTAGCCCAGAATCAATATTGAAAATAGCGGCAACGCACACATTTTTATGATTTATTTATTTTATTTCTTAGAAATTGAATAGATAAAACAACAATATTGTTTCACAAATATGGGCATGATGTGTCTGGTGAAATTTTGTACAAGTACCAGCGCCTACAAGAAGCAAAAGATATACTTACATTCGAGTAATATATATATATAGCTTTAATGCTATTAATGCATCGATGCTTAATTTTAACTCGAGTAAAAAAATACGGCTCGTCATAAATGTGGTTCTCAGCATATACAGGGACGTCGTTTTTTTTGTTTTACATTGATGATTTGCTATATCGGACGAGGCTAAAACTTTTGTGATTTATGTTGGATATCAGTAATTTGTTGAGATGATTAATCGTAATTATGTTATCGTAGATAAGTTTTATTATATTAGAACCGATTCGCTTATCTATAAAGTAACTATTTTTATATATCATCCGTATAACCAAACGCGTGCGATTTATCTTAATTGACTCTATAACATTGATAAGTTGAAATAACTATTTAAAAATATTGCGTTTATCAGCAAGCTAATTCCATATAAATACACCGGCTATTCTGAAACATTTCATTAACAAAATCAAACGATATACAAAATGATTTCTTACCGCCATCCTTACCAAGCTGTCTCGAATGCTCAATGGACGCCATTTCTTCGTTTTAATTATGCAGGAAGTTCGGATTTAGAAGAAATTACAACAAAGAAGAGGAAATTTTCATCAAATGAAGATTCGGGGTTTACGAAAGTTGCAGTTGTAAATAAGGAGACACAAGTTACAAAACTTCTCGACTTTTCGAAGTTTCCCGAACAGGTGGAAGAAAAAATAAATAACCGACAAAGGAAAACGAAAAGTACTCTTTTCACCATAGACGAAATACTGGGACATTCGGCCGAAAGCCCAAGTAAAAAGAGAAGACTTGAACTTCCGCAGTCATCTAAAACCAAAGATGATTCATTCGACTCTGGTTTTGCATCGTCTGGAGAAAACGATGAATCGATTATTTCATGTCCTTGTGCAAATGACAGTGGAATTTGTGTCAATGATTCACGAGAAAAATTTGGTCAAATTCATTCTATGACAACAGACTTACCTCAACCTAAAGTAAGAAATAATCGACAATTACCGCATCCAGAAAGCTATAGTGGTTCATATATTCCTGTCAATGATGCATATTATTTACATTCCGGATTACACCACTTTGTGCAGCAAAATTGGATGTATCACAACCAACATGCGATATCGTATGCACCTATTGAGACTGCAGCTTTCGTTGGTCAAGGCAATACTCACTCAAATATGTGTTCACATTCACCGAAACACCGATCTCAAAAAACAGAAAAGACTAAACGAACAAGAACTACATTTACTCAAAAACAGTTGGAACGTTTGGAAATTGAGTTCAGCAATCATCAATACATGGTTGGAATTGAAAGACGAGAACTTGCTAAAAAACTCAGATTGACAGATACGCAAGTGAAAGTTTGGTTTCAAAACAGAAGAATTAGGTATAGGAATGAAAAGAAGCGCGAACCCGAAGAAGAAACCAACAAACTGGACATTCTCAAACGCGAAGCAATCGGAAAATGATAGGGATTTCTGATGTTTACAGATTTAAGTTTCATAGAGGTTGTCTTTGTAATATTTGATTATAAAAAGTTTCGTGGAATAAGGTTCCTAATTAATAACGAATATATGTTAACAAAATGATCTATTTTGTTGTTAAGTAAAATGTGTTTGTGTGTGTGAGTAGCTCAGTTCCGTTAGAGAAATGCTGGGTGATTAATTTCAAAATTCTCAACAAAATGCAAAATATTCAATTCCAGGATGTGGGTTCTCGTCTTGACGTTAATTGAAACAAACGTTTATCGCTTCCAGAAGGATCAATTTTAGTTGAACAGCCCTTCCTAAGTCTTACGAACTCAGGCTGACAAACTTTCTTCACCTCAGAGATCGACCTAAATATCGTTCTATTTCCTTCTTACTGATGGCTGATTTTAATGGGTTTTTTTATTATAAATGTGTAGATTTTGTTAATAAGTCAATTCTTTCTTGAAATTTACTTCTGTGTTTCTCCAGATTTTGTTTTTGCTGTAAAAATATACGGCTTATCATAAATGCGGTTCTGGTTAAACACAGCAGGGAATTTACTGCGTCATTTTCCTTATTTTATTGAGGGAAATATTCGAGGTATTTTGATGAATATTGATCGTTCCAACGCGTATGATTAGAAATTTATATCTATTCGATAAACAATTGTTAATTTGGTTGAAATTGATATTACAGTGGGGAAAATAAACTCCTAAAAAATAGATTAGAACTTCAATTTAGGGCGCGTGTCTAGTTGCCACACGTCAGACGATAATCAAATCTTATCGGTAAATTCTAATCAAATGTTTTTGTGCCTTGATGAGATGCTATATCAGATGAGGCTAAAACTTTTTTGATTAATTATAATGATTAATTTTATTATAATGATTAAACGTAATTATGATATCGTAGATAAGTTTTATCACATTAGAACCGATTCGCTTATCTACAAAGATTTATATATTATTTTTATTTCTTAGTTTCTTTTGTATGTTATGAATTTAACCTTCTGGGAACCGGGAACATTCAAAGTTTCTGAGTTTATGCCAAGGTCATCAAGTGATAGAAAGTACTTTACGTAAGATGTGAGCTGTTCCAAGAAGAACGGTGCAGAAAAATCAACCAACATGCGATATCGTATGCACCGCTTAAGACCCTAGCTTTCGTTGGTCAGAGTAATACTCACTCAAGTATGTGTGAACAAGAACTACATTTACTCAAAAACAATTACAATATTTGGAAAGCGAGTTCAACAACCAACAATACATGGTTGGAATTGAGAGACGAACACTTGCTATAAAACTCGGTACTCCCGAAGTATGTAAACCAAGATGGCAGACATCGGGAAGTACCAGCTTTGGGTTATGCCATAATTTCAGGTACAAATACTAAGGGAGTCAATTGGCTAGTCCTCTAACTCGTAATAGAACTGAAATAGGGAAAATTGGAATAAAATTATGGCCCAACCCTATCCTGGTACACATACTACGTTTCGGTGTCCGCCATCTTGGTTCATATATTTCGGGAATACTAATATTTTGAATTGGCTTTAGATCTTAACAAGGACCTTGGCTCTCGGTCCTTCGCAGATTCGAAATTTCAAGAATTCAAAATTTTGCAACATATTTTCTTTATCAGGCTTCCCTCGAACCATGCCGAAATAAGATAAACAGACCGCGTTCGCTGATAACTTGATATCCCAGGAACGGGTTCGGACCAACTTACCAGTACGAACCCCCTCAATGCATTTTAAACCAGTAACAGCATTTCAGATAGTTCACGAAAATTGTGAGGTTGCGCAGAATACGGTATTGTGACATATTATATCAAATATTGTGAAATAACATGTTTCATCATTTTTCTCTTTGTCTCGTCTTTTTCTGGCGTCACCTGGTCATGTGATTCCTAATAACCAATAAAAGGCAACTTCTCTTCCTCTTTGTTTCTTTAATATGTTCAAACTTTTTTCTTGCCACGTCAAAACTTTGTATGCGCAGTTGCAGTCTTTCGAATAGGACGCCGTTGGGTAAGCACGTTTTTTTTATTTTTTTTTCCGTTTGTACATTTACTTTCGATAATCTTGTGTTTTTGCGTTTATATTTACATACAGGTTTATTTACAGTTATATATACTTAACTCAAACTTGAAAATATTGCCTCGAATGTCTGCACAAAAAAGGATCCATCGCCAGTTCTGATTAGAGACGAAAACGGAAGATTACTAGTTAAAATTAAACCTAATCATTCAGTTAGGCATAATACTAAAATCATGGTTGGTGTGTAATTATTGAATCAAAGACGAAGACGACAAACGGAGACGATTAAAACAATAATATGTACAAGTTAGTACATAGGACTATGAGACGTGTATTAAACTTTACGATTTAAGTTTAAACTGGGTATATTAATCATCCTGTTTTTTTGCCTTCAGTATGTGTATTGTATATATTATATTCATAAAATCATATCTGATGTATAGTTGTTTCCCTCGTATTTTTGTAAACTATGACTGGATGCAAACAATCTTCAAATGTTGACATCGGTAACTATTGGAGCGGAACAAGAAATTCGATTCGATGAAAATCAGACGTCACGCTTCTCTTTGTTTCTTTATTATTTCCAGCCTTTTTTGACACGTAAAAATTTTGTCTTGGACCGACCAGTCTTTTTAAATTGGCGCCGTAGGTGAGTGCTTTTTGAATTGTTTTGTGTGAATCGGCGTGTCGCTAATATTCTCAAATTACAGCACTTTAGTTCACTTTTAATTCAAGTTTTTTTGCAGTTATGTTGATAAAGTTAACTATAAAGTTAAACTTGGCCTACAATTATTAATTAATTTAAATATCTACGAACTGGCAGTTGGATTACAAGACTTGTGAATGTGGAAATTGAAACAATGGTTGGCGAGAAGAACTTGCGAGGGCGCGGACAGAAACAAAGTGGCGCGATCATGGATTATTAAGGTAACTGTTCATTGTTAAGGGTAACACTAGAGGAAAAACCTAGATCTAAGCTTAAGTGTTAAAGTTCCCTCGGCCTTAAGTTTTTCTGTCGTTATATATCTCTAAATAGCAGGATTTTAAATACATATGAATGGAGAGTTAAAGGCTGCCCAGGTGCTATACAACCGCTAATTGTGTAAATTTATATTAAGTCTTAAATTGAACCAACCAATTTGTTTTAATATCTTGTTTTGTTTATGTAGTCAAGAAGTGAACAAGCTTCGCATGTTGACATTGGAGACTTGGGTGAGGCAGGAACTGCGAATAGTTGAAAACCAAGCATTAGATTAACATTTGTGACTGCATCTATGTTGAATCACAACTGCTAAGCAGGTATTAATTCTGAATAAAATATTTTGTTCATTTTTTTTGGCACGTTGGATGTTTACGTTTGGTAACGTTATTTTTATGTTCGTGTGTTGCGTTCCTCTTTGTTTTTTGCAGCTTATTTCTAATTCTTTAAGTTTTACTATTGCAGTTAGGCTAAACTTAGGCTTTAATTTATTGGTTCAAATATCTACGTAACGAAAATGAGACTTCAAATACCGGAGTTGTTGGAGTAAACGAAAACGGAACATATTCAGGTATGCTATACCATTACCTTAATATAACGGTTGGTATCTAATTCTTAAATCGAGGACACACAGGGGACGCCACCACGGATTATTAAGGTGAACTGTTAATTTGCTTCGAGCCATAAGTGCATGAGCGTAGGCTAATATAGTATAATATACAAACTTGGCCAAGTATTATGATTTCGTCAGTGTCGTATTGTCATCTCATATACATATTCCTTAAAACAGAACTCTAAATGCATACATACACGGAGTTTTCATTGTACTGGCTCACGCGTGGAACAGCGTACCCTTGCTGCAGGTGAATCCAAATTTACATTTTGAATAGATTTCCAATATACCAAATACGACTGGATGAAAGACGTCGATGAACATCGAATTTGGCACAAATTTTCGGGCTATTTTACAGGTTATATTTTTGTTTGAAAACTTTCTTTTCCAATTCTATAACGATGAACTAATTATTAATCAGGCTTCTCAAAACTGCTTTCTCGGTGCGCCGTTTTCTCGGTGCGTCACGGCGCAAGTATTTTCAAAGATGCCATCAACAGAAGTCTGTTATATTCCGCGTTCCATTCCGTTAATTATTTTAGTGTACCAGTGTGGTACGCGATACTTTCGCATGATAGATGGTTGGCATCGAACAATGTGTTCCGATTCTGTCGGACACCGTATTGTCTCTTCTTCTACTTCTTCATACTAGAATCCTGATTAACAACATTTTTGTAGTCCTACATTACACTCCTCGTTGTGATAAACACTGCCAATACCAATCACTCTGTATTTTCTTTCAGCTCGTTGTACTTTAGTTTTAGTCTATATAATGTAATAACTTAGCTAAGTATTATGCTTTCGATCGTATTCATGCAAACTATGACTCGGTATATAAACAAGCCGAGAATGTTGGCATCGTAAACTACTGGAGAAAATGCGGTTAGAGGAGCGTTGACTCGGGATCAGTAAGTAAATAGATTCAGATTGGTATTTTTGATTGTGTATTTGTAGTTAAGTTAAAATTTTATTTTCCCATCACCTCCGCATTTCCTTTTCCTTATCAACCATTAAAATTATTTTTGTTGACAAACTTGAAAAGTCTTTAATTGTAATTACACGCCTGTAGAAGGTGGGGTGAAAGCACGACGTTGATATTGTGGCCATGGATGGCCGTGTGACGATTGAAGTTTATATGGACGGCAAGGTAGGTAATTCGTCTTGAATTTTGTGACAAATTTTTATACGCTAATATTCTATTCGACATTAATTTACGGCTAAGTTTCTACTGTCATCGTATGATATATTTTCGGTCTTCTCTCACATACAGTTTCCCAAAATGAAATAACCAAACTTCCCTCGAGATTTGTAGCATGCCGTGCGTTTGCATGTATATAAATGGCGATTCGGTAAACTGGATGCTTTTGAACGCTGAGCAATTGAAAATCATTTATTTAGGTTTACATCTCTAATCTAATTACAGCGCCGGAGAGAGAAAAGAGAAATGAATGAAAACTAATAACGTGGTTTTGCGACCACTGCATTGAATATAAAGGTACGTCTTTTGTCTTCAATTTTGATCAGTTATATAATATAATTCACAACTATTCTATTGTTAGAGGTAAATTGCCTATGAACTACAAGTGCTTTATTATTCCACATTTAAACTTTTATTTCAACTCCCTCGTTCCAATAACGCTTTGCAATTCTAATTTCAAACGTATTGTTTGAACTCTTATACTTTATACTACATTCCTTTTTTATTTTTATATTTAGGTATCTTGAAACTGCAATATGTTGATCGAGAAAATCTTGTCAACTGAATAATCACTTGCAACATATGTTTACATTTGGTGGGTCCTATTCCTTTCTACGGCGTTTTAAACTTTATTCATTTTAATGAGTTTTTAGTCCAGCTAAGCTAAATATCATATGTGATAAAATAAAACAAGAGAGATATGCTCAAATTTTTTGGACGCGAAGGCAAACCAAGTAACGGTAATTTTATTTTCATAATTACAAGATCACCTGGGATGTGATCAGGGAACCACGCAAGCAAGTTATAATCTTGATGACATTACACCAAGGGAAGTGAATAATGAATTACATTGATTCCACAAATATTTTTGAATATTAGTATTAGCCTGCTAGCGACAGCACCAAGCACTAAAAATGTCAAAAAAGTTTGCTTCAGGGAATCTGTTTTCTTCACAGCCATGTGATCTATGGGTCCGCTTTAGGTACTCCCGAAGTATGTGTACCAGGTTAGAAGCATAATTTCATAGCGATTTTCTTGTTTTGATTTTATTACGAATTTGGGGACTGTCATTGTTAGCCAAGTGAATATGCCCCCTGCCTATTGGCTTCGTCCCTTTACACAACTTGATGTAAAGTAGGCAAATAAAAATAGTTACCTCCAGATTGGTACTCGAAATTCAGGAGGGCCCTACTTTGTGTCCCATTATGAACTCTCTTCAGTAATGCGACCATAATAATTGTGTTTTATTTGGTTTCAGGGTTCATCATTACCCGAATGTATGTCAAAGTACGATATTTTTTCCCCACCAGACGTTTTTATTATTTTGTGTATCCGTATTTTGGCGGACGAGGTCAAATGTTACAAATACTCCCCCCCCCCCTCCCCCCAACCGTTTCAGAACCACTGCTCTAAAGTACATATACAATTATACATAATTGGCAACCTTGCTATAACCAACAACTCTCGTAAAGACTGTTACACCTCTGCTAGTTACTATCTTTCGTGTCAAATCTGCCAATTACACTTAGTTACTGGAGCCCACAAGAGGCAATGAAACAATAAGATATGGGCTGGTGCATAAAACACCAGTAAACACCAGTATCTGATATTGGAAACGATATTTCAAGTAGTCATGTCGATGCAACCTATAACATTAAAATAGGTTTTACCTCTCCGTAAGTTTTGAACAATCGCTCTGCATAAATTAGAACTAACTCGATCTTTATTATAAATAATAGCAACTTTGAAGTAATAGTCTTAAATCTTTTTATGCTCTACTCCAGGGCAGGGCTCCTCAACTATTTTTACCGAAGATCCGCATATAAAATTCAAAAATATTTGGGTCCAGTCTTTCCAGAAATTATATTTCGGTATCCTTAAACTCGCACTTTCTCGGTCAACTAATGATTATTAGCTAATCAAGATTGTTTGTTATAGCCTTATAGTTCTTTTCATATATATTTAAATCTATAAAATTGATGTTAGAAAAGGAAACTTCAAAAGTGGGGCTAATGATCCAAAATAAAGAATTAGGCGCGGTCCGGATTCGGATCGCGGCCCGTTAGTTGAGTAGCTCTGCTATACTCTATGCCCAACATATGTAAACTACGGCCCGTGGGCCAAATCCGGCCTATTGAGGTGATTCAATCTGGCCCGCCTGATGCTGCCCCAACCAAACTAAAACCGAAATTCGATTTTTTAGTTGAAAATAATTTGAGATTGCGAATAAAAGACTTATTTTCCACTTTTGCTTTTGTAACACTGAATATTGTTCCTAAAATGTAACTTTTTCACGTCACACTTACATGGCCAGCAGGTCTAGGTGGGCACAATTGTTGACTATAACTAGTCCTAGTTAAAAAAAATCTTTCCCACCTCTGCGCTATGCAGTCGTGATTGATAGTGGAATTGGTGCTGGAGTCTATCACAGAATCTCGAGACTTGAATGCTCAATTAAATGATAGTAGTAATAGTTAATGGCTGTAGTAGGAGTCTACATTTTTTAACCGACAGTTCCAAGAAGTGTCATTTGTGAGCAAAGAGGTACTATCTGCACAGTTGTGAGATAAATTTACCAGATTCCACAGCCCTGTTTTGTTCAACTGATATATATAACGTGATTTGCTCCCAATCCAAATTGTATAAATGTTATGAAATATTTTGCTTAACTGCCTCATTTAAATTATTAAATGCAATAATTTGTAAACTGCTAACATTTGTCAAAGTATGGCCACTCGTATACCGTAGACAAAAAAGCGTTTTTTCATTCAAAAGTGTTTCAGTTTATTTTTTGTTAGTCTGTGGTATTGCTTTTTTTTTTTATATATTTTATATTTTTATATCGTTAATTTTTGTGTAATTGCATTTATTATGATACTGAGTTTTTCAATTTTTTTGTCAGTTGAACCCTTGCTTGAGCAATAAAATATTTTTAAAATCATATCTTGAGTCTTGTTGTAGTTAGGTTAATTAGGAACAGACAGGAGACTGAATAAAGTACGGGGGCTGAAGGGCAGGGTGAGCTGAAGCGGGCACGGGCCGGGCTGCCCGGGCGCGCGGCCCGAAAAATTCTGGAAATTTTTCTTCGGCCAACGATAAATTATTATGTTCGGCCTTGTATGGCCCGGTAATAATGATCGAAGTTTTGGTAAAATTCATCTTTGGCCACACTTGGCCATAGATAAATAAAATTCTGCTAAATTATTATCTTCGGTCACGCTTGATCGACGATAATTTTCCAGATTTTCAATGTTTTGAAGGTTAGACCTTGGATTTTTGTCGATTTCGTTTTTTTTCATCGGATATTTGATATTTTTAACGGTTAGATCTTCCTGTTTTTATAGGATATTTGGTGTCTTACATCATTTGCTGTCGTCGCCTTTATTCTTTTATTCGGTTATTTACGGATTTCGATTTAGAATTATTTTAAAAGTATGTATTGGAATCGAACTTAGGACTTGAGCTTAACTTGATATGCGATTTGCGCTCAACCACTACACCACAGCAATGTCGATTTCTGAATGTTTCAACTCTAATACTTATCTATCAAAAGGTGTGGGCACGAATACTCCGGAATGAGGTTGATTACCCCCTTTGATAGATAAGTATTAGGGTTAAAACATTTAGAAATCAACATTGCTGTGGTGTAGTGGTTAAGCGCATTTCAAGCTAAACTTATGTCTTAAGTTCGAATCCGTAGAAGTCTTTTTAGATAAACAGAAATATCGAAATCCGTAAATAAAAAGTATGACACCAATTATTCGATGAAAACAGCAGAAAAGGACAAAATTCTAAGGTCTAATCCTTGAAAATAACAAATATCCAATGAAAATGGCCGAAATCGATAAAAATCCAAGGTCTAACCCTTAAAAAATTGAAAATCTGAGTCATTATCATCGATCAAGCGTGGCCAAAGATATTTATTTCGCAAAATTTTATTTATCTATGGCCAAGTGTGGCCAAAGATAAATTCCTCCCAAAAAAAATTGCGATATTATCTCTGGGCCATACATGTCCGAACATAATAATTTATCTTCGGCCGAGGATGATATTTCAGAATTTTCTGGGCGGCGCGCCCGCGGGCCCCGGCAGCCCGCACCGCCGCGCCCGCTCCAGCCCGCACCCTGGCCTGCCCCTGCCCTGCACTGGAGTCTGGTTAGTTTAGTTTCTGCCTGTTAAACCTTTCTACTCGCTATAAGATCCAGGAATTATTTATAATATTTTATTACTTCGAGAGCAAAAAAAATACAAGTCACAGAAAAGATAAAAAAAAAATAACAAATCAAGTTCAAGGTCACCAAAAAAACATCTCAATTTTGGCATTTGATACATCGGCAAAATTAAAAAGGTCATACATTCATACATATAGAGCATAAAGAATTCAAATTTCACAGTAACTATACCTATTCACAAAACATTGATGTTAATTAAAATAAGGGTTGACAATGCAGTATTGGAATAACACAGCAAAAATTATATTTAGAACAGAATTGGTATTATTAATTTATACACGGCAATTGCAATAATTATAAATTTTATATTTAAAGAGATACAACGGGACATAACCAGGTGCGATAAAGTCTCCGACTAATAAATCAACTCCGCACTCAACTTTGATGAAAATCAATTTTCAATCAAATATATATTTAGAATGAGTCAACTTGGGTTCTTTTTAATTTTAAAATTTTAAACCCGGTTCCGAATTCAAAATCTATAAGAATGTGTGGGCACCACAGCCGGGATTTAACTCCATTAGCATCTTAAGAGCATTGCTTTACATTTATTAAAATTCAGACGGAGAGATTCACGAGGGATCATCAATATATATGGCCATCTTTAAGATATGTTAGAAAACGTAATTTATACTAATCATATGCAAATGCTCCACGTTGATCAGTATTTACTGACAGTTTATACAGATAAAAAGTACCTCTCCTCATATCCGAGACAACTTTTACTTTTAAGAGATGAATCTTGGTTTCGAGTGATAAATTTAAATATTGACCCAGCAAATTTTCTTAGAGAAAAGGTGAAGACCGAAGAATAAATCAATAAAACAGAATGAGGGGTATCATGACGTCATGATTAAAATAAAATTAACCGGATTTCGGCAGATAATGAACAAGATGTCTGCTACTACGGAAGATTCAATAATGTCTGCTAGGGTTATGAATAAGTATTTTAAACATTTATTCCAAATAATTCAATTTTCTTCAACAGAGTGGCAGCGTTTTTGCCGCATTTTCCGTCAATGCAGTTCTTAGTTCTTAAAACTAAAGATTCTCCGCGTATCAGTATAAGAATATAGCTATGTTGCATGGTACTGGAATGGTTTACGCAAAATCACTCAGTTCAGTTTGCAGTTTCGAAGTTCGAAGAAATTTTTCTTTCATGATCCAGGTTTGTGATATTTTTTCTTTGTTGATATCTAAAATGAATTTGGGATTAGTTAGACATATGATGAAAACTTGCACATTGTGTATATGAGGAAGTCCAAACTGGGGATCCCCGCCTGTGCTATGGGTCTCGAGAGGGATCAAATGGCGGCAGCGGTGAAACATGTTTGGGTATTCGATTACGTTGAAGCAATATATTGATTGAATGATGTGTAAAGTTCGTGCGTGCGACGTGTTACATTTTATGAACAATATTTACAGTGTTACAAAATCAAAGCCTCGTGTCCAAACTAAATATAATCGCGATCTTAACAAATTCCTTGAGATATACAGCGAATCTTATTGCGGAATTTTTCCATGATGATAAATATACACAATTCCGAAGAATAAACACAAAATGCAAGTTGTATGGAAAGAATGAGAAAAGTACAAATTGTCATCAAAAATGATCCAACATTTGGTTTTGCTTTGATTGTGACAGCACCAGGCGGGCCAGATTAAAGTACTCAAAGTGGCGTATTTGGCCCGCGGGCGCCGTAGTTTGACCATGCCATGTTTACGTTTTATTACGACCACAAATAAGTCTTTTCGCAAGCTTTAATCGTTATGATTAAACTTACTTTCAGTAATGCAGCTCCATATGTCACAAACGCAGCTCAGTTATGTTAAAAGTCAGTGATATTTCTCTTTTCTTTCATTATTTCTGAAACGAAATAAATAGGTAGTTTCAAAATTTTTATTAAATTAACTTGTGACAACCCTGAAAATGGGATATTTCCACAAATTCCCCCATCTCACAGGTATTCTTTTGCGATTAGTTTTCACTCCTGGACTGTGGGTCTAGTGCGGCAATTCGTTATGTGTTAAAAGCACATAACTTGTAACTCCATTTCTGACTGAAATGGGGGAGTTATTAAACATGCTATAAACTTTATTTTAGGAGTACCGAGAGAGACATTAAAAAGCTATTTTAGACATATATAGTAGAAAACTATCTAATTATGGTGTGCCAACGGAACACATTACGCTCAACCAACTATATCACAGTCACTGAAGCAGCCAGTAGTCCATTATAAAAATACTGCCAGCCTGCACTCATTTTTTTCCCGAATTCTAATTTACAAGCCAATCAATATACTATTATAAATTTCACTCATTGCCATTTTGTCGGAAGCTTATGGATATTTTCAAAAGAGACACCTTGAAATGGGAACTCAAATTTGATGAATTTTACGAGATCGCAAAATTTCCGATTAGTAGAGATTTTAGAGCAGTAGTTCTTTCATTTTGCCGCAACTCCTAAAACATTCCAAAATGAATATCATCCCAGAATGGCGTAATCGCGGCGATTACTTGTGTAATACGGCAGTCGGCAATACTCGAACCACTCTTAAAATTCATTGTGGCGTCCATGGAATCACTTATTCAAATGTTGAAATCCGGAGATACATTTCTGATTTCGATGTAAATTAGTGAATTAGATTTATTGTAGTAAAATGGAGCATACTCGTGCAAATATGTTCGTGATAAGTGATCACGTGTTTCTTCAATCTCGCAATCTGCTGCAATCTTGATAGGCCTAAAATATAATAGAAACGTAGTGTAACAATTTAGTGGTGTAAAAAGGTGAAAAATTCGCAAGGAATTCAGTGCTATAAATATAAAGCAATATCCTAAGCAATCAAGGTGAAAACATCGTACTAGCTTTTAAATACAATCGTAAAAACTATTGAATAACATACAATATAGTCTGTTGTAACACACTGGCAACTAAATCATACGTTACATACGCATACATTAACGCATTCGCGAAAGTAAAACTTTTGCATTACAATGAAGTTCTGATACGTTTTTTATCTTTCAATAAAATGAAAAAACAAACCTGTCCGTTTATTGAGGTGACCACATTACCATCGAGCTGTGGCAATATCGAACATCAAACGTAAAATTTCGACCACCTCTTTATAGCTGTAATTAAACTATAATGTTTATGGGTTATTAATACTATTTACCAACGTTCAAATGGTGCCGAAACACTCGATATAAAATCTTAGATTAGACAAATTTATAAGCTATCCCAGTATAGCACAAAATCGCTTACACATAAGAGTTTAAGAATTTCTTCCGGATTTGAAACGATATAAATATAAATACCTTTCATTTGCTGTTAAATGTTTCAACATGGAATGTAATGAGTTTTTTCACATGTTGGAGAGACTCCGCCTGAAATATAAGGTGGCGAAATCGTAAAAGAGCACGAAACGAACTCAATTCATAAACTGCGGCAGCGGTAAATTTTTATTTTTGGTCGATAAGCTCTGGTAACAAAAGTGCTCAATAATAATGAATACTGAACATATTGAATTTTGTTCGAATTAAATTCAATATTCATCCTCAAGCGTCATGAAAAACCCGGTCAAAATCTTTTTGACACGCTGTTATCTTGAACTTTATTAACCGTATAAAATTTAAGTTACCTCGTTAATCCTTCTTGGCATCCTGAATGAAAAACATGCATTTCAATAGTATTGAATAATCTCTGGTTTGTGTTCGTCGCATCTTTTGTTTTCGTTTAACATCTTCAGACTCCATTTTCAGTTTGTAGTAGTAATTAAAAGTTAAAAGAGTAATCTAGGTATAATTTTAGTCTATAGTATAATAATATAGCTGTAATATAAAACGTGATATTTTGCGAAATGGAGCCAAGTGCGAGAATATAACAAGACAGATTACAATCATTAGAAAAAAAATTAATAAACCTTTATTACCTGACGATCGCGGCAATTTGGAAAAGACCGACGAGCAAGAAGTGCCCGCATAAGAATCGAGATTTAATCGCATTTGGATTGAACTTGATATCATAATTCTTGGTTGTATTACAAATTTCTGTCAACCAAATGTCGTAAACTAATTTCATGATTGTAAAAATTCAAATAATCACCTTATTACTTCATTATCGCCTCCGTTCGCATATTCTTTCGTAGTCTGATTCAGAAAATGAACAGTAAAAATGTAAGAATTTGCTGTCAGAATTCGCTCAAAAGTTTTAGTAAAGGCCTGCTTAGTTCAATTCAACTACATTAGTATCATTAGTATAACTGTAAAAAGCTAACATATAGCTGCGAAATACAACCTTTCAAGTATATAGAAGAGTAAGTGATGTAGACAATTAGCGAATAAGTCGACGAAATAAGACGACAAAAAAAAGAAAACACACAATTAAGATTTTGCAAAAAACGTGATACCAATTAATGATCGCCGTTGAAATGACAAATATATATTACAGTTAAATATGTTGCCTTTGGAATAGTAAAAACAAATTCTTTCTTTAAGGTTTATATTCAGCACATATAAAGTCATCGATTCCACAGTCTCAACTAAGTTCCCATTTTCTGTTGCTATCCAGTAGTTTCCGATATCAACATTAAGTTTGTTCACTCCAGTAAGTGCAAGGTACGAAAGCTGCGGCAGGGTGATTCGAATAAGCAGAAACGTAAAAAAAACGATAAATTTACAATTGAATCCCTATTCTATACTAAATTTACTTTTAACTGCATTGGTTATATTAACTGTAAAAACTGAAGATATAAATTAAACGTAGTGTAACAATTTAGTGGTGTAAAAGGGTGAAAAATCCGTGAGAATTATACGGTTACCTTATTAATCCGTGATCGACACCTTGGTTTGTGTTTATCACATCTGCTATTTTCGTTCCGATTTAAAAAATTCAGAACTCATCACCGCATTTCCAATTTGTAGTAATTTAAATTAGCAGTAATTTGATCTATTTTTAGTTTAGTATAGCTGTAATAGATGTAAAGAACTTAAAATGTTGTTAGGGAAATCAACGTGATGGGATATGAAAGGATGAGCGACACTCAGATGCAGGCAACTCATTTAAAGAGCCAAATCAGAATAAATAATGAATTAACCGTTTTTACCTGACGATGACGGCTTGTATCCAGTGGATTTTTTTGGCACAGATCAAAAAAGGGATGAGCCTGTAAAATACGTCAACATTTAATAAGTGTGGAATTTGAAAATTATACTTAATACATGATATCACGAAATCAAGTATTTTATACTCTATTATAGTAGGCAGGAACGCATTAATCAGTGGTAATTTAATTGTTAATTTTGATTGTAAAAGTAATCACTTACCTTATTACTTCTTGATACACTCGCTTCGCCTACGCCTTCGTAGAGTCATAAATTCAGAAAATGAACAACAATTATCAGAACTTGCAATCCAATTCAAATATATCAAAGGCCTAGTTTTAGTTTTAACTACATTAGTGTAACTGTAAAGAAAATAGAAATTGGATGTAACGAAATTAAACACCGAGATAAATATGATGATATGAATCATCGAAAAAAGCAGTGCGTGGCAAAAGATGGGAATATAATAATGAAACAAACAGTCTGCATAAGAAAAATGACGAAATATTACTGTCAAATATCTTCAAAATGGCCGAACATTCCCGAATAACCGCTTCTTCGGCAAGGTTTTTATTCAACACATATATGTAGTCATCAATCTCAACCTAATTCCATAGTCTCAACTTATTTTAAAGTTCGCATCACCTGTTCCACTCCAGCAGTTGCCGATATCAACATTTGAAGATTGTTTACATCTGTTAATAGTTTGGATAAATGCGGTTGAAAATACAGTACGATGAATACACAACAACACGCTAAAATAGGTTGGTTAAAACAAGCAGAAAAGTAAAAAAACCTAAATTCAAATATACTTACAATTCTCATTTGTTTGATATCCTCTATTTTATTACGCCACTCATTTCCAATTGGATCCACGACTCTACGACTAAGTTTACCTTAACTGTATTCATTATTTGGAACTGTAAAGACTGAATATGATTATAAAGTAATGCAAACGATAACGACACAATGATGCACGTCAAGTCGTGAAAGGCGGACAAAATGATAGAGGTATTACTGAAACTACACGATTTAGGTAACATACAATCCGATTTAGGTAAAAATCCGTTATAGCATAAAAACAACTTTATCAGTAAATCTAAAATCTATTTGAAGCATTTGAATGTACTTACGATGCTCACTTGTTCTAACAAGAACATTTCCTTGTTCTCGATCGCCTCCATTTGTTTACGCCGTCGTCTCTGGTTCAATAATTACACACCAAGAATCATTTAGTACTGTGCTATGGCCTAACTGAAGTAAAAGGTCTCTAGTAATCATTGCATCTTCCGATTTAGATCCACTCCGTCGTGAATCAATAATGGTAGGCCTAAGTTTAGTTTAGCTGCGTTAGTATGGCTATAAAAAAATAAATAAAATGACTGCAAGATAATACAAAAGTTAGAATATAAGAAAATTAGCGACAAACGATTCCCATAAATCATGACAAAATAAAGTTAAAATTATCAAATATAAAAACAATGCTCACCCGACAGCGTCAAATTTGAAAAGACCGCCTTGGCGCAGACAAATACTGACGTGGCAAGAAAAAAGCTTGATTATAATAAAGAAACAAAAAGCGGAAATGAAGATGCTTTTTCATTGGTTATTAGGGATCACGTGACTAGTAAAGTCTGCCACACTACTGTGTTCTCCGCAAACTGGTGATTTTTGAAGCTTTCGCTTAATTTGTCACAACTCGAGTCTGCGAGTAAGTTACCCGCAATCTATCCGGGATAAACTTAATATCCGGAAGACACTCAAAATGACCGTGAGTTAGAGGAACTAATGTCCAAGGCTTTTGCTAGGATTCAAGATCAAATCGAAATACCTATCACTCGTTGTGACACAAATATATGCAAATTGTGCAGATTCCTCAAATGTGAAGCGCATAGTGGATGCGCTGCTCAGTAGGTCTCACCCGAGGCTTTAAGTGAACACGGTGGAAGCGCCTATGGGAATAGCGCCCAACTATACTGATGGAAGCTATAGATGAGGGTCACCCTTTTATATATATGTCAGATGCATATTTAGGCGTCTTAAACCAGAACCAAACTTGACCTTCATCAATTTAATTTCCAAAAATTATTTGAAACCCCAAAAATACTCGAATAATCTGAGTATTCTCGAAATGACTGAAATTGCCCAAGACATTCATAAACCTTCCAGAGATAAAGCGCGAGAAATTTTCATATGGCCTTCATTCATTTTATAATCAATTCAACGCACATTAAATCTTTATATGAATATATTCATTTTAAATGTAGGAATTGCTATTCGCCGAGAACAAGCCATGGATGATCGGAGACGAGACTTAGTCACGTTACTCGGTTTAGAATCACAATTATGACAGAATTGACTTTTTTCGTCAGTTTTCCCTGATCTATATGAATTTATTTTTCAACTATGACATTGGCGACCAACGAAAGTAATCCTGACAGCGAAATATTTTGAGTAGTCTTCGTGCACCCTACGAAATCCTGCGTCACAAACACTCAAATGTGGAACGACCGAAGAAATTTATAGTAAATAATTGAGTTTTTGATTCATAAAAAGCGCATACTCTTTCAGGTAATAGTAGAATTATGTGGATTCTGTCCAAAGTCCAAATATCTCACATTTACAACGCAAGTATGTAATTTGGCGGCCATTGTGAACGAACTTTGATCTGTGCAATATCTGGCGTACAGACCTGTCCCGAAATTTTTGTAGATAAACAAGGGTGTAACGTTCATTCCATGTCTGAGCGACGTTATTGTACACAGTTGCTCATTCGACTAAGGTCCCAATATCATGTTTTCTGCGCAACTTCAACACGTTTGATAAACGTGAGCGCATGCTAAACTATATTTGCGCATCATTGTTACAAATTAACAGATTACTGTAATTCATGGTCGCGGTTTTACAGTAATACTTCAAATTGCTGTATATATGTACCGGTACTATACTTCAAATACTATTTTTGTTCGGCCTTTGGACGTAATCGCTGCCGTACTTGCAACAATGAATGCTTCAAATTGTAAACGAGCCGAAAATTCTTCTTGGGCAGTTTATGTTTTTGTGGTATTCGCTATTTTCTCTTCGCTTTCAGGTGTTGTGGGTTGGGCAATATGTTTGATAGCGTGCTGTGGAATATTATATTGGCACAAATATTGGTCAAAATACGGTAAAATTCCTTTGGTGGCATGTAAAAAGAACACCAAACTCGATAAGTTTTTGGAAAGACATATCTCAACATTTAGACACCCGTACATGCCGTTGTATTGGTGTCCTGGGGCAAGAGCAATAACGATCATACGTTACTTCGTTCCTTGTGTTGGACACCTGGAATTAAAGAGAGAAATACTTCATGCCGACGACGGTGGGATATTTGGTGTTGACTGGTGTCACAATAAATCAAGTTCTCAATATTCGGAACCAAGTACGAGGCCGACAATAATAATTGTTCCGGGTTTATCATCAACGCCTGAATCCGGATATATTAAATCAATGACTCTTTGCTTAGTTGAAAAGGGATTCCGAGTTGTCGTCTTAATTTACAGAGGACTTGGAAACTTGAAACTAAAAGTAAGTTGTGATTTTCTGTTTAGAGATTTAGTCTTACATTGTTAAAATTTATAACCGAAAATTTCCGAAATTGCTATCACTAATCGGCCGTGATAAAATAGCATGCAAAAAATGAATATGACAGCATTAAATTTCTGTTAAGCCGAGTAATTCGTTGATAGAAAAGCAAAATCAACAGTATGTGTGTTTGCTATACAATATCTATCAAGCTATTTATCTATTTATCTCCCTGCTGAATAAATATGTCTGCGACTTCTGCCATACCACGTCCGTCGTTAACGTACCCGTTTGCCCTTTGAATGGCGTCAAAGCCGTCAGTACCATAAGCACGTGATTACTTAGTTCAAAGATCAGTGCCCTGCACTGTTTTAGCGCATGATTATGTAACCATCCATCATTAACGAAATAAATTATAAATTTCAAAATACACTTCCTAATTCACTTTTCTTGTACAGTATTTGCGTTTAAAATTCGTTAACTTTCAGACACCAAAGACACATTGCGCAACACATACGTCTGACTTGGCAACACTTGTCGATGTAGTTCATGAACGTTTCCCAAATGCTAAACTATATTGCATCGGCGCCTCACTTGGAGCATTGATAGTAGGACGATACATGAGTGAGCGGGGTGATGACGTCAGAATTGATGCAGGGCTGCTATTTGCATGCTCATTCCATCCTCCCATTTGTATGGAAGAGTTTGAGCTATGGAGTAATAAGTTACTTCTAAACTTCCAAGTCACTCAAGGTTTGAAGGAAAACTATCGACGTCATAGTCACGTTTTTGAGTCAGTCGTGGACCATGAAAAGGTGGAAAAATCCGCATTCCTCCGAGACTTTGACACTCATTTTACTGCTCCAGTTTTTGGATACAAAACTACTGAAGACTACTTCAATGATTCAATTTTTTGTGGAGATAAAATGGAAAACGTAAAACGACCTTTACTTTGCGTCAATTCCAATGATGACCCATTCTCACCAGAACGAGGTAACAGGTGTATTTATATTTCAAACTAGAACGAATTTTGGATTGCGTGTGCCCTAGGTGGGCTTGTGAAGCCCTATAGCGTTTATGGGGGTTGCAATTGTCAAAAAACAAAACTTTATGTGCATATAATATAATATGAGCGATTTTAGATTGCTCGACAAAACTGTCATAATTTATATTACTAAAATCGGTACTCCCGTAGTATTAGTACCAGGTTAGCGTTAAGCCATAATTTTATTCCGATTTTCCTTGAGCTTTCCGGTTGAACTGAGAATATTTTAGTTCTATTACAAGTTCGGAGACTGTCTGTGTTAGCCAGGTGAATATACATACCCCTTTCCGTAGGGTTCTCTTTAAACGACTTGATGTCTTGAAGTAGGCGAACAAAATTATTTACCTCTATATTGGTACTCACACTTCTGGAGCGCCCTAAAATCTTCATAGTCTGGTTTTCAGTCATTTTGTTTACGCCAGGTAACTTGACTTTGTTCATTTTGCGCTTTTCAGGTTTACCAAAGATGGAAGTTACTCAAACGGAGAACGTCGCTCTTGTGATGACTTATGGCGGAGGACATGTCAGTCACCTTGACGGGTGGAATCCATTTTCAAAGAGTTATTTCGAGAAAATAATGGTAGAATATTTTGATGCAATGATTCAGGGAAAATATTAGATTTGCAGAAAACGTACGAAATCCTTTCGTAAAATATGTTTCTTTATTAGCTGTTTCTTTTTATTTTTCTCATTTTCATAGCTATTTCCACAGTTATTATATATTATTTGCTTCTAATGTTTTTCAATGGAAATAAACGTAATATCGTGGAAAGGGGTATGGATATGACATCATAGTGAAAAGGTACTTATGGTATAGACAAGAAGTTTCCAACACGCGGCCGCGAGGCAATTTTTTTCGGCCCGCGTCATGGTTGAGATTTTTCTATGAAAAACTCAAATGGTAACATGTCAACTATGACTAACTTTTATCGTGTATATATCGTATAACATCAAGAGTCTGGTCCGACAAACTGTAAAAGGTGAAACAAAAATTTCCCCCCATTATTCCACTTTACCAAGTTCATATTTTGTTCTATTTTAATAATTAAACTGTAAACGCATTTTCATTGAGACAAAATGAACGAGTTTCGGTCGGATCATTGTGGCCGAAGAAAGGTGTGCAAAGATAATTGGACACTCGCGTCGCATAGTTGCGTATTTGGTAGTACTTATATTCGCGAGCAGTTTTTTTCAACTATGAAAGTTAGCAAGTCAGCCCTCCGCACACGACTAACGGACGAGCATTTGCATGCTGTCTTAGGACTAGCAAACCAAGGCCTATCACCGCTACAAAACGGTGACAAATATCCAGCAAAAGTAAATGAATATATTTCATGTCTTTGGTGTAAGATTCGAGTGTAATTTCAACAAATACATTCAGATTTCTTTAATTATTTTTTGTGTATCAATTCTGTACCTAATTTCTTGGTTTGCGACTCGCGTCGCCAATAAAGTTCAAAAAGTGGCTCATGACATATTTTGAGTTGGAGACCTCTGGTATAGACAGAATCAAGGATTTGCCTGTTCTAAATGAACACCATATCTTTGGCTCATTGGATTTTGTTATAGCGTATTTAGAGACGTCGTCCTATAAACACTGCCTATGTGTGCTCGAGGTGTATTCAGTTCAAACTGTTTACTGCTTTTAAAGATTAATTCAGGCATGTTTGGGACTCTGATCTCTATCTAGAACCCGACTCTATTTTGATGTTGTTTTATTGATCAGATAAATAAGAGTAATTTTAGTAACATGATCAAAGTAGATGTATTTCATGTTTATCATACAGATATGAAAGAAAAGATAAATGTAACCAATCGTTCAGTCACTTTACCTACAGAGTATGTTGATTTGATTATGTAAGATAAGCACACTATTAGTCAGTTATTAGAAACATGATCACACGCGATAACTGTTTATCATTTCGGGGCTATTGATAAGCTGAACAACCATTTAAAATCACGATTATTATCGACAATAAGAATATAAAAGCACTAATACCAAAGAAATTTACATTATTGTATTACGAACACAAGACAACATTAACAACTACAAAATGATTTCCTACCGTCATCCTTACCAAGCTCTATGGAATGCTCAATTAACGCCATTCGTTCGTTATAATTACGCTGGCATTGCAGATTTGGAAGAAATTACAACAAGAAAAAGAAAGTTTTCATCAGACGAAGGATCAGATCTCGTGAAATCCAAATATGTGAATCCGAGGACTGAAGTTGCCAAAATTTGTGAAGTTCCAAAGCAGTCAAAGCCAGTCGTTAAGGTGGACACTGACAAAAGAAATAAGAAAATTACCTCATTTACCATAGACTCAATACTTGGACACTCGACCGGGGAAAGCCCAAGAAAAAAGAGAAAACTTCAACTTCCAACAAATCCAACAAATAGAAAAGATGATTCAATTGATTCGGGTTTTTCGTCATCTGGAGAAAATGAAGAATCGGTTGTTGTTAGTACAAATGACGACAGCGGAATTTGTATAAAAGATTCCAATGAGCAACAAAAACTACCAGACAATTCTCAGTCTGCTCAACCACAGTTGTACCGACCCAAAATAGAAAACATACGACAGGCTTCGGAAAGGTTCAATCACATGTATATGCCTATCAATGGTGTACATTATTTTTATCAAGGCTTCAACAGATTTGGGCAACAAAACTCGATGCCTAAACATCAACATGCTATCTCACATGCACCGATTCAAGCAATAGCTTCCGTTGACCAAGAAATCCAGCTAATATCAACAACTTCCAGATCTCAAAAAACAGAAACGTCTAAAAGGACAAGAACTACATTTACTCAAAAACAATTGGAACGTTTGGAAATTGAGTTCAGCAATCATCAATACATGGTTGGAATTGAAAGACGAACACTTGCTAAAAAACTCAGACTGACAGATGCGCAAGTTAAAGTTTGGTTTCAAAATAGAAGAATCAGGTATAGGAATGAGAAGAAGCGCGAACCCGAAGAAGAAACCAAAAAACTCGATATCCTCAAACGTGAAGCGTTTGGAGAATCTTAAGATATATCTCTCTGTAGTATCCATTCAAGTTCCAAGATTTTATTGTTTTTTTAAATCGTTTGTACAGTTATTTTTGCCTGAAAGTTTCATTAAATAAAATTGTTGAGTATGAGTAATATTTAAAAAAATATCTGCTTTAATTTAATCATCACCGTACTGGTATTCATCGCTTGCTGGTATATTGCCTAAGTCTTTTTGTACTTTTGTATGCTGACCGACATTGGCGTGGTTTTGAATTTAGATCGTCACACACGCACACAGTGATCGAGTTCCAGCTGCATAATGTATACTAATTCCGCTGTATACGAATTTTCAGGCGGTTCTGTTACAAAAATTCATGTGATGCTAACCGGTTCGCTGATCTCTTAAAATTACATGAGAAGGTTCTATAGAACCGGTGCGAACCGGCTGAATCCCACCACTGGATAGCGGTCACATACACTTCACACATGTTATGTGCCTACGGTGAAATACACCAAACCCGTCGGTTGCTATGAAACGAAAACACCGTTCACACTAGCACGAACGAAGACACACAAAAATGATTTGCTACGACGAGTCGGATCATGCCCGCGGGTCTAGTGTTGCCAACCCAATGGATGACAGATACAAAATTGATAGTCAAAATCAACTACTAATTTAATACATTAGGTACGCAAATCATTTGATATAATTTTTATATTATCCGTCATAACCGACATTTAAGAGAATTTATTTTTGCCGAAACCGGTTTACGTAATTCAGTCGAACCAGTCTCGATATAGCGCCAGTATTTGTGTACTATGATGTAAAATCTCATTTCTGCAATTGATGGACAGTTCCTGCCTGAGAATTGAATATGATGAATTGACATTGAAATTGTGGGAGCGAAACAGGTGAAATATGATTTGATCATAGTTACAATAACCCTATTCCAATGATCTCACCAAATCACATCGCTGCAGAATAAATTTTATTATGAATCTTTGAATACTTTCGCTGTTTCAATCCTCTATTAGATAACATTTTGTCTAAATATCATTATATAATACTAAACTAAATGGAATGGTTTTGTGTATTTCGTAGGCCTTTTTCTATTTAGCATGAACAACAAGTCTTGGTTTGCTCTGATTTTATTTTAAAAATTTTAAATCACCGCCATCTTGTTTCCATTTGTTCGACAAAAGTCGGTGTGAATTCAACAATTTTTTTTCACTGGAGCGCTATTTTTGCAATACAATTTTGACTTTTAAATATTTTCTTCCAAGTGGGCTATTGATGAAACAAGTTTCTTATTGTGTGTGACAACTCGGCGAACTGACTGGGTGGTGGATTCTATGTTTGTGTGCCTGGAAGACCCATCACAATATATTTTTGTAAGTATCCCAATGAGAAAGTCACACACAATCAATTATCTTCCATGTATTCGAGATTCGACTCAAAAAAGTATTCGATTCTAAAATCAGCTGGTATTCGAAAACGCCCAGCCCTAGTTACGACACGCGTGTACATATATATATATACCTCATTACAACATGTATGAACAACATTCGGATGCAGTGACTTATCCAAATGTATTTGGATTCTTTGACTGATTGTTTTAAAATTAGCGTAATGAGTTATACGTATTTGTCGTAATTAAAGAAACTGTTACGGCTGTTCTGTGTTGATCATCGTCAGCTGACTGATGTCTCTAAACATAGATACATGATAATATGATCAAAGCATATATATATATATATTATAGTAGTTTTGTTACATGAATAACTTATTAACTTATTATTATTATTAATCAGGCAATAACAACGTGATAATACGTAGTATTGATAATTTTCAAACTTATACAACAAAGTCAAATTCTATTCCATCATCAATTATCTGCGTATAGATTGAGTAATCATATTAGATAAGATAATCAGTTACTAATAACAACATGATCACACGTAGCGGGCATTGATAAGATTCACAATTAAAGCTCAAATTTTGTCCGGTATCGTGAAAAAAAATATATATAGATGACTAACAAAAACGAATTAAATATATATTATTCTTTTTGAAAACCAGACAAGTTTGAGGATTGTGAAATGATTTCCTATCGCCACCCTTACCAATGTATTTCAAACGCACGGTGGACGCCATTGGTTCGTTTTAATTACGCCGGGGATGAAGATTTGGAAGATATTCGTACAAGAAAAAGAAAGTTTTTATCCGATGGACAGGTTACAGAAAGTAAAGTCACAAATGCAGAAACACACGACACCCAGATCTGCAACTTAAAATACTCCGAGGTAACCACGCACACCAAACTTGATCAGAAGAAGAAAATTACTCTCTTTACGATAGACGCCATTTTGGGACATTCGACGGAAAGCCCAAGTAAAAAGAGAAAACTTATTCAATTTTCGAAGCCAGAAAAAAAGAAAGATAATTCATTCGATTCTGGTATTTCATCATCAGAAGAAAACGAGGATTCAATATTTTCAAATACAAACGCAAACGACAGCGGAATTTGCACCAACAATTACGAAAAACCACAACACCAGAGAGGTGAAACTAAGACTGTCGTTCCAGATCAACCTAAAACAATGAACAATCAAGAAATGCTTCCCTCGGAAAGCTACAGTCATATATATAAGCGTGTCAATACCTATTTCTATTTTGTATCGAACCATCTTGAACAACAAATTTGGATGCCTCACCAGCAAGCAATTCCAAAGGCCCCGATTGAGCCAATAGCCTTTGTTGGCCAAGGTTGTTCCTTGCCAAATAATCACAATTTGTTAACTCCTCGACTTCAAAAGTCAGGTCAGACAAAAAGAACAAGAGCAGTTTTTACTCCAACGCAAACAGAACATTTGGAAAATATGTTCAACAATCAACAATACATCGTTGGAATTGAAAGACGAGAACTTGCTGAAAAGCTTAGACTCACAGATGCACAAGTAAAAGTTTGGTTTCAAAACAGAAGAATCAAATACAGGAATGAGAAAAAGCGAAGACCCGACATAGACACAAACAAACTCAGCATTCTTAAACGTCAAGCAATCGGTGATTTTTGAGATGCTGGGTAATATATTATACCTTCATGTTCCATTTTTGAATTTGTTTGTACAAATCTTATAATTTAATTCATTTTTTATTTAATATTTCGGGTTATTTACGCGTTGTTTCTGTTTTGTGCGTTCTACTAGATTTCCATACTTTTTACTATGGCTCAGGTCAGAACCTATGGCGGTAGGCGTTACCCTGTTGGGAAAGGCTGGAAGAAACGATAGGGCATGTTGTGCCAATGAATGTAATAAAAAGTTTACCCTTTCCATAAATACAATGGCGAATGATCATGCTCTCCGCCATCATTTATTTCGAGGTAATTTTTTTTATTCAGTTCTTTGATCCTTGCTCTCGTGTATTATAATCTGCAGTATGGCTTATATTTCCGCGTAGGATGCTGGATTGTGGAGAGCAAAACGTGCCGTTATGTTTCCATTCTTTGTGGGAATTTCGTTAAAGTGCATGGAGAAATTATAGAATGCCCGCAAATAAGCCTTTGGTTAGAAGAATCGTAGAGAGTAAAACGTTAGAATGTTTTCTTATAAAACGACTCATTTCAGCGGTAATAGGCTTCTTAGTTGGATATGGTAAGAAATGCACCGTAGTCTATTTAATGTCTAAATGTCGCTACTGGATAACTCATTGCTAACGTTAACTTAGTCAAACGAGTACGCCGATTTTAATTCTAGTTGAAGTGGATATCAAACTAGATAATTTACTAATACGCCTTCCAAATCGTGTTTCTATTTCAAAAGTTCCGCTGCTTTGGTGAATAAGACTGAAATTTTCTTTACCCTGTCGGTAGGCTACGGCATTTGGGCAAGATATCAATAAAATATTTATTCTTCAGCATATTATGCGATGTCTTTTTCGCGTGCTTTCCGACCGGAAGAACAAGAATATGCAGATATGGTAAAATGGGGAGTTTTGCTGGCATCAACGATCGGCTGTTTTGTGTCTCCACAATGTTGTTGCATCGCAGCATTATGTGTGCCAACGATGTCTGCTAAAACTGGAAGAAACTTCATCCAAGCAATATTATTAGCCTGGATTTTGGCAGGTAAGTTCGGTAAATACTGATTATGGTTTTAGATTTTTAGAAGAAATGATATTGGATCGCAGACGACATTTTTTATAAAAGGCATTCTAGGTTCAATTTTATGCCGAGATTGAGGCTCGGTATGACATCACAAACCCCGCCTTTGGCACTCATTGTTTAAAAATAGAATTAATATGAACGCACAATAGTTAGTAGTGTTGATTGACGTCCATGGAAACTAGCACACCATCCTCTCTTCCCGTTATTCGGGGGAAAATAGTTAATTGATTTTCTCATATAAATTATTTTATATTATACTCAAAACAGGTCCCATAACAAATATCATGTATCATGCAACTGAAGCAATTCGGTGCATATCTTGCGTGACGGAACTGCAGGAAAACCAAAGTGAATTGATGGTAGATCTCATGAAAGCACCAATTGTTCACGGATTGGGTTTGATTGTGGTATATTTAAATTTTGCTTCTCTCAATACTTTTTGTTAATTTGCTTTTATTTACATATAAAAAACTTGTTTAAAATATAAATTTCGCGATACGCGCTGTGCTCATTGGAAAATTGAAACGTTATCATCCACACAGAAATAAAACTAAAGGGCAGTTAATTTGTCCCTTCATCTTTAACGATATTTTAGATTGTGTATATTACAGAAATTTCGTCTGGGCTGGGCGAGAATTGTTGATTAGGGTAATGATAAGAATTATTGATAAGTAAAATTTGTATCGCTTTGCAGTGGCGCGTAATCAGTAAACCTCACACATTAAGGCGTTATCGTTAAATTGATCAATTTATTCACAAAAATTTTTCGTCTCCAAACAAGGATGAATCAGATTCCCTGGATGATTCACAATATGAACTTGAAGACAATTTAGAAATGTTACAATCAGAATTACTCATTAGCGCTTTCGGGAAAGCCAAAGCAAAAGAAATGATGATAGAAGAGAAGGAAGCTGCAGAGAAAAAAAAGGAAAGCGCAGAAGAAGAAACGAGAAAACGAATAAAAAGAAAAGCAAAAGTAGCGAGGCAAGGAAGAACTCTAGCAAAAAAACCTAAATCAAAGAGGAATAAAAGAAATGCTGAAAATATGAGAACAAATAGGCTAGGACGCTATGGAAAAATTAATTCGAGACGAAATAACCGACTTCATTCATTGTTGAAACGTAATGTTAAAAGAGCAGATGTGTATATAGACGAGGAAGAGTATCTCCCAAATGCACCAGAAGAAGAATTCACCAACGAAACGGAGGCGATCGCTGACAAAGGAGTTGAATTAGCGGAAAATATGAAAAAAGAGGGTCTCCGGGTTTGCAATGGTATGGAAATTATAATTTTACTTTGGCGCTTAATCATAAGTTAGACGGATTTCAACTACAAATGGTGCCTCACTGTTATATTTAAATATAATTACCTGTTCCATGTGTTTAATTAATAATCAATAAAACAAGATGTGGTGCCACTTTGGTATGCGGCGTGAAAGTCATAAAACTACTCTGGTACGTGATCCGAATTGCATAAAGACATTCTGATAAAAATCAGAATGTACAGTCATTCTGATAAAGTTCCCAACCCTGTCAGCGTTAGGCCGCTGAGATCGCTCACAGTGGCACCCAAGATGTCTTGGTCGGCCTAACAAAAATTGGGATCACTGACTTATTGGGGGTGAACATCCCTCAAAAATTCCGACACCTCACCTAATTTTGAGCTGTGGCAACACACATTAATTTTTAACACAAATAAAGTTGTATTTAGATATCCAAAAAATGGATTATTCCCCCCCTAAAGTGACATTTTGGGAACATACTTATGAGCACATTTACTTTATTTTCAGTACAATAAGTTCTTAGTGCCCATATTCCTCTCTATCTTTTCCAGAAATTTTTGATAAAGCATACAACGGATGCTGCGAATTAGCAGATACAGCGTGGGCAACATGCATGGGTATCATCTTAGTTCCCATTTATTCGCATGTCATTTGTCAAATCGTCTATTGGGTCGGAGAGGCAAAATGCAATAAGAATATACGAGGTAGTCAAAAAGAATTGTTTGTAATTGGACTAATTTTTAAAGTTACCGGAACCCAGTGGAATTTTCCCCGAGCATCGATTTTCTTGTTTATTTCCGTAACAATAAGCAATGAGTCAATAACGACGCAACACTTGCAATTAATGCGGCCGCTCATACAGATATCCAAGCAAGGTGGTGACATGACGTGGTTTTGCGTTACAATAGTTAGTTTTCAGATGTATTTCCAAAAATTAGTAAATCGAATAAAGTAATTGTCACTATATCTTCCGAAGAGCATTAATTTACGAAGAATTTTTTTGAGGCCAAGGGTAGGGATAACGTCACTGGTTATAATCTCGAATTCAAATCCCATGCCCACAACCTTATACAGGCTGAAATAAATTAGGCAGGCAACGCCGATCGGAAGATTCTGATCTTTTCAAAAAAGAAGACCCCGTAAGCATCAGTAGCTGATTGTACACGGCCTTGCTCGGGGCGAAATGGCGTCGGATAATAAATTGAAAATTTTGGTTTTCTCAAGTTGTTTTATTTTTAGATAAGAAAGATAAAAAATGTAAGGCTCAACCCGATCTTAACAATGAAGGGGTTAACGATAATTACAGCTTCATTTCATACCAAGTTGAAAACGTTCATAAACAGTTTGACATGAAATTGTTATGGAAGGTTTGATTTGATATATTAATAATGAAATAATTATCTTATTTTCGTGTTTGTTTTAATTTGGTGTTGAGATTATTATAATTGTATGAAAAATACATTAGGTGTATAAATGATCATAGTATACTAGGCCTCTTTTAAGTTCATTATTGACATTTTGGAAGGTATGTTTTAATAGAGCATGAACTCGAGGCCGGGAGACGTCACTAGAAGGCCATTTTTGGCTTTTTCATTCAAAACGAACACTTTTTATTTCGTATTTCTCGGCCGTCTTCGTATTTGCTTCTTGTCTGGAGATTTTTTTCAGCAAACTCGGTGCTATGAGGTCTGCCAAAACGGTTCCACATTGTTCATGTATTTGAACATTGCTCTCTTGTTTGTTCCGAAGAATGTCAATGCGAGCTGAAGTTGCAAGCAAATGTATTTTCTTCAACTGACTCCAATGACCCCTAAAGGTCATATCGTTGCCTACCAGTAATGTACCAAAGTCCGAAAACATCTGTTTATATGATACTCATACATTTATGCATAAATTGTTTTGTTTTTTAAACCAAAATGAAATAAACTCTCACTCTCTCTCTATCTCCAATTACTTTGTTCAGAAACCCTCCCTTGATGAAAGAGCGGCTGTGATGACGATTCAAGAGATTACTCAAGGAGTGAAAGCTGATTATAAGTGGCGTATGATGGTCATGAATATGTGTGTTTCTATTGCAAAAAAAGTCGTGGCAATAACCATTATTCTTGTATTAAAAGCGTAAGTAAGAGACTATATACATTTGCCGTTCCTGAATTTAAACGAAAAACAATTTTTTTTTGTTTCAAGATAATTTATTATTTAGTAAATTTATTACCGATCACTCAAATACCACGAGTTTCTGAAACAATAAAGATTTATTGAGGTTTATTGCGTGCCAATGAAGCGATGAGGTCAATTAAATCAGGAAAATAGCTGATAGATGGTGAAGTTCACATTACTGAAGCCCAAGAAAAAGCCTTGGTCATAAAAAGGCTTTTGTCTACTCTAGGAGTTACGCTGACTGTTAGCGAGTGAGAGCTTACAGCCAGTTTTTTCACTGGAGCGAGTTTTGAATGTTCAAGAACATTCATTATAATATCTGATATGATAAACATTTGGATTGGTGGAAAAATTTCTCCACAGAAACGACAAAATTTCTGGTTGGAAAACATGGAATTTTTGGATGAATGGTCAATAGACTTTTCGGGCAAAGTCATCCATTATACACGGTGGGCGCTATGAAGCAGAAAATTTAAAGGTCCGATGAAATGCGTATAGGTATAGGTGGAATTGGAAGGATATCCCACAAATTAACCTTCAAAACGCTACATAAGCTTAGACTTCTAACTTAAGACACTGCTCTTGAGTGCTCGGATGACATTTTGAGCATCTATGAGTGTAATAAAACATATGCCTTTAAAACCATTGTAAAAGTTATTATTTGTAAAAACAAACAGCTGTTTCACAAATTTTCTGTTTTTTCAGCGACGACCCTGTATATTTAAGTTTATTTATTTACATAAATTTTAATTAGCACTCCGGAAGTATGTGCACCAAGATGGCGCACAACCTGAACCCTAACCTGGTACACATACTATATTCAGGTTGTGCGCCATCTTGGTGCACATACTTCGGGAGCACCTTTTAATTGGGGCTCCCGAAGTATGCGAACCAAGATGGCAGACATCGGAATGTAACATGGTACTAGGTTAGGGTTAGGCCATAATTTTAGGTATGAATACTACGGGAGGCTCTTGGCTAGTCTTCGAACTGATAATAGGACTAAAATAAGGAAAATTGGAAAAAAATTATTGCCTAACCCTAACCTGTTACCCATGTTACGTTCCGATGTCCGCCATCTTGGTTCGCATACTTCGGGAGCACCTTTTAATCAATATAACATTACAGTGCTGCTGGATACAATACTAATTATCTTACTGACTACAACTTCGACAACTTTTATATATCTTCCTATTTCGCATATAAAGACAAAAAACGAAAAAAAGCGGTGAGCATTGTTTATGTGTCCACAATTTAATTTGCGTTCGTCATCAACTTAAATTTTTTTTTATTTTCGAATCTTCTAGAGAAAACGTCATCTTTTGCCGTTAACAAAAATAGAAAGCAAATATGTTTTGAGACCGACAGATTTCAAATTCACTGCGGCAGAAAAGAAATCTATAGTAAGTATCTTAGGGGAAAGAAAAGCCGACAAGACGGTCCAATCACATGGTGAAACATTTCGTATGGCTACCAGGGTAGATGAAAATTTAAACATATACATCATACATGGACGTGAAGGGCGAAGAGTCCAGCAATCCTCCCGCACTCAATTAGCCACGCGAGATTCGAACCCGCGGGGGCAAACAGAGAAAAAAGCTTGTTCCAACTCTTAACACGATTCGCCAACTGTCAGCCTCCATATACCGATGTAATGTACATAAAAGTGATGCGTACTCTCTAAATTTCCATATCCTAATCATATTTTTAGCTATTCAAGATCATCACTCTCATTATACAAGGATTATTTACTACTATTCTATTTGTTTTCGACGAAATTGTATTTTTCATCATGGACCTTATTGCAAGACACGGTAAATCTGATTACCATGTAACTGGACGACACAGACTAGAGGCGAATATTGACGGAAACGGAACTGTGTCTGATTTGTTACGAGTTGTGTTTTCTGGATTCTTGGATAATGATCATAGCATGGAATTAACTGGTTCTAATGAAGGTAACTCAATCCCCAAATGATCAAAAATTCGTTGCTCGAAGCTCAGTTTTTTTTATCTAGTTCAATGCGTATATCAGTGGTTCCTAACCTTTCTTGTTATATTCTTTCCTTTCCTATTTTGGACCTTTTTTTCCTCACTCTCTTAGTCTCTTCACACAAAACTACAATTCACAAGTCGCACTCCCGTACAGTTTATATTATGTGTATAAATAAATATTGCATCATTAATGAGGAATACTAGTCATACATACATAGTACAAAAGTTTAAATCCTCACTGTTTGGGAAACGTTGGCGTATATAAAATGAATAAAAGTAATAAATTACCAGCGACAACCTCAATCTTAACCACTGAAAATTCCTAAGTAATTTTTTTCAGTGGATAAAGATAATTTTCCCCATTAGAACAAGAATTCTGACAACATTATTACAATAAAAAAACGATTCATAGGACCACTCCGTGTCCAACAATTAAGCAGAGTAATGCATTCACTAGAATAGTTGCTTTTGGCCGCTATCTTATTAGGAAACTGAACTGTGACCATTTTTCTGTTTTTTCTTTCGGTACTCCCGTAGTATGTGAACCAAAATGGCGGACACCGGAACGTAGTATGTGTGCCAGGTTAGGCCATATTTTTTCGGTACAAATACTACGGGAGTCACTTAGCTAGTACCCGATCTCATAATATAACTAAAATAAGGAAAATTGGAATAAAATTATGGCCTAACCTGGTACGCATACTACGTTCCGTTGTCTGCCATCTTGTAATTTACAAGTATTTCTCTGTTTCAGAATGTATGCCTCATCCACATAAATTAGAACGGGAAATCGTGACTTGGTCCATCACCGGCTACAGTTTTTTAATCTGTCTTATACTAGTAGAAGGATATTTGCTTCGTATTCGACGCGTTATTTGTGGAATATTTTACCCAAGACGAGAAAAACGTAGAATAATTCATTTATATAACAACCTATTACGACAAAGAAAGCAACATATATTCTCAGTAAGGAAGGCTGTCCTCAAGCTCGCCTTAACCAAAAGACTGAATGTAAGTATTGAACATTTACGAATCTTAGATGAAAAAACAATTAATAACGCTTGTATGTGGAAAGAGTACTGTATTATGCTGCGGACCATCGGCAATGAAGATCCGTACATCAGGCGCAGCGGCTTATGTAGCATGCAGTGACATTTTTTTGAGACAAAAAAAACGGATTCAAGTGCGCCTCATAGTGCGTGAATACAGTAACTGATTTTAAGTTTTTTTTTCTTCTCGGCATAGCTTCTCAAGCCCCGCTTTGAAGCAGTTTATTAACTAAAAATTCACATTTATTTTAGCAAAAATACAGTTTTCTGGAGGCAATTCGGATTCGATACCCGAAAATTGGCAAAATATTATTCATGTTGGGATATGGAAAACTTCGTTGTTTGATATGTGAGACACCTGAAACGTCCAAACATACTTTATGGAGATGCAGTAACGTCAAGTGCAGGATGCTGTATTGTAATATTTGTTGGATAGAAGTCGATGTAAGTCAGGTTACAATTATACGTCAATCGACTGACAAATTTTGCCAAATCTAAATTTCTTACTCTATAGGAAATGTGTTGGGCATGTAACAGTTACAGAGGAGTAGAGAAGGCGTTGCCAAACACAATTGAAGATAATCAAGCCACAGAGGAAATAGAGAAAGACCAGCAGGAAATAGTGACAGAAAATCAAAATTTGCTTCTTAGTGATGAAGAAGACAGTGAAACTTCGCTCTAATAAAACGACGAAAGTAAACTGTTACGTTGAAGGATCTATTTTTTAAAGCATTGGTATGGTTATCAAAAGTCGACCCAAATCGACTATAGATCCATGTTTATATCCCATACAAAGTATAATAAATATGATGAACATTTAGTGGCGTTATGCCAGTCAATTGTCAGAATAAGTGGAAAATCTTGTCCCATTCCACATTCCAGCCATGCCCGAAATGACGATTTATATATAAAAAAAAAAGTTAATTCTATGTCTGCTCTTATTTTGTTGGTTTCATTTTTTCTGTTTTAGGACTACATTCAGCAAGATGTTCACTTGTGACTAATTCGATTCACGAAAAATTAAAATATGTTATACAGTTAGCTCAATACTCTAATATGGTCATTATTATTAAAATACACTGGCCTCGCGTTTTTAATAGTAACTAACTGTATTATTCGGGAATAAAGCAAAAATATGGATGTTTAACACAAGTGAGGGTATATGCCGCCTGAATCAGTGATGACCGATTATTGTGTCTGCTGTAGATGAATACTTTAATAGTCACTAGTTTCAGCACATTCAAAACTTTATTTAATAAATAACATGAAAGAGATACCACTGCAACTGTCTGAATTAGTCCTTCAGAAATATATACTGATATTTGCTAAGAGCAGCACATTTTCGTTAAGCACCATAAAATTAAAAACAAACTAGAAATAAAAAACAACAATTGGAATATAATCTCCCATATAGAAATGAGCAATGTATCATGGACCAATATTTTTTCAAGATGATTCATAAATAACAGGGGTCATTTCTGAATGGGGATGGAGAAAATTGTACTAAAGACAGTGGTCAACTGTGTAAAACATGTTCAAAAGTTTTTGCGATGTATAGAGCGCATAAAATTGCCATACCATTATGAAGCCATTTTCGATATTTATCATCTTTTCTTACAAGCACGACTGGTGAAGGATTCGTTAAGTTCCGAACATTTAACCTGGACAGTTCTCTACTATCTGTTGTTACCTGATACTTGCAGCATGGATCAAATTGCCACGATATACCATATAAAGTTGCACACCCTGTACACATCATGGCTGAGGGAATGCTGAGATATAGTCCAACAGGTATTGAATCTGGTAATAACTGTGGCAATAATAAAGCTGCTAGTCCAGATAGTACTGATGTTTTATGAAGACAGTTCCCGACTCTTATCCATCGATTTGTTTCTTCACCTAATTTTGTCGGTTCAATGACAATGTATTTTACTCCTGCTTCTAAAGCTCCTTCGAGTTCAAGTTCGAAATTATCTGTCGAATTTTCATCAGAATATACTTCACGGATGACCCTAGTCTCCTCTCTTGTACGTACTTCTTCATCCATACTTAATACCGGTAACTTCAATTGTTGTACGGAATTACTTTTTCAGCCTAAAAAATGGCAGAGTGCTAATGGTAATAAAGTGAGTTCTGTTATCGAACAGCTTTTTTTACTTACTCATGTTTTTTACTTTGCCTTATAGTAATAAAGTAGGGTATTCGTTTGGCGGATATAGATTATTGACGTTTAAAAAAATGAATCTTCTTTTCAATATGAGTCAGCTATTACTTTGTCAGTACCATGTAGAAAGGGAAAATTATCTTTTTTTGGAGTTACTTCACAATGAGGAGGATATAATTCATTTGTTTTCACATAATTGCAGGCATAATTCAAAAGCAAAGGTATGTCATGTTTAATACCATGGTAATATAGGCTTCTGTAATAATAAGCGGTGGATAAAAACAATGCTTGGCATGACTCCTTGATTCAGATTATGGGATTGCTTTGGATGGTCAACTCCATGCTGAAAAGTGAGCCACGAACAGACAATATGGAAAAGGCTAGCACCTAGGTCCTGCCGAGATTTCTAGATAACTGTTTAAATAAAATGTTATTGACACCAGCAATTGTATTTTAAGATGGGATCAGTTTGAACTATCGGACCAAAATTACTTTCTCGTGGTGGAGACAGTATTGTTATAAGTTCACTATAAATTTCTAATGATATGAATTAGTCTAATATTATTTCATGTTCTGATGTTTATTATTCAAAAGCAACAATTGTTCAGTTGTGTGCATGCCACTAACAGAAGATAAAGACTTCAAGTACTGTAGTAGTTAAAACTACAGTACCGTATCTAAACTACAGTATAATTACTAGAATGTATTGGGTATGCATGTTTTTCAAATTGAAAAAAGCAAAATGAGTCAAAGCGGCAAAGCATTTTATGTAAAACATACTGAACATGAGAACCATTTTTTTCATGTCCTATGTCAGTATGTAAATTGTGCAGCAGATGGGCGGATTTAGATATATCCAGATATCAGTATATTAAAAATGAATAAACAGAAATAATACAGTGATGAGAATATTTAAATTTGTACCAATATTTACTTAAACAAATTAGATAAAGGTACCAGTATCCCAATCAGCCAATGCAGCAATGACTGTAAAATTTTGCTACTTCGGGAAAATTTGTTTGAAATATGAATACCGGTATTTACACACACTCTTAACGTTTTTATAAACCAGCAAACACCATTTAGACTATGACCAAAAACAGAAAAGAACTTTGGCAAGACTCCGACCCTTTTTGAGAAAAGTTGGGGGAAGGGGTTTACTGGCAGACTGGTCTAATTACACTAAAGTAAAATTGACTAAAAAATACCAACCTGATATTCAACTCCAGGAGAAGGTTGCGGTGCCACTGCAGCCTACAACATCCAACCCATCGGCTAATTGGTCAAAGTATTTACAGGTTCCTTCACCACCTCAGGATCTTCTGACCTCCCTGTTACACAAACGATCTCTTCTGGTTGCGCAACTCGCGCGCGTGAAATAACAAGAGAGGTCATCACAAACGGCCGCATGAAGTCGCCAAATAACGAAATTTTATGTTTGGTGCAAAACTCTTCCCGAGTATTTGTGTTCTCCGTTGTATTTCGAACTGCTTATCCCATAAAAAAATTCATAAAATGAACCGAACCAACTCATGTCATAGTAATGATGGCAGTACGCCAGATTGTCATCATGTACCAAGTAAAATAGTGTATTTGGGTTCAGGGTCACTTTCTGGATTGAACTTTCAGGTTCCTTCTCAAAGTCACAGCAGGTATTGGAATCAGGAACGTTTTATGACATGTAACATCTATGTTAAAATTAAGTGACACATTACGTCGGCTACTTGAATGTTAAAATTCTCATAAATTTAGTTTACCATACGTCTCGGGGTAGCCGGGTCAGTCCCGATTTTGACAAGCTATCCCAGCGTCGGACGGTAAACTGCAGGTCATGCAATATGGCATTTATGAGTATTTTTTGGTGACCGTACATTTGAACCCACGTACATTTGAACACATGTGTATATCCGCAGGTTCAATCTATATACAAGTGCTAAAACCCACGGGTTAGGGTTAGTATGGGTTCAAATATCTGTAGAACAAAAAAAAATTCATAGGTGCAATAGCATGCAGGTGCAATTGTCGTGGGTTCATATGTACGATATGAGAGACTACTATATTTTTATGGTATAACTAATACATGTATTGCCGTTAAGTTAGTCAAAATGCCGAAAATAAAGTGCACGTTTCCCAATGATATAAATATACTTAATATTATTATAGACGAGTTGAATATTATACTGAGCCTCGGAATCGAATTAAGGTGTGTCTGATCCACACTGTCTCGTTTTTTGTTGTTGTTCTGTTTCATATATATATATATGTTGAGCCCAACTAAAGTAGTTTAAAAATACAAATTAATAATCCAGTATAATGAATGGAATCATTAGTCTTAAAGCGTCTAATCTGCAAATAGCAAATCGTGAAGTGTCTCAATTGACTGTATTCTGTATAGTATAAAAATGTTAGGTAATTGAAAAAAACAGAAGCGTCGATTTCTCGGACAAACTAATATGGCCACTCTAGTATATTTAGGATTTCTGAGGAGCACCATCGACTAATTAATATTAAAGTTAAAAAGGTGACGCAATTAAGCAAACGCATGAGATTAAAGACAAGGATTAAACGAATAATAATGTTCCTTTCCCATAGCTGACAACCGCCTTTCTTATAATCAGTGTTGATTAATTGTCCAAAAACATGGATCAGTCACTGAGATATTGTACTTTGTATAGTAGAAGATGAAGATATTCAACAAACATTCAATCATTTTCTTTTTATTTATGAGGTATCGCTGGAAAAACACATCACGTGGAAATACGTATGCGTATATACCGGTAGGCCTATATAGATATTTTATGGTCAGATTGAATTGTAAAGCTTTTACTTGATGTCTCACACGACCATTTAGTATTAGTAAGATTTCCGTGTTATACCAGATAAGGGAAATGCCAATATTGCGCATTATATAAATGGCGAATCATGACCCCTGTCCGGTTACCAGCCCCTTTTTCAAAAGACCCAAATTTTAAAAAAATATACTTCCAGTAAAATCTCGTGACCCAAGTATATACTCAAATACTAAACGTCATGTAGTTCTTTTATAGCCGCAAAATCAAATTATTAATAAAAATGAGATAATTAAATACAATTTTAGGGGACCCAGCTTTGGGTCGCGACCCCTATGTGGGAAACACTGATGTAGAATGTAGTAGACTACAGTATGAAAATATTTCCATTTTATTTTAGATACATGGCTAATCTTATTAAGAGACGGCTGCGCTACTATGCTATAACCTGAAGGCACCTTTACGACTATACATTATGTCAAGAAGTTAATTAAACAAAAGAAGTCACATCATAATTAATTAGTAGACGCGGTCAGTAGTCACGCACGAAAGTGCCGGTCAGAATGATACAGCAATACCTAGTTTCCTATCTTTCATTTAAAGCCTACAAATTAATTTTATTTAACAAAGAGTATGATATATATGAAAGGTTTATAGTTCAAAGCACCTTGGATATGCATTTTATTTTAACTAATCGTGATCACTTTACGCCGTGACATTATTCTAAACATATTTATGATATTATTTTAAAGCGATTTCGGAATTTTTTCCGTAAAGATACTCAGAAATGCACATAATTATTGGTTTGGTTGAAAAATGAAATGTCAGAGCACCTTGGATTCATTTTACTTTTCTTTAATCGTGATCAGGTTACGCCGACACACTATTCTAAATACATTTATGATATTTTTACAGCAATTTCCTTCGTTGAATACTTTGGATACTCAGAAATTCACATTATAATTGATATAGCTTAAAAACGATATTTATATATTGGAAAAATGAAAACGTAACTTTTGGGAAAGTTCCAATTATTGTGTCATTTTGAAATTCGGTTTCTAATTTCAATTCACTTCAAAAAACCACAAAAATGAATAATATGCTAGCCTGAAATTCTCTAATTTTCTTTGTAGGCATATCAATGATTAATCGCTTGTGCTTTGCTTTACGGTATTGAAACGTTTCAACCATATGCTTATTCGATACTATTACCATTGGAATAGCATAGCTATTTTGCGTAATGTTTCTCATTTCCAATTGTAAATGCGTGAGGCGTAAGTAGAGAATTGATCGGAAAATAGGATTAATACAAATAATATAAGTAAAAATTATCAGTTTGTGATTGGGTATATTCACATCATATCATTTAGAATATTTAATCTATGTTTGAGATTATTAGCACCTCAATTCACTGAAACAAATTAAAAGACAAGCAGCTCGTGAAAAGAGAATGGATAGTTTGTTACTTGACATTGCCCCGCCCGCCGACGAGGTGGCCGAGTGGTTAAGGCGATGGACTGCTAATCCATTGTGCTCTGCACGCGTGGGTTCGAATCCCATCCTCGTCGTAGCTTTTCGTTCCCGGCGAAAGAAAGCTTTTCTAGATAAGTCGAAAATTTGAAAGTAAATTACGGCACCAAACTTAAATATGCACCCGCTAATAGTAAAATCACGGAAAACATTGCCCATTCGTAAAATAAAATAAATACACATTTGACAATTGACATTGAGTGATATCTGTAGATTATTTTTACAATCCGCAATCTCTATTGTACACTATTCAGCGCTTCTCAAACTCTTTAGGCCGCGTCCTCTTTTTTAGAATTTGTGAAGTCTCGCGCCAAATAACTGGCTCACTAATCCCATGGCCTACCCGGCATGTACCGGAAACCGGGCGAGAGATCGCCGTATGATCAATCCGTCTTATCGACTTCCCTCTCCCCGGGATAAATGTAAAAAACCTATCCAATCTTCGCTTTTGCCCAGCCAGCACTCAGAAATTCTGATGGGTTCCGTGCAACGAGCCGCGTATTTTGTAGGTCGGAAACACTGAAACAACTATATAAATATTTAACGCTAGGCATTGTTTTCATAACGCAGAAGGGAGGAAATTTGATAATACGACCAGTTCTATAAATGTGGTATATTGTGTAACAGTATCGAAAAATCAGCAATATAGGCCATCCTGAAGTGTTGTAATGTCAGCATCGGCTGATTAGGAGTACGTCATGTACAAGAACCTATAGTTTATAAGCTGGGGGACTCGAGTACAATTTGGTTTACATCTTGTAAGGGATTGTACTCGACTTGTTATTTATAAAAATTGGATTTAATTCTAATTAAGCTAGGTGCCATGTGTAGGAGTTGTTCAAGGCAATCGCTATTTGAGCGAAATCCAAGTTAGATTGGGTAGTTGGATTACCTAATCCTAATTACGGAGAGATTTCAACTCATTTTCGACTTAATTTTCTTTTGGCAACCAAGTGAGTATGTATCGGCCTACATCTTTTGCTATAGGGTTGAAAAATCTAAGCTTGCTAGCATCAAGAATATTTTATATAGTAAGAAAAATACATATCTATGCTTGCCAGTTCAATAAATTAGAAACTATTGTCTATGGATAGGATGGTAACAAGTTGGAAACTGCAACATGTTAATTTTATGTTCCAAATGTTGGTGGTTTATACACAATGTAATCAACTGAGTGTACAACAGAGGTGTAATGGCACGTAGATGTGTTTTAAAGACATTGTGCTTTGGGCATCTCAATGCGTTATGATTGCGATATAGTTACCAACACCACAGAAATAATTGCTAATTCGTTTGACTGGTATAGAGTCTGTTTAATTATTCTAGCATTATCTGGGTAGACAAATAAAATATATAATTCCATCTCATTGATCAGAATTCTTAAGTCGATTAGTCTTCTTCTTATGAGTACAAAAGGTAGATTAGGATTTACTACTAACTCCCGCTCAATGGACGTAAATAATTCATAATTCAATCGCTTATTTCAAGCACTCAACCGATTACATCGATACTAGTGATTAGGAAGCACATTGCACTTCGTTTCAAACATGAACCACTGATAAACCGCGCCGCCGAGGTTCAATCTCACTATGGATCGTGCATGATAAAGAAAACAGTGTGGGTACCAGGCATTTTATCTGTGTAGAACCGAAATAATTAGAAACAATGGACGGGTTGAATAACTTCCTGTTTTCGAGTTCTTCGACTGCATATATATTATAGACAATAATTACTAATGTTTCAGACAACATCAACCATGACGTCATATTTCATGCAAAGTCATTGCGAAGGTTAGCGGAAAAATTACATCACAACAGTAGTTTGAATACGAATGACGTAATATCAATGGTAATTTTCCACATAGCCAATATGGTGCAACGCACGTTGCGCTCGAATGAACTGATGACGTCACTCGACCGGAAAACTTTAAATATGTGCGATTCAATAGTTTCCAAACACTTTTGATGGTGTCACTTTGTGGTACATGGTATCATGCATACCGAAAACCGTGTGATACAAATAGATCGAAGCAGAGTCATAATGCAGTGTTGCTGTTTTGCGCTGGCCCACAATTGACAAAAATAATAAGAAATGTGTCTCAAGTTACAACAAATCTATTGTCAAGTCTGTTTTTATGGTTTGGTGGTGAAATAGCAAATTTTTACCTCCCTCCTGTTAAGCTATGCTTGGTTGCGTGTTATGTCGGTTATTCTATTATTACAATGAATGATTCAGAGGAGTCATATCTGATCGAGAGTAAACTATAATACATTATCATGCAGCTGTGTAGATTGACGCATACGCACTATTTCGCAGCCAGACTACTGTATTAGGCAGCCAGACGGTATCGTCCATATGGAAGTGTATTTCTAATGAGAAACCTTTGTTCAAGCAGTCAATTATAGCTGTTGGATTTTTAGGAATTCGACATGTTTGTTGAAAAAAGAATTAGCGATATTACGAAATTTGCAACAGTTATCACACGAGCAGAAATCATAATCTGGTAGAAAAGCGTTCAAAAGATTAGACGTCAGGCTGTGTTAAACAGAACAGTCGCTATCAGCTGTAAATGAACGGCAGAACGGTGGAAACTGATTGTTACCGAATTCATGCTCTCAATTTAACCTCGCCAAAATGTATTGGATATATAGCAAAAAGCGGCAAAATTGTCAAGAAGGTTTACATATGTTTTTAATCATACGAGATTAACTTCTTACGGCTATCTCGCTATATAGCTTTGTATAATTCATAAGCAAAAGGTATAACAGGCTGATAAATATCGATTTGAAACACAGAAACCTCAATCTGATCGTAATAGTATTCGTAGGCCTTTGGATTCCGGTTCGTCCCTTCTAATTTGTTACCATGATGTAACTCTGTAACTATAAGAGAAAGTATTAACGGACAGCATCAGACTTCTACTATTTTGCACTGCATAATTTGATAAACAGTTTTGATGCTTTGACGCCACTTTGCTATGCGATCTCAATTGCTAAATCTCGTCGAGATCATATAACCTCTTAGATCGCTAACACCAGAAACGTTTCAAGATATTGATAAATGATAATTTTTATTTTCAAGTAGTGGAACTGGAATACATGCATGATTATCCTAATGGGGTTTATCTGGGATTTTGGACCCAACGGCGATATAGTTCCAATATCAATTTCCATTTGAAATGTTTTGACTACAGACTAAACTACAGTATACTTTAATTTAAACAATGTTGATTTGCGTTATGTAATTCATATTCAAAGCGTCTCAATTAAATTCTCTACAATCTGTAACATACGCATACAATATTGTGTAAAGGCTGAGGTCAATACCGGCACAATGCTGTTCGCGCCTAAACATGCATAATTTCTGCTCACGAATCGAAACACCGGGGGAATGGTCAGGGAATATGCGACGAGTGCGTGCTGGCACGTAACTGAATCTTTGTTTACGGCTGAAACGTTCATTTCACAAAATTTGAATGACGCAGCATTTTTATATTCGCGTAACCTTGGGTTGAAAAATAATTACGCGGAGGGTGACGTCACATCCATATCGCGTGTCATCCGCATTCCCAGCTAATCGCATTAATGATCAATACGATGTTAGGGACTTTTTATTGACAAGAAACGATCGCAAATGAACGACGATGCTGTGGGACATCGTACAGATATGACATTTTGAGACTTCCAATATCAAACACCCATTTTATTTATTGGCTGCCACTTCGAATGTGTGATTTTAATGTTTTAGTAGTTTAGACGAACCATGTAGTTTTATGACTCTGAGATCGCATACCAAAGTGGCATCATATATTGTTCTGAAAGTATACAAACGTAAAGTATTAATTTTAAAAACCTGCTATTTAAGTTGAACTCTAAAATCTACGCCGCTGCTCTACACGAGTTAGTCACACCCCAATGGGTCACATAATTTTTGACAAAACATATTTGCTGGTCTGGTCAGATTTGTGTGAATATACGCGCAATATGCCAACTGACACAGGCACAGTTCATGATTATTAAGCGTTGTGTGTCAAGTTTCATGTATAGTAATCGTATAGAAAATAAAGAAGACAGTTATCTTTATCAGACCATAGTATTGAAAAAGACGGACATTATCTTCATACATTCGTAACGTTAGTAATGTTTATAGGTAAATAATTGTTCCCGGTATGTATATTATTATTGTTTCACACCATTAATGCAAACGCATAGTAGGAATAAACAAAGCAGTTAACGAACCCCATTAAATTCATATACCGATACATCGATCTACCTCATTTAATAATCTGATATATACGACAATCAAGGTCGTGCAACCTGGAATGGTTTGGGCGAGTTTGTCAAAATTAATGTGTGTCATTGCGTATTAAATTAAAATGGGTTAAAAATTACAAAGCTATCTGTAAAATCCATATTTACTTTGAAAAAAGACGATTCTGGCTGGCAAAAGAAGTGTATTTCTCAATTCTTATGGGTGGTTAAATTATTTTATGTTTGAAAATGAGATATTTACAAAGATAAAGCGTCAGCGGTAGATGGTATGAGCATTAACTGTAGCAAATTATATTTTCATCAATTTCATTTCAGTTATTTGCGTTATGAATACGACTATAAGTTTAACGTCAGAAGGATTTAACAATGCTGATTCAGAGACTGAATTTCTCTTGTACACGGAAAAACAATTGTTTGAAAAATATGGAAAAGTTAAAGAAGAAATCAAATGGAAAGAAAAGATTAGAATAGTTGCGAAAGAAAAATGTACATGTTCGGGTTAGTATGGGCTCACCCGTTTCAGATTGATTAGAAGCAATATAATATCTATATAAAACCACCCAAAACAAAAATTTCCAGCTTTGAGAAAATAAAATGTTATTTAGACAATTCAGGGCAAAGTTTCTCAACCGCGGAGGAAATTTTCCGTTTTGTGGGAAGAGTGCGACTAGCGCGCAACACTGGCTTAGAACCCATTAGCCTAATGATCTCGGGTGTCCCTGGGTCATTTTGACACCCCTCTATAATTTTTTTAATATTTCACCAACCAAAAATGCCAAAAACATCATTAAAGATTGAACAAATAAAGTATCTCAGTTGCTCAACGTGATCTCAGTCGCATAACAAAATGGCACCAGTTGTAGTGTCGGTCTGGTATGCGTTTAATCCCATAAAGATATTCTCATAGAATTCAGTTCCTAACCCAAACTAAAATCACCGAGATCACACAACCGCTGAAATTGCATACTAAAGTAACACCCTTCTTTCATTAAAGATTACTATACCGCTCCAATCACGACAAAACTTACAGCGGTAACTTGTCGGTATTGTGACGCCATCATCTTGAATCGATAGATGTCTGACTAACACTTGCTTTTATTACAGCGCAACGCTTAAAGAAGTTCGTATTTTCAGTTTTACCAATTTTACAATGGATTCCTAAATATAATCCACGAAAACTATTGTTTGGAGATATTGCTGCTGGAATAACAGTCGGGATAGTGCATCTACCTCAAGGTATTTGTTTAGTGAAGTATTATATATACGTCAAATCATACCACCTGAAATTCCTGACAAAAATGCCATAAATAAAAATATATAGAATCTGTTCGAATCCTATTCTTGAAATTTTCACTGTTCCCCAGCGTACCCCCTATAACAATTTAACGTACCCCGTTTAGGGCCCCAGGCCCCAGTTTCAGAACCCCAAATCAATTTGTATTTTTTATCGCAGGAATGGCTTACGGACTACTTGCTTCATTGCCGGCTGTAACTGGACTCTACGTTTCATTCTTTCCTGTTTTGATTTATATTCTTCTGGGTACAAGCAAGCATGTATCAATTGGAACATTTGCTGTGGTCAGTCTTATGATAGCGCAAGTGATTAATAATGTAAGTTTAATGCTACAGTGGTCTATATATATAATCTGTTTAATGGTATATTTTGTAGAAATCCCCAGCCCAAAAAATGCCTCTGCCACCGCTCAAAAGAAAGGGTCATGGTTTCTTAATTCCGGTGTACGATGACTACTCTACATATCAGAGATGATGATGAAGTAATGGGCCATTGAAGCACGTATGGCATTTTTCAATGTTTCCAAACGTGGAAGCGTACAATTACTTGAAACGTGGCGAGAGCGTTATTTTTCGAATCTCACATATTTGCTACAAAAGATATGTTTTATGTTCTTAATCAAATTACCAATTGGTTCTCTTAATTAAATTTTAAAAATTGCTGAAATCAAATAATTCATTTCTATATATTTTGATTACTTATAGCGCTTCCTAAAAATAGCAACAACATTCAACCAGATCGAAACCAATTGCAGTGTTTATTAACTCACGACACATCAATGTCACGAGTAGAACGTGCTGTACTTTCTATTACTATTAAAATCACTGACGTCAGTCTTTCACGTAGATATGCGCAGTTATGATTTTAATCAACATTGCTAATTAGTGGTACTCTTGACGAATGGTATCAACTTATCATGAAATTGTATATATTTTTATCGCTAATAGCAAAAATATTTACTTCTCTCGAAATTTAAAAACACCCCCTAGAAGAGGAGCATACAGTCAATGACTGTTTGTAAATAGCTGTTTACAAAGAGATGAAAAAACAATCTACCGACAGTATAACGTTACTCTACAAATATTTCGTTTTTCAGCACGTGACCCCTTGCCCGGATGTGGGTAGTAATTCGACGGCATATTCTCCTACTTCATTCAATCTTAGTTCTACCACTGTAACATATGATATGGTGACGACATCGTCCGCTTCTGTCTCATGTGAAGCTGCGTTGGCTAAACGTAAAATGCAAATTGCGGTTGCACTCGCATTGGTCTGTGGAATAATACAGGTAGTATTTATAAACATGTTATATTTATATCAACGCTCCCAAAGGCGTACATAAAATGCGCTTAATGAATGTAAACCTGCTATTCAAAATCAATAATATACAGCATTCAATTATAAGTACAATTTTGTATGTCCGGTAAATATATCTCACAATGGAATCCCACTTTAGACCATAACAGTTGCCAGTATTATCAGTGATATAATATCTCTGTTAAAGCGTAGACTATGTTATGTAGTTCTATGTTAAAGGTACAACATGCATTTGAGCTTTCATTACTCTCTAATAAAATGCCATAAATTAAAATACCAATAAATGTACTTTATCTTTTAAGGTGGCGATGTCAATATTTCGACTTGGGATTATTACTATATATTTATCAGAATTTCTTATTTCTGGCTTCACGTGCGGGGCAGCGTTTCACGTTTTAACATCACAAGTGCCAAAGTTAATAGGAATTACTGTATCTCGACATTCAGGGCCTCTTGCATTAATTTATGTGAGTATAAGACTTCAGAACTTTTATATTGTTTCTAAAATGTTTAAATTACGTTTTCCCAGTTAAATGAATTAAGTAAAAACATAGATGAAAATTTCATTCAAGTTTTTCTGATTGCATAACCTGAGTTTGGATTTAATGAATCGTAAATCAACACAACATAATATATATATATATATTCGTAGCAAATATAAGGAAGCGCGGTGTATATATTATAGAACTCTCAACTAAATAAATGTATTCAATTGCTGAAAGTTGTGAAAACAAATCTATCAAAAATAACTTAAGTGCAGTTTCACAAGCTATATTTGAGGACGAACTTTGTGATCATAATTCTGGCAACAACGCGTCAGTCCTGCCATATAAGCTTCAAGGTACCTTTATAACAACAAGCTGAACATTGTATTAATATTCTTTATTTTATTTTCAGACGTATATAGATATTTTTAAAGAGATTATTAAAATAAACTGGGCAACAACTGTTGTGTCCATTTGTTGCATTGCACTGCTCATCGCAGGAAAAGTGAGTAAGCATATTTAGATCATGGATATTTTTGGGTTGAAGGATGGGTTCGCAATTTTTTTTTGCGTTGCTCTCGCTTTTATCCCGCCTACAATATTAGATATAAAAGCAAACAATGGTGATAACTATAAAGTTAAAAGAAATATTTTAACAATTCTCGAATATTTGAGTATTGATTAATTAAGGTTGAAGTATTTCTTGATATTGAGTACATTTCCTTTTACAGATAATCAACGAAAAGTTTCATGATCGTTTACCCATTCCTTTACCTTGGGAATTAGCGATTGTCGTGTTTTCTACGATCGCATCATACTTTGGATACTTCAATAAAAATCACGGAGTACAAATTGTTGGAAATATTCCCACGGGGTAAGACGATGGTTGTTTTGTCAAAGTTTACTTGTATTTGATGTTTCCCAGTGCAATAGCTGTAAACTCTGCGCATTAGCAGCCTGGACTAGTTGGTCAATGTTTATGCTTTGTACTGTTTTGTACGCGTTCGGTCTTGTGTACGGGGGCGTTACTGTATCTAACTGATGTTTTAAAAACTGACATCAGTCTCAATGAACAATTGTGTAGCGTTTTTACGAATTGCGAAAGATTAAACGCAAGCAGAAGTCATTACATCGAGTAAAAAATGCATGCTTTTGCTATGCATGCTTTGATCATCAATGTTTCACTATATATTCCGCTATAAATCTCAGATATAATGTTGCACCTAAATGGACTTGTGTAAACGGTGTTTTCGTCGATATCAATAACAGTATACGTAGAGAAAACACTTCATCGCGGTTTTATTTCTTGCTGATTTTTCATTTCAAACTGGATAGGCAAGTCTACAGCTTATTGCAATGCAGTACAAACTATAAGTATATCAAGATTACTCATTACAACTATATTACAGAATTGAAACTTCTATTCCACAAGCGAGTGACATCGGTTTAGTATTTTTAGAAGCAATTCCAATTGCAATTGTCGCGTTTGCTATTGAAATTTCATTGTGCCAAATGTTTGCAACTAAGCATTCATATAAAGTCGACTCAGATCAGGTAATGGTATTATTACTCTTTGATTGCATTTGTTATTTATATATAGTGTATAACCTTCATCCAACAATTTCCTTTCATTACGTACCGGGGACTTCTGTTTGCAATTCGTAAGCTTGCAATTTGAATGAATTCTAGATACTCGATGGTCATATTCAAATTTATTAAGCGATTTCAAGTATTTGGATTATGTTACAGGATAGGATTTTTCATATATATTTATCCCGGGGAGAGAAATGCCGGAAAGGCGTCTTATTTATCTGGAGTAAGTAACACGCCTCTCGTCCGGTTAACGTTCCATGTCGGATTAGTTAGCCAGTTAATTGTTTCAGATGAACGGACTTGATAGAAGAAGCCGTAACCGGCAAGCGGTTACCTAAACCACTCTGTGGCGGTAAGGAGTCCAGCAAATCTCTCGCACATAATAATCCCCCACGCGATATTGAATAAATAGCCATTTTATCTGATAAATTTTCAAATACTGTCTATGTAATAGATGAATAATCTTTTTTTTTATCAGGAATTATTAGCCATTGGAGTTGGGAATATATTTGGTTCGTTTTTCTCTTGTTTTCCTTCGGCAGCTTCTTTGTCAAGGTCGGTGATATGGGATGAAGTTGGCGCCCATACACAGGTAAGATAGAGCATGTATTCTATCGCGTTTATTAAATGAAAACGATTAACGTGAAAATAGTCTTATATCCACAATTAAAGTAGTGGAATTTAAATTAGTTACATTTATTTTCATTCGGACTTTTACAAGTTTGTTGTCCAATGCTCAACATGGCGAATGCTGGTACGAGTAAATACAAACGATAGAAAAAAGTAGCGTACTAGAAGTCAATGAAACCGCGCCTCTAGATTGCAATCATCGTGCAATGGCATTATGAAGGTTATTACGGCCACTAATGTTGTATTTTCCGTAAGTGAAAAATCAATATGAGCTGATAAGAAATCTCGTCTAACGAGAGGCGTAACTTTATTTTCTAGTCACCGAATGAGATTTTTGAAAGAACTGCCTGCACCCCCGCATGTAGTGCGTTTTTACCAGGTTTTAGGCAGTCTTTGAGGCAAGAAGTATTTTACTTTTTAGAATGGAACTTTTTTAAATTCAGCTAAGTACCCATTAAAGATTGAATAAATAAAGTAGTTTTCATGCATATATATATATATTGAGAAAGGATTGAAGAGTTCCTAAATAGTCCAAGGGGGGAATTTAAGGTACCCCCGTAGTATGTCGGACACCGGACGTAGTATGTGTACCAGGTTAGGGTTAGGCCATAATTTCAGGTACAAATACTACGAGAGTCACTTGGCTAGTCACCGAACTCGTTATAGAACTAAAATTGGATTAAAATTATGGCCTAACCTTAACCTGGTAGTGACTGGTACACACTCTACGTTCCGGTGTCCGCCATCTTGGTTCACATACCACAGGAATACCAAATTTAACGAAAAAGGTTGGAAACCACCGCATTACTTTACCAATGGATTCATAATCAAACTTTCATTCCAGATCACGGGGATATTTTCATCTATATTAATTTTGATTATTCTACTGTGGATCGGTCCGCTGTTTGAATCGTTACCACAAGCAGCACTTGCCGCCATCATCGTAGTCAATCTCAAAGGTCTGTTGAAGCAGTTTGAAAAGGTGAGATATTAGATTACACTCTAATCTTTAGCCAGGAAGTGAAGTCGAGGAAAATATATAATAGTCTCCGACTCCGGATTGCAAAAAAATGGACTCCGACCTCAGCTCTGAACTCCGAGAAAATCAAATTTTCATAACAATAAGCGAGCGATGCTTGAATATATGCACTGCACACTAAGACCAAAACAAAGTAGCACGGGTCTGTCACAGTAGACTACCGGCATCACAGTCTTCGACTTCGTCAAACGACTAACGCAAACGCGGAACCGCCACATGGTGCGCAATTTTTAATTTTGATGACGTCATCGGGCACAAAAAACGAACCCTATATAGGTCACATAATATTTTAAAATAAATAGAAGTAATAGCCTTCTAGCGACAAATAGAATCTTGAACCACTATGGAAAAATCTATGCTTGCGACATATTCATTTTATTTCATACAGATACCGGCGTTATGGAGAGTGAACAAACTCGACGCTTTGACATGGGTTGTCACATGGCTTGCTGTAATTCTTCTGGGTGTATCTCTCGGACTTGGCGTTGCTGTTGCATTTGGAATGTTTACTATCGTTCTTAAAACTCAAATGTGAGTCGCAAAATTGTTTATTTTGTATTCATTCACCACTTTTTGTGTTAATGACAACGGACCACGGACGTAGACAAAATTTGTTATGAAGTAGGCTCGAGGTTTTTATATTTATTCGAGAGAAGAGAAAAGCCGATAATAAGACTCGATCATACGTCTAACCACGGCCACTAGTACGACTACCAGTAACTATCAGGTATAGAAATAGTTATCAGATGATAGAAATAGACGTAACCGACCAACGGTTGCCACCCTACTTCCTCGCACAAAATTGTGCCTAACTAGAATCAAATATGCGATTCTAACGATCACTCTTCGATCTCTGACTAGCACAATTCTATCTCTGAAGGCCAAAATAACGCTTTTCTTTGATTCAGTGTGAAAGGATCAGTTCTTGGTGTCGTTGGATCCGGGGAATATCGAGACGTTGATAAATACAAGACAATGAACGATGAAAATTCTAACATTATTGTATTTCGTTATCCAGCACCTATTATTTATGCTAACAGAGAAAGGTAATTTTTACAAATTCCGGATTTTGTCACTGTTAAATAATTCATTATAACCCTCCACTTTGGTTTCAGTTTCAAACGCCAGGTAACCCATTCCCTCGGATTTGATCCAGTGTTGGAGGCTAGCAGAACGAAAAAAAAGAAAAAAGAAACTGGAACTCTTGTGGGTGACAAAAATGGGGCGATTCCAAACTATTCAGCAGCCAGAAACAGTAACCGAGATCCCGAAAATGGACTTCCTGGTTCACCCGGAAACAATTCGAACTCTTCCCTCAACAAAGCAACGCCAACAGAGGCCAATATTACAAACGGGTATACAGCAGGGAGAAAAATTCCCGTTCAAAGGTTATCGAGTGATCAGGGATTAATGGGACATGAAACCGACACTTCTTCAAAAAAGATTACTCATTTCGTCTTGGACATGAGTTCTTGTCCATTTATTGATAACGATGGTGCCAAAACGATAAAAGCAATACACCTATCGTTTCTACAACTCGGTGTTAAATTCTTCATATCCTGCCCTAACGGTAAGTAAATTAATTGATACATTTGTAAATAAGATCTTAATGAATGTCATCGACCAACCAACAAACTATTCTAGATATAGGGGCGAGTAGAGATGTACCTTGTGATATGATCGCACTGCTTTCTTTAGAAGTCAACGTATATAACGTTATCGCCTTTTATCCCGGGATAGAGAAAAATTGATGAAGACTTCTTAACTACTAGTTCTAATTTAGTTTTAGACAGATGTGAGCGGTGATTGATGTTCAAACAACCAACCAATCAACACCTTGATCACCCCACTTTAAGTATCGATTTCACACGACCCCACCCAACGACCGAAAACAACCCTTAGAAATACCTCGAAATTGTGTTTCATATGAAAATTACGACTCTGTGCAACAACTTAAAAAAGGTGCCGTATTTTGTTATAAATTCAATTCCAGCCGAAATTCGACGAATAATCACTGTAGTATGCGAAGAGAAGATGCCACTTTTCTTCGTTTCACTAAAGAAAGCAACAGAAGTCGCGCGAGGTGATGTTGTTGTGGAATTTGATGACGCTGGGGACGTTATACCAACAAATACAGGCGACGACGAGACAAACTTATAACAGGACATACGGTGACCGTGTGACAATCGGTCGTCATACAGCAAGAGCAGATTTAAGAGATGAATCGTGACAACCATACCAGCCACACGTGGAAGAAGATATATGTATTGCATCGGCGAAAGCATACAGCAAACTTTCAGTGCTGATAACCCACTACAGAAAGCTATATAACTCAAGGAGAGAAAGGCCGATAACAGAACCGTCAAGCCTGAGAAGAAGCCTTGCTGCGTATGATAAGATTTATATATTCATACCGGTAAGAGAGGAACCCGATTGTAATATAGTGACCTTTGACCCGTGTCCGTTCATGTCTGAAGGTGACTTCTAAGTTCTGTACTTATCACGTGTACTGTCACATTAGCTGTTATGAGTTGGTACTGTGTGCATTAACTGTTTTAAGTTTATCTATCTGGAATGTGTTCTGTTTCGAATGTGAATAAAGTCTACAAATGCAATATAGTTGTGCGTGTATACACACCACCTTACATTAGCGACGAGGATAAAGCAACGGTAACAGATAACGTTAACCTAAGTGGTAAAGGAAGCTAAGTGCAACCTCGAATACGGGAAAGACCTACGGAACTTGGTGTGAAGTAGTGGTCAACGGAAGTCAAAGAGTCAACTAAGTGTTGTACAGTTTCAAAAGCCAAGAATCATTCCAGAATTGTATATTGCATTCCTAAGTGATCTGTGCTGTTTACAAGTTCTTAACCCACATATAGAAGATGGCAAATCTACCAGATTTCAGATCATTTGATTGTGAAGACTTATCAAATGCTGGTCCCCGGTGGAAGAAATGATTATCGCGTTTTGAAGTTTTAATGTTAGCCATGAACCTCAAAGATACCGAAGATGACAGAGAAAAGAAGAATAATCTTTTACTGCACTATATGGGTGATGAGTGCTATGATATATATGAAACATTAAAAGAAGAATCTGACAAATTCTCAGACGTAAAAGATAAACTGACATCGTATTTTGTTCCCAAGTCAAACAGTGAATATGAAAAATATATATTCCGAAATTCAAAACAAGAGGAAGGTGAAAGTTTAGATCAGTTTTGTACGAGATTGAAGAAGATTTCATTAAACTGTGAATTTGGAGAAAATCGTGATTCTGAGATTAAAAGTCAAATTATACAAGGTTGCCTATCTTCAGAACTAAGAAAGAAAGCTCTCACAAAGTCGATGAATCTCACAACATTGCTTGAGACTGGAAATGCGATGGAGTTGGCTAAAGATCAACTGTGTGCAATGGAGAGTGAGTCAAGTATCCAAGGGATATGTGGAGTTAGTTCCTATAAAAGAAAGTGGAAAAAGAACATTTCATCCAACAATTCTAATCATTCAAGAGATCAGACAAAGAAGCATCAAAGTAATAAAGGTAAAACCTTTCATACAAAACTAAAATCATGTTTCAGTTGCGGTGGAGTGTATCCAAATGCAGAAAAGTGTCCTGCATATAGTCGCAGATGTTATAACTGTTCCAAGTATGGTCATTTTGCTAGATTCTGTAAAGAAGCAAATAGTAAATTCAACAAGCCCAAGTTGAACAGTGTGCAAAATGAGCCTAAACATGATTGCAGAGATCATGAACTGAGTGAAATGAGCTCTGAGAATCATGAATATATTCTCTCAGTGAATGGATCAATGTGTAATTGCTCCAATAACGATAATCCTGCAAAAGTACAGTTGAAAATTAACAATGTGCCCTGTTCTATGCTTATAGATAGTGGTGCTAGTGTCAATGTACTCGATTACAAAACTTTTCAAAATTTAAAAAGTAGATCCAGTAAACCATGCAAATTGGAAACTGCAAATATTAAGCTTTATGCTTATGGAAGTAGAAAACCCTTGTCGGTGAAGGGGAAATTTCATGCAGTTGTAACTTCTAAGTGTGGCAAATGCATCAACACTGTATTCTATGTTGTTAGATATGCAATTGGTTGTTTGCTCTCTTTCAAGACTGCTAGTGATCTTGGTATTTTGAAAATTATTAACTCTGTGTCAAATGATCGAGTGGATCTCACTGAAAATATTTTAAGGGATTATAATTTAATTTTTCAAGGGTTGGGGAAATTGAAAAACTTCCAATTGAAGTTGAATATTGATGATTCTGTAAACCCTGTTCATCAAAAGCACAGACGAGTTCCTTTTAAAATGCGTCAAAAAGTCGAAAGTGCTGTTGCTAAACTTTGTGATGAAGACATTTGTGAAAGTGTGGGGAATTGTCCTACACCTTGGGTCTCTCCTATTGTATGTGTTCCTAAACCTTGTGACCCAGAAAACATTCGACTATGTGTCGATATGCGACCTGCGAATAAGGCAATAAAGAGGGTAAAACACCCTATGCCTACTGTTGATGAACTTACACATGATTTAAATGGATATAAAGTATTTTCCAAGTTGGATTTGAACCAGGGTTATCACCAAATTGAATTACACCCTGACAGTAGACATATTACTACTTTTAGTACCCATATTGGATTATACAGATATAAAAGATTGAATTATGGAGTCAATGCTGCTAGTGAAAAATTTCAATATTTGATTGAACAAGCATTGCACGGTTTAAAAGGTGTCAAAAACATCTCAGATGATATTTATATCAGTAGTGTAAATGAGGCTGAGCATGAGAAAGATTTAAGAGCCTGTTTGCAACGTATAAGAGACTGTGGCCTTACTTTGAATAAGAAAAAGTGTTCATTTTTTCAATCGTCTATAAAGTTTTTTGGAAATATTTTTTGTGATAAAGGTGTGTCACCTGATCCAAATAAGGTTGAAGCTATAAACAAGGCTGATAGACCTTCTGATAAGCAACAAGTTAAATCTTTTCTTGGTATGTCGAACTATGTGTCTCGTTTTATACCTAATTACTCAACTATTGTTAAACCTATACAAGATCTTGCTAAACAAAATGTTGATTTTATATGGAGTGAAAATTGTGAAAAAGCTTTTTGTGAATTGAAAAATAGTCTCACAAGTGATACTGTTATGTCTTATTTTGATCATAAGCTTTATACTGAAATTATTGTGGATGCATCCCCAGTTGGACTTGGTTGTGTTTTAGTCCAGAAAGAATCTGACATTGATAATGAATATGTCCGTGTGATTGCGTATGCATCTAGATTGTTGAGTGATGTGGAAAGTCGTTATTCTCAGATAGAGAGAGAAGCTCTTGCTGTGTGCTGGGCTATAGAACATTTCCATCTCTATCTGTATGGTGTAAAATTTACTGTTGTTACTGATCACAAACCCTTAGTGAGTGTGTTTTCTAGTGTGACTGCTAAACCTTCTGCCAGGATTGAGCGTTGGTGTTTGCGTTTACAACAGTACACCTTTAATATTGTACATCGTCCAGGGAAAACTAACCCTTCTGACTACATGTCAAGGCATCCCATTCAAATGCAAAATGTACATTCTGATAAAGTCACAGAAGAATATGTGAATTATGTATGCGAGAATACATGTCCCAAAGCTATCAAACTGTGTGAAATAAAAAGTGCTTCTGAAAATGATAGTGTGATACAGAATGTGATAAAATGTTTGCAAAATAACTTATGGTATAAGTATAAAGATTGTGAAGAAATGTCTATTTTTGCCAAAATTGCCAGTGAACTTTGTGTGACTGAGCAAGGTATTTTATTACGAGGTAATCGAATTGTTATTCCAGTATGTTTGAGACGTAAAATTGTTGACATTGCTCATGAGGGACATATGGGTATGAGTAAAACAAAATCTTTGTTAAGAGAAAAGATATGGTTTCCTGGTATGGATGCTATGGTAGAAAATGTGGTGAAAAGCTGTGCTGCTTGTGCTTCTGTTGTGAAAGATGAGAGAATGCTCCCTTTAAGCATGAGTGAGTTGCCACAAAAAGCTTGGCAAGCTGTTAGTTGTGATTTTTCTGGTCCATATCCCAGTGGAGACTATTGTCTTGTTGTTATTGATGAATACTCTCGTTTTCCTGTTGTTGAAATTGTAAAAGCTACGTCTAATTTTTATGTCATTCCTGTTCTTGATAAAATATTTTCAATGCTAGGTTTTCCTGAAGTTGTGAAAACTGATAATGGTCCTCCTTGGCAAAGTTATCAATTCAGACGTTTCATGGAACTGTGTGGCATACGTCATAGAAAGATAACTCCCTTGTGGCCTAGAGCTAATGCCCAGTCCGAAAATTTTATGAAACCTTTGGGTAAGGCTATCAAGACTGCCACGGTTGCAGGCAAGTCTTGGAAGCAGGAAATGTATAAATTTTTGAGAAATTATAGAGCATGCCCCCATGTTACAACAGGTAGACCACCTGCTGAATTATTGTATGGTACTAATATTAAAGTCCTATTACCTGAAATTATTGTTCCTACTGTTGATAATGATTTACGTGATCGTGATTGTTTTCATAAGGCTAAACAGAAAATGTATGCTGACGCAAGAAATTGTTTAAAGCCGACTGAACAAATTCATGTTGGTGACTCCGTGATCATGAGACAAAATAGAAGCAATAAGCTTTCTTCAGCATATAGACCTGAGCCTATGGATGTTATAAATGTAAAAGGTTCTATGATTACTGCACAAAGTCCCAATATTGGCAGTAAAACTAGAAATGCTTCTCTGTTTAAAAAAGTGAATGATTGTATCTTTCGCAAGCGTTTTACAAATATCACGATTCTGATGTTTTACATGATAATGATATTTCTGACGATACTGCTAATTTGAATGTTGATAATGAAACAGCAGATCCTATTGCTGAAAGTCCAGCACCTTCCGTTCCCCCTGTTCCAAGTGTTAGAGATCGTCCTAGAAGATGTCCAAAAGTGCCAAGTAGATTTAAAGATTTTCATATGGGACGAATTACAGTATTGACTGCTTAACTGTATTTTGAAACTAATGTGTACTGTGTTTTGCATTGTATTTCATGGAAGTTGATATCGATATTTATCTGTGTGAAGACTTGAACTAAAAGTTTGTGTGCTGAATCCTAAAATTTTGATATCAAGTCTTCATATGGTTTGTCGTTCATCGATGTCAATTTTTTGTGTTTTTTTTATTATTAAGGTTTGGAGGGATGTAATATAGTGACCTTTGACCCGTGTCCGTTCATGTCTGAAGATGACTTCTAAGTTCCGTACTTATCACGTGTACTGTCACATTAGCTGTTATGAGTTGGTACTGTGTGCATTAACTGTTTTAAGTTTATCTATCTGGAATGTGTTCTGTTTCGAATGTGAATAAAGTCTACAAATGCAATATAGTTGTGCGTGTATACACACCACCTTACACCGATAAGGCGGCTTAATCATATAGATAACCACGGCCTCTCGTCCAGCTATCAGTCCATGTCGGGCTTGGCACGGTATTTGTTTCAGATGCATTGACTTAGTATAGTGAAACTAAACACTATAGAATACCTGTCCCGAAATTCTACGAAAGTGAAGTTGCAGCCGTTCACCTTATAAATTTCCATTATTTTCTTATTCATAATATGCTTTTGTACTTCTTATGTACTATGTACGTTTATTTATACATCTTTGCACAGACAACATTGAAATATAAAGTTATTACAAAATTAGGACGTTCAATCTATTAATTCTAAAGAATTGAGAAACAACAACAATAACAAATAGAAAAGAAGAAACCAAAGTTCAGAAATAGGGACTATCACAACATGGGTAACCAATGCCATCAGAGCAAAGTAGGCCAAAATTATACACAAAGAATATTCGCGGGCCAGGAGAGGGCCTGCAAGGCCATATTAAATCGTTACGCGGGCTACAACTGCAGTAAAGGAAGCAGTTATCATCCGGCGATTATGATAGCCTGAAATGGGGCAAGGGAAGGAGGTGGATATTGTTTGTATGTGTACAAATCACGACCAATATGCCAGGTAACTACCATTTTTTTCGAAATGACTGAACTATTGGCAAGTGGAGCTGTTAGTTGTTTCTGTTACCAAAAGTCGCTACTTTTTAGCGTCTCACAAATGTAACAATGCTTCTATACAGTGCAAAATATGAAGAATTCAACATTAAATGATATGTAGAGCAAAATCTCATTGTGCATTTGAGAATGCCTTTACTCTATTATTTAAATGAATATAGTAAATAATAGGCAATTTTTTAGCGAAGTTATAATGTATTTATCAGATGGGGGTTACACAAGACTAAATAACAAGTGGATGTGTATAAAGCAAGGATGCAGGAATAAAAATAACTATTCTGATTGATTCAAGAGTCTTGCTGCACAATATTGCAAATGTATTTCTGACTTTGGTCAGACGAAACGTTACAGAAATATATTCGTGTGAGTGTGCAGCACGACTCTTGAATCAAATATTATTACATATATCGTAAAATTAAACATAATTCATGATTTTCCCACAGCGATAGCAAATTTCATATAATATTTTCCAAAAAAAAACTTTTTGAATGATCTGAACGAGCTAATTTACCCATGATTACAATATAGAGTCTTACATTGCTCTAAACGTGCAGTATACTTGAAATTGACATGCCAGCTTTGTGTATAAAATTGTTATATGCCAATAAAAACTAGAATTAGGTAAATGAAAGAAAGAAAGAGAAATGCAATACAAACTTCAAAGAAGGTAAATCTTAATGCTAAAACTTGAAAAAGATGTGTATTTAGTACCATCAACACCACAGACGCTTCATATATCTATACGGAATTATTATATGATTCAAAATAGTACAAGTAACTGAATTCTTGTTACAAAGTATATGAATTACCATTAGGAGTAGTGCTCTTACCAAACACTACATTTGTTTTCTGGATTCATTGGACTGCCGATGGGACATTGGAACGCTTTGGCAAATTCTTTCGAATTCGATGCCGTACCTAGCACTCTGATTTTACTAGGAGAATGCACGCTGACTAAAACACTTTTCTTCATGTATTCAGGAGTACTAACAGAGCACCAAAGCTGAAAATAAATAGCACATAATAACTATGGTTACTAAGTGTCTTGTGATAAGCAAAATAAAAATCGACATAGATAGAAATTCATATTTATACAAGAGAGAAAAGTCCAATAGAACGAATGTGACTACACTCGAAGCCCAACCCCAAACAGAAGTTTACCAGTAAACTGAGAAGTTTAACATTTCTGTAACACAAAATCATCCACATGAAATTTTAATGGGGTGGGCGGATTGATGGCTATATTGACTTTGCAGGTCAGATATTTTACATTTAAACCCCATGCCCACCACCTTACCCACAGTGCAATAAATTGGGTTATGGAGAAAAATAATGGTCCTTTCTAAAATAAGAGCGACTTGAACCATCAGTGGCTGCCTATACGGAGCGAGGGTGTCAAAACCCCCCATAACAAACCTCTCTCAATAACATCCTCCACGAGTAAGTAATCCTTCTTTGGCTCATAAATGGAGAATAAATCGATATCATACCTGTGCGAAGCCGATAAAAAACAATTGATCTCTTGTATAATTCAACGACGGCAATAATGGGTCTTCTAAATCAGCGTCCCCATTTTCTCTCCAATGCATATACGCCTACAAATACAAAACTATATAAGCCTCGGGCCCCATTGAAAACAGAATTAGAAAAAAATCAAGATCAGAAAAAAGAAACACATACATCATATGCAAGTCTCAATCCACCATTGTCCGCAATGTTCTCTCCGACAGTAATGTTTCCGTTAATCTGTGAGAGCAAATGATATTCATGATTTATTTTTATATGGCCTTTCCGTGTCTTTACGATGAGCAAGACCTAGCAGTCAACACAAATTTTCACTAATTAGTAATTAGTGATGAGCATTTTCAAATACGCCATGATTTCAGAATCTAATTGAATATTTTTTCGAATCGAATCTAAGATATGGTATTGAATGAGACTTTTTTATTGTAATAGTTCTTCCAGACACGAATTACCGAAAACATAGAATCCATCACTCAGACTGTTTGCTGAGTTTTCACACACACAATAAGGAACATGTTTCATCAATAACTTGAAAGAACAGAGCCAGTAATTCAAAATTTCATCTAAACCGTTTCGTAATGCCCAGCACTAGAAATTGGCTAGTATTTTTGGAAGAACCAAACAAGGTGAGCAATTTGTTAATCCTGGGTGAGGTGATGAGATTCAAACCAGAAATTATAAACTTGCAAATAATGCCAGTATAGATAAAAAGCCGACACAAAGTCACATATCTTGGTTTTGTGGTTCCCAACATTTGTCGCTAAATTTCTTGGCCTATTTTGGAACTCTTTATTCCTTCCTCCCTATGCATAATAACACTTTATTTGTACAATCTTTATTAGATCCTTAGCTAGTGTTATAAGCAAGTCACACCTACGTGTGCATAAATAAGTATTGTAGTAATAATAAAGAACTAAAGAATATCAGTAGTACAAAGCAAAATTCCTCCCCGACTTGGAAACGGGTGACCGTACGTTTGAACCCACGTACATTTGAACCCATGTGTATATCAGCGGGTTCAAGCTATATGTGGGTGCTAAAACCCATGGGTTAGGGTTTGTATGGGTTCAAATATCTGCAAAGCAAAATAAATTTCTATGGGTACAATAGTATGCAGGTGCAATTGTCGTGGGTTCAAATGTACGGGCACCTTGGAAACGTTGTTCTAATATATGAATCTGATATGTAACTCACGTTCCGACCCCCTATCTTGTAGTTAGAATATTGCTCGATCATGCATTCAGCCTTTTTCTTGAACTTTTCAGCAGTTTCATTCTTCCACCAGTTATTAAGATTGCCATCGAGACCGAATTTTCTTCCTGTACATCAAAATCGAATACATACTTTGGGACTCGAATCCTCTGGATTCAGTATGAAATGGTGGATATTCAAATCACATACATACGTGTAGTTATAGGTAGGTGTATGTGCCATAACATGATTTCGTGTGAATAAAGTATCATTTTTATGTGAAAAAACATAATACTTAATAAATAAGAGAGCATTGGGTACTCCTGTAGTACAAGGTTAGGGTTAGTTAGGCAGTAATTTTATTCCAATTTTCCTTATTTTAAGTCTATTACGAGTTCGGGACAGTCTATGTTAGCCAAGTAAATATACCCATAGGTATGCCCATAAGTTTCAGTCCCTTTACACAAATTGATGAAAAGTAGGCAAACAAAATTAGTTACCTCCATATTGGTACTACACATACTTCTGGAGTGCAGAGCATTGATATTGAAACCTATGTGTCAAGACATAGACATAAGCTATGTCATTAGAGATCAAAGCAACAAATTATTTGTAAATATATTTAGGTGCATGTGATGTGTATGTGCCATATATTTATGTGTAGTGTATAACTAACCTTGATCATCAAAGCCGTGTGTTAATTCATGCCCAACAACCAATCCAATTCCGCCAAAATTAATTGATTGTGGATAGCTACTGCTGTACGCCGGAGGTTGGAGTATTCCAGCTGGGAACACTGTCAAGAAACAACAGGAAAAAGGTTGTTCTGCAAGCTTCGAAATTCATGGGGAAAATTTACGAAGAAAGTATCTTACCTATTGTGTTTTCAGTTGGTGAGTAATAAGCGTTCAAGGTCGGAGGGGTCATTTCCCAGCTGAAAATAATAGGAAAATTAATGTACGAAACGGTGTTCTTGTCTTCTAAGGGCAGGCATGAATTTAACAACAATTAACAGATTAACAACACCTAAATGTATTTGCTTTCTGGACTGCAAAGACTTGAAGAAGGTTAGCTGGATATTGGAAAGTTGAATTTTCATTGTAAAATTCAACAATCTTTAAAGGCCCGTTTGGTTTCAGCTTCCTCCACCATAAAGTCCAAGCATCTGAAACAAATAACTAGCCAACTAATCCTATACCCGACATGGACTAGTAACTGGACAAGGGGTCGTGGCTCGTCATATGATAGAGTCGTCTTATCGAATTTTCTCTCCTCCAGGATAAATGTGTGAAAAAGTTTTTCTAATCATACCAATAATACCCGAAGTGTTCAAAATTTTGAAAAATACTCAAACAAGTACTCACTCATCTTTGTCGACTTTTTTCCTCAACATTTTAAGTTCTTCCCTCCGAATAAATAAATAATATTTATATATCACATCAAAATACGACGTTTTTTCAGTGAAATCAAACTGAAAAGAAAAAATGTTCAACTCAAGCTCTGCACTATTTAAAATTAGTTATAAAATATCAGAGCTCAAAATGATCAGAACAGAAGTACAGAATGCAAAACGACTCAAATAAAAAAAGTTCTTAATTTATAAATATAAATGAGTTTTTAGGTGTCACAAAATAGGGGAATTTCGAGATCTGCATTGTCAGCAAATTGTGCAGGAATTAAATGAACTTATTATTGATTACTTACATCCATATACTCGCTATTGACTCTTGTCTCGTTAAGAATGTAATCTGGAAATCCAATCATATCTCTGACAGCGTCAACCTTAATTAAAAAAAATAAATAACTGACATTGTTTGGAAAAAAAGGAACACCAAACATGGTCCACTGCTAACCTGTGTTTTGCAGCACAAGTTAGCAATGGGCCATGTTTGGTACTATTATAAATTTCATTTAAAAATATACTTTTTTAATTGCTTTCGCTTCTGTTTCTTTGTCTACCCAACTAGTTTTTGGCAAGTTCCGCTTGAATGCATTTTTTATTTCTGTGACCATCAGTTCCGCCTGAATAGATGTAACGATAATGATTATGACGTTTTTCAAACTTTTTTTGAAATATACTTCTTGAAATACTCACTCTGTCCTTGCTCTTGTGGTCGAAACTACTAGTAATAAATAATTTTCCGAGTGCGAGTCCTAATGACGTATCGACTGTACTCACGCAACTTCTCCATCTTTCATTGCAAGACTGTAAGAAAAAAAATGAGAATCAGAATGGTGGTTAAATGGTTAGACATAACTTTAACAGCTTCCAAAAATTCGTTTCATCCAAAACCCAAAACCATTGGTATGTAAACTGCAGCCGCAGTCCAAATGTGACCCGTGGACCAATTTTGGTACTCTAGTACTATGTATTTCAATATGGCGGGCACCAGAACGTAGTATGTGTAACAGGTTAGGGTTAGGCCATAATTTCAGGTACAAATACTACGAGAGTCACTTGGCTAGTCCCCGAACTTGTAATATAACTAAAATAAGGAAAATTGAAATAAAATTATGTCCTAACCCTAACCTGGTACACATACTACGTTCCGGTGTCCACCATCCTGGTGCACATACTACAGGAGCACCCAAATTTTTGTGGCCTACAAATAACCTCATTTTCAATGATTAAAAACAAAAATTGGTCATAAACTTAATATTATCTGTTTTTATGAATATATGTCGTAATAATACCTGTTGTGTGGAGTTTGTTTTGTAGTAATTAGCGTAACAGATGTTAGTTATGTTGTTTTCTAGCTAAACATGCTTACTGTTAGAAACACAGAAATAGGGATTGCGAGCAAGCCATATTTTGAACTTTGATGTGGTGATTGTTTATAGGCGCTACCGTCAATGTGCATATTTGGCCCAGTGGTACAAATAGTTTGTCGAACCATTGCAATAGATCCTTAGGCCAGTAGTTTTAATTTGGTATTGCAGAAAAACAGAAATGGTCCAACTGTCTATTGAATATATGAAGAGTTTTTTATAACTGACTTACTGAATCAGATCCATATATTGCTTTGTTCATTTTAGTTCTGGCATCAATGAAATCTTGTCCAAGTGGTCCAGTAAACGTCGACACAAGATGCCATATCATAAAATTATTGAGAGTCCTATAAAAAAAAAAAATACCAGTATAATAAACAATTGGACTTGGGTTGAAATAAAAAGATTTCTGTGAATGTTTAATGTGAATTTTTTGTTATGGACACGGTTTTATTTGATTTTTTCTGAAATAAAAGTTGGTTTCATGAATTAATGTGTCTAGTGAAGCTAATTGGAAAGAAAATAATTTGTCAGATTTGATCTTACCTCCCTTATGTTAGATATTTATATTTCAAGACTTTGTTTATTTTCCTATTTACTCGCCATCCACATATTTTTAACGTTGCTTTTTGAATAAAACAAACTTTCGCTTTACTATGTGTTATTTGTAGCTTGTTGTTGGATTGTTATTTTGGGGGTGGGGCCCAAGAATTCTAAAAAGGGGGCGCGGCATGAGAAGTTTGAGAACCACTGGTCTAACTATGCTATCAGTGGTATTGCCCTTTTCAAACAAGAGCTGACGACACCTTATTTTTGCATTATCACAAATAAAAACTCAAAGGTAAATTGTAGCTCAATTGTCAAAATGAAAAAAGTTCCAAACTCACTCGTTCGAAGTAGTTTTTATGACATCTGTCAATTTTTGTAGATATTCTTCGGAAGATGTTGCAATTTTTTCAGTCGGTTTTAGTTTTTCATCGGGCAGAACATTTTTGAAAGCTGTGCCGATATATTCCATCCAATCTATTATGGGAGTCATCTCCTAAATTGAGAACGCAGTTCAGTTAGTCACGGTAACCGTTAATACGGTAATAGTTAATACCTCAATCCAATCTATTATGGGAGTCATCTCCTAAATTGAGAGCGCAGTTCAGTTAGTCACGGTAACCGTTAATACGGTAATAGTTAATACCTCAATAGTTGAACGACTCAACACTAGAACAATTCAGTGGCCCACTAAAAATTTGAATAAAAAATGATGCAATTCAGTAAATGATACCGATTCTGAATACATTCTGAAACAAAAGAGCAATGCTCAAATATATGAACAAGGCAGCCAAGACGAAGTCGCATCGAATCTTTTATAGTATCGGTAATCTGGCCAACTATCACCGAGATGTGACCACGGAACAACGGCACACAATTTTTTTTAAATTTTGATGACGTCGTCACACAAAACTTCGCAGTGAAAAACGAATCCATAGATCCCACAGATATTTTTAAAAGAAATGAAGTAATAGCCCTCTAGCAACAACACAAGATTTAATTAATCACTGGAAATTCCAAAGCAATTGGTCCAGCACTTGGAAAAAATGATTTTTTTCGACTCGCTTTGGCCATTGCCTAATAACAGTGCAGCAAAACAGTCCACAGATTTACTTTTTGTACAAAATTCACAGAGATAGACTCAGAAACAAAATAAATTTTAAAATAAATATTCCAACCTGCAATTGACTTATTGTCATATATTTATAGTAACGATCCCGCTGTCTTGCTTTTTCAGCCGGCATTTGAATATTCGCAAGTTTTTGCTCAAATAAAATTATATTCGTCATTGCTTGAGATGTTTTATTTTTATCAGCACCAAGAAGTACAGTAACGTCGACCATAAACTCATGATAAGCTTTCAAGATCTGAATAGAATAAGGAATGGATTGAAAATTATGTAGGTTTATAAGCAGGGATGGCCAAACACGAATATTCCACCATTCCGAATTCATAATAATGAGGAAATATCTTCAGGCGCTCCAGAAGGTACTGGTACTGGTACACACACTACGGAGTACCTATTTTCGAATATGGAATATTGAATACATTCTAAATTGGGGGCAAGTTCATGTAAAAAATTTCATAAATCCTTATATCTTCATGCTGATCACATCTAAAACAACATAAATATAAAGGTCACAACATAAATATGAAGGTCATTGTTCCATTGTATATTTTCTGTATATCTCTCATAATTTAGCCAACATGCTATATTCATGGCCAAGCTTTGAATAATAAAAGGAAAAGAAGTATAATATTTTAATTCATCAATCAGTAAATATGCATAAATATGAATTGAATATTTCAAATATATTCTTGTTTCGCAACATTCTTTAAATGTGAGAAGGTTAAATTATAAGAAATATCGAGACATAAGTGCAAGTCATGAGTTAATAATGTGACTTAATGTCACATACATAGGAGCTAAGATGAACAAATTTATACCCAATAAAGGTCAAAAAATTTGCAATGGTTAAGTATAAAAAGAAATTTTTCTTGGGCCAAGGGTAGAGGAAACAACTATTGATACTAAAATGGAACTATTTCTGTTCCATTCAAAATTTACCTTGTCATCAAGGGTCTTGTTTACATAAAATTTTCTTTTACTGAGACTTAGATGTCCATTGTCAACCTAAAAAAGATAAAAATGAAATTTTCATTAGGTCATAGCGAAAATTCTGTACAATCCAACAATTATTGTTTAATTAGCCGTAATCGTTGTACTTATAGTCGAAAATTTTCCGCAAATTTATTCAAATGTGGCCATACTGTTCTAAAATTCAGCACGGAAAACAACCAATTCCCAAGAGAATCTTGGCAAATCAATCTAGCATTCTTGATAAAATTGATTACAAATTACCTTTAAAAAATTCATGGCACTCTACTAGATGGTATGATAAATGTGATAGAAAAAACATAAAACACATATATATTTGTAAAAAATTGTTTGAATGAATTTTATACTTTTTTAATCAAATCTTCCAAAAATGGAACGAACCCTTGGAGCAAAATATATTCTATAATATCATATTATTTACGGAATTATGAATTATTCAACAGTACCTAGTGACTTTGTAGTGCTAATAAATCATAATTAACATATTGATTAATTTTTACGGGGTTTAGTTATTCAGTAATGATTCATTATTATTAAAAGGAATATGGAAATACGTTAATAATATTTGTTTTGGGGATAAAGAAATGAATCAAATCAGATCAATGTGAATTTTGATCCAAATGTCTGAATATGAAAGCACAATTATAAATATCTGATGAAATTTTGATTAGATATCTTCCATTATCTACCATCTGAGTTTATTTTTAGCAAAAAAGTTCCTGTCATGCAATAGGGATGTCTAATAGGAATTGTAAACTTAAGTCAAAATTAGTTAGAATTCAATACTTTAAGTTCTTGATTTTAGAAATAATTTAAGATTGTTCAAATTTTTTTTTTTGATAAACTATTTGTTTTATGAAAGTAATGAAACACAGGAAGGTCTCCAAACAAGAAGGCCTCAAAGTTGATGGGAATTTCAACTTTATCTCCGAATGCCAGAAGAAATCAAATTTTGATTTCAAAAACTACGATATATGCAACCTTCTTTGATAGACTGTTAATTAAGAACGCTTCAAAAAAATTCTATACCACAATGAAAAGCCTGGAAATTCGAATGTGATATTGCCGTTTTGGTTCCTGCCTGGATTTCTACGTAATCGATGCACATGAATCCATTAACATAAAGGGAGGAAGGGGTGGTAGTTAGTTACACCCTACACCATTCAGCCGTAAATTCATTATCTATTCTCAATATTTGTTAACAGCTACTAATGAAATGATTAACATGAGCATTTTTATCATTTTGAAAGTATAAAACAATATCAACTGGATAGGATTGGATTTACAAATTTATCCTGGGGGGAGTAAAGTCAATAAACGACTTAATCATATGGCGAACCATGTCCTCTCGTCCGGTTACCAGTCCATGTCAGGTATGGGATTTGTTAGCCAATTATTTGTTTCGGATGAATCAAGAAAGACTGACTGAATCAAAAAAAGTCAATTTCAAAACCTGAGTGAAACAAAAGAAAAATTACTTGAAGTATATTCTTATCAACATGTTTCAAGTCTGTGTCGACGCCGACAGAGAAGAAGTTAGATAGTCCAAAAGGTTCTAATTTTCTTCGTACAGCGTTAAGGTCGAATGTCGTATTGTCCCATTCACCAAACACACTCCAACCACCAATCTGTGAAATTTGATATTTTAAAAAAAATCTAGAATAATTAACAATCCAACCAAACATGGTCCATATGAAAATCGAGCAAAATTAAACTATTTTATATGTCAATCATCCTTGGCCTCCTGTTGGACCTGGCTGTTTTTACATTACAAACAACTTGACACTTGACCAAATAATTTCAGTCAAAAATACTAATCGAACAATAATTCAAAGCTCGAACAACTGAGCCGAGCTAGCGGCCGAGTGAGATGATGCAACACGAACCGCACATCTCGGCTGTGTCCAGACATTTTACAAGCATCAGTTCAAGTCAGAAATTTAGCGGGATAACGTGTATTGAGAAACTTTTGTTATTTAGTGCTTTTTTTTACCTTTTTTGCCCTTGATCATGGGTACAAAGAAAGCAGTAATAAGACTAAGAGAAAGGAGGGTATGTTCGACTACCAAGGTATCTCACTAGTTTCTTCCATTGTCATGACTGCTTATACAAGGCTTTGTTCAGAGAGAAAGGCTTATAAAACCATCATAATAAACTAACCTCTTTAACAAGCTTCAAAAGCGGTTCAATACCATAATCATTGATTGCAGTTAAATTCAAACAGGTTTTATAGAAAATTTTGGCTTTCCGTTCTGCAGAATCCTTAGTGTTGTTTTTGATTTCTTCTTCTGTAAAAACAATTTCAAACACACATGGCAGAATTTTCATCTTATAATAGCGCTAAAGCAAAAATTTCCCACCGAAGTGCTGTCACGAAAATTAGGTTTTGTTAAATGCAATAAAACAAGTCTAAAATTTTTTCAAGTAGGCCTACCGTATTGTTATCTAAAGCGATTTCCTATGAATTGAAATTATAAAATTATTCAATTTCATTTTAGTGCAAATTCTGGGGCAATTCCAGTGAATTGTTCTAAAGGCAAATAAGTTTTCTATGTTTTCAGAAGGATATTCTTGCTATGGTATACCTGTGTTTTATGCAAAAAATCTACAAATACAAAAATCAATGACAGAAAAGGAGTCATTGAAGTGGAACAATTAGAACGGTATAGTCTGAATTGGAAGTTTGGCATGTTTTCAAGGTGTCGAAGTAGGGATGGGCAATGTAGAATAATTTACTATTCTAGAATATTCTAGAATAGTTAAATCGAATCCAGAATACCGAATCCTATTCTATTTTCATACTTATTCAAATAGAGGGAATTTTCCTGATTGCTGGATTTAGATGTCAAAAAATTATAAATGTATTGCTATAAATGTATTATTTATTTGGAAATGTCCTTAACATTGGATTTGATTTGATACTAAACAGGCATTTCCCAGGACAATGAAATCTAAGAATATTACAATATTTTTGCTTTCAATTGTTCCAAATGTATGTAATCTCTAAATACTTATATGCTAAATTACGCTTCAAACACTTTAATAGTAAGCGGTTAAATACAAAAATAGATATGAAACGGCATTAAATCATTATTAATGTTATAGAGTGTCGAGTGTACTAAAACACACCCGCTGAGAATTAATTAGATGCAGGACCAGCGTGTGGCCACTGCAACCTATGCACCGGTGTAAATATTAAATTTAACCACTATCAATTAAAATCAATACTGTGCGATCAAGACGTGCAAAACAAGGTTCCCGTAAACGCGATTTCGTAGTTAGTTATTAGTTAACATCATCTAAAGAAGAATTCAATTTCTTTTATTATTGTTACATATCATTATCTACCCAGACTTAGCTCTACTCAAACTCAATACGTAACTATTTTCGCCAGATGCGGCATCTTTTTTTTAAGTTTATCGGCGAATAAAATTACTACAGACACTCGATCAAACGTGCGTCTATCTTGAACGATAGGAACGGACCGAAAGATATGTAATCTTTTGGGAGTGAAATTTAAATGCGACAGATCGTCGTGTTATGCGATATAACTTTGTATTTCGGAAACTGGTGTGATAAAAGTAATAAAATTATTCCAAAATAATATTTGATTTAAATTAATCGCAAGTAATGTCATAACATTTTACGCCTGGCTTTTGATTTACATGCATCATTTTCTGGGGAAAACTCGCCGGTCGCGGAAAATCATTTACAGTAATGTAAAATGAAGCAAGGCACGCCTGTAAACAATTGAAGATTGTTGCAATCAGATTATCGTAATATCGCCAGTAAGTCGGCACAAATAATTATTATTATTAAACCCTCGCTAGATAGCAAAGCAGGAAAACGCAAAAAATGTGCAATAACGAGTCTTCGTCGTAAGGTGTACTTCACGACTTCTTGTCCAGAATACGCCGATTGAGATTACTGTGTTTGATGTTTACCGATTTTACGGGTTCTTTGCGATTAGGCAAGTTTAATTAAACGAGAGAAATTTCCACGCGAGAAAGAACGCTCGTCTTTAATTGATAAATTAGAAATCCGAAATACAAAAATTGACGCCCGGCGAAAACGCAAAAATGGTGCAATAACGAGTCTTCGCCCTGAGATGTACTTCGCCGACTTCCTGTCCAGAATACACCGATTGAGATTACAGTGTTTGAAGTTTACCGATTTTACGGGTTCTCTCCGAGCAGACGCAAGTCTAGTTAAACGAGAGAGATTTCCACGCGAGAAAAACGCTCGTCTTTAATTGATATTTAGAAACCCGAAATGCAAAAATCGACGCATGGCGCCGGAGAGGCGGAAACCGAATCCTGTTATCGGATCCTGTTGGATTCGAATACTTTGGGATTCGAATCCTCCGGATTCGGTATTCTATATTGCCCATCCCTATGTCGAAGTCATATTTTCAAACCCCCCAAGGGGTCGGGGAGTAAAAATTTTAAATTAGGTCTGCAGAGTCAAAAATCCAGAACTACAATGGCAATAAAAAAGTCAACATCTTGCATTTTAATTATCATTTATTAATTAAATATTCTAATCCATGAGCTAAACAAGAAATATATTATTCAGATTACCCAATAAATTTTTAAGATCCATTTGTATGCTTTTCTTTTGAATACTGAAAGTGTCCCAGTATGCATGTCCTGATGGAAGAGGATTTTTCTTTTCCCAACCACCACAAGAAAATTCGTAAAAATCATCACACGGATTAACAGTTTCATCCATAGAACTTGCAAGCATACTTGCAACTTCAACACAAGCTCTTGTTGTGCATGTTGGTGGTTCTAGAAAAAATATATGTGCAAATAAGATTTGATATCAGAAATTGGGTTTTTGGCTACGAAATATCCTCGCATATAAGTCGAGTTTGAATTTTGAAATTAAAAAAAAACGTTGACAAACTAAGGGGTCCACTTTATAAATACGCATCGCATAACTCTGACTGCACTAATACTCTTCATTTTCTGTGATAGGTGTGTACGGCGTGTTACAATTTGCGGGTTCGGCAAAGAAGCATGGAAGTGATGGAATTTAAATAATAGCCTACTTATTGAATAAATAAAATTAAAAATTGAGAAAAAAGGAGAGGCTGTTTCCCTTTTGTCTTTGAATACTAGAAATAAAATTCTATTTTTTGTCTCACCACTAATCTTAGGGCTCAAGTCTTCACATGTCCCATTCTTCCATACACAATATGGAGCAATATCACAATCTGACTGCAAAGTGGTGATATTGCATGTCCATCTGCTTGGAATGGCAGCTGAATAAACAAGGTTGTACTGTTAGATCGTATTTTACATAAAAGAACTAGTCACATCACACTTGATTGTGTCTTGTCAAGCTAGCCTAAAAATCGAACCGCTGTCTGTGTAGCAACCCAATACCAATAGCCTTCTACGAAAGAGGCCATTCAAATTGCAATTGGGACTATAATATGCCCATCCCACACCTGCAGCGTGACCCAAAAATGGTACCGATAGAATATGTTCAAAATGATCTGGGTTCCACTCTTGGCAGCACAATAGCCTTCTACAGGGGAGATCATTAATGGTGATTGCGGCCATATATTAATTAATCTCTTCTTAACCTACTGTATGTAAAACAGCCCAATTGCCATTTAAGGAGGATGGTGGCCATTTAATTAAATGGGGATTTGGAATATATTGAACTCCCAACGCATATGACTCCACAACCACAACCACAACTCCAAGTCTATTTTATAATAAAGTAGGACTTTGTTTTAATAAAATTGACCACTTCGAATCACCGCCATCTTGATTTTATTTTGGGTGGCAAAGGTCAAGGTGAATCGGTCTTTTTTGTTTCGTTGGAGCAATGATTTCAAAATGCAAACTGGCATAATACGTGTTTCTAATTGTGTGTGAACACTCAGCAAACTGTCTGAGTGGCGGATTCTATGTTTGGAAGAAACCATTACAATAAAAAGTACCAAGTATTCGAGATTTGATTCAAAAAAAATATTCGATTCGATTCTGAAATCATCTGGTATTAGAAAATGCCCAGCCCTACCTAGTTTCACAAGAACAATAACAAAATTCAAAGTTGGATAAACAAGAATTTTGCCTTCAATATCATATTGTTGAACAGAAATGCTTCAAACAACTATGACCAACTAATTATTGATTATTGAAGGAAACTCTACATTTCCCTCTGAATCCGTACATTGGGGAAATGAGACAACATCAATTACCTGTTTCTTATTTAGATCAATGAGATGAAATTGAAAACCAATGGCATGAAACAAAATTGTCAAAACTAAAATTAGATTTGAAGAATGCAATCTACAATTAGATTCGAACTCCTTTGTAAATTAAATCAGGTACAGATGGATGTTGTACGTACACAAATGTGATTTTGAGGGTCCTGAGTTAAATAATCAAATAAAATATGTAATTGTAACTAAACATTTTATTGTGAATTCAAAGTGTTTTAAAAAAAATAAAACATCAAACACATTCAATATTAACAAAATCAAGATCCAAAATGGACACAAAAATGCATTTTTACTTCTCAAACTTTGGTGCAGCCTTTATTTCAGCTCAATGAGGGGAATAACAAGATTTTTTGAATGATTTTAATCTATTTTGTAATAAATTCTGTTTACCTCCAACTGCAATGGTAAAATCGAAACTTGCAGACAAGTTCGTTGCACAACTTCATGAATTATTAAAATGTGTGGAGGAATTATAATAAATTTTGCACAAATTTCATCACTGAAGTGAATTTAACAAACCTTCCAGCTAATGCAATGAATAAACCTAACCAAAGCCATAAACAATTCAAAGAAAACCTATATTTGTTATGCATGAACTTCCTCAAAATTTGGAAGCGATTAAAATAACAAAATAATTTTTCCCTGCGCAGCAACAAAATTAAGTCATAAGCCCACATATTTCCAAAAACCATGCTATTCCAACAAATATAAATAAATAAATATACAAACCAATACTATTTTATCAAAGTACTTATTCAACAAACCTATTGGTCCTGCTTGCCATGTTACAGACACAAAAATTGCAAGGATGATCCCAAATAAAGTGGTCAAGCATAAGAGAAATAATTCACGTCCTGTGAACTTTCTGCAATGCAGCCATCTACAATATCGGTGACAGCAACTACAAGGTCCATATTTTCGTGGCTGTTTCCAAAACCCAACCTAGATTTGTAAATGAATATTCAAGCTTATAAAATAGCAAGGATTTAAAAAATAAAGAAAAGATTATTTGTAGTTAGCTAATATAGTGCAGTGTATGTTTGAAACTAAAAATCCATGGTTGTGATGGGTGTGCAAAAAGGGCGCCCGGAGGCCACAACCCGTACCACAAGCCCTTTTTATTGTAGTCCTTGTCAGTGTCAAGAGTAGCACCCAAGATTTTTCCCCATCAAGCATTCGATTAGGACTTTATACTTGATGGGGAAAATGTTGACAAGGGCCACACTAAATAACCAGGCGGGCCGGTTTAACTTCTGCATTAGAACGAAGTAAATTTTGCACTATCCATGGTTTGGTATGTAAATGTCTGATTTCATTTGATATTCTATTCTATATTTAATAATCTATATTGATTGCATTCCTAAAAAGATCACTAACATTTAACACCCAAACAAGCTCAATACTATCCAGTCAAAAACTGCTTCTAAACAATTTAAATAAAAGTAGGAAGTATACGAACACGATGCTATCTTACATTTCTCTCTATTTCATCTAGTCCTGCAGTAGATGAAGTATCCTGTGCTCCATCTGAGTCCAGATCATTCATTTCATGATAAACAACGTTTGTGTCTTCGCATTGTGCCATATCTGTCCGATCACTACTCGGGGAACCATTCTGATAAAGAATCAAATAAAAGATATTAAACAATAGCTATTACGCACAAAATTTAGAAAATAACTAAAACGTTGCAATAATGATAATGATGATACACACACGACGTGACACATGTAATCAAAAATAAAAAAGTCTCAGATTCAAGATAATCAAAAGAAGGATCGAGAAAATTGATTTTACATAAAGATTCGATTGCGAAATTGCACTAGCAGGAAAAATACATTTACATAATTATAGGATATGTCTTTTTTTGTTTCAGAAAATGAGGAGTAACTACCGATGCCTGATTGATAAATAACTGATTTCTTATACTTCAATTGAAATTTTAAAAAATGGAACCATCGAAAATTTCGTTTTGACATAAATTTTTGGCAACAGATATGGTAGGAAAAAAGTCAATGGTTTGAAATATTCACAGTCTAATGATCATAAAACACATTGTTCTACATTAATATCAAACACATTCACTAATTGTTAGTAAGAAAGTGATGTCAAGCTATGCAAGTGCATGAACCTTTCTGCTTAAATTGAAAAAATAGGCTGGTAGTCATTTCAAAAAATTTAAGTAGGCTATTGAGAATTGTAGTTTTGGACAAAATATAGTCAGCCATGAATTTAGCGATAACTAAAAAAGTATTAGCCAAAATCAGGTTAAATATGTTTAATTATTAAGTTGATATAATAATGTGTTGAAACATGTATTCAAACAGTAGTGGACGGAAATTGACATATGTTAGCATGCTGAATTAAACAATGAAAATCTGAGGACAAACCAGCATAACGGGCTAACTGAAAGCCAATCAAAAATACTGTTTATAATTTTTTAAACAAAATTAGATACCTGAGCAAAAGAAATTATAAAATAGAACACATATTGATTAAATTCAGGTAGGCTTCACTTCAAAGAAAGATTTATTTACCAATCAATGTTATATCTCAAACTTACCATATTATTTAGGAAAATAATATCCACAATGCAGCAACAAAAAGATAAGAAGATATTAAGGTACTATACCGATATGGCTACAACACTAAATTTTATTTTTGGACACGTAGTGGACATAACGATCGTTTCAATATTATGTTGTTGTTGTTGTTCTTTGACACGTTTTTAAAAAGTCGCTTTTCTCTTCGAATACTGGATCAATTGCTTTGAAATTTTCAGTGGTTAAAGATAAAAATTTTCTCCAGAAGGCTATTACTTTTTTTTTCGCTATGACGTCATCAAAATTATGTGACTCTACGTGTCCATATATTTGAGCATAGCTCTCTTGTTCTTACGGCGCTTATAAATGCTTTTTACTCCACGAATGTTCGATTTTAACTGTGTTGGCTTGACAAATGACACACCTGGGTCCAAATCCCCTAATCACTCAAGATATAATAAATTAGGTCTTTCCAATTTAAAGTATCTCCTAACATATCGTGAGATATCATTCGCTTCCTGTATAGGGCCTTATTCAGAGCGAAATCCGTGAGAAAAAAGAGCTATATAAGAAAATTTTAGGATAGTACCAATAATCACGAAGATTTAGGAAAAAAAAGAATATGATTTTTTTTCCAAACATGATTCGAGAAATCTACATTTAAACCATGCAAAAGATTGAATCACACAAGACAAAGCTTCTAATACCAATTGCCAATAAAAAAAACACTTGTAAGCTGCAATTCAAACTACGTTATATACCCTGTCCTCGTAAAAATCTGAAAGGAGCTCAACATCAGACATTGCTACTTTTCGATGTTTAATCGATTGACTCAATTAATTTGTATTATTCAGTTATTCATATGTAAGACATGTGAAATGAAGTCAAACTGAAAATAAAAACTTCTTAGATAGGAATATAAGAAATAGTTACTTTGAAATTGATGAAATTATTTTGAAAATAAACTTCCTACACACCACACAATACCATAATAGTTAAAAGATGAACATTTTGTATTATCATGTCTGTGCTCCACCACAGTTTTTTTTAGAATTCGTTCATAATACAGTAATAGGCTACGATTTATTGGAAGATGAAAAACAATCTTAACCTACTGACCTATTTATTATAAAAGAAAATTAGTGATTCATAACAAGATATGCCTTGAAGACTGTCCAGAACCCATGTTTGGTTCGGAAGTTCATTGTTATAACTTACAGCCGCAAGGCTATCTGTGTTAAAAAGCGCTTCAAAATACAGTACCGGTACCGGTACGTACCTTAGTTTACTATGAAACGACAGTCAAAACTCATTTAATAGAAAAAGAAAGACTCACTTCGGTTTGTTCGACTGCAGCATATTTGCATTCACTTTGTATAGAAGAATATGATGGCATCACATCACACTACATCAGAAATTATCGATCGACACCAACTCCCGACTGAATAAAAAACTCCAATGGAGAATGGAGAAATATCAAATGAAGATCTGCAAACGATTGAATAACAATGACTCTGTGCTCCCAAATAGTGGCAATGGGACAGTATAATAAGTATAATTTATTTCGACTCCATAATCATCATGAAGGACGATAAAATAAATGATACCGGTAAGGTAAAACTGAGGCGAGCAAATAAAAACCTAAGTTAGTTATAAAACGTGCGAATTTAAATTTTCATACGCATGCACTGCTTTAACAATGATTCGATCTCTACGCCTAATAAGCAACAGATTATTACAATGTTACAAATATCAGTTATAAACACCTGGCCATGTTAAATCTCCTCACCAGTCGCCCTACCCTAATAAGCAACACATTACATTGTTATAAACATCAGTAAAGTAAACACCTGGTCAGGTTAAATCTCCTCACCAGACCCCCTGCAGTATCTTTCGACGAAACCACTCGAGCTACCCCGCGTAGTTTATGTTTTGTATGTTAACGAATTTGACGTGCCAGTAGGCCATTGTTTGAAATTTATTGAATATCTTTCCTAAAGCTGCACATTTGGCACGTGCAAAAAACTCAACAAGACATAGATACTTCTTTCTGGAAATAATCATTTGCACTAAAAGCCTGTCTCTTTAGATCCTTTGGTAACTTTCACTAATCACAAAGTATTATTGATGTGATTGTATTGACATTTATTTGACATCATTTCAATTGTTGATATATTTCATGAAGAAAGTTAGAATTTTTCACAATGCGAAACAAAAAAGATCACACTAGTTACGTTTGAAAAATTGTACATGGGAACTAGATCAAATAGCTTACTTTCGTAAAAAACGGGATGCTGGCGAAAACAAGACACTGCTTGGGTTGGTGATTACAAATCTAAAAGATGATCTTCCAACAACTCTGTAGGTATGAGTGAATGAAGTGAATAGCATAAAGAGGGATTATATCTTCTATATGAAATTCAAATTTAGATAACACAGCGCAAAGCATTGTCAGTTTCAAAATACCCACTTTTGAATTAAATATGGAAACTGATCTATGAAACTAAAAAGAGGTCGGAGGTCATTAATGATTTTTAAAAAACGTATTATTGGCATAAAAAATCTATATCAAAGTAGGGCAGGTACTACGTTAGATAAAGTACTCATTAGGCCAAAAAATATGATAATATAAAAAGTCTCGTCTCATATGTAAATATAGGTACATGAAAATTATAAACCCTGAAGATTCAACTGCAAACAGCACGAAATCATTCAAAAACATTTATCACAATTCTGTCAGAAATGGCAAACACTTCCAACCATCTGTTATAGAAAAGAATAAGCAAAAGGAGCATTGTCATATCACTTTCCACTCTAAACCTACTTTTAACAAGAAGAGATCAGAAACCCCTGGAAAAACTTGACTGGTTTAAAATGTAAAACAAATTCAAATAGTCAGGTTTAGTCGCAGTGTTAGTGCTGTATCATTATACCATGGTTGAAGTCTGCCACAAAAAAATACCTAATTATATACCTTCAAAAAAACTATAACTGAAATTTTTTTAGTTTAGTTTAAAAATTCAATTCTAATAATTGGCTTTTAAATGTAGTTGAAGAATATGTATAAACTGTGAGGTTATGATTTATTAGCATAGGTTGTGATCAAATGCATTGTTAAAAGAAAAAAGCACAAAGCACAAAATAATTATGAACATGATATGCATTGTATAGGCTATATGGTGATTAGTAAAAAAGAAGTGCATTGTATACATAATTCTCTTCTTCAATGCAAGGAGGTGCATGCTAAAAATTAAGAATCAAAAAAAAGGTTTCCACAGGAAATGTGACCACATAATTATAGTATTATTATTCATATGTAAAATATCTTCATTTAGTAAATATTTATGATAAAAAAAAGTACTTTTGTTAGACTTGAGTATCATAACACATATTGGGGTTAGTGCATATTAATGACAGAAAACACAAATGCAGTAAAAAGTACTCAGTAAATTTACTATAAATCCATAGTAAATCAGAAACTTCTAAAATCTCATATGGGTTGGCGTTTTTTAGGTTCAATGAACATAATAAGGAACACTTTTGAGATTGTCGAATAAATTAAATAGAAAGTACAAAAGTATATATATCATTCAAATTACAGTACCTGGTAAACAAAAAATTGTGTTTGTCCTAACCCTTACACAGCATTTTTTTTATCTTAATTGTGCCAAGAAATTATTACCGAAATTTTTTAAATGCTATAAAATTATTTTTTATAAAATTTGTAGAACAATCCTGACACATAACATTTGGCAGTTTTCTGTGAGTTGTGAGTTTTCTGTTTCTTTCATGATTTATATCCATTTTTGATCAAGTATATTTAAAAAAAAAAAATATTGTTATCTAACCAAATTAAGGGAAAATTGCCCCATTTCAGAAATATAATAAAATACCTTTTATTTATTTTTAAATTAATATGATAATAAAGGAGCACAAAGACCTGTGCAAACTAACCAGACAATAAGAAACAATAGTAGTATTTATCAAGTGCCTGACAACATAAGACATCAAAAGCTGGTGAAAAAACTAGAAAAAAAAGATGAAAAAAAATTTAAAATATCATTAGTATCATAAAAGCAAATAGAAATTTGTGAAGAAGGAAATAACATATATACATTGCAAATGCAAAAAAAATATCTAAATACTTTTTTAGAAGATATTTTGATGCACGTTTGCATCCACAAGATCTTTTTTATCTGATTTATACTCAAATTATAAGTGTAATAAAATTTAGCACTGTGACAACACGGCCATGAGGTATATTAGGTGACTGAAGAATCTAATATGATCAAAAACTCAAATTATTAGAATATTCACATTTCATGAATTTTTATAAAGATTTTCGAATAAAATGTACTTTCATGTGGGAGATTGGTAGAACAATGTTAAAGTTTACTATATTCTAAACTCAAGATGGAATTTGAAAAACAAATTCAAAAGAATTGAAGATTGAGATTATGGGCAACTCTTTTTGATACAGTACTATTATTATTATCTCCTTCAGTTAAGAAAGAACTGGATAGAGTACATCCATATTTTTGAAATTTTTGTAAGAATGACCAAAACATATAAAATATTGCAAAACAGAAAATGCATTATTTTTAAAACAAAAACAGGGAAAATTTAAAAGCTTTACACACTAACTATACAACTTATACCAAATCATCATAAAAAAAAAAACATTTCAATCAAGTTTCACAAACAAAAACTCTCTTGTGCAATTATATTAACTAGTCTCCTTCCTCTTCTGATATTTCTTGAAGATAGATATTTGATTCAGACTTTATTCTTGATATTCTATGAGCTCGATGATTAATTCTCGCTGTTTCAGGAAGCCCACACGAACAAAGGTGTTTACCTGCAAGTGAATATTATACTATACTGATTCCGATAGTCCAAATGTCTACGGTGATTTAAGACAGGGTGACCCAAACACAATAAAAATAAAAAAATTTTTATTTAACACTTGAACATCTGTTCGTGTATTCCGATTGTTTAGTAACGAAGGACACTTTGCATGAAAGTTATGTTTTTTTCTAGAATATTTTCCACATGATCTTGATGCTGTTATTTTTTTTGAAGGATGGATGCAATAAATTGCATGCAATAAAATCGACTATTTCATAATTAACAACAAATTTATTAGAATAATAATTATGATCTTTCGTATTAATTTGAAACCTGATATGGCACAAAACTTCATTATAAAGCTCTTTTATAAAAAATTGTAAAACAATACCTTGTAATAAAGGTTCCTCATGTACATGATCATCTTTAACAGAAGAATGGATGACTTTTCCAACAATGTATCCATACATTACAATGATAATATAATAAACACATATTTCGAATAGTGTTGGATATTCTTCCTGCGAAAAAAGTAAAAATGATTTTTCCAACTATTTAGTATTAGTTGAATATCTTTTGCGCAGCTTTTAGAAGTCATTCAGAAGGTTTGATACATAATAATGAGGGAATAAACTCTAATTTAAGGAGAAATATGGTACTTTCGTAGTGTGTGGACCGCGTTAGGGTTAGGCCATAAATTTCCTTATTTTAGTTCTATTACGAGTTCGGAGACTGTCTGTGTTAGCCAAGTGAATATACCCCCTGCCCATAGGTTTCAGTTCCTTTACATAACTTGATGTAAAGTAGGTGAACAAAATTAGTTACCTACATATTGGTACACACACTTCTGTTGTGCCGAAAATAGGATTGCCAAAACCAAATAATATATCAGTCAGTACACATTCTGAAATAATGGGGGCCCTACTCCACAGTGGGTCGCGAGAAGGCTCAATGAGGGTGAAATCAACGGGGATAAAATCTTTTTCGACACTGACTTATGTCGATCAAATTAAAAAGATTTGGAACCAGTACTGAGACCCACCATCACCGAAATGGAGCCAAGATTCTATTTTCTGTACGAGAATATGCAAGCAGTTTTATTAAAGGTATTGTCCATTATTTTTTTTTAATATTTTCCGCATTATTAAATGTTACTTTATTTTTATTTTGGTTTCCGAGGGTTGCAAAACATTTTGACCGTGCCAAGTGGGTCGTGATGATAAAAGTTTGAAAAACACACAATGTTTCATAAGCGATTCTAAAATCGCTTATACAATATGTTTCATAATTTAAACAAATAAAAAACTGTGAAATGGGGTGTACTATTAACATTAGCAATCACATGAAACAAAACATAAGACACCTTTCATTAGATTAGTCAAATGGTAAAGCTGTGACGATTTCCTGTGACAAACTAAAACCAGATCACGTTGTGTAACAAGACGAACATCGTAATATCATACTAATATGACTCGAGTAATTATTTTGTAAAAAAAATTTTGCTTAGGTTATACAATATTAGACGCCGATAGAGAAAAGTTATTTAAGCATGATTCATTCACTGATTCACGATCAAAGAAATGACTACGCAAAACTCAGTGTGCAATACGTTATGACTAAAAAAGCAAATGGGTTCAAATAATAAAATGGTTTCAAATCATATGACATATTACAAAGCAAAAAATATATATTTTACCTGTTGTTGCAAGACACTCCATGGCCCTTCTGTGACATCATAATACACTCCCCAAACTTCACAATAGGCAGCAAATGCAGTTAAAATGTGAAACCACATATGAGAATGCCCTGTAAAACAATGACTGAACCTTAGTAAATGTAGAGGGTGTTTTTGATACTTTTTTGTGTCTCATCGCACCAATAACATACATCTAAATTTGCTCAGCACACATAAACTATGCATTGAATTTTTTTTATGGAAATCTTCATATATCGGGGTTATCATTACTAAAACAGTAGAGATTTTCAAAATTTTTATGTGAACACACCGTGACGTCAGATTTGCTTGCTTTTATAGTCTGAAATATTTAATTTGGTTTGGCCTCTTCTGAAATATGTTACATAATGCCAAACAATATGAAAAGAAAACAATGGTTAAAACGAATACCGAAAGCATCACTATTCATAGGTTAATGATAAACCGACGATATCTGATTGTGTTTGCTCTGTTTCTATTATTAGATTGAACAAACATGCGAAAAAGAATATGGAGCATATGATTTTAACATATGTTCTTTGTGTCACCTAAAAATTAACTTCACAAATTCGATTGTGGTTGATCAAAATTGGGGGAAATTGAAGTTAATGAACTGTAACACAGGGTTAAAAATGAAATAATTTCCGGTAAGGTAATTTTTTTTATCCATAGACAAATTAGGGTCGATTACCTGAAGTAACTTGAAATAATGAAGAATAAAACTGTACAACAAGTATGGGACATATATGATGCATAAAGTAATATCATGCAATGATATACGCCCCATGCTTGTTTGAATTAAATTTTAGACATAATACATCATTATCCAATTACCAACATAAGGGTTTCAAGACAATAACTTTGTCTGCTAAAGAATTTCTTATGGTCTTATGATTTGTCTATTGGGAAAGAGGAAAGACCCTACATAAGGATCATAACACATAAAAGAACAGTATGGCATTGACTGAATACCATGTAATGGAAACATAAAACCGGACATTATTGGGATAAAAAACCTATTCCCAATTTTTCAATAAAGATTATTTAATCAAAAAAGCAATGAGCATGCTAAGCCTATCAATATTTTACATTTTACAAATATCACTTGCACACCTGACCTAATAAAAGGGTTTTCAGAATGCAGGCTGAGGAATGATAATTAATCACCTTATCATAAATATAAAGGTAATGAAAATGTTTACCAGACAACTACCAATACTAAAGTACGATCATAGTAAAAACAAGATCGATGGAAAAAATTAGAACTTATTATATTCCTGACAAAAAAAAATTGATCGTACCGAATACATCAAATTTTCCCGGAAAAAATCGTTGTGGGAAATCCAGCCCATATACGGCCGGTGCAAGAAACATAGAAGGTAATGCAATACCATGCCACCATAAAGATTCTTCGAATTTACCGGTGGAGAAATTTTCGTACATTCTGAAGAAAAAAAAATAAAGATTCAGACTTCGTAAATAATTCCTAATGCACATGAAAGGAACACATAAAATATCCACAACAGATAAAATTTTGACGCATAATCAGAAAATTTTACATGCTTTATAAGGCACATACTTCAATAAGCGAAATTTTCAATTTTAGTATGAAATTTTCACATTCATAAAAAAAAATATTCATATTAATACGAATAAGAAGGCTTAATCATATGGCAAACTTGTCTGGCCTCTCGTCTGGTTACCGGTCCAAGCCAGGTATAAAAATATTTAACCAGTTACTCATTTCACATGTATGGACATTAAAACATTCCAGACATTCAGTATATTAGATTCGATTTTTTCAAAAACAGTGGTCCTTACCTAGATGTTCATAGAAAAACCTTGATCCGAGTGAAATGCATATAAAACAACATAAAAAATGTGAAATAAAATTTTTTTTAAGTTAGATTAAACATAAAATATTATTCCTCTCACCTTAAATATAATGGTATAGCCCCAAAAGCATAGCCAAATCCATTAACAAAAACTTTTAATTGACGACTTAACTTTAAAGAAACCCATTTCCCTCCAGTTTGAGTCAGACAAAGGCAAGTATAACCGACGGTCACAATCAAAGTGGAAATTTTGAGATAGTGACTTGAAAATCTAAAAAAAGAGTAGCATATAATTTTATCCTGGGGGAGAGGAAAGCTGATAATACAGCTTAATCATATGGCAAACCATAGCCTCTCGTCTGGTCTTGTTAAATTGTTTGTATTAATAGCTTATAAATTAAGACTTACATTTTAAAATAATCGAGATGTGCTCCACTATAGAAATTAGTCGAAAGTGAAGCGAATGCAAATAGTGAGATTCCAAAATAATCAGCAACAAACCAACAACTATGGTGAAGACTTGATCTGAAAAATCAGCAACGAAAAAGATAATTAGACAAAAGATTTTAAATTCATTTTGGAAGGAAAGAAAATAAACGTGACTCAAATTAATTTTGCACACCAGCAGGGCTGTACACAGAATATTTGCGTCAATTATTAATTCCGAACACTTGGGTTGTTTAAAAAAAGAGATATTAATTCCCTGTCTAATGTTGACAAAAATCTCTTATTAAATGTCAACAAGTAAAAATCAGAAATTTGGCTATTTGACTCGAGAGAGTCTGAAATGATATGACTCATATTATGCAGCCCTGCATATAATGTCATCTACTCATCTCGTCCATTAGTCTGATATAAATAAACCAGTCATATTTATTCAATCTCAGCACCTCTGTGTATCGAATATCAATATAATTTTCCATAAATATTTATATTATTCTTGGTTTTATCCTGAAGGCATTTTTAGGGAAGGCTTGACATTCCATCACTAAAATTTGATTATCTAACGATAAAACAAAGTGGTCAATTTTTTATTCAAGTTGAATTCGAAAACAAAAACTTTTTGAATGATGACCGAGTATTATGCCACTTTCATAACATATCTCATTGTGAGAGAGTTTTTTTACTCAAGAAGAGTACTATCCCTGTTTGAGCCATTTTCAATGTTAATAATAAAATAATGTAAATAACAGAAAATATTTACTTGGAGTGAAATAAATGGGCCGAGGCACTGAAGAAACATAGCATTGTACCGGCCGTTAGAACAAGAAATAATGGCCAAGCATGAATGATGTTGATTTCCTGCAAAAAATAAAATCAAACTTATCATTTTAGGAATTGAAGAAAAAAGTTTGTTCACAATATGTAGTTGAGGGTGTAATTTTCAGAATTTCGATTCTAAGCGATTCAAAGCGTTAGCCCACTAAGTAAAGCTCTATGGTGGCATCTTATAAATATTAATTAAGCAAAATGTTACATTCCATACCGTTTAAAGTTCCATGAATAAATGAATTTCATAATTTATAATTGAAGAAACTGTACCTGAGAAAAGGCAAAAAGTAGATAGAAAAAGTATATTGAAGGTATAAGGTGCGTCCACACATTCATAAACTCATAGGAAGGAGTGTAAAGCCCTCTCAAGTAGTAACTGTTAAAATACAATTTAGAATTATTATATAAATTAAAATTATAAATTAAGAAAACATTAAAAATATTACAACTTATTAACTTTTTTTTAAACTTATTTTATTCAAAAGGTTTGATATTGCTACATGCCATAAAGTATTACAATTCGAATACATGCTCAAGGTGCCCCCAGAAAACAGGAACCAGGTCACCTAGCAAGAACATATTCTAAAGAGACCATAACAGTAGATTACTGAAACCTCTGGTTACAATCATACACAAATAAAAGTTCAAGTGTTAAATAAATAATTTTCTTCATTTTTCGATCAAGAAATTTATGGGTTCTGTTCTTTGGGGCCTCAATTAAGATTTTAATCTGGTATGTACTCATGGCTTCACATTCTGTAACTAAACTTTTTTTATCATCTAGCGATAAAGCGAAGATTGTCCCGTCAATATTCCCTTCCCATGACTGTGTTCGGCAATGTACAATTTCATAATAAATGTTAAAAAACTCTCACCTCCATGGCATGAATGGTAAAAGATATCCATATTCGATATAAGGTTCTTGAATAACTTCTGGAACATGAGACCGATGTACTTTCATTGCATGTTTCCAGCTTGAAATATGAGCATGGTGATCGTGATTGCATGTCTTAATGCAGCCTTGACTATGGCTTCGCCAAAGCCTTGCGTTCTTCGGATAACGATGAACAACATTATTGTTTTCTTCATGTAATCGTTTGTTTGTTTCGAAAGACGTAAAGAGAACGTTATCATCGACAGTTTGTTTGTTTTCAACATTAATTTTAACTTTGTTTTCATTGTATGGTGGTAAGACTATTTCAGCAATTTTAGTCTTCAGGTCGGTGAATACGTTCAATGCATTATCCAAAATAGAAAAGTTTATGCTGTTTTTGTGTTTTGTTATTCCGTGCGTTCCATTTCCAATAGCATAATCTCGGACTCTATTTATTTTCTCAATTAGGCATGATATAATTTCTAGTCCTCCAATTGCCACTCTTAGACCTTGTATAGGACTCTGAATATTTCCTAGAAAATTTTCCTCATTAGAATTGCAATTCTTTGTTTCCTCATGTTTCATATGCAACGCCATGACAACATACTTCGAAGAGAGACAACTAACTAATCAATACCTAAAAATATAGAAAGTTAACGTTAGATTTTTACATTAAAGATTAATTAATGCTTAAAGGTTGTGATTAACGTGATCTATTCTTATCTTGAATTACTTTATTTATTTAATATAAAGATAGAGCGGTTAATGCACGTCAGTAGCCTAATCAATGGTTAATTTAATTACGATATATGATTCATCATACGTTGTGGTATAAGTTATGTTGCGTCTACATGAATTCAAAATGAATCAGAGACGCTTATTTTACACTCGACTTAATAATTAATATTTTAATCTCATTTGAATCATTTAAATTATGGAGGTCATATTTTGAAACATATTTATTACAGAAACAAATGGGTTATATTAATATTTTAAAAAGCTGATATTGGCAGATGATATCTGTAATGAATCACAATCATTTTTATAACATATTAAATTTCTGCAAGTTAAAAATATTTTTGTAAAGAAATGTCTCCATTAAATAATTAAAAACATATTCGAGATTTCATATTCAAGAATACTATTTTAAAAATAAAATATGATGCAACAGTTTTTTTTAAAAATTTGATGAATTCAGGAATTCTTTTAAATAAACAGATGTTCTTAGTAAATACTTGAGAAGAAAAAAAATTAGGGTTGCCACTTTCCTCTGCTTGAATTGTACGCATATTTCTCTGAGCAAAGCTAAGAAACGTAAGGAAGTGCCATCATTTTAATAACCAAAATCTTTCTGTATTGGGTAGGGGGTCTTACTACTTACTGAATACAGCGCGAAACACCGCAAAACAGCGCAAAAGAGAGGAAACCAGCGCAAAACAGAGGGAAACAGCGCAAAACAGGAGACGCAGTCATTACCACCTCCTGCCACGAAAGAACCACGGCGCCTCTCGCCATGGTTTTATGGCGCTATTTCCGGCATATTTACAAGGTTATGTACCGGATTATAGGTCATCTTGCGAAATTTTATCTACCTTTTTGGTGCTCCAGAAGTATGTGCCGCTACACACACACACACATACTATTTTCAGGTTGTGCGCCATCTTGGTGCACATACTTCTGGAGGTCCCTTTTTACCTAACCCTAACCCTAAAGCCAACCATATCCATATGGAAAATGTTCTAAATTATGGTACCCAAAATGTGTCACCAGCAGGGGCAGACCTGCCATTACAGCATTACTGGCTACATACGTTGGTTTGTGTATTTAATTTGCTGCCGTGGTACTCCAACTCAAAACAAGGTGCCCCGAACTCATTGCAAAATTTTTTTCTGCTTCACACTGTTTCCCTCTGTTTTGCGCTCTTTCGCGCTGTTTCCACACTGTTTTGCGCTGTTTCCCTCTGTTTTGCGCTGTTTCGCGCTCTTTGCGGTGTTTCGCGCTGTATTCAGTAAGTAGTAAGACCGATTGGGTAGGTGATGGGCACAGGATTTGAACCCAATATTCTGACGTTCAAGGTTTTTGCTGTATCAATGTGTACAAATATACCGCACATTCAGACATTTCTGTATTTGTACCGATACTGGTTCGCAGATACGGAATCGTATGCAGTTGATAATTACAGGTGACAAAAAAATTCTTGCCTAAGTAAGAACTAGAGAAGGATAGGATTTTCATTTTTTGTATTTAAAAGGCTAGTGTTACGTTGCCGTATTACAGTATTATGGACTATTTGTAATATGAAAAGTCACACAAAAAGTCATACAGAGCTATTTCTCTTTCAATGGAAAAAATACCATAAATAAAATACAATATTGTTAACAACAGAGCTATTTCTATTAACCGTACCTGAATTTTAAATGAACAATCCGTATCCCTGACTCCGCGCGCGACCAGGTAAGCAATGCGCAACTGTGCAATGAAACGCCGCGCAGCAATAACGAAGGAGGTGACCGACGCCCACTATCATCTGTGTCAAAATAAAAACATCAACAAATTCGCCACAAAAAGCGCCAAATTGCTGGAATATGTTGAATCAGAATCTCTAACTTTGTGCTGGATTTCATTTCCTGAATCGTGGTACTACTCCTGAATGCACAGTTTTTGTAGTGCGGAAGGTCTCTTATATCTTCTCAGCAAAATTTATCATGTTAATTTTATCCTGATATCATATGTTACTCACAAAGCGGTTGAGAAATAGCACACAGCATGCACGATGAATGTTTGAGCATCAACTTTATGATTGGCAACATTTATGATTGAACACATGCTCTTGCATCGAAGGCGCATCTGTCCTCGGCATAAATTCTCCTCAAGACCGCCGGTGTATAAGAAATCAAGAGCATCCCATGCTTTCCAGTTGGGCTTCGATCCCTAAGCCATACTCTTTCCAATGTCACGATCTCAAAATTTAGTACAAGCCTCATTACACATTAGGTGTATACCACGAGCATTCGAACAATACCCAGCTTTCCTCGAAGTTTACTTTGAAACCCAATTCTAACTAAGCCAACAAGTCTTTCTCTTGTAATCTTTTTTCAACAAAAATCCGAAACCATAACGAAAATTTGAAGCTCTTGGTAAAAGTACTAGCATGCAAAGCAGCTGTCACAACAAAGAATTTTATTGGGTTCTGATGTAAGCAGGACTACATCTAAAATTATCAGGTCGAACGATTTATTCTACCTTCGGAAAGGGTGAAATGAGGGTAACCAAAATGAGGGGGTTAGAAATCCAGCTACTGTATTGTATCAAAATATTTTCAGCCCAATTAAATCTATGATCCCTGACAAAGCTTTGCAGATCCTAATCGAGCTCCAAGCAATAAATAATCAACCAGACTTGTTCCTATAACTCAACGCATTCACCTCCCCCAAACTATTCACTATATACCCGGTTTCAATAAATAATAAACAAGAGAGAACGATTTTTTTGTTTTATTTCTCGACTCTGCATATCCTGAGCATATTTTAGGACTTTAGTAATACTCCGGGAATTCAAAAGTCACATCTTTGCCGGTAAGTTTCTTGTAGACGGCTCCAAAAGTGTCCAACTAAAAAGCAAAACAATGGTTGTGAACAAAAATTGTAGAAACAAATTTCAAGTTGAAAGTATTACTTATGAACCTGATTGATTATACTTGTCAACCTAATGTCCGCTGGGTATAATAACATCGCAAGTTTGGTATTTTCCAAATATATGATTATTTGTTTATATAGATCAGTGCTCCAAACTTAACCCAGGTTGGGGCTAGAGGGCTTAACGGGGGCTGCAGCGTATTGGCAGATTATTTAATCTTCTTCCAATTACCTCAACCTATCTGTTTTTCGACACAACTCGCGTTAAACAAAATATTGTTCAAATTCAGAACCAATAACGAGACCAGCCATCACCAAAATAGAGCACATCTTTCTCATTTGAAGTCTCTAACGGTCGCAAAATATATTGGCTAGGCCAAGTGCGCCATTATGAAAAAAGTTTGAAGAACACTGATATAGAATATAATATATTATGATCATTGATCAAATAACTTATAATATAATATCAATTCACCAAGGTGCCTTACCACATAAAAAGATACAGAAAAAAAGCATGGATTTACAGTGACAAAGCAGAGTTAAAAATTTCCTATTTATATCAGGAGAGAAAAGTCCATTAGACTAATCATATGATTAGCCATATGGTGAACCATGTCCTCTTGTCCGGTTACCAGTCCATGTCGAATATCGGAATAGTTATTTGTTTCAGACGCACGAATTGGATTTCAGCAGCACGAATTGGAAGAAGCCTAACTGACCACTGATTACATAACCATCCTATGACAGCGAGGAGTCGAGTTATTCTTTCGTACATAATTACGCCCCATAGAATTCAATGATGCGAACCCATGCAGGGTCTTCCTATAAAAAAAAACATGCCATGTTCAGTACCTTGTGTTCGACATTGTTTTGTTGGCTCTTATCTAAGTGTACTTTGATCAGCCTGGAACAATCCAACTTCACTCGAGTCCTCTTGCCAACGATTTCAGCAGGATAAACAATATCTTCAAGAATATTATCGTGTACTGATGTCAGTGTACGACTGAAATGAAAAAAATTAAAATGACATTTATGCACAAAACCAGGAAATTTTAGTTGAAAGACTTTTTCGGTATTTCTTGTAAAAAATTTAAACAAAAATATATATAATAGCAATAAAAATTAATCTCTTTGCTCTATGGGAAAATTTGATAGAGCAGATATATAGCACCTAATCCTGCCCAAACAAAGCGATGAAATAAGCAATTTAATGCAACTTTGAGCTTTGTATGAGAATACAATGTTGTTGTTGGCAAGCGTATGGCTTGATAACCAGCTGACGACAGAGCATAAGTGCAACACCTCAAGAAGATGTAATTAACTAGGTTACACCAACACATATATCCATGTCCGAGCCTTTCAGGGACTTGTTAACAGCCAATGTTCAAAACATGTCATGAATAGGAGCTGCAAAAAGAATGCTCCCACCCCAGAACTAAATGAACTTGGGAATCCATCGTAATAAAAATAATAGGTAAACCACACAGTTGTTATTTGAGTTAGTTCAAGGCAACATAGATTACTTTCTTGGTCTCTTTTGCTTGCTTTTCGACTTTGTCTTCCTCGTTGGCTTAGGGAGAATTCTCCTCTGTTAAAATACAGCACAAGGTTAATATGACATTCTTTGTTATCAATGCCAAGGTAATTTTAATAACATACACTTATACGAAAAATAGTAAGTTCTGTTATACTGCGTGTTAATAATAATAATAGATATTAAATTTGTACAGTTTATTGATAGAAACCCTATTTCTTAATATACAAGGGAAAGAAAAAGATACGGACGAACCTTGAGCATTCAGAAAATACTAGATTTAGCATGATGAAAATTTTCACAAAATTCAAGCTTTATTTTACAGGGTGTAAAAAAGAATTTCACCCGATTTTTTAGATAACAATTGTAAGTTGAAATAAATTTCATTGTATGATAAATAAGAACTACAGGCACAATAAGAACTATCATTAAACTATCAAAAAATGAAGGAAAATAAATTTTTAATTGTTATACCATAAAACCGAGCGCAATTTTTTCGACACCCTGTGCAATGCGCCGACATAAGCTAAAATCTATCAATCTCAAAAAAAAGTTTATACGAAGATGCAAAATATATGCAGTTCGATATACAATGATTAAATATATATAAAATATTACACATGATATCCATCAGTCAAAAGTTTGACAAACATACTTATAGACCAGATTTTGTATATTTCAAGCAAACCCCAAATCAATTTGCTGGCACTGTGTGTAAAATACATTTATGTATGCTTATAAGCATTGCTGTTTCGACCTAATCATGTAAAGTAAGATACACCATATATCTGCTAATACTCAGGTACAAGGTATTTCTGACAACGAAAAAGTTTTGTCTCAATGCACCAAATTTAGTGATAAGTTGATCTCTAAGATTCTGAAACTGGGCATCCAGCCAGCAGGTATTATTTTTACCAGATTTCGTTGCTTACAATTTAATTTAAATTGGCAACTAGTGCCATATCTGAGACTAAAAAATGGCTATACTTGGATATGTGACTTATCTCAATTAAGTTAACAAAGTATAAGAATCTGACCTATCCATCCTTCTACTAGCAGTAGGGCACAATTCTCTGATTCCAAGATGTTCTAGTATTTGGTTTAAAAAAACACTAAATATGTCACAAAAACGAGGGCATGTGGCATGACGCCGTGCTTCCACTATTAATTTAAAACAGTCGTGTCAAGAGTCTGCCATCATGTGACCAAATCCCTCCCAACGAGGACCAAAACGAAAAATTTTCATTCGGTAAAACTGATTATTTTTTTCTGAGGAATCCAATGGTTTACCCTTTAGTTCTGTAGTTTATTGCGCATGGATATGAATTCCCAGACTGTCTTGTAAAAGAGGGCTTTGCATACAATTGCATCATAATTGATGTCTTTTACTGTGGATAGTATTCTTGCAATCGAAAGACTGTGCCGTACTGACTGATGCATGGACATTGATCACTATATTACAAAACAAAATACAAACCTGCGCAATAAACACGATATGTTTTCCGCTGAATTTCTTTTCCAACTCTCTGACCAATCTGACTTGGATTCTTTGGAACGATCTGAGTTGAGGAAATGGAACGAATATCACGATCGCATGTCTACCACTTCCCACATCGACTTCCTTTAAAAATAAAATAGCGTCATGTATTTCTCTTTAGGAGTCGGTTTGCCAAAAAGTAATGTAAGAAAAAAAAAGCTAATAAAACAAATGACCTGTCTTCACACAATAGAACAAAGATTTTTCGAAACATTCAGACTCCAGGACTATCAATAAAAGATATTTTGAAAGCATAGCCTAGGTCACACCAAATCCAATGAATTTTACAAATTAAACCCCATAATTGTAATCTATTGCTTGCAACCTACCTTTGCCGCCGTGATATATAACTCCCGTAATTGGGTTTTCAGATCACTGTTACTCTCTAATTCAAGAAGAGCTTGAGAAATTGAGGACTCAAAAGCATCTGGCCTTTCATTATTGGCCTTGACTATCTTTGACCCACCGGGGTACATGGCTTCTGTTGTTTGCTACGCTGAAAACAAAGGTAATTATTTGAAACTAGGATTTCAACAAGAACGCTGTACAAACAGAAAAGAGGAGCCATAACGCCGTCGCTTCTATGTCAAATTGACCTCTTACTCTTAAGGTGAATAAAGGTAAAATTGTCATAAATCACAACAAAATGAATCAAAGAAACTTAATGTATATCAAAAATAGTTATTCATCGTGTAAAATTCGTGATTACTACGGATTTATTCAATGAAATTAAAAAACCAACCAAGTCCAGCCATCCACCATAAAAAGGACCTCGACACGGTTGATCTGCTGCGATCCCAACAGTGTTACGCATGAAGTAATATGGCTCAAACTGAAATTGGGAATGGATAAAGTTTATTATGTTTCTCAATCATTATGAATTCAGATGAAAACAAATATTTATATAACATATATTATCATTTACTTTAAGCTTTGACTGGTTTTTGCTGGGGCAAGACCCGTGAGTGCCACAAGCAAGTAAAAATAGCCGCAAATTAGAACCACGAAATTAAAATCTTAAATTACAGTTTTTCTAACTTATTCTTCGATTCTAAATTATTTTCATGTAAATTATGAATAGTAATCGGGGTGAAATTTGTAGCCAAGTTGGGGCGAAGCGAACGGGAGCCAGAAAACAATGGCTAGAGAGCAAAATAGAAGCAGTTTAGGGATATGTCGACAAACCGAGGCCTTTCTGCGTGATTGTCTGAGACTTCTCTCGCAACACCTCCACCACTCAGCTACCTTTGCGGTAAAAATGAAATTATTATGTACGGTCATTTATGACACCAATTATAACGCATGGCTATAAAAAAGTATCGACAATCATGCTAAATAAAGTAGCCTAGATTGTTCAGTCAAGTTTGCAATGCGTCGTTTTTTATGTGGTAATTGAATCAGTTATTCAAGACGAATATGGCGATTTGAATCAAGCCTGGAGTTGTTTCAAAATAATTTGGCAAACAATTTGTTGAATTCGTATACTTCTTTTTTAGCCTCTTTCTGTAGTAGGCCTATTTAGTATTTTTCTGCATTTGTGCCTTGACTTCAGGAAGGATTGTTTGTTTTTAGTAGATGTATTGTGCCGATAGCAATGGAAGGATCCATTACGTCCCACTAACAGCGCAAATACAAAAGCGTAAAATGTGGCTTCAGTGGGTACGGCCCATGTGACTCTCAAGACGATCTGTGAGTCGTAAAATCTACTGAAAAGGTGTCACATTACTCTTGTTACATGAATATTAGTTACAACAAATTAACATGATTTATGATTGATTTGTAATAATATAAAATGTAAACTTTCCACCTTATTTATGCCAGGAGTGTTGTTTTAATTCAGTGACCGTGTGATCCTTCCGACCTCCTGTCCATTCCGTTGTTTGTCGATTATTCTATTACTTATCGATCTTGATCGGTAAGTATGGTAATAGGTATTTGTCTGTCTGTATGTCTATTTGTCTGTGTGTTAGATGCACGTGATATCTCACGAAAGTAAGATTGGATCTGCTGCAGATTTTGTATGTGCAATTATCATAGCTCGGATCAGAAGCCTATTGGTTTGGGATGGGTTATGTCGTATGATTAGCGAGTTATTAATTAATTAGTGATGGGACACACGGTGTCACTATGGAGTAAGACCACTGTTTTGGGGGATCCCCTAACCTTCGATCGATAAGTCTTCGGTTTCCAACCGAATTCTAGTTTTACTTATAGAGTGCTATTATTTGTGTTTCTTGTTTGATATATTGGCTGATGAATAAAATTTTATTTATTTATGTTAACTCTTTACCTCTGACGGCTCTGAGCGAAGTTACTCGCTCACCCTGAAGGTTCGCGGCGCCGTATTGGTAGAACAATAAAATAAGTCTAAATACTGGCTATTTGGCACGCTTATAATTTTTTACCAATTATAGGTAGCACGTTGTGTGACATTTCAATCGAAAGGAAATTTTATCGTGCATTCAGAATGTATTTTCCATTTCGAAATACATTTTGTCAAATTAATAAAATTGACCCTAATCTAACAGTGATTTTTCTGCATGTATGTGAGTTTTGGCTTGAAATTTTGTTATTTTGGTAAAAAATATACCGCCAATATTTGATGTTCATAAAGAGTTTTTTATAAGCTTTTTGTTGATATTCGAAATATTATTGTTGCTGCCATATAACCAATTTTATATTTAAATATTTAATTGTGTATCATTGTGTCGGGTGAACAACTTCGATAAGCGGCCATGACGCACTGATTACGCAGCTACGCAAAAGTCGATCACGTGACTACCGTCATGAAGATGTTGATTTGTACGTTCGAAACGTATTGCGTGGCAAAATGCGCAAGATAACTTTCACGACGACGTTCTCAGCGAGTCATCGGTCGCCGAGTTTCGATATGATATTAACCCTGTATGGATTGAAGTACCGACGCCGAGTAATGCAAGCAGTAATAGCGAAGTGAAGGGAAGTTAATATCGTTATATAAAATTTCACGTGGAAAATGTTTTATTCGCCCATCAGTATTTGTTCAAATATCAACCAAAATAAGTACTTGCCTGCTTTGCAGATCAAAATATCTGATTGTACGAATGTTAGGCGAAGCAAGTGGATGGATCAATATTTGAGAGAACTAATAATGCAGAAAGAGCAACTCTTATTCCAACAAGATCATATGCGTCGCCAGAACTAGATACCCTACCGCAAAATGCCAGTTCTAATAATAGATGCGTCGTATGCAGCAAAATTTACATTATTGCCAAAAAACCAATCCAGCTGCTAAAGACAAAGCGTTGCTGAAACGATGCGAGACAGTATATAAGTACAAATACTGTAATGAGTACCTATGTATAGATAACGAAACCAACAACCATAAGTATAACTGACATAACAAAGTGCAATATTGGATTTAGAATGTGTCTTTTATCTGCATAATATTTTCATGTTCTTCATTGTTCCGGGCACAACAAAGTGCAATATTCAATTTAAAAATTTTAGCAAGCAGTCTTATATGTACATACATTTTTGATAGTTGTTATTGTTCCGTTATTTGCTAATAAAATCACAATCTTGTTCATATTGCGTATACGTAACCACAACTTAATTAAATATTTGTTATCATACAATAATTTCATACGCACTTTCAAATTGCTAATTTCACCGAAACATCGTATATTAGAACACCGATATTTACAATATAATTAGTCCCAATAACAAGCTTTCATGCAATCTAAAATTTATTTAAATACTCATTGTGGTTCTTGAGATACGAGATCATAAAGTTGATTTCTTCTGACACGAAAAACAAGCCGGTAAACCGGCTTGCCGGGGCACAGAGCGTACTCAAACAAGCCGGTAAACCGGCTTGCCGGGTTCAAGCGGTTAATATTAATATAACATATAACAGTAAATATATACTACTACGATATAACTAATTAATCCCATGATGGGTTTACCAACTGCGAAAAACACTGGCTTCCGATTATGGTTATCCCAATACTGCTTAAAAAATGAAATAAAAATTTCAAACAAATTTATATTACAGCGCTCTCACCATATTCCACGCTATACAGACCCTATTACAGCATTTCAAAAATGAATCATCGCACACATATGTATGATTGAAAGTATAAACAGGCTATTGGTGTAAAAATATTGTTAGTATTGGTGTAAAAGTAATTGGCGCACTCATGAACGCGAAATAAAAATTGTTCACAATTGATTTGAGTATTGTCTTATAACACTGCATATTTCGATTCATTCATACCTAAGCATCGTTTTGATTATTACGTTATGTAGAGTAAAGTCAATGCTGTTTGTATCAAAACGGTTAAATTCGTCAAATTTGCAATATTTGAATCCGATTTAACTGATGCCAATTTCGATATCCGCAATGAAATCAAACAGAAACAGATAACATCTTCTAAATCTTCGATTTCATATGTTTATTGTTTTTACTTATTATATGTCAATTCGAACTTTCAATTCGTATTCTCGCCGTTGATAAATGATCAATTTTTGAATACAATTTCAATTTTTCTATATATATACATTGTGGTTTTTCAATTTCATGCATTATCAATATTGGGGTGCGTCAGGGTTCTTATTCACAACTTGGTTTACATTTACATAGTTTGAGTCGGTCATTTATTTAGCATTGGGTAGATATTGTCTAAATTAATTCAGTGATAATTTTTTCTGGATGAAATTGACGTCAAAAACGTTGAAGTAATTCCTAATGTATTCTGGAGATGATATAGAACAGCTGTCGGAACATGAAAATATACAAAATCAGACCAGAGGATACGCTCAAGGATACAATTGGGAGGCTGAATATTTATCTCTAAAAATATTGCGTCCTATTGCAACTTCATTCTCTCTGTACATGGCAGTAACACAAACAATATACTGTTTCATCCAAAGGAAGAAGGATAAATCAAGAAATTGCAAAGTACCGGAAGCTAGAAGATTTGGTTTACGACTCAAATTCCTCATGAATGCATTTTTGGCAGCGTCCTGTATATTCACTACGCTTCGAGGTGCTCTTACATTTCAATATCCCTTGCTGACCAACCTCGAATGCAAACAATGGACATCGGCAACGTTTGTCTTTTATGATGTTGCGATGCTTCTGGCATACGCGGTGTTATGGTTGCGACAACTCTCCTTCTATGCCAACCCTTCTCTCAAGCAATTGGAATCTAAATTCACCAGATTCATAAGCTGGTGTATTATAATATCCATGGTGGCATCGTCGATGTCTGTTATATGCTCTGGACTTATTCTACACGAATACCAATCATCTGAATATGGATGTATAGCGGTGCCAACTACGTTTGCTTACGAATATGGTCTTCTTATAAGTTTCACTGTGCTGTATCAAGGCAGTCTGCTTGGACTCTTCATCTATCCATTAATTAAACACAATAAGAACGCTGGAGTGAACTACATTCGGGATTTGATCAGACGTGTCGCTGTAGCTGCAGTGATTTGCGTTGTCACGGATGCCTCATGTGCAGTGTTTTCTGTTGTAAAACCAGAGAGAGAAATTGAATTAGCTTTCTTTATGTATTTCGTGAATCTGAATGCCAATGTTGCCTGCGTAATTTTCTCCTTTTCTGACTGGAGAAAACGACTTTTACCATTCAAGAGGAAGTCAAAAAGGACGAAGAATGGGCGAATATTCAAGATTTCTTTTGTGTATAATCCAAATAAATCAACAATGAGTGGAATGCGAATACGTCGCGTTGCTCCAACTTGTAATAAAGGGACTAAAATTCCAGGAATAACAACTGATTAAGAGACGATGGCGCACTTACCCCAAAACATAGCTTGTTACGAAAATGCATTGAAAACGTTAGTGCCCACTCAAATCGAAGAACATCATCCCAAAAAATTATAAAAAAAAATTAAAAATTCCTATAATAATCAATTGTGGAGTTGAATGTTGTCACACATTTTTGTAAGCAAGCTCGTGTCATGTAAGCGTAAGAATATTCAATGTACAGTAGTATAAATAAATTTCAATTTTGTCCAAGTTTTGTTTTGTTAAGATAAGCTGCATTAAATATTTCAATGAAAAACCTCACCTTGAATTTAGTATTTTTTCTGGTTGTTCAACATTTCTATTACGGCGAATGAGAAATATATTAGGCCTCATAGTTTTAGTTTGTTCTAAGTTAAGTGATGTTCGTTATCTCATATCAAACGTTTGGTATATTTTAATCACTTATTTTCACTTTGAGTCATGTTCTGTTTGATTTTCTTTTTTTTGGTGATCATGCATTAATTAAAGAGCTTGTGCTCTATACTTGATTTAAAAACAAATCATTCAATATTTTTAAATTTTTATCGAATAGCCTCAAATCGAATATTTGAGCAACAAATATTACTAGTTATGTATATATTCTTATTATTTGATTAAAACTGACTTTTTTCTGACAGCCAATAGGGACACGTACGTTGGTATTTGGCCGGCAAACGGTTGGGTTTTGAAACAGTTACTAGTATTTTCGTTGAAATACAAATGTCGTCTTCAGAGTTGGACATCAATGGTGTCAATAATGATGCAAGAACGTCCCACCATATACTAATCAATCAATCATCAATTACCTCCCAAAATTACGACTGGGAAACTGAATATTTTGCTCTTAAGATATTGCGACCAGTTGCAACATTATTTTCAGTTTATATGTCCGTGACACAAACTATGTATTCTGTTAAGCAAAAAAGGAAAGATTTTTTACGCGCCAGGAAGAAAAACCGCAACGGTAATTCTGCACTACGTCTAAAATTTTTAATGAATTTAGCCATTGCTTCATCTTGCGTATTTGCATCTATCAGAGGAGCAATGGCGTTCCAGTATCCTTTACTGATAGACGCGCAATGCGAGCTATGGACCTCAGTTACCTTTGTCCTTTACGATATGTCAATGTTTCTTGCATACGCTGTACTATGGATGAGACAATTGTCGTTTTATGCCAACCCGTCGCTAGGAAAATTGGCTTCAAAATGGACAAAAATGATTAGTTGGTTTATTTTACTTTGTATGACAACATCCTGTCTTTCAATAATATGCTCCGCACTGATCGTCCATGAGTACAAAGCTTCCATGTATGGGTGCATTGTAGTGCCTCCCACCTATCCATACGAATACGTCTTTCTGGTTTTCACAACGATACTTTATCAAGGCAGTTTGCTTGGCCTTTTTATCTATCCACTGGTGAAGAATAATAACAACATGGGAATAAATTATGTGCGAAATCTAATCAAGCGTGTCGTCATAGCAGCAGTAGTCTGCATTGTCACGGACGCGTCGTGTGCTTTGATTTCATTTATAATGACAAGAGACGAGGTGGAATTATCCTTCTTCGTGTACTTTGTGAATCTCAACATGAACATTGTATTTGTCGTATGCTCTTTCGGCGACTGGAGAAAACGTTTCTTTCCCTTCAGCACAAAGGAAAAGGAAGTCAAGTATAGTGTGAATATTTTTCACGTTTCTGCGGTGTTCAAATCAAATTTATCGAATACACAGGGAATACGGATTCGTCAACTTAGGAAGCATTGCAAGAATCAGTCGACCACCATTGCAGAGGGAAAACAGCGATCCGAAAACTAATTTCCCTTCTCGCATATTAATTATATGCAAGCCTGGATTTTGTCAAAGCGAAGTGGCGTAAAAGAAGATTCTTAATCAAAACTGTGCTTGCCATCAAATAATATGTCTAGACATCAAAAATCCGTCATTTTCATTTCGAAATTTATGAAAATGGTACTTAAAGAAATGGTAAAATCTTTGTAAATTGGACGCACTCTACGAAATAAACGGTATTCATCTTGATACAATCTCTGTGGGCTGGATATAATTTTAATCCTTTTTTCCGGGTTTAGCTAACCTCAGACATAATTACGGTTTTTTCCAGACGGCAATGATAACTTCATTTTATCAAGTTTATTTTACCTGCGGATTATTCAGTATAATTGAATCGACCCCAATTGTTATATCTTTTGACGTTTGATTCTTGCTTTCCATAGAGTAACCAATTTCACAAATTATTGGATTTTAACGTTAGATATATTTGCTGTATATTTTTATTACTGTGGAATTTTTTTTTTTGTCAAAACTGATAATTTCCATCACAACTAATTCCAATACAATGTGACAATTGTCCCAAACATACTACGTCATCAGCCAACGCAGTGTTCCAAGCAAGATTCACCAAACTATCTTAAAACTAATATGGATGTATGATAGATACTCTGTCGTGTGAATGAAAGAATTATGAGTTTCGCATAGTGGATTGAAAAAATGCAATAACCTATTGGAAAGCACAAGAAATTGTAATTGTACTTGGCTCCTTACATATTTTTCTCCTATGCCCGAAAAAGATTCTACATTGCTCCATTTATATTGAGATTGAAATATAAGTCAACCATCTTTTTGCCATACTCGCATCACATCACTTCACACAATTCAATTCTCTTGAGGTTCACAGAAATTTTTAATATGAGTAAAAGTAATAGCCCTCTGACAAAAAAAAATCAATCTTCAACCACTGAAAATTTCAAAGCATTTGGTCCATTATTCGGAGAGAAAAGAGATCATTTTACCATGACGAAGGAGAAGAATATCAACAAGAACAACAACAAAAATACCAAAACGATCGTTATGTCCACTGACGTGTCCAAAAAACGATTTTTTCATAACGATAAGAAGAAAATACCAACAAGAGCAACAACAACTTAATAACAAAACGATTCATATATAAATTTTCTGTCGAATAAACATATGCAACATCGTAGAATCTATAAACATGAAAGTGACGTCATAATCACATCACATTGAATACACATTTGATGGCTATTTCACAGATATATTCTGTGGCGACAGTACACATGATTCAGAAAATTTATCATGCATGCAATCTCTGTAATAAAATGAAGGAGTATAATCAATATTTATTCAAGTCTGAGTCGTTACGCAATAACTGTGCCAGCAAAGTTTATTTTGTTGTCGGTGAATACGCTGACACTGTGGTTAACTTCAACAATGTAAGACAGTAATATCGTTGTAAAGGCACGCATGTTGTTTTGAGAAGCAGACAAGGATGATTGCAAGTCGTATTGTCAAGAGCAAGGCAGTGTGTAGCAGACTTCCATTTGAAGGTAAAGTGTGTTTTATTGTTTGATAAAAATAAGCAGATTATGCCCATTATACAGCAGGCAAAAATGCGGTACCAGATGCAATCAAATTGAACGTGGTTTGGTAAAAAAGAAGGCGCAATTTCAGAAATATTTTTAATGGAAAATGACGAATCAAATTCCCAAATATCCAAAGCTGTGCAGACGCTTTTTATTCACCAGATTTTAGAATTACTTTCTTGTGATGTCGCATACGGATAGTTGCTATTATATACTTCAGTACTATAACCACATATTGATAAGAGCGCATGTTGTTTGTCGGAAATAAACTTGTCTCGCAATGTCATTTCCTATATGATAATTTCATGCAGCGTTTTAGGCGGCGAAAAATTTGATGACGTATTTCCGTATGATACAGGGAATAAGAACACGCAGCAGGGACCCATCTTCTCCATTTAGGCAATGTTCGTGTTGTACTTGAGCATAGTTTATTTCTATAATGAGTGTTTTATACATGCACAAAATAGTCCGTCTGCGACGTGCTTGTGTACATTTCCTCGGAAGAAAATGGTTGAAGCATCCTCCAAATGTTTTCTTATATATCATTATCTGTGTTACAAATATGCTTAAGCGTCACGGATAGAAATCATTGGAGGCTTGTACAATGCGGCAGAGCTTGTGTAAATGATAGAAAACATCGTGGTCATATTAGTTTAGTTGAATAAAATTTCAGAATCGCTTTCTGGAGAATTTGTTGGTAACCGTTCAGCGTTGTAGTTATTGTTTGTTGATTTGGAAGTTTTAAAATTTCGAATACCGATGTTGAGAAATTTAAAGTAAAATATTTGCAAATTAGTACAGGCATTTAAAACATCTGTTCCCACCGAGGGCCCGTGGTCTTCAAGCGGGCCACAGAAAAACCCGAGGGGCCATAATGCTAGGCGCAAAACTGATTTTACTTTTCTCTTTACAAAACAAACTTTCCGTTCATCTTAGTTTCATTGCTTGATAAGTTTATTTCACAGGGTGTTTTTCACTTTGTTGCGCATGAATTGTTTGCACATAATGAATTTGGAATCTACCAAGTTAAATAACACTATAAATACCACTGGTATGATAAACCGAGGGGCTATAAATGCAAAAAAAGCTTTCCAAGGGGGGTCACGAGCCATAACAAGTTGGGAACCATTCATTTAAAGCAATATACAAAACAAGGAAATGAAACTTATTGAATTATTGAACTTGATGAAACGGGCACTGTCTATTATTTTCTTATAAATTTATTCAGTTTTCCAGCAAAGATGTTTGTCTTCTGTCATCTCGGATTCGTCTTCCCTAAAGAGCAGATACGATGCCATTGTTATCGGAGCCGGACACAACGGACTAATATCGGTAAAAAAAATTATTAATGCAACTCTGTATTTTAATGATGAAAACGGTAGAAACGAATTTTATGAAATAATCTCAAAAGTATAGCTGTGTACCGAAAACCAGATATTGTGACCCTCAAAATGCCGCACAACCTGAGCATAGTATGTGTACCAGGTTAGGGTTCAGGTTATGCGATATCTTGGTGCACATACTTCAGGAGCACCGCCATTACAGCCTTCATGCCTTGGTTTGTGGAAGCACAGTTTTAACCACAATGGTTTTCAATTTAATGCCGTGGTACCCCGCCTCACGCCATTGGTTTGTGACAGCTAAAATGTCAGCCGCCATGGCTTGGCCATAGCGGCCATGGTTTTGCGGCAGCATCAGACGCTAATTTCTCATGTTGTTCTTAGAATACAAATCTAACTTTCCTATTACAGGCGACATACTTAGCAATGAAAGGTCTTAAAGTAGGTGTTTTTGAGAGAAGACATGTAGTAGGAGGGGCAGCGGTCACCGAAGAAATAGTTCCTGGCTACAAATTTTCAAGAGCGTCGTATGTATTAAGCTTACTACGACCTCGAATAATAAAAGAATTGAATTTAGAAGTAGGTAAAGCAGTTGATGTTTATTTATATTTGGTACTTCGGAAGTATGATAACCAAGATGGCGGACACCGGTACGTAGTATGTGTACCAGGTTAGGCCATAATTTTATTCCAATTTTCCTTATTTTAGTTCTATTACGTGTTCGGGGACTAGTAAAGTGATTCCCATAGTATTTGTACTTGAGTTATGGCGTAACCCTAACCTGGTACTCATACTACGTTTCGGTGTCCGCCATCGTGGTTCACATACTTCGGGAGTACCTATTTTGCACCTTCTGTATTCAAATTTCTCACTTATAAACAGTTACTTTATGAACCACCAACATTATCCCTCAGAAACACGGACTCAAAGTTCATCTAAGACAAACGGTCGCCTTTACTCCGATACTGGAGGATGGAGTAAACGGCAAACCACCGAGATCACTTTGCCTTTATCCAGATGAAAAAATGAATGAAGAAGAGTTGAAGAAATTTTCAATGAAAGATGCAAAGGTGCTTGTCCATTTCTTCTCATTGTCATCCCCTTTTGTAAACTCATTTTACAAGTAACTTTTCAGTCTTTAGCTGCCTATGACAAATATATACTGGACATCGCATCAGCAGTGTCGCCTCTCCTAGAAACGCCTCCTCCAAACTTGAAAGATGGATTTTGGAAAGCACTAAAAACGTCTAAACCTCTTCTGGATACAGGTATTTTTTTACTAAACCTGATTGTACGGAATATTTTTCGCCGACGCCGACAGTGAATTTCCCATCACTCACGCAGATTTTTTATCGATGTTTTTTTTACCAAGAGCCGTATTTAATGAAAATGAGTGTAATGCGGTATCAGATACCTAAATTAGACGTCTTTTTCAATTCAAATGGTTGGCAATAATTTGTTTACAACCGTGCTGTTACATTTATGTTGCATCATATCATGAAGAATTGTTAACAAACTGCGGTACTCCCGTAGTTTGTGTACCAGGTTAGGGTTGGGCCATAATTTTATTCCGATTTTATTTTTATTTTAGTTCTATTACGAGTTCGGAGACTGTCTGTGTTAGTCAAGTGAATATACTCCCTGTTCATAGTAATCCGTCTCTTTACACAATTTGATGTAAAGTAAGCGAACAAAATTAGTTGCCTCCATATTGGTACACACACTTATGGAGCGCCATAATTTGTGTACCATCTTGCTGTTACATTTTTGGTACATCATAAGAGGAAAAATTGTTATAAAACTGCAGCACTATACCAATATCAAATAACCCAATTTTTTGCTTTTTTAGTAAGAAAACTTGACGATGTTTCTTCATTTTATGATTTTATTACATCTCCCATTACAAAGGTAAAGTTTAAAATTTTACATCATCATGGTGCAACTTATTCTTTGACAAAAAGTATTGTGATTGAATACTATATACCTACCGATCTTTTTTGTAGACTCTCGATAGATGGTTTGAGACTGATGTACTGAAAGCAACCCTGGCTACTGACGGCGTAATTGGGGCCATGGTAAGTCCCCATACACCAGGAAGCAGGTGGGACATCATTCTACGAAATTGAAATCACAATTACGTTATATTCAAATTCACAATAAAAACGTGATTGGTCATTTCTAGGTTGATATATCGGGCTCATATTTCAGGCCTATTCTCCGATAGAGGATAGAAAAATCAAGGAATTTATATACTGTATTATTAGATTATTATTATTTTACTTTGCTTGCGCAGAGTGGCGCATCCAGGGTATGTCATTCAGGACGCCGAATCGAATTGGGCGCAAAATAGGTAAAAAGTTTTAATTGTAAAATGTTTCAATAAAATAATTTCAAATTAAAAATAATTAAAAACTTGTATTTTTTCTTGAATAATAACGTAGAATATCTCAATTCAACAATTGGTTGAAAATTGTCAGTGGACGATCTAGTGGGCGCATTTTCAAACTTTGCCATGTGCGCCATTTTACGTAGATACGCCACTGCTTGCGGTCATTCACCAAACTGATGGGAATACATTTATAACAAAATTCATTCGTGAATCTTTTAACAGTTATGTTCTACTTCATCATATGATTGGGGAAGCGGAAGGAATAAAAGGAGCATGGGGGTTTGTTGAAGGGGGCATGGGGGCTGTTTCAAACGCGATCGCAGCTTCGGCAAAAGAACACGGAGTGGATATATTTGTCGATCATGTACGTGTCACTAAGGCTTGGTTCTAAAACAACTTTGAAAAACTTCGTGAGATAATCAACTCTAGATTTCATATATTCTGCTTAATATTGTTCAATGCTCAAACTTTTATACTCCCGAAGTATGTGAAACAAGATGGCGAAAACCGGAACGTATTATGTATACCAGGTTAGGGTTAGGCCATAACTTTAGGTACAAATATTACGGGATTCACTTGGCTAGTCTACGAACTCGTAATGAAACTAAAATAAGGAAAATTGGAATAGAATTATGGCCTAACCCTAACCTGGTACACATACTACGTTCCGATTTCCGCCATCTTGGTTCACACACTTTGGGAGTACCCAAACTTTTAATATTTAACCTTTTCAGGAGGTTCAAAAAATTGACATCATCGACGGAAATTGTGGCGGAATCACTTTATCTAATGGAAATAACGTGAAAAGCAACATTGTTCTATCCAACGCTACCCCTCATGTTACCTTTCAAAAATTACTAGCAGACGATTTTGATGCTTTACCAGAAGAATACAGGAAACAAATAACAAGTTTTGACTATACTTCTCCAGTGACAAAGTTGAATAGTAAGATATGGGTTATTCGTATTGGTCTTTCTCATTGTTGTGATATAAACCAATACAGCAATGCACAAATATATGGACACGATAGCCAAAACGAAGTAGTACGACCATTTAAATTACAGTAGGCTACCGCAGACCGCGTTTACATGGCTTCTCCTGACCACCAGAGAGCAGCGAATGTGGAACCGCCACAAGATGCGCAATTTTCAATTTGGATGACGTCATCGCACACAAAATAACGAAGCTCATATAGCACGCAGGAATTTTGAAATAAATAAAAGTAATAGTTGTCTGGTGACAAATACAATTTTCAACCACTGAAAACTTCAAAGCAAGTGGTCCAGTTATTAAAGAAAAGCGATTATTTCATAACAGCAAGAAAAAAAGTCCATGCTTCTGAAATCTAATGACTGTCTTACTATTCCCATAACCGACATGGACTGATATCCGGAAGAGAGGCCATCATAGTAATATCATTAAGCCGTCTTATCGGCTCTCCTTCTGGATAAGTATGTAAATCCTATCCTAAGAATTCAAACAACAGCAACAACATTGTACCAAAACGATCTATAGGTCAATTTCGTGTCCAAAAATCTCTCTTACTTTTTAACAGTTGCTGTGGATCGAATTCCAAATTTTTTAGCTCTACAAAGCAGCAAGCCAACTGAGGTGCCAAATCAGTTGAAAGGAACGATACATTTGAATTGCGAAGACATTGGATGCATTAACGATGCTTATTTGGATGCCATGCAGGGCAGGTTTTCTAGAAGGTTAGATTCGTACATTAATTTTAATTAATAGAATTCAAGTAAATTTTTGAGTAAATGAGTTGGAACCACGTTTCTTGCAGATATTCCCGACAACATGCTAACAGGTAATGCTGGGCATTTTGAATCGAATAGCAAATTTGAATAGGTTTAGACAAAATTTCGAATCGCCGCAATCTTTTTTTTTTGTCCGCCAAAGATTGAATTGAATTCCTAATTTATTTTTATTGAAGCCCTATTTTAACAATGTAATTCTGACATATGACTCTTTCGTCCTAGTGAGTTATTGATGAAACACATTTTTCTCATTGTGTGCGAACGGATTCCATGCCTTCGGTAATTTATGTGTGTGAAGGATCCCTTACAATAAAATAGTCGCATTTAATTACATGTCTTATCAGTATTCGAGATTCGATTTGAAAAAAAATATTTGATTCAGTTTTGAAATCATCAGGTATTCGAAAATGCTTAGCCCTACAAACAGGAAGGGTACTAGTTATGTACTTGTGCCGTACACATATGAATTTAATTATTAATCCCACATTCAGGCCTATGATTGAACTATGTATACCATCAACTGTGGACACCACACTTGCACCGAAAGGCCATCACGTTTTATCTGTGTTTACTCAATATACACCTTATTACTTGAATGGAACACAAGAATGGACGGACTCTGATCGCGACGATTATCGTAAAATAGGTAATAGATAAAGTTTCTTTTTTTCTCCAACGATTCTGCGGTACTCCCTTAGTGTGTATACCAGGTTAGGGTAGGGCATAACTTTATTTTGATTTTCCTTATTTTAGTTCTATTACGTGTTCGGAGACTGTCTGTGTTAGCCAGATGAATCCCATTTCCTTCACACAACTGGATGTAAAATAGGCTAACAAAATTAGTTACCTCCTTATTAGTTACCATATTGCTACATACACTTCTGGATCGCCAAATCTGCAACGCAGCTAACCTATTCTAAAAGATTCAAGAGTTCTGCTGCACACTAATACAGATATATTTCTGTACCAAACCAAAGTCTGACTCCCTTAGAAATAGATTATACAACTAGAACAAAAAAAAAAAATTGCATGCATATTTGAACAATGTCATAAAAAAGGGAGTCAAGCTATTTGACGAATCTTTAGAGTCGGTGATTGTATAATTAATTCACAGCGGGAAACTGTGATAAAGTATTTGAAAGATTGAACAGAGTATTTCTCAGGAGCTAACCTATTACAGTATTTTACACTTACATACTTTATTTTTGGAAGTGTTCATACAAAATAACAACTTGTTTGTTTTTAATACTAACTTTCTGTTTGTCAGTGTTCAAAAGTATTGAAGATTATGCACCAGGTTTTATCGATAGCGTTGTTGGTTACGAAGTTCTGACGCCGATGGATTTAGAAAATACGTTTGGATTAACAGGAGGGGTAAGCAATAATTAAGTTATTTGGAAGTTTTGAGCTGAAGGACATTTGGTTGGTTAACTGAATATGTTAAGTGCGCAAAAACTGCAATAAACACGCTAAAACTTGCAAAAAGTGTGTTTTTGTGGTTTTAGACGGCTTTTGCACGTTTTGGACACGTTAAATGTGTATAAACCGTCCAAAACACGCTAAAACGTACAAAAAAAGCGTATTTTTAGTGGTTTTAGACGGCTTTTGCACGTTTTAGACACGCTCGTACGTGTATAAACCGTCCAAAACACGCTAAAACGTGCAAAAGGCGTGTTTTGGTAATTTTAGACTATTTAAAACACACTAAAAAGAAATTTCAATGAAACATAGCACTGTTTGATTACATATTTAGAATATTTTCCACGGTGCAATTGGTTTGGATCAGCTTTTTCTATCCCGACCAACCTCGTTCATGGCATCTCAGAGAACGCCCTTACAAGGATTATACATATGTGGAAGTGGAACACATCCCGGTATGTTTTTACATTTGTCTTACACTCTTAAAAGTTGAATCTAACTTTATACTTTAACGTACGTACATCTTTCAGTGCTACATCTTAACGTACATCTTTCAGTGCTATGTATTTTCAATAATGCTATTATGCGTATACTTTAAAAGTCTATACCAGTTTTTCTCAAATACTCAAAAACTATTCAATGTAATATATCTACGACTGTAAAATTAGAAAACTCTTTAATCTGGTATTTTTTACCAATTTATATAAATTCTTGTACCAACAATACAAAATCCTAAAAATCAGTTTTCTTGTTATTTATAGGCGGAGGAGTCATGGGCGCATGTGGTAGACTGGGAGCAATGGCGGTTTTATCTGATCTCAAATCGAAAAAAATATCAAAGAATTTATCGTAAAATAACTGAACTGGGAAATTCAGCTTTTCGATTCTAGTAGCATTTCAGGCGATCAGTATAGCAAAAATTGATTATATGGTGAACACACTGAATATATTTACACCCAACTAAATCTAAGATCTATCTTCGCGCAAAACGTTTCATATGTAATTGTGATTTCCTTCACAGCTGCACTTTTCCCTTATGTTTGAGTCTAATAATTTAAAGTTTTTTGATAACACAAAAGACGGAGAATGCTTCACTTAGAAATATATTGTGATGGAAAGATAAAATCATTGGAAAAATTCAAACACGGAAGATCATTCTTTTATATGGCGGTTTGTGGTGTCTCCAGTAAGAATTTACTGAATTTGTCGTAGTTAAGAATTCCATTTGTTTCCTCCTGTCCTTGCATCATTGCTGACACTTGAGCAGATGTCAACTTTTCTCCTGAAAGAGAAATCATATTACAAGATAAGATTTGTTCTTCCAAACGATTCTAAATTAATTCCAAATGATGAACCGATAAGACGACATAATGAGATGTTTCATCGGGTTGTCAGGTATGGTATGAGAATAGCTTAGAAAAGTCAAAATGTTTCACTAAATACGAAATTAATTATTGCATTATCAAAAGTATTGGAATAAGGATTTGGGGCTCCCGAAGTATGCGAACCAAGATGGCGGACATCGGAATGTAATATGTATACTAGGTTAGGGTTAGGCCATAATTTTAGCTATAAATACTAAGGGAGGCTCTTGGCTAGTCTTCAAACTGATAATAGGACTAAAATAAGGAAAATTGGAAAAAAATTATCGCCTAACCCTAACCTGTTACCGATGTTACGTTCCGATGTCCGCCATCTTGGTTCGCATACTTCGGGAGCACCAAGGATTTAATATTAAAGGTTTATTTTAGTAGCCGCTTTCAACTGTGGTGAATTTTGAGTTTGTATAGTTTTCAGTGAAATAGTAGAAATGGTGTTTTAATATAATCAAAACATGTTGTTACAATAAAATTTCATGCGTTTGTTTGTTTAAAGAAATAAATCAATTAAAACAAATTACCCAGAGTTGTCAGAACGTGTCTGATTTCAGCTCCCATGACAGTGCCGTTGCCGTCTTTGTCAAAAACTCTCAATCCTTCCATGAAATCTTCATAAGTTCCTTTGACAGATTCTTGAATAATTTTAGTGTAGATAGGCAAAAATTCTTCAAATCCTATTTTCTTTGCCAAGTCGTCTTTACACGGATTTCCCAGCATTTTATCGACATCTTCGTTCGTTGGACATTCTCCCAAAGCTCTCACGATGTCACCGACTTGATTGAGAGCGATCTTGTTGTCGCCGTCTTTATCGAAAAGCTCAATGGCTTCCTTGATGTCTTCCATTTGTTGTTCGTTGAATTCGATTGCCATTATTATGTTGTGATGGTTACTTCTTGATAGGATATCCAAAGTTAGAATGATAATTTTAGGAAGCACTGAGCGGTATTTATACCTAATCGTACACCGCTCATTAACACTCTAACACCAATTTGTGCTAAACAGTGCTAAATAGTACTTCCACCGCGAACTTTTATTCACCCCAAAAGGGGGAAAATTATTCAAGACATTCAAGTATAATGAGTTAAAAGAATTATTCGTCAACATGCTCGGAAATATTTACGAATAAAATAAAGATGTGCAAGATCGCAGAGAAATAGCCGGAATAGAGGCCATAAGCCTTTTAATGCCTACAGAGAATTTATCAATTATTTATTCATTCGACTTATTCGGGTATTATTTGAATTGGAAGTTAAAGATGTTCAAGTAATAGCAGATTGATCACGATTCTCTTCATAACTTCTTACATGGGAGAGTAATTTCTAACTACTTTAGTAAAGATTAGATCCTTAGAACTTCGTAACGCCTGCCCGTTTGTTTTGATTACATTGTGGGTATTTTTTTTCTCGCTTTTTAGGGGGGGGGGGGGCACATGTGAATTTGAGTCAAATATTTTAATCTTTTTTCGCAAACATCCTACGCGACAAAACACACATACATGTTCGAATAGATATAGTTCGTCGTTTAACATGGGTTGCAATGTACATTCTTTACAGACAATCGATAATACTCATTTCAACTTCAACAAAAAGGAATTGTCAATCTGATACTAAACTAAAATCGAAAATGTTTTTATATAATTCAAGTAAACGGATTCATGTTTCAACCTGCAATGCTAAGTAAATTCCTAAAATGCGTTTTAGTAGCATTAAAACTAGTTTAAATACTGAATTACTTATCTCGACCATTCAAGCTATGAAAGTCCGCGTAATTCATTTCAGACCTAACTTGAAAATGGATGAAAACCTGGCAATATTAAGTACTCACTCATCTCCTAATATATATCAACCGTTTTAGAATATTGTTGAAAACCTTGTTAAAATTCACAAAATTAATGAAACTTTATGACAAGGTTCATAGAGATTATGTCGTTTATTGAAAAGCTTCGGACAGCATCCACAAAAGTCGAAATACTCGATAAAAATATCACCATCCTTTATCATATCCAAAACCAGCGAATATTTTCAAGTCATTATTTCCCTATTGCACTTAATTAAAGGGCAAAGGTCGTACATAGTCTTAGGCTATTTATCACCTTTTAGGATAAAGAAAAGTTCAGGGCGGAAGTGCCAACACCTTTTCAAGACAGCAAACGGTGCTGGGGTGTTAATGAACGGTGTGCGATTAAGTATAAATAATGCTCAGTTCTCCAAAAAGTTATCATTCTAACTTTGGATATTCTATCAAGAAGTAACCACCACAACATAGCAATGGCGGTCGAATTCAACGAACAGCAAATGGAAGACATCAAGGAAGCCATTGAGCTTTTCGACAAAGACGGCGACAACAAGATCGCTCTCAATCAAGTCGGTGACATCGTGAGAGCTTTGGGAGAATGTCCAACGAACGAAGATGTTGATAAAATGCTGGGGAATCCGTGTAAAGAAGACTTGGCAAAAAAGATAGGAATTGAAGAATTTTTGCCTATCTACACTAAAGTTATGCAAGAATCTGTCAAAGGAACTTATGAAGATTTCATGGAAGGATTGAGAGTTTTTGACAAAGACGGCAACGGCACTGTCATGGGAGCTGAAATCCGACACGTTTTGACAACTCTAGGTAATTTGCTTTAATTGATTTATTCCTTTAACCAAACAAGCGTGTTAAATTTCAAATGGTGAATATTTGTTTGCAACAAGTCTTGATTGAAATAAAACACCATTTCACTGAAAACTACGAACGAAAATTCACCACAGTTGTAAGCTATTACTCGACTGAACCTTTAATACTGAACAATGAAATCAATATCAAATTTTTGATTGTTTAGCTATTCTCATACCAGACCTAATAACTCTGTGAATAGACATGATTAACTCTTTAATTATCGTCACTGTCAAGTAAAAAAGAAAAAAAAATCATCTTGAAATATATATTATTTCTTTTTCAGGAGAAAAGTTGACATCTGTTCAAGTATCAGCAATGATGCAAGGACAGGAAGAAACGAATGGAAGTCTCAACTATGACAAATTCAGCAAATACCTCCTAGAAACACCACAAACTGCCATATAGAAGAGAGAAACGATTTTTCGTGTTTGACTTTGTGAAATGATATGATTCTGTAGAACAATATAATATTCTGCTATTGGATATTTGGACTAGAAGTTTTAGGTTTGACGAGTGTAGAATCCGGACAGGCTGCTTTGCTTAATCAGTGAGCTGAACTTCGAAAGACTCAGTTCAGTTGATATGAAACTGATATTGAAAATGTCCTAAGTAGATATAGTTGCAACGTTGAAATTAAATATGAGTAGCTAAATCGAAGAAGCAATAGCCGTGAAATTACTCAAGTGAGGTTAATATTCCGATCCACATGACGGAAATGAAAGAAAAATCACGAATACTATGACCACTGAAGAACATCCAACAGATTAATAACTCCGACACAAGTCAAAAACACATACAGACATAACAGACGTAAACAAAACGACACTGGAACAATCAAATGTAAGATCAACAGATCAAAGTTCCAACGTGCGCCGTAACAATCGGTAGTAAAGCGTGACGGAGGCAAACACACGTGACAGAATATAATTGATTGCCAGATTTCACAAAAAGGTTCCACTGATTTAAAATAAAACAGAAACATTTGGGGTGACATGTAGGGCTCATGGAACTCGAAAAAGTTCGAATAATAAAGTAATACCATATTAGCAGTACAAATCATTTTCAAGCACTTAAATTGATCGGTCGATTAGTTACGAAAAAAGGCGTTTTTTACGAATTTAATAGACCTATACAGAGGTTCATCATCGTCCAATAATTTAAACCAGGAATGATAACATGAAATATCTACATTATGTGTTGCAGGATGATTGGTCGGCGACAATGCTTCATCGAGAGCGTCGTTCTTTAAATCTATATGAAGCTTATCTCGGCGCGCACACGTTTAATTGAAGCTGTTTTTTAGTGTGACACTCTCATCATTTTTCTACCGTTAATGGATAAAATACCGTTATGACGCACACAACCCCCACAGTGTTATCAATATCGATCCGAAATATCAATAGAAGTTTGAAAACTATTTCTATTCATCAACACCAATCCACGCACATAACTATCATAAGCGTTGATATATAGCCTATATATCTTTTGTGTAGAAAGCATAATAATAAAAATATAAAAAAATGAGGTATATAAGAGAAAACGCCCTCGTCACCTTATCAGTACTGGTGATTTCGTTCGCAACGTTTCAAGTAATCGTGTGTTCGCTATCCCTAGCCCTGACATTGCTGAATTTCATGAATAAATAAGAATTCTACTTGTTAATCACAGTTTTTATTTTGAGAGCTGGCGGTCACAAAAACTGTCGCCGTGATGTTCACTGATGAACAACAATTGGCAGTAAAATATTTCAAGTTCAAATCGTCTTTTATTCAACACAATCCAACTTGCTACTCCATGCAGCTGTTGGTGAGTTGCGATATTTAGCACCTTTGACACGTCATGGTGTCGCACCGATTGGCGCGATATGTCCACTAATGATCGCAAAGTAAGACTAATCTACCACAAACGTCGCAATTAAAAAATATTCCGCTATACAGATACTCATTTGGGACTAAGTTATCTCTTTTTCTGTCTTTTTTTATCAACAACTGTGATTCACGGACTTATTCATAGTAATGAGATTCCCACTGCCTAACCTCAGTCTTTATACTTTTTTACCTTAGTTCCTTTTACCTCAGTCTTTTTACCCCAAATGTTTTTTACTCTTTTCCTTAATATTGCATATCTATCATTTATTTTGTGATGGGCACCGACAGTGTTGTCTAGGTCTAGGAGACTGGGATTCGCATGGCAATCTCCAGGCTTGTTCTGGGAAACATCCTCTGAATGGAATGAGGCAAAAAATGTCCATTGGCCACGCCTGGTGTTTCATACACCAGATGCTTCATACATCCTAGATTTATATACTAAACCACGTAATAAATTTCGATTCAACAAGTTCATTTTTAAGCTTTAATTAAAAATAATAATAAATAACATACAATAACAGAAGTATATAGTGTAAGAATTCATTTTGTTCAGTATAACCCAAACAAGTAAAAATCCATACACTGACACAAAAAGTCAAGCTAGTTCGTTTTTAAAGTTATATTGCCGATTGTGGGTTCTCCAATAAGAATTTGGAGAATTTGTCGTAGTTAAGAATTCCGTTTGTTTCTTCCTGGCCTTGCATCATTGCTGAAACTTGGGCTGATGTCAACTTTTCTCCTGAAATATATAAATGAATATTGATAAACAAATTGTATTCTTTGCAGTAGAAGAAGCTCTTCATTGCTAATAAAGATTCGTCGCGAACTGCAGCATATTGTATGCTGTAAGTGTAAACAATACCCATTTTGTAAGCGTTCGTAGAATCAAACTGTATTTAAAAAAGAAATAAAGCGAAGTAAAATTAAATAAGTTTACCTAGAGTTGTCAAAACGTGTCTGATTTCAGCTCCCATGACAGTGCCGTTGCCGTCTTTGTCGAAAACTCTCAATCCTTCCATGAAATCTTCATAAGTTCCTTTGACAGATTCTTGCATAACTTTAGTGTAGATAGGCAAAAATTCTTCAACTCCTATCTTTTTTGCCAAGTCTTCTTTACACGGATTTCCCAGCATTTTATCAACATCTTCGTTCGTTGGACATTCTCCCAAAGCTCTCACGATGTCACCGACTTGGTTGAGAGCGATCTTGTTGTCGCCGTCTTTATCGAAAAGCTCAATGGCTTCCTTGATGTCTTCCATTTGTTGATCGCTGAATTCGACGGCCATGTTTTTTTTTCGCTGTTCTATTTGCTGACTAGACAAGTAAGATCTCTTAGTTGCGAGTGATGCTATCTACTGAACTACAAGGTATTTATACAGAATTGTAGTGTTCATTAACACCCCCGAAAACAGCTTCAAGCAAAAGGTGTCGGAATATCCGGCGCCACATTGTTAGAAATTGATAAAGGCGTGAAAGTCGAAAGGTAATTCCACGTGTGAAAATGGCTATACTGGTGAGATTGCTGCTGCGAAAAAGAACTTTTAATGTAACCTAAATTTGAAACCCACGATTTTATGTGTCATCTCACTACATTCAGTTTGAGCTATTTTATTAATAGATATCACATATGATCCTACAGATACATCGCTAATGCAATTTTAAATTGAAGAATTGTCCTGAATGGAATTCCCGATAAACAGGGATACTGGACTGATTGAGCGTTTCCGCATTTCCTATAAGCATTGGGTGTAGAGGTAAGATCGAGCCCCAAAAAAATTCAAACCCGGCCCGACCCAGGCCTGTGGGTATTAAACCCGACCCGAGCCCGATTAATTAACTGGATTTGCAGGCTTGAGTCCGAAGCAAACCCGAAATTTCATATTTTACTTAAGAGTTTTTTGAATTCCACACATAATTTTAGTATATATATATATTTTTAAATATATATTTATTTAAAAAAAAGTCCGAGATAGAGGGGCCCAACCCGACCCGAACGTAATGGTTGACATTTCAGGCTCGGGTCTTCAGATCTTAGCTCCAATTGGGTGGTATGAGCTAGGCAAGGGTCGGCAAACTGCGTCCCGCGGGCCTAATTATTAGCTGCACTCTGATTTATGTCGTAACGATGGCTTCTGTACGGCGTTTCCTTTGTAGTAAGTAAGCGAAAGCACATGTTAGTTGTATGTAGTTCGCTCTCCGAACGTGCTTTCTACTGTCTTATTTGTTATCATCAGTTAAGTTCAGCTTGATATTTAAAATTTGAAAATGGATGGAAAACGTCGAAAAGTCAATGCGGCCCGCACACTACCGCAAATGTGTATATTTGGCCCAATATTGCATAAAGTTTGCGGCCACAGAGCTATAGAGTAACATGCAATAATGAACCACTGCGCTGAACAAAACGACAATAAATCAACAAATTTCCATCTAATTTGAAAATTAGTAAACTTAAAATACTCAATAAGATAAATATTTAAGCATCAATAACACAAAAAAACTGGATGTGTAATACAATGAACTTGTAAGTTTCCCAGCCCCGTTACGTGATATTGGTTTAGTGGCCTTTGTTAACCAATCATAAACTTCTTGTTTGCCTTGCTTCTTTGCTTCGGCGCCAACCTTTTCTAGGACTTTGGCGTGGTAATCATTCAAGTAGTTTAACTGTAATATATATCAAAATGATTTTACGGCTATAAAATGGTGTGTGATAAGATGGTGATCGAGCTGCGAAACCCAAGGTTCAAATATCTAATTAAAAAATTTTCATTTCTAATTAATCGTATCCTACGTAAATATTATCAATTCGCTAGAATTTTAATACCAAACAAGACATATCATAGTTCTGGTGCCCAAAACTACTCCAATTACAAGGAGGGTAGCGTTGTTGAAATTTCAATTTTCGATTTAGTTGATGAAAAATTGACGCGTTTTCTTCGTTGTTGCCGTGGAAACGAGACTCTAATTCGGACTTTTGATGGAACGAACATTACTAGTGTAACAGGATAACCCACGAGAAAAATTTCGTACAGATCGGCCGAGCCGTTTAGACGCTACAGACGCTTCGACACACAGACAGACAGACAGACAGACAGACAAACAGAACGACTGAGAATAAGGTTCTCCTAGAGCGGAGATTCGACAACAATAATATTTATAATAACCCACCTGTTTGTCACTAAGTAGGTCCGAATCAATCATTTTAGCTTGGAAAGGAACCAGGGTTGCCGATTCAAATGTTAAATACTGATATTCTCCGAATTGATACTGTAAATATAATTTGTGAATTTGCATAATCTGTATCATGTGTAACATTGATTTCGAGGTACGCCCGTAGTATGTGTACCAGGTTAGGGTTAGGTCATAATTATATTCCACTTTTCTTATTTTAGTTCTATTACGAGTAAGGGGACTGTTTGTGTTGTCAAGTGAATGCCCTGTCCATAGACTTTCATCTAGGTACACATACTTCTGGAGCACCGACCTCGAACCATTATAAATATTTTGGCTCAAGAGTGTCGAATAGTAATAATATTTGAACAGTACCTCTGTGTTTGCATAAGTAACCATTATGTTATTCTCGTGTCGTATTCCAAATTCACCATCGTGATAATAACCTGGTTCTGTAATTTAAATAGTAAACGGATTGATACGTCTTTCAAGACTCACGAGGAAACTAATGAGGAAACAGGCAATAATTCAAGACTAATGAGGAAACAGGCAATACAAGTAAAAGCCGTATTATACGACGAACTGTCAATAAGTTGCTTGGACTGGATTTTTATTCAAAGATAAGGCGCAATGGCTCTTAAAACAATACCGGTACTGGTTTTGAGTGTAGGCAATAAAGCAGGCGCACCGGCTTCCAGGGCGCACGATCGATTTTTAGAAGAAAAAAGGTATTACCGAAGTATGTGCACTAAGATGGCGGACACCGGAACGTAGATGTGTACCAGGTTGTGACTAGGCCATAATTATATTTCGCTTATCCTTATTTTAGTTCTATTATGAGTTCGGGGAGTAGCCTAGTGACTCCCGTAGTATTTGTACCTGAAATTATGGCCTAACCCTAACCTGGTACACACACTACGTTCCGGTGTCCGCCATCTTGATTCACATACTTCCGGAGTACCGAAAAAATGGGATTCAGAGTGGGTCTTATGGTCCGTAAAATACGGTAAGTTGTTACGATACTCGATGACTTTTAATCTTGTGACTTTTAATCTTGTGAAGCTCTTGTCTGTCGCCATTTTACGCTTTTGCTAGTGCTGTTACTGAGTACCGGAAACGACAGATTATTATCAGTTAAACATTGGAAGTGTCATTTGTCCATTTCAAAATTGTTTAAACATGAGACTGGTGATAAAGTGTCAGATTGACGGTTTCAACGGTTTCATATAAATACAAGAGAGCTATGCTCAAATATATGGACACGTAGCGCCACCCAGTGGGAATAATTTTGATGACGTCATAGCGAAGTAATAGCCTTCTGGAGAAAACTTTTATCTTCAACCACTGAAAATTTCAAAACAATTGGTCCAGTATTCGAAGAGAAAAGCGATTTCTTTAAAACGTGTCAAAGAACAAGGACACTAAGAACAACAATAAGAACAACAACAACATAATATTGAAACGATCGCTATGTCCACTACGTGTCCAAAAAGGGAAAAGGCTCACCTATGCTTGTGAACATACCAACTTGCAATGGGTATCCGGCGGCTCCTGACGTTCCAATTCCGGGCGGGTCTGCAAAAATATATTTAATATGCTACAGTGCTTATTCAATCTGGTTCACGTTGCAGTACAATACTGAAATGGTTTATTTTAAGGGCGACTTACACTCATGTATACCCAAATAGTGTCCAATACCATGGCCGCTACCATGGTTGAAATCCAATCCCACGTCATAAAGGGGCTGTCTTGCCAAAATACCGATATCGTTGCCATCCAAATATTCAGGAAAGACAGCAGTTTCAATATCGATTACTCCCATCAAAACTCGTGTAAATGTTTCCTGCCAATGTTTAAAAGAATCAGTAAAGTAGTTCCTACGTTGTTTACCGTGTTTCCCCGGAAATAAGATCTAGCCTGAATTTTAAAATGATTTCAATAAAAGTTTTTCCCTTTAAATAAGACCTAGTCGATGGCGAAAATATTTTTTTGACATGGTCGATGACAAAAAAAATTTTTCTTACGCGTTTTAAGTGAAATATCTAAAACGTGTGAGAGAGGATACGCCAGGATAAATATTTTGTATATTTGAAAATCTCGCAATTCTCTACTTTGTAATTTAGCTTTTGATAAATGAAAATATAAGTCATTCCCCAAAATGAGCCCTAGTGTTATTTTTCGAATGAAAAATGAATTAAGATCTTGTCTCATTTTCGGGGAAACACGCTAGTTATTTTGTGTTACAATGCATACCTTCTGAAAATCTGATGGTGTGCCGAAATGCAAGGTTCGTGTTATATCTGTTGTACCCTCAAAATAATGTCCACCTGAATCTAACAGATATATTTCATCCAGGGTAAGGTTTCTATTTGTATCTTCGGAGGTCCTAAACATAGACTAGCATTGTGAAATTTTAAATAGAAGATAAGCAGAAGACAGGTAGACACTCACGAATAATGTGGCAAGGCAGCGTTCGCGCCACTCGCTGAGATTGCACCAAAGCTTAGTCCTTTATTAGCTTGTTGGCTCCGCCTTAAATTGGCAATTTTATTAGCTCCAGTAATTTCATCCACGACACCTTTGGGAACATTTTCTTCCAGCCATATGAAATATTCGCAAAGAGCAATGGCATCAAATATCTGAACATTTGGAAGAACTTTATTAAACTGTCATATATCGAGATTTATATTAACAAAATCGGAATAAACTAAACGAGGCATGTCTTTGCGCAGTAGATTGAAATCGTAAAAGTTTTCTCAATTCCAGAAATATCTATTTCACATTTCTGTGCGTTTTGTTACTTGTTTTTTAGAATACACCATGTTTACAGATGGTGGAGCCTTAAATTTGCACCGACTTGATAAGGCGTTTCGGATATTCGTAGTAAATGTACATTCGGTCTTCAGGGGCAGTGTTGAACTTAATTTATCATATTTTTGTAAATAGACTGCATACTCTATTCCTTATGCATGGGCAATGACGACAGCAGCATATATACATATATATGTTTAAAAGCGGATCCATTGATAGTTTTTCATAGAAGCATACCTGAGCTTGCTTCATCCCATGTCTTTCTATCTCGTTTTTGATTGTTTTTGGTACTTTGATTGGAGATTCGTCTTGTATTTGTTTGTCCTTAATTAAATGAGGATGGTATGAGGTTAAATTTAGCCTTTTTTTAATTAGTCCAAAATGAATAAATAATCTCACCTCCGGTACAGCGCTAAACATTCCATACGTTGTGCTTGCTGTGCTCATCCATACTGTACTTTGTGTTGGTAACGAGAGCAAGTCATTCCGCGCCTGGGCATAATCAATCAGTTGGACACAGAGATTCCCGCAACCTGAAACATATCTTGTATTATAAAAGTGAACATGTACAGCACTAAACTAGCCTCTTTTATTGGACACTAAATGGACCTATGGATCGTTTTGCCATATTGTATTTTTCTTCTTGTGAAAAAAATCGCCTTTCTCTTCAACTAGTGGACCAATTTCAGTGGTTAAAGGTTATTGTTTTCGATAGAAGGCTATTAATTTTATTGATTTGAAAAATATCTATGAGCTATATGATATTCGTTTTCCACTGAAGTTTTGTGTGATGTCACTGATGACGTCATCAAATTAAAAAAATTGCGTGCCATGGTTCCGTGATCACATCTCAGTGATATGTCGGTCAGACTACCGGTACTGTGGAAGATTTGGAACTACTTCGTTTTAGCTTCCGTGTCTATATATTTGAGCATTGCTCTCATTTTGACATACCTGTCGGTTGTAAATGTGCAGTAATTTCTGATGTCTCTGCGAGTGATAGGTTAACGTATAAACGCACATCAGTTCGTCCAACTAGTGCATATGATTCAAATACAGGTGTGTATGGAATATCTGTTCCTCGTAAATTGAATAACCCTAAAATTTATGTTAAATATATCTTAACTCAGATGCTGACTTGTTCTCAACCTAGGGCCAACTGAAGCCTGGCGCTGTTCAAAACGAATCGAGCGGGGCCCAGTTCCAGAAAAAAAATGATAACTAAGAAATGAGATTTTGCAATATGCAAGGATTTCGTCGTTGCATTTTCCAACCTTTTACCTAGCAAAGACTTTGCTTGACAATCCTTTCTTGTGCAGAATACACATGCTTGCCTATATAGACATGATTATAATGGTTAGCTAAAAATTTACACCTAGGAGTTGCGCGGGGCCTATGGTGCAACTCACATGCTATTTCATCAAGGAGTGTTAGTAACAGGTAATTGGCGCTCTTTTCTTCCATTGCCTTCCTTGCGTCGGTAACTTTTTCCTAAATTTAATTATATAATAGGATATGGTTTACATATTTAGCCCCCGGGGCGAGGAAAATCGGTAAAACGGCTATATTTTATGGCGAACCACGGCCTCTCGCCCGGGTACCAGTCAACGTCGAGTGTGGGATTAGTTAGCTAGTTTATTATGCAAGTCTCTTACAGTGATTACAATCTTTATCAGTTGGAAGTGAAAATACAAAGTACAAAATTACCTTCCACTGTTTACCGGCATATGTAATTGGAAAAACAATGATTTCCGATCCCATCGGTCCTGGTCGATCTGTCCATATACGATCGATAAGATCCGGTATACTTTGGTTAAAGGCAATTCCCGCCTTACTGAACTCGCGTTCGTAGAACTGCCACCGACCTAAATATAGTTATGGTGAAATTGAAATGGGAAAATTTTATTAACTGCCGTTTTTAGAAATGATGCACTTGAAAAATAGGCGCTTCAGGAGTATGTGTACCAATATGGAGGTAACTAATTTTGTTTACCTACTTTACATCAAGTTGTGTGATGGAAATAAAACCTAAGGGCATGGGGTATATTCACTTGGCTAACACAGACAGTCCCCGAACTCGCGATAAAACTAAAATATAGAAAATCGGAATAACATTATGCCCTAACCTGGTACACATACTACGGGAGTACCGAAAAATATACATTTCTTACCTATTGAAAGTACAAACGGATTTGCGGCGACTATTGAAGAATTCTCAAGGGATTGTTCTAACCATGCTTGTATAGTTGGAGTTTCTGGATCGCCTGGAAATGATCGCACATTTAACAAACAAAAAACAGATTTGTTACAGCTGATAAAATACTGACAAATTTGATAACCTGTGCGCATTAATTTCCAGTTGCAATCCATTTCTCTTTCAGCTTGTATATAATATCGCCCATCAGCCCACAAGGCTGCGTCTGTTTCTGTGATCACGGCTATACCTTGCGATCCAGAAAATCCCGAAATCCATTCTCTTCGTTTGTATTTCGGTGCGATGTATTCTGACTAGAAAAGGACAGATTTTTTAGTATTGAATATAAAAATTCCATGAATCGACAAGACGAATCTTACCAAATGCTCATCTTCTGATGGTACCATGTATGCGTTATATCCAGAACTTCTCATTTCTTGTCGTAGAGAAGATAATCTTGCTGATGTAATTACCGTAGTTGGGGGTAGATATATATTCTGAAATCAACAATTTAACCGAGTTTGAAGTTACATATTTTTATTGGTACTCCCGTAGTATGTTAACCAAGATGGCGGACACCGGAACGTAGTATGTGTACCAGGTTAGGATTAGGCTATAATTATATGCCGATTTTCCGTATTTCAGTTCTATTACGAGTTCGGGGACTAGCCAAGTGACTCCCGTAGTATTTGTACCTGAAATTATGTCGCAACCCTAACTTGGTACACAAAATACGTTCGCTGTCCGCCATATTGGTCCACATACTACGGGAGTACCTTTTTATTTTCAACATACATATTATCTTTCTTACGTTTGGATCGCTGCAATCTCTAATAGAATTATCGTTCTCCCGTAAACTGCGTTTAACATGGTGGTGTGAAGTGGTCTCATCCCATATTAGCGAATCCATATGGCTCGGTGAAATTCGCACGCAACATACTGCCAAAATGGAAACTGGAAAAAAGTAAATATGATTAAAGTATCACAAAGTAAAATGAGTTATCAAGATTTGTAGAATAAAATTAATTTCAAATTTACAATAGGAGAACTTAAACTACCATGCCTTAATCTTGATTATATACCACTGTATAAAACGGCACTTACCGTACACTAGTAAGATCAAACACAATGCCATCATAGGTTCATCAAGCTTTCTTTAAATGTTAATGAATATCAAACTAACCTATTCTAAAGCAAAATCAGATCATCGGTTTTGTTCATTTGAAGCTGCACATATCCTGTGCTCGCTAATAGTTTAGTCACGTCAAGCCTATCACTTTAATCACGTAATATGACTGCCTCTCAGTGAATTCATTCTACTCAAAAATGAATTTATAATAGACCTTTTTTTATACAAATATCTATCTCCGCTTAGTCATAGCTTCGTACTGTCTTTTCAGCCTCTCGCACAACCGACAATGATAAGCGTTCGGCACCTATGCAATCAGCGACAATTTGTGCAAACAGACACCATGCAGACAGATCATCATGCAAGGTACATTATACTGGAAGTTAATGTTTAACGGAAAACGACTAATGCTTACTTAGATTGATGAAGTCGTAAAGTCACATTTCTAAATAAGGTTATAAAACTGACATGGGCAAATTAGGCCCGCGGGCCAAATCCGGCCCGTTGGGTGATTTAGTCTGGTCCGCCTGATGCTGCCACAACCAAACTAAAACCCTATTTTGATGTTTTGGCTAAAAAATATATCACGGCATTTGTTTAGATTGTGAATAAATTTAGTTGGGGAACGAGGTTTATTGTTTTCAGTTTTGCTTTTGTGACACTGTAATAATTGTTCATAAAATGTAACTTTTTACGTCACACTTACATGGCCCGTCAGAGTAGGTGAGCAAAATTTGTTTGAATTGTAGCTGGTTAAAGATCAGTTTTCAAGGTAATTCGTTCTGGATAATTGCAATTAATCCTGCGCAAGTTTGATTTTGAGATAATGAACGCCCGTTGTTTTGAACTGACGGAAAAAGTGGGGCATCAACGATAAGAACAAATATACGAATCAGTCAGACCATAACGACCATGCACTGCACTTTATTTTGGACACAAACAAAATACAATATATACCAATTTAAATTCGGGTATATCGAACTTTATCTTAAAACTTCAATAAGTGATCTCGTGTTCGTAAAAAAAATAATTGAAAAAGAAAAAACACAGGAAGTTAATACTCCAAAAACTGATTTCACAGTGTATCTAATGTATTAAAATTAAAAGGCTACAAAACAAAGACGAACTTATCTACAATATGTTCATCCGATAGAATAAGATAAATATCCGTATTTCGTCGTACAAAATAACATACCGAAGTCCAGTTTTGGGCCTGGATTAAACTAATATTAGATATTCAGGTACATGGATATTGATTTGGATCGATGAATTGATAAAGCATATACCGGTACAAGAAAAACACTACGGATATCATTTTCTAAACTTTGATTTTGGTTGCACTTTTCAGTTTTTGTGAGCAGTTTGGTAGCTTATGGCTTATGGACATTTGTACCGGAGAAATTCGAAAATTTTGAAGTCGAAATGTCGAAGAGTAATGTAAATTTATAGAAATGGTTCGCCGTATCCAGACAACTATGTTATATGTGGCGGGACATTCATTTTATTCTAACGCACCCGAAAAAAAAACGAGAATTTCGAAACTTGTTTTATCCTACCAAACTTTACATTGACCATTTAGTTTTCACACACGCGGATGATACTCTCCTTGTCGGGGAAGATGACATTTTTGAACGCTTTTTGGTGTGAAATTCTTCTGGTATTGTTGGAAAACCAAAAGAAGTTATCGTTGCCCTTCTATTCAATGATATAGTATCCTTTTTTGTTGTGGTTTTTCCGTTAGTTTGAATGTTCACACTTCCATTTGTCCTATTTTCCCAAACTCTTGCCGATCTTAAGCACGGTACATCTGAATGCCTTCGCATTGAACTTGTGGTTGGTCTTCTGTAACTACTGAGTGATTTCGATCTTTCCTTGTTTTGCCTTTGTTGAGCAATATTTGTCGATCGTCCCATACGTCTTACATCACTTTGATTGTTGCTTGTAGTCAAGTCTGGATGAGCTGAAATGGTAATATTTACGAACGTGTAATTGTATCGTTCGAAGATGAAGACTTTTATTGTTGATGATTGGGGAAGTTCACTAATATGGTCGATTGAATGAAGTGAGTAGCTTATCATAATAACGGTTCTTAGTCCGATTATGGGTATCAAAATAACAAAGTCAAAAGAATCGATATTTGATACAAGATTATAATTAGGTTCAAAGTTATAGATGACCTATGGTTCAATGATATAGTTGTCAATAATATCACATTTACTGAAAAACTAAAAATCACCTGTTTTAGGACGATATTTAAAGCGATTAAAATCGTCCGAAAATGGATTATCAGTCTTTCCGGCCCATGATAAAAGTGCGCTGCCTCTTCTGTTCCGATTGCTGTAAACTGGACTTGTTTGAGGTCTTTCTGGTAAATGGTTCTAGAATAACACCGAAAAGTTTTGATTTTAATGTAATATTCAGTTTTGGATCGAATTGTAAGAGCGTGCGGTTGACTAAAAAGTTGGTACTCCCGAAGTATGTGAACCAAGATGGCGGACACCTGAACGTAGTATGTGTACCAGGTTAGGGTTAGGCCATGATTTCAAGTACAAATACTAAGGGTGTCACTTGGCGAGTCCCAAAACTCGTAATATAACTAAAATAAGGGAAATCAGGAATAAAATTATGGCATAACCCTAACATGGTACACATACTACGTTCCGGTGTCCGCCATCTTGATTCACATACTTCGGCAGTACGAAGAGTTTCATTAGTTAGGTCATATTGTGTGAGGTACTCGAACCCATAATTTAATATTTATATATTTCTGATCTCACATATATTATATATCCTTTACTCAGCTTGTACGTGGGTAAATGAAAACTCCAGAGAAACGCTCGCCAAGATTGATTAAGTTATAAAAGTGGGAAAAACTATCTTTTATAAATTCATACAACCAAAGTTAATTGATTGCACTCCGCTGCAAGAAAGCTGGCAACGAACGTTTAATATATTAACATATATGCACTGAGGTACTCCTACCGTTGTTTGTTTATCTGCAATGTTTGGAGGTAACGGTTTGTTTTTTTATGACATGTATGAGATTTAACCAAAAGTGGCACAGCGTGGGGGTACGGGTAGAAAATTACAAATTACCTCCTCGGATTCTGACTGTGAATCACTTCCATTCAATATATCCATTTCGGACGTTTTGCGTTGCATCATCGCCAACTTCTCCATTTGTTGGGACATTAATTCTGCTCGGATCTGGTAAATTTCGGACGACAAAATCCTGCGGGATGTTCTTTGCTCGTCGTCAAGTTTTTTCATTTGGTTACTGAGCCGTCTTCCCAAGTGCTGGTTTAAAGAAGCTGCCCTCTTCCCAGCTGTCTCGGGTAGCCTCGAATATCTTTTCTCGTTTTCATCAGTCATGATCCCTTTTGACATCAGTTGGGCGTATCCTATGTGTACGTCTGGAAGCCTATAAAGCTATCTTACCCTATTTTGTCAAAACGTTTCCTTAAATCGTCGAATACCCTTCAAATTAAATGCACGCAATGGTCATACAATTTTATGGTTAGTATATAAACGCTGCCCGTAAATTTATGTTCCTTCCGGGAAAGTCCATTAAATCGAATTGTAATCATCGGCGTGGAAGGTAAATCATGTTTTTATTCGAACTGTAAAAAATGTGTTGACTTTGTCAATAATGGAACTAGAGAATTAATCTATAATTATATAAAAAGAAAATATACTAATGTGCGTTACACACTATACAGCAAACAAAGGGTTGTCGAACATAATTTGAACACAAAGGCATACACCCCTCGTAACCGCTCATAACTTGTTAGCTCAGCGGTAACGTTAGGATCGCCCTCGTTATAAAACACCACTTGTGGGAATCGACATCACGAATCTCTCATAAACATCACATATAAATGTCGTAAAGCAGGTTAAACTGATTCACCAATTACTATTTTCATTTATGACATTATAGTAGTATTCTTAATAAGGTAAATTTCTTAATAAGATACTCCCGTAATGTGTACCAGGTTAGGGTTAAGGCATAATTTTATTCCGATTTCCCTTATTTTAGTTCTATTACGAGTTCGGGAATTGTCTGTGTAAGCCAAGTGAATACAACCCCTGTCTATAGGTTTCAGTCCCTTTACGCAACTTGAGGGAAAGTAGGCGAACAAAATGAGTTACCTCCATATTGGTACACACACTTCTGCAGCTCCCATAATAATTTAAATTCTTTCTACACCATTCTAAACAAAAGTCGTTAGAAATTTATCTAATCATTTGTTACAAGCTAATAATAGCAATGAATAAAATTCATCAACAACAAAATCTTAGAATGTTAGTTGGCATTTATCACAGACAATATAGAATGTTCATAGAGTCCTAAATTTTAAAATTGCAATAGGAATTTACCGATACCATAATATTGTTTTGGCCGTCACAGATGTATTAAATGAAGTAAAATTACTTAAACAATTATTGATTAAAAAACAACAAACCTGATTAAGATATATTGAGAACTGACTTCATGACAAAATTGAAATTGTAAAGCGACTCTATGGAGACTCTGTATATTTCTGCGTTCATTAGTTTTGCCTTGCGGAAAGCGATCGTTAGACGAATAGTAACATTTAGCACGCTTGTGTGACAGCATATATTTTGACGCGTTTTTAACCAATGAATTCAATATTTCATTGCAACTTCGCTGAAACTGTTTATAAATCTTAATAAAAATTTCAAAAAAATTCCCATGCGTGCCTGCGGTCTCATTATTCTATTGACAAAGTTCGTTTCACAAAAGATTGACAAAAAGTGCCATGTAGACCTAACGCGATGTCATTGTGTTTGACGCAGAATATTTACCTTCCTAACAAACTAATGAATCAAATAAAACGACGAACAGTAGAAATCGTTGTATGATGGAAGAGCGGATAAAAGTTCACGTTTGAGAAAATATGGTGAATAATTTAGCTACCTCGCCACTCGCCGATATGTATACCTCTATATGAAACTGATTTATCCCAATGTAACCATGCAAATGTATATACAGTTGGGGGACATGAAGTGGACGTATGGATCGCGTTGTTGAAAAAAATCGCTTCTTTTTCTTGGTATTATGCACAAATAGTAGTTCGACTCTTAATAGTTCTCAATACGATAACAATAAAAGTAATACAATTCATTGAAGTGTGAATAGCTTGCGTCGAATATTTCGTCTAATCCATATGGCGGCACATCATCGATACTTAGGGCGACAAGCGAACAGCGAATAATGGAGACCATTCATCATTCAGGGGTGCGTACTGACAGTGATAACTGAGGCTACGTGAGCGTAGATAGATTGCCTCTCACAGTTGACTAAAATTTATAATGATTAATCTTTCGAAGCTTGCTAAACCGAGGCCAAGACTTATAAATGAATCCATTTTTGCCTTCGGTCGTGTTGGCGATTCTTTTGCTGACTTTTGAACACAAATTTATGGGGATTTCATTGGGATTTCTCTTTTATGCCGAGTCAAATCCACCCTACATCAAACAAAATCTTGTCATCATTTGGCTTTTATGATCGTGATTTTTTTACGTCGTTTTACCTAGGTGTAAGGGTAAGTATCGGGGTCTGATAAATTGGATTGATGGATGATTCCGATTTCATTGACTCAATCACCTGATTCAGTGTTTTTCTCGTTATACTTCTCTAGGCTTCTATATAAACAGATCACTCTGATATCTAGTAATACTTGAAACATTGAACTAGATATTCCATCTATTTTGTATATACAGAGGTATACAGAGATATACAGAGGTAACCGAATCTATTGGAAAAAATTGTCGCTAGTGGTCTTGTACGACCTTTATTCGTATCTTAGTTAGCACAACTGCAGAGTCGATATTCTCACGTTTTTGTTGATATCAAATCCGGAGCAAATATTTTAATCCGGTGTAAAGAATTTGACTTTCTTGTGTTAAGTTGGGTCTACAAACATGGAAAGTCGTTAGTTTAAATTATTTTTATATGAAACAAGAAAGCAATACTCAAATATATGGACACGAGGAACAAAACGAAGTAGTACTGGTATCTAATTTTTCACAGTTGACGACCGGTACGGATGCGTATTCGTCGCGACTTCGACTGACTATTTTGGTAACGTCATCACACACAAAAAACGAATCCCATATAGAGCCCACAAAAAATTTGAAAAAAAAAAATAATAATAATAGCCCTCTAGCGACATCAACGATTTTTAACCACACTGTTAATTTCAAAGAAATTGGGCCTAATACCAAAACTATCCACATGAACACTTAGTGCCGAATTATTTTCAAATGAAAAAAAAAATTGTTTGATGACGCTAAAGTATAGGGAGTGAGATTTAGTCAACCTGTAGATGGTGGGAAATTCGGTTGATAGGAGATAACTTTAGTCTACGTCTGCCGCTTATTTTTGTCAATTCATATATATATATCTGACTTCATGCGTTTAAATTACATTCTTAGGACCATTTATTCTATTCCGACGCGTAAAAATTTTGCGTTCGTCTTCTTCAGCTGCGAAAAACGCGAATACACACAAAACAAATCGTAGATAACTAAATTGACAATGTCTGACAGTCAACGCGTCTGGAAAGAAAGTGACTGCAAACAACTTCCCCGTGCGAATGAAACAGAGTCAGTACTATGCGTAAAACTCTTTTAATATAATAAATAATTACAGTGCGTATAATTAAAATGTGCAATTAAAATTTACGGATTCAAATTTCCATAATAGTCGATTTAAACCATATATATTGAGAAAAATACTCAAATTATTTCGATTAATACGTATTATTATTACGTATATAATATTTCAGTGAATTATGTAATTGTACATTGAAAAATTATGTTTACGATTATGAAAGTAAAATATGACATCATAACAACGAATTATCATCATTGGCGTATCTGTTTGCTCCTTTTTTAGCTATATATTATTTAATGTAACTAATCATAAAATGGTCCATGGCCGAGAAAATAGGCAGTCAAGTGGGATTTAAATTATAATTGGACGATATGATTTCAATTAATATAAAGCTCAGGTAAAATTTCTACAGTTTAATTACAGTAAATAGTGAAACATTTTAAGAATTAAGAAAAATAACAAAATAATGACATGTATAATTCATAAGAAAAATTTGCCCGTGTGGCCAACAATGGGTTATATTAAGCAAATCTTGTGAAATTTGATTCATTTTCTATGAGCCATTGTGGGTTAATATTTAGTGATGTATTGCATCCGTTTGACCTTCTATCGGCTTCCGCCTCCAACTTCCGCCATTACGACCTCTCCATTCATAACATCATCCATAATGTCATCTGTGATTTTTCCAACAAGAAGTAAGTAACCATGCACGTCACCGAAAGCAGTAGATGGTGGTGCGTTAAGATTTTCTCCAGAGCGTTTTTCTTGCGTCATTTCAGCACTTCTGCGTAAAAATAGAACGTAAAAACGTGAATGTATCCTACTTTGAATCAAGCTATCTATTTTCGTTATCTTTTTACGTACATAAATAGAATAATTTGAAAACGTAAATTATCCGCGTCCGCGAAATTGTGGGTAGACCGCATAGTACATGTTATCTCATAACTATCGGTATAGGTACTATAAATATTAGATAAGTAAGCCACCCTGTTGTGTATTAACAGGGTCATATAATGTTTCATATATATCGCATTAAAATATGTATATAATAAAAGATCTTTATTCAATTTCCGACCCTCCGTATTAATAGAAAGCACACAATAACAAAAATATCAATTTTGTCAATACATTTGAATTATTTATGCGAAAAAAAAACTCTATAAAACAAGGTATAATTTTCTTGTCTGTGTTAAGAATAACAACTTGGCTCACTTTGAAAATTACCGATCTTTTGTCAGCGGATTAATTCTTTATTCAAGAAACAAAGTTAGGCATGAGCAAAAGACGTCTGTACCCGTTTGTGGGCATTGGTTTAGCTTTGTGTTTACATTAATAATTACAGTGGATTATAATATTCTCATCACGTTTCTGCGAGACACATTTGCAAAGTTCGTGTTTGTAGTCTTTGAATGATTTGAATAGATTTTGTTTTGAACCTAATTCCTCTAATGTTGACCTAAATTTGCAAATGCAATGTTACTGTTCTCACATAAATACCAGATCTTTTTCAAAGCCACCATCACCAATGCAAAAATATGAGATTTTGGAAAAACATCCCTGCCACTTTGTGAGATAAAACATTCTGAAGTATCCAGGGTTAGAGTTACGAATGACTTGAAAATTTGAATTTTCAAGCGCAATCTACATTCCTAAACCTAACTGGGTAAATACTAGTATTCTTACTTTGAGCATTTGCGGGAGTGTTTTTTGGTACTCCGGTAGTATGTGTACCAGGTTAAGGTTGAGCCATAATTTTATTCCGATTTTCATTATTTTAGTTCTATTACGACCTCGGGGACTGTTTGTGTTAGCTAAGTGAATATACCCCTTGACCATGGGCTTCCGTCCCTTGAGATAAATCAGGCGAACAAAATTAGTTATCTCTATATTGGTACAAAAACTTCTGGAGCGCTGTTTTTTTTAAATAGAAATCTATACCTTTTGCCGACAAGCATGCTCAAGAGGCGTCTGACAGCAGCACGGTCTTCTCCTCGTCCTCTTTCAGAAGTGTACATTGCATGTGAATATCTTTTTTCGGCGATTTCATGTTCTTGACCTGATCGTTTTGCTTCGGATTCTTCGAGTGATGCCAGTTGTCTGAATTAAAGTTGGATTTTAAATTGACACCAAGCTTTAAGGGAGAAATCTTAACACGTCACATTAATGACAAAATGCTGAGCTCAGGGGGAATATTTAACAACTTGCGCTGTATCCAGCCATGTTTGTTTCAAATATTAGAAACTTCGGGCTAACTATTATTCATCTTTAGCAAGCATCTCCAGAGATGAAATAGCACGCTGAATGTAAGATTTGTATTCCCCTAAATGAGAGAGCTTCTTCTGCATTAAATGCTTATTTGTTCAGTTCACAAATATACATTATGTCGTAATAATACAAACAGAATTTACCTCATAATTCGTTCCTGTTCAATTGGTACAATGCTAGCTGATTCTGACAATTTGATGTACGTTGATATCATAAGTAACGCAGTGATGCAGAGAGTAGAAGAAATCGAATTCATGTTTATAGTTAGTAGACTTTGAAATACTGTTAAATTATACTTATCTAATATAAAAATAAAACATTGAGTCAAAAATCAGCAGAATATCGTGCTCTCGAGGGTAGAGGTGTTTACTGCAATATATTAAAATTGTCAGTGTGGCATACCAACTGATAAACGTAAAAAAAAACATGAACCATTTCTCTTGGTAAAGCTTCATTGCCATAAAAGTCAGTAGGTTATTTCAGAATATCAAATCTCAATAATCACGTAATGATCCAACTATAAAATCATTTTTCCGTCGAGAAAAGCATTTGTATATTGGAAAATGCACGGAGTATTGAAATAACCCAGACGAGTTTAGTTTTGTTGATCGACAAACGAGCTAATCAACAATACCGATTCCAGATAGCAAAAGAATCGATTCAATATCATATTAAAGTTGTGGTAATCCTGTAAACCGACAACTCATCCAAGTACAACCTGAATAAAAGCATTTAATCTATAAAATTCAGTCCTTAGCTAGTCTAGATGTTGCTTCTTGGCTTGTCCAGACGCTTGAATGACAATGACAAGATGCGCTCCTGTATTTATACACGCCAGAAGATGGAGGGTTGAATTTTTCTTATCGCTGTGTATTCACTGGTTGCTGGGGCAACAGAAAAAAATGTGCGTGTCGTGCGTCATTTTTTGACGCAAACGGAAATCTTCGTGCTAATTTTCTGAGTGGACAAGATGGCTATATGCTATAAATGACCACTATGTAAACTGACACCATATGGAGTCGGATTTTTCACAATATCTAAGAGGACTCTTTCGAAATATTAAAACAAAGTTACGCATTCTGAAGAAATCAAATAGCTCAACAATTGTTTGCAAATCGTCATAATCGGTAGATTGAATTTTTCTTGTCACCTGTTCGGTTGTCACACCCTGCATTACTTAGCAACACAGGAAATTATGATCCAATTGCGTGCTTGACCTCGTTCACGACGGTTCATTTTAATCACGTCATCGAGATAATTATCATACAATTAATTGGTGGCAAGCTATGTGAAACAAGCTGCATAACTACAATATATAGATATTGCTTCAACTAATTGCTTCATCTATATCTGAGCCCCGGGGAGACCACTGTACTGCGATAAAAGTTTAAAAAAAGTACTTTGAAAGGCACAGAAAAATTGTAAAATTCTGGAACATGTTGACAAACTCGCACTGAGTCACGATCCAAACGAACATAATTTCTTCGGCTTCGTTTCTCCCCTATTTACATGTTGTTTTATATATTTTTCACAGAATCACTATTATTCATTGTTTTAATGTAATCCAGATAAAAAATTGTTGTAACTAATTTTCTTGAAATTATGTTGAATAATTCCACGAAATAAAATATATTGGTGTTTTCAAGTATTTCATTAATTTTATTGGTGAGTTAAGTGAATCAGCATCATCCCATGATTTTTTTTATAGCGCAATCTATGTTTTTGTTTTTTAATCTTGTACGATACTCATTCAATATTTTGATATATAATTCATTTCTGAAAACGTGCGGGATTGGCCGATTCATCTGCTATTTTCGACCACGTAAACTGCACGCCTAAATACTTATTTTATTTTTTTCATTCATTTTATTATCCGACTGGATTAAAGATTAGATTTTTGTATATTTTCAGAAACCACCAATGTCAACTTTAGGGATTTTTCCAAATAAACTAATGAGAAAAAAAAATACCCAACTCCATCTGGTCAACGGCGCCTGGCAAAGAAGACCGTAAAATGGAACTTCCCTTTATTTGACATAAGAAGGTTTCAGCCAAAGTGCTATTTTATTTAATATCAGTAAAACCTATTAACCGCTATGTCATATGAGAATGTTTGACGAGATATTCGGCACATTCGAAAAATAGTATTCGAATGTAGGAATTTAAATATCAACCGGTTGCCGGCATCAAACCGGTGTGCCGGTTTGGGACATTAAACTAAAAAATATGAAGATTTATGTAAAATGTACTTCATTGAATTTTGACACTTTTATTTGGAATGATCTGAAATGAAACATCCCATATTCGATATTCACTTTCCCGTCACTAATTGATTGTTATTTATTTGAGAGCAATTCTTTTTACCGACCGGATAGGTCATTGACCAATATGACCATATTTTGAGATATAATCGATATTTCCGTTTATAAATTTCACGATATTATTAAATTTACTAGAAGCGGAAGGGTCACTTCATAAATAAACAATAAAAATCTCGAAATAACATCTTTATGAATGTATACAGACATTTTTACACAATCCCGTAAAATGCTGTTTGTGGGCGGTACCGCATGTACTCAATTGACGACCAAAGAAGCAATATTTCTTTGAATAGGGAACTGAACATTGAAAAAATTAGGGCGCTCCAGAAGTGTGTGTATCAATATGAAGGTAACTAAATTTGTTCGCCTGCTTCACACCAAGTTCTATGAAGGAACTTGAAACCTATGGGCAGGGGGTATATTCACTTGGGTAACACAGACAGCCCCCGAACTCGTAATAAAACTAAAATGAGGAAAATCGGAATAAAATTATGGCCTGACCCCAACCTAGTATACATATTACGGGAGTACCAAAATTAGTCGGCAAAATAGTATTTGCGAGCTCTAATACTATGAAGCGATAACTACAGAAATATACTAAAAAATTCGTTGAATATTTTCAAAATATACGGTTCGAAAGATATTATTAAGAAAAATGTCCGAAATCGAAAATACTATTATTTGATTATTCTTGTAACTGTTTGTTTTTGCAAACACGTGTTAAAAATATTTATTTTGCCGTCTCATAAAAACGTTTTTGTCATTACTTTAATTGCACTCACTAAATCTGATGATAAAAATATTTCAACGGTTCACACAAAAATATAAACAGCTACTTCACTACTGGTTTCCATATGCCGGTAAATCTGCGTATTTGCTTAGTTTGTACAAATTACACAATTTATCATTTCCGTTGGGGCGAAGTCATCTGCATAACAGTACCTTACTGTTATAGGAATATATTGGGGGCAGCTGCATTCAGGCCCTACGAATTTGGCCAAATGGTTGACGGGGTGGCGATAATATTATCAGTAGTTTATGTTATCAGTAGTTTAATATTATCAGCGATAATATTAAATGATTTATATAGAAATATCACATCAAGACTTTCTCAAAACACCAGGAATTTTTCTCCCACCAGGGATAAATATGTGAATCCTAGCCTAAACTGAAATGTTGACCACCTATAATAGCTCTTGATAAAACATGAATGTGAACTTCTAGAATCTTATCATTCCGAAAAATTAAATTAGCATATCAAATGCTAATACTTAAATTTCACGTTCATCGGTAAAGTTATAGGCCGCAATCGCTTATTTATTCAAATTCGATATTTCATTCACCCAAGTATACGCATTTGATAAAACACGAATGTAAACTTCGTACTTCAATGGTAACACATTTTTCGGGAATATGCAAAACATATTAAAGTTTAATACTTAATTTCAAGGTCATATATATGTGAATCGTTGCTTTGGTATTTAGTTGTTTTTGCATACGGGTTCATTTTTACATACCATTTCAAATCGTGCAGCAGGAAAACCGTCATTGCCATTTCGACTGATTGCAGACACCAATGAGTGCAATTGATCCTCTTCCGACCATGACCCGCACATGCATGATAGTTTTCAGACAATTGACATGCCAAAGTTTTTTGTCACGTTAAATTTTTTTTGTAACCTTTAGACTGATATTTAGATGTTGTCTGTCAACTCTATATATTGGGTTATTCATTGGATGGTCAAATTACAACGCGAATAGCGCCGCTAAAGGTAAGAGATGACAATTTTTTGTTATGTTCTATTTCAGCGTCAATCTTGGATATCTTTTCAATTCTTGCTATGTGGTTTATGCAAAATATTTTGGAATCAACATATTAATCTCTTTCCACGAAATAGTAAGTATATTATCGCATTCGAATTCGCAGCATCCTTGTGGCAACTGACACATACGGATCCGCAATAAAGAGTAAACAAGGAGAAGGGACTTGCAGTCCAGTTCACACTTCATAATATTTTAATTGTGGTCTTCTTGTGATACTTCAGATTCGCAATCCTCCTATGGTATTCAAACGATATCGTATGCGTGTCACATTACTATAATTGAATTGCTATAAACCAGAATCGCTAGGCAGTGGTTCCCAACCTTTTTTGGTAAAATCCTTCCTGCCGATTTTGGATTATTCCTTCTCACTATACGCAAAGCTACTTTGTTCGTTCAATTTTCAATGGATTCTTTGACAGTGTTATGCGCAAGTTGCATCACGTTTTTTTGGACAGTTCAAGTAGTTTATTATGTGTTCATGAATAGGTATCGTAGTAATGATATAAAAACTAAAATATATTAGTATTGCTACAGTAAAAACAAAGCAAAATTCTTCTCCGAATACGACGAAACGTTGGGCTAGTGTTTTACGAAACAGAACGACAAGGAAAGTTACACGCTCATCAGTTTCATATAACAATGAATAGATTGCATGGAACCCCACTCTAGAATGAAGACCGCGTGAAAATTGCAAAATTCAAATCTTTTCAAAAATGACAAACCCATAAATCAAATAAAAATGACATCTTTTGAGTAATCGCAAATCAATTTAAATCCTAATAACGGGTTTTGTTTAATTAAACATTGTAGCATTAGAGACTGTTGACGGGCGTTTTACGTAACATATGGACACTGACACAAGAAAAAAACGTATTTTAGTTCGATTTTTGTTGAAATCAAACAACGAAACAAGCGCGATGTAGCATGAGTATGGATCCATGTAATCCATTTTTGATGGGCTGTTGTCACGGCACGAGGGGTATAACGGGTGAAAAATATGGCGTTATTTGATACATCATCCGGTATGCAGTTGTCCTTTCACTAAAACAAATTTGCCTATTGATTAGTAAAAATCTATATAAAATAAAGTAAATATTGACACGGGAGTTGGGAGTAAACACAGTAAATCACGGTAACCGTTTTTGAAAGGCGAT